AGAGCGGCCACGGGTCACTGGGCGTGTGCGACGGGTGCGACGTCCGCAAGGGGTCCTCGACACCGCCGCGAGTCGCGCTGTTCAAGACGGTCTTTTGAAACGACGCGCCTGGCTCGGGCGAGACGCGAGGGGTGTGAGTCGCGAGCTGGAGGAGCGAGACGGCGGCGTTGTCGGACTCGACGAGCGAGTTGTTGCGAAAGCCGTACACGGGACGCTCGGGGCTCGTGTCCTTCTCGCTCTTGATGTTCATGCTGCGGTCGTCGCCGTTCGCCGCTGCAGCGAGAACAAGTGCGGCAGCGCTCGCAGGACTCGGCTCTTCGGGGATACCGCCGTTCCGCAAGTCCGACATGGGCTGGCTGGCGTTGCCTCCGAGACTGGGCGGGAGGAGGCTGCCAATCTCCATGTCTCCCGTTCCAGGAGACATGCCGTCTCGCGGCGTGAAGCCCGTTGGGACCGGTCCCGAGTTGGCGTTGATGACCGGGTCTTGGGAGGCAAAGCCCGTGTTGAGGATCGACCAGTCGATTTCTTGGTCGCCCGCGCCAGCCGAGATGAGGTCAAGGAAATCGAGCTGTCCTGCTCCGCTCGACCCGACGTCTCCGATTTGGCGACCGTACGCCGAGTTGTCCCACTGAGACGACGCCGACGCAGGCGCTGGGGGAGGAGGAAGCGTCGTCGAAGCGAAGGGGTTGAGCGGAGACGGGCCGTGGTGAGGGAGCTGGAGAGAGGGGAAAGCGGCGGCGTTGTGGTAGGGCGCAGGACGATAGTTGAACGCGTCGGGAGGGCGACCAGAGTAGTAGTTGACGGGCGGAGGCCCGAATGAGAAGCTGGTCGGAGGGAGAGCCGGGTGCTGAGGCGGGCCGCGGAGAGGCATGTGGTAAGGCGACATGCCCGAGAGTGCAGATGCCGCCGAACCCGCCTGACGACTCCACGTCTCGGGCGGAGGAGGCGTAGGCAGTGCGAGGCCGAAAGCGTTCTCGGGCGAGGTCGTGTCGCCGTCCGACTCCATCGATGGCGTCAAGCCGAAGCCGTCGTCAATCTGCATCGAGACGGACCCCGAGCGGCTGCCCGACTTTGGCGGGCGTTCGAAGCTGCAGTCGACGCCGGCCTTGCGGCAGCGCTCGCAGGGGTGCTGGCCGTCGCAGCGGAGTCTGGGAGACGTCGAGGTCAGTTGAGGAGGCTTTGGACGCGGCGGAAGGTCGCTGGAACGCACTTGGACTTGCTGCAGCGGCAACACGCCCTGCCAACCCTGGCAATCTTGACAGGACCTGACCCGTCGTCTGCGCCGGCATCCCCAATGGACGAGACCCGCTTCTTTTTGCCCTTTGCCGCGTTGCTCGCCGGCGAGTCGTACCCCTTGTCGTAGTAGTCGCCCTTGGCGGCCGCCTCTGCAGCTGCAGCCTGCTGCTTCGCGTGCCCCTGCTCATGGCGCTTGAGAATGTCCTTGCGAGCGAACCCCTTTCCGCAGGTCGGGCAGACAAAGTCCTTGGCGACGCGGTGCTTGGCTGAGATGTCGAGGGGCGGCGTAGCGAGTCGTGCAGGTGATTGTCAACGAGGGAGAGCAGCAAGATGGCAGAGGATGTGGGGGGCGCGAGGGTGCGGAGGAGGTCAGCACGAGTTCCACAGCATGTCAGGACGTCGCTCCTGAGGCGCACCTGTCACATGGCGATCCAAATGCTCCTGTGGAGGTAGCGCAAGGCGTCAGTGAGTGTTGCAGCGTCGTGGCTGGCGATGAGGGCCCCCCTCATCAGGCAAGGGAGCCGCATCTCGCCAACCACGGCTCCGTTCGACTTGAGACTTGGCCAGGATCAGTTTCGACGTACTTGGCGGGTATAACGACTTCCGCACTCCTTTTTGCGCGAGCGAAGCCGTCAGTATGGCTGAGCGGGGAGGTGAGAGTGAAGAGGGCGCTGTGCTCACTACACAGAGGAACGGGCGAGCCGGGTCGGGGTTGTCGTTCAAGGAGGCCATCTTCTCGACCGCCTGAGGCGAGAGAGGCGACTCAGCGGGGTCGAGGTGTCGATTCGGGAGAAGCGGAGTCGGAGAGAGGCGAAAACGCTGTGGGGAGCCAGCCAGAGCTCAAACGGCTCGTACCGACCCTCACACAGCCAGCAGAGTGCCACAGATGCCCCACAGCACGGTGTACGAGGCCTACGACGAGGACTGGGACGAGCAGGGCGTGTGGATTGGCGATGGCGCAGGCGGGGATGCGGGCGACTGGGAGGGCGAGGGGGAGGGCGGCAGCGCGGTAGAGTGGGCCGATGAAGGCGCAGAGGACGACGACTTTGGCCCAGGAGTGACGGTGGTGCGGCGGACGAACCTGGCGGAGCACAACGAGCTGATGGCGACGGATCTCAGCCTCGACGCCTACCTCGACCCCCTCGCCCTCGTCAACGCGTGGGAGGGCGCGCTCACAGACTTCAAGGTGAGCATCAGGCACCTTCAACTACCCCGTACACCGAGGCTCACCCGCCGCGAGCGCCAGTTCATGCACCCAGACCGCTTCTTGCCCCCGACAGAAGCCCCTCTCTCGCTCGCACAGCGCCAAACGAAGGCTCCCATGTGCGTAAAGACCCGCTCCGACTTGCCCTGACCATAACTGACCAGCCCGACGCCCGCAGCTGGTACGGCCCGCCTCCCTCGACCGCCTCGACTTCGAAACTCCCCTCTCACCTTCCAATCCACACCGTTTCTTCCTCTGCCTCGACTCACGCAAACGGCCACACCGTCTTCCGCGAACCCTCAGTGACGCCCTCTGACTCTCCGGCACCCGGAACGAAGAAGCGCAAACGCTTGACCGGGTCGCAGAAGAAGGCGAGAAAGGCTGCGAAACTGGCTGCGGCGACGACCGCTGCTGCAGGCGACGAGGAAGAGTGTCCTGCTGGTGCAGAAGACCACGATGACGAGCATGCTACGCCGCAAACCGCTGTTCCTCCTCGACGCGGTCCACCTTCTCCTACGTACACCCCCTCTTCGCCCAAAATCTCTCGAACCGGCCACCCTCCCTCTCCCTCTCCTCCTCCCGCCGCCTCAACTTCTGCATCTGCAACACTCACTCGCCCAATCGGTCCTCAACACCCCTCCTCCTTCTCCTTCGTCGTCCCGCCCGTCTCGTCCCTCCCAACGACCTTCCCTCCTCCACCGCCTATCGCGCCTCTTACGGGCGACGAACCGGCTTTGGAGGCTGAGACTCCGGAGGCGTTACTTGAGGCGGCGTTGTGGAGCTGGTATAGTGGGTTCTTTCGCTCTCGTTCACCCGTTTTAAGCCACTGCACTCGGGCGGTCTTCGAGCGTGGTGAAATCACTCATCGACATCATTGTTTCGCAGCCGCCGGCTACCAAACAGCCCTCTACCACGCCGCCGTCGGAGTCGCCAAGTTCAAGCCTTCTGCCAATGAGTCCTCGTAGCTCTTCCTCCCGACCCTTCCTTCGCTCACCTCACGCTTGCTGTACCGCACATCGCATCTTCCGCATACTGTCCTTCGCAATACGCAACTTGCACGAAATCAATGCCGACAACAGCGTCTTCACACGAGAGGGAGGAAGAGGGTATCTTCGCGAAACGAGCGAGAGAAGGGGATGTAGGATGAGGTGAGGGTCTCTAAGCGACGTTGTACATCTTCTTGAAGTCGCTAACAAAGAGTGATCGGGATTTGACGAGCGCCGAAAACCAAGCCTGTCCGGCGAGCGAAGCGAGGCACGAGTCAGTTCTTCTCCATCCATCTCAGGCGAACAATTCGCACTTACACCGGGTACGAACCCGAATATCTGGCCTGCGCCGCCCCATGGACCGACCGAGACGAGGATGAGGTTCGAGCCGGGCTTGTAGGACTTAAGTGAGGCGGAGGAGGGGGAGGGGGAGTGGATGAGGCTGAGGATGTTGGATGCTACGACTGAGCCGTGGTTCTGCGTGAGCGGACGGGATCAGTCCAGTTGGCGAAGGAGGAGGAGAAGGAGAGGCAGGGAAAGCCCACCTTTGCATGCGCAAACTGCTTCCCCTCCTTGACATCCGTCACGTCCCCCATTGCGAAAATGTGCTCGTAGCCCTCGACTTGGAACGCCGGATTGACCTTGATGTGCTTCGAGTCGTCCAGCACGGAGGGGTCGAACGAGGCCACGAGGTCTGAGTTGGGCGCGTTGCCCGTTGCGAGGAAGACAAAGTCGGCTGCGGCGGAGTCGGTCAGCGATGTGTCATTTGAGGCTTGCGAAAATGGGAGGAACTCACCCTTGATCTTCTGGCCGTCGTCGAGGTGGAACTCCTCCCCTCCCTCTATCCGCCCCGTCTTCTCCGGCACATCAACCACCTTCCTCCCCATCACGACCCTAACCCCATACCCCTCCAACTGACCCTCGAGCGACTTGCCCAACTTCTCCTTCCACCCAGCCTGATCAAGCAACCTCTCCCTCGAATGCACAAGCGTGATCTCCTTCCTTCCTTTCCCATAATGCGCGGCGACTTCGCCTGCGAATTCGATACCGACGGGACCGCCGCCGATGATTAGGATGTGGTGCGATTGGGAGACTTCGAGTTGGGTTTGGCGCAGGTCGGCGAGGGTTTGGGAGAAGGAGGAGCTAGGGTGTGGGCGGCAAGGGTAGGGGTACTTCGAGCCCTGCGTTTTGGAGAAGCGTCAGCTCCGTACACGCGTACTGCCTCGCGCCGGGACGCACCATTGCAAGAACGCAATACTCGAACGGGATCTCCTCCCCCTCGAACCCAAGATCCGGGTGTGCTTTGTCAATCACGACGCTGTTCTTGCGCAGCTCGACGACGTTGGTCATCTTGAGCATCACATGGCGGTCGTCTTGCGGGAAGGCAGCGTCGACAGTAGCCAGCGGCTTGTCCTCCCAGCCCTGCGAGATTGCGGAAAACGGTCAGTACTCCTGCGCTCGAACCGAAATCCAGGTTAGGCTCTCGCGCACCGGCACGACGGCAGCTCGCAACGCAGCGGGCGGCCAGTAGCCCTCGTTCGACGTGATAGCGACGATGCGATAGTCGGCGGGGAGCGAACCGGCGAGATCTTTCGCTGCCTGGACCGCCGAGGGGCCGTAGCCGACGAAGACGACGTTCTTCATGTCGAGGAGGCGAGCTCAGGGATACTGCTGGACGCGGTCGGTCTTGGGAGAGAAGGGGAAGCGGGCGAAATGGATTGGGAGGAAAGGACGATGAGCGTGAGAGCGCAGAGGCGAGACGAGGCGATTCTTTGACGAGCGTCTTCGGCGAGCGTGATCGAACGTTGACAATCAGCGTCTGAACAGTGATCAGCGTCGACAAGATGAAGCAGCTGCCGAGACGACGCCGCGATCGAGGAGGGAGGCGAAAGAGTTGCGCATCGTAAGCAGGACGGCGGTGGTTGGCTGGCGCGGGAGTGCCCGGTGGAGAGCGACGAACGCAGGCTTACCAAGTTGGCGGTCTTCCTGCTAAGCCAGGGTCGTCAGGTGATGGACGGCGAGAGCGGCGAGGTTCGGTGCGTGTGCGAGCGAGCTGGCGGGTGGGATGGAACGGGGCGCGAGGTTGGGTGTTGTCCTTGGACGCAGCGAGGGCACCAGCGAGTCTCCAGGACGAGTCGAGCGAGATGGTCTGAGTGCATGCATCTTCAACTTGGGCGCGATGAAGTCCGAGAGAAGAACGACGACGACACCACGCTCTTCCTGGCTGAGACGCATCGAACCGAGCGTAGCTAGCACGCTGGACGACCAACATACTCTACGAGTACACCGCCAACTCGCTCCAACCCCCGACACCCACTCCTTCGCCTCCTCCGACTCCGCCAACTCGGACAGATCGCTGCACCCTCCCGCCTGCTGGCCAGAACGCGTGCGGAATGGCGCCAGCCGTGCTACTTCAATACACACCATTGGACGGCGCGTCGACCGCTTCCTTACCGCTCCATGGACGACCGCGAGACGAGCCTGTTTCTATTCCGGGACGCCTCGACACCGAGCTGGACGAGAACGACGACGAGCGGGACGAGGGAGACGTGGAGGATGATACGGGACGGACTGGACTGCTGAGCGGGAGGGACAAGGAGGACGAGGACGCGGACGAGGGAGCGGATGATCTCGAGGTGGAGGGACGGCGGCTGACGGGCACAGAGACGGTGCCGAAGCGACGGCGGAGAGTGGTGAGCTGGTGGATCTTTCATTCGCTTTGCTACCAAAGCGTTGGGAGAAAGGGCGTTCCCGCGAGTTCCGTCTTCTGGCGACGGAGGTCTGCCTTAGCTTTCAGGACGACTCGCTGACGGGTCCACCTCCACACAGACACACTGGCGACTAGTGCTACTCGGCTGCGTCGCGCTCGGCTCGGTCATTCTCGTCGTCGCCATCCTCCGCCCGTCCATCCCCTTCCTCTCCTCCTCCTCTCCCACCCTTGCACCCCTCTCCGCCAGCGACGCAACCTACTACTCCGGCCAAGCACTCGCAGCCGGCGTCTACGCCCCCGACTCCGCGCACGTCGCAGCCAACCCTCTCCCCTCAGACGGGAAGTACGGCGACGTGCCCTTTGCGCAAGTCGGGCAGAGCTGGGATAAGAGTGGGAAGACGCCTACTTGGGCGGGGGGAGACTGGGGGGATAAGGAGCTGGAGGGGGAGTTGGGGGAGGGAGGGGGGAGGAGGTGGAATGGGACGCATTGGTGGGATCCGACGGTTATCTTGATTTCGCTTGACGGCGTGAGGTGTGTGCGAGACGTCGTCGCTTTCAGCGAAACACTGCTTTGTCGCGAACCTGTGGCTGATGGAGATGGCTTCCGCACACACAGAGCCGACTACCTCGAACGGGGCTTGACGCCTCACCTCCTCAACATCTCCCGCAAAGGCATCGTGCGTCGAGTTTCGCCTTCGTCCCTCACCCTCGCACTGACACTCAACTCTTCTCGCAGCGTGCCGAGTACATGCAACCGTCCTTCCCCTCCCTCACCTTCCCAAACCACTGGACCCTCTTGTACGTCCTTCCTTCCCTCCTCCTCACTCCCTCACACTCACTCGTGCGCACACACACAGAACCGGCCTCTACCCCTCCTCGCACGGGATCGTCGCCAACGATTTCTACGACCCGCTCCTGGAGAAGGAGTTTGTGTATACCGAGCCGGGGAAGAGTTGGGGAAGCGAGTGGTGGGGTGGAGAACCTGTGCGTCCCCTTCCCTCCTCTCCCTCTCAGTTCAAGTGCTGACAAGAGACGTGGCGAGCAGATCTGGGCTACGGCAGTCAAGGCCTCCCTCCGCTCCGCACTCTTGATGTGGCCCGGCCCGCCCGTCATGGCTGACGGAACGAAACCGACGTATTGGTATCCGTTTGTCGATCGGTATCACTACAGGAAGAAGGTGCGGAAGGTGGCGGGGTGGTTGGGTGCGTTCTCGCTCCCTTCCTTCTCGCGCTCAGCTGGACTCGGGCTGACGAGGAGATGAGTAATGGTGCTGGGTTTGCACAGACATGGACTACACACACCGCCCACACCTAATGACTGTCTACCTACCCGAAGTCGACCAAGCCGGCCACAAAACCGGTCCCGATTCCCGCACGACCGAGAAGACGCTCGCTGCGGTGGACGAGTTCGTGAGGGAGGTGTTTGACGAGGTGGAGAGGAGGAATGCGACGGGTGTTGTGGACGTCGTCGTGGTGAGTGATCATGGGATGGCGGGTGCGTTTGCCGCTTTCTACTCGACGGGCTCGAGTTCCGGTGCGCGAGCACAACGGCGGATCGAGCTGATCCGGATGGCTTGCCTGGTACGCACAGCTACGAGCAACCAGCGCCTCATCTTCCTCGACGACATCCTCGGCCCCACGGGCTTCGCTTCCATCTCACACAACGAAGGTCCGTTTTCCCGCCCTCTCTTGCCCCCCTCTCCTCTTCCCTTCCCCGCTTACCCATAGCTCGCTTCGCTCGCAGGCTGGCCCTCCGCAGGCCTCCGCTTCAAACCCGGTACCGACGTCCCCGCTCTCTTCGCCCGCCTGAAACAGGCGGCTGAGAAAGAGGGAAGTGGGTTCAAGTGCTACGATGAGGAGAGTATGCTGGAGAGGTGGCATTTCACGGGCCATGAGGTGCGTTCGTCGGTTGCTCGCTTGCGCTTCCTTTGTTGCCAGGAGTTGGGAGACTCGTCGGCGAGGATAAGCGACGCGCGACGTCGATGGCTAACTCGCTCGCCCGATACCCTGCTCGCAGCGCATCTCACCTATCTATTGCGTCCCAGACGTGGGCTGGGCGATCACGAACCACCACGAGCTCGAGGTTGTCATGAACGGGACGTACAGCGTCAAGGGGTGGGTGTTCGCTCGCCTACCTCTCGCTCTCGAAGGTGCTGACACCCACGAGCCTCGCCTCGCTTCGCTCGCAGGAACCACGGCTACGACCCTGCCGACCCGTCGATGCGCGCCATCTTTGTCGCACACGGCCCGTTCGCCTCGTCCGTGAAGACTCGTTGTCGCCTCTCTCGTCGTCGGAAATCGCCCACCGTCCCGATCCCGTCGGACCCACACACGCTCGTCGTCCCTGCGTTCGAGAATACAGAGGTGTATGGACTTTTGGCGAGGTTGCTGCGAGTGCCGAGCGGGGTGAGGGCGAGTACGAATGGGACGAGTGGGTTTTGGGAGGAGTGGTTGGGTCCTGAGGAGTAGAGTGTTGGCAAGTATGTATGGGTTGAAATTCCCGTGGAAGAAGTTGCGCGCCGTCCGCTCTGCTGCTTCGACTTGGTGGGTGACTTGCTCTGAGTGCTCGAGTAGACGACGCTACACAGCTGCACCGTCCATTACAGCCAGCTCAGCCCGCTCGTCGACGCTGTCCCCTCCCCCACCTCGTTTGCTCGACCTGGGCCCCCTCGAACACCTCCCGCCTCGCCTCGACTCGACCACGCAGAACTCAGCCAGACCAAGGACACGCGCAGCACAGTCTACTCGCATGAGCAAGGTGAGCACACACTCGCAACCCACCTGCACCCACCCACTACCCCGTCTCGTCCTCGACCCCGCGACCCCCGCTCACGCTCTTGCGCTCCGCACACAGGACACGCTCGCTGCGACTGCCTCGATCTGGTCAAGGGTGCGCTCACTCTCTCTCCCACGCATTTCGAGCAGCTGCACCCGCCGTCGCCGCTCTCCCGCACACCCTCAGCTGACCCCCGCTCTGGCCAACTTCCCGCGGTGCTGCTGCAGCTCCCAAACGAGGAGAAGCCGTCGACGCGCGGACGCCTCTCGCCCTCGTCCCGCTCGACAGACTCGCACTCGTCAGCCCCTCCCACCCACTCGAACGGCCTCAAACCACCGTCCTCGCTCGCCCCCCACTCATCTCTCCAACCCACTCACCAACTCCCTCACGCGCACTCGCACTCTCACGCGAACGACTTTGTACCCTCCCCGCGCTCATCAGTATCGAGCTCGTCCTTCTCGGCCACTCCCGAGTCGAGCAACTCGCCCCGCGACCGCCTCGCAGGTTCGAAAGGACTCGCTCCGCCGCCTTCGTCGTCGTCCACCAGCGCGTCACGCTTCTCGAGTCCGCAGTTTGCGAGCTCGTTGGGACTGTATCAGGAACAGGCGACGGGCGCGGTGAGCGAGTACACGGCGCACGCGACGAACGGACAGGCGGCGAGTGCAGCAGGTGCGTTCATGCGCTTCCTATGCGCAACGTGACGATGCTGACGAGAGTTACGACTGCCGTGCAGCCCCTCCCACCTCCCGCGGCCCGACCTCCCCTCCTCCCGCCTCGAACCAGCCCCTCCTCGCCGAGATCTTCTCCGGCAACCCACGTCCTCACTACCGTCCTTCGCTATCAACCTCCGCCTTCTCTCCACACCAACAACTCCCCTCGCACTCCTCTGCCTCTCCTCGCTCCGACAGCGGCGCAGCGCTCACCTCTCCCCCGATCGTCCCAGAAGGACGAAGCTATTTCGCCCCGCCGCCGCCTGACTCGGCGCACGGAAGAGCGAGGAGTCATTCGATTGCCGGGATCGAGAAACCTGCTGCGCCGATGAACTTGCGTGGTGCGGGACCTCCCCCGGCTGGAGGAGCGGGAGGGGCGGACCAACATGGGTTCCGGCACTCGTCGACTCTCACGAGCGCCGGAGGACACTTCTCTGCTTCGCTTCCTACTACGTCGGCAGTCGGTAGTCCGACGTACGCCTACTCGGCTTTCACGCCTGGCCCGCCTGCGGCCGCCTCGAAGCGCGACTTGAGCGCCTCCCCCTCTCGCCCCGCTTACTCGCCCTTCGACTCGTCTACTACGACGAGTACGGGATGGAAGCCCTCGGGAAACAGCGGGTTGTCGCACTCGTTCAGCGCGGGGTGGAACGACGAAGTTGGGTCTGCGGGAGGAGCGGGAGGAGCGGGAGCAAGGGAAGGAAGGTCGAGGTTCCGCGACCAGTGGGCTTCGTCAGGCGCGAGCGGGACCGCGCTCTCAACCAGCGCGAGTTCGGCGGGCGGAGGTGGCGGAATCGGAATGAGCAACATGAGTCCCTTTTCGCGCGACGGGGCCCGGCTCCTCCCCGACCTTCCTTCGCCCTTCGGCGGTCCCGGTTCCTCGTCGCTCACTTCCGGCGAATGGGGCGGATTGGGCGGCTCGGCGGCGTACAAGACTCGGAGGGAGTACGCGCTCGGAGCGGTCGGGAGTGGGCGGAAGAGGAGTGATTCGGCTTGGGCCCGTTCGGCGTTGCACGAAGCGGAGGAGGACCTCGAGGGCGGGGACGAGTCGCTTCATCCGCCTACGAAGAGCGGAGCGACGAGTAGGAGGCACTCGTTCGCGGCGTTCGAGCCGCCGAGTAGGGGGTCAACGATGCAGCTTGGATTTCACTTGCCGGAGGAGCCTGCGGTTCCGAGCGCAGGAGGCGCAGGAGGGTTCGGACCGCTCGTCGATCCTGCGCCGGCGTCGAACGGCTGGGGCGGCGGCGGACGCGGACTCGGCTCGTCAGCGATCAACGACGACGACCTCGCTGCGGACCTCAACTCGTTGCACTTGAACCTCGAAGCGCACGCTGCGACACAGGACGAGCGAAAGACGAGGTTTGCGCATGTAGGGAGCATGCCGGCGGATTTCCCGCCAAAGAGGTCGAGTCGCGCGTTGGATCAGTCGAGGTCGCCGCCGCCTCCCCCTGCGCAGCCACCTGCGTCGCAGCCGCCGGTTGTCTCGCTTCCCCCGTCTATTCCTTCGTCGTCTTCGACACTCTCGACGGCGACCGCGACGCCCACCCCGTACGGCCAGTCGACGACTTCGCCTCGTCCGTCGGGCGACTCGTTCAACCCCACTCTCTCGGCGTCGGCCGCCTCGCGCTTCTTCCAGGGCTTGCCGGCTCCGACGCCTCTCCCGCCTGCGACGACCACCGCGACTGCGACAGCCACCGCCTCGCCCGGACTCGGCGGCTCATCTCGCTTCGGCTTCGACCAGCAACAGCAGCAGCAGCAGCGCGGCGCGCACTTCGGACGCTTCGGCGGCCTCCCTCCGCCCGTCCCGCCTCCGACGACCCAACACCCGTTCTTTGCGCCTGCAACGACGACTGGCCCGCTCTCGCCTCGCGGGACGGCGGCGTTCCCGCCTATCCCGCCTCCGCCGTTCCCTGGTTTCGGACCGGGCGTCTCGCCTGCGATCCCCCCGCCCCATTTGCCGGGTCAGCATTACCAGCAACAGCAACAGCAGCAGCCTCAGCAGCACCAGCCAATCCCGCCTCCCGCGAGCTACTTCAACGCTCCTCCGCCTCCTCCGCCACCCGTCCTCGCTCAGCAACCTGGCGCGCCGTCGCTCACCACTCAAGCGCAAGGCGACATCAACCTCGGTCGCGGCGTCCCCTTGCACGCCATCCCGCCCGATGCGCCCCTCTGCATCGTCGGCTTCAAAGCAGGTCGCAAGGACCTCTTCTTCTGCGAAGACCCGAACCTCCATCTCGAAGAGGGCGACCTCGTCATCGTCGAAGCCGACCGCGGTCGCGATGTCGGCAAGTACCTCAAGAGTTGCACGGTCGACGAGGTGCACAAGTTCCAGCAGCACTTGGTCGAGCTTGCGTTGGGCCAGTTGGCGAACCCTGCGGCGCAGGGCGCGCAGGGTGGGATGATGGGCGGATTGCAGGGGATGGGAGGGATGGGCGGCGGAGCGCAGGGTGGAGGAGGAGCGGGTGGAGCGGCGGGCCCGGCGCAGCTCGCGCGCATGACGAAGGAGTGTCAGCCCAAGCGTATCTATGGCAAGGCTGGACCGGCCGACACCCATGCGCTCCTCGCCAAGGCCCAGGACGAGGTCAAGGCGCTCGCGCTCGTCAGGAGCAAGGTCGCTCAGAAGGGTGCGTCGCCGCTCACGCTCTTTGGTCGCGTCACTACTTGAAGCTGACAATCACTCGATCGCAGGCCTGCCGATGGAGATCCTCGACGCCGAGTGGCAATGGGATCGCCGCAAGTTGACGTTCTACTACACCGCCGATCAGCGCGTCGACTTCCGCGAACTCGTCCGCGAGCTGTTCCGCATCTGGAAGACTCGCGTCTGGCTGTGCGTCACGCTCGCGCTTCCTCGATACCGCAGGAGCTAATCCGCTTGGCGTCAATCGCAGCTGCTGCCTCGACCAGCAACAGCCTTCGTTCGACCTCGTCTGAGCGCGAGAATACCCGCCTCTTTCCGCTTTCACTCGCCGTTATAATCATTCGGGATCATTCGTAATCGCCGTCAAGCAGTCGCAGTACCTCTCTCTATCGCCAACTCCGTCGTCGGCTGTACTCTTTCTCCGCCCTCTTTCCGGTCTTCTCGCTTGCCGTCTCTTCCTCCTCTTCCCCTCTCCTCGCAGTCTACAAAAATCAGTGTCATACACCGCAGTACCCCCCAAACCCTAGTTGTACAACCAGAACACCTACACTTCCTCTCTTCCTCTCTTTCGCCCTCTTCATCCATAAATCGCCTACAGGTCGTGCACTAGCTTACCCTCTCACAAGATGCCAACGTAGACAGCGCTACACCCTATCGCCTCTGCCGTGTGCGCGAGCGCGCCGGCATCTGGGGAGAGTGCTTTGGGCGAACTGGTTCGCAGCTGGAGCAGGACGTTCTCTGCTCGCTCGTGCCCACAAAGGCGTGCGAGTTGAGCGCCATGCGGTGTACGGTTACAAACAGCGCCGCGAGGGCGGTACGAAAAGAGAGAGAGAGAGAGAGAGAGAGAGAGAGAGAGAGAGAGAGAGAGAGAGAGAGAGAGAGAGAGAGAGAGAGAGAGAGAGAGAGAGAGAGAGAGAGAGAGAGAGAGAGAGAGAGAGAGAGAGAGAGAGAGAGAGAGAGAGAGAGAGAGAGAGAGAGAGAGAGAGAGAGAGAGAGAGAGAGAGAGAGAGAGAGAGAGAGAGAGAGAGAGAGAGAGAGAGAGAGAGAGAGAGAGAGAGAGAGAGAGAGAGAGAGAGAGAGAGAGAGAGAGAGAGAGGGACGAGGAAGAAAGAAGGGACTGTATGGGTAACGAAAGTGTCTGTGTCGGACGCGGTGAAGGCGAAACGGTGGGAAGGGCCACGTCTAGTATCCGTACTGCCCGTAGCCGCCTTTCTGAGGCGGGTAAACGCCCTGTCCGTACCCTGCGCCTCCGCCATAGCCGGACCCGGAAGGCGAGTCGTCGTCGTCCTCGCGCAAGAGTGTCTCTTTGACTTCCCACGCCTTCTCCTTGGATGAGACGGAGAACTCGAGGCTGCGGACGGGGAATAGGTCAGATGAGACGCTGAGCGAGGAAAAGTGAGTCGACACGCACTCTTCCTTCGTGAGCGAATCCCAGTACTTGTAGGCTGCGGGCCGAGAAGGTCAGCTTGGCCGCCGCGCATGGACGGAAACAGTACGCGACGCACTCATCATGACAGCAAAGAGGTTGCACAGGGCGTGGAAGAAGGTTCCGTCGAGATAGTGCGAGACGGCGTCGCAGATGGTGTTGCTGAACGCGAACAGCAAGACCTGCGCGATGACCCAGAAGGCGGTGCCGAAAAGGATATCGCCGATCGGCCACCGGTCGTCGAGCGTGCGGAGGACGAGGAAGAATTGCGCGACGATGTAGACGACGACACAGGCGAGGGGGAAGATGAACTGGAGGATCCAGAGACCGGTGGGCTTGGCGGAGGAGAGGCCGGCAGAGTTCTTGAAGGTGCCGATCGCGACAAGACCGACGATGAGCCCGACAATGGCGGACGTTCCTTGCAGGGTCTGTGAACGAGGAGTCAGGAAAGGCGTCTTCAGGCCAGTGACTGCACCGAACGCACCCAAAGCGACAGCGGGGTGCCGTCCTCGACCATCTGAAAGCCAACGAAGCCATTGACGAGGAGGCACCAGTAGGTCGCCGCCGTCAGGCCGGTGTGAACTGCCGCGAACCACTACGAGCGTGCGAAGCGTCAGTTGTGGGAGCTCAGAGTCGAGGAGTAGACGGGTACTCACCGCATAGACGTTCGAGCTAGGCGGGATGATGCCCGAGTCGAGGAAGATGGCGAGGAGCTCCTCGAGGAAGTAGATGTAGAAAAAGATGAGGATCTCCTTCCGGCCGACAGCGGTGTACTTGGATCGAACATGCAAGATCATGATGACGACCATGGCGAGGGCGCAGATGTGCATGAACGAGGTGGCTGCGGGACGAAACCGGGTCAGCCGTCGCGTACGGGAAAGGAACCCTCTCGAGCTTGGCGCACCTGGTTGGAAGACTAGTGTCCTCCCAAACTCGACATTGCGCGAGTAACATACCGGCTCGATGCCGTAATGGGTCGCGCCGAGAAGCGGACAGACGATCAAGGCTGCTCGCGAGCAGATCCAGTCGTATGAGCTGGAAAGCAATCCACGGGTCAGCAACGCTTCCTGCGCGTAGGCAGAGCATTCGAGCGCACCCGAAGCTCAGTGTCGCGGTCGATGTCATGGTGCGCAGGTTGTTCTGCGAGCGAGAGCGCGGTCACGGTCAGCATCGTCGCAGCGTCTCATCGCAGATGCTTGCTAGTCCCGCCCCGCCTGTATCCACGGCTGCTCCTCTCCTGTCGTCGGCCATCTGCAACATGGCCGGCAGCCATTCGCCAGCTCGGAAACCGCAAGTGAGCGTCTCCACTGGCAAAGCACCAACGCCTCGTACGCGCGCTCAAAGGCCATGTGCAGAGGTCGCAGGCCTTCACAGCACCGCAAGCGTCCACAACAACGTCTAAGAGGCTGTCTCGACTCACCGATCAAGCGGAACGAGTGTCTGCTGATGAGAAACGAGAACGGGGTCAGCTCGCTCTCTTCGCGTAACTGCGGGTCAGCCCAGCCTCGTGGCAGCTATGCCGTCCTCAGGAAAACGTCAAGAAGGACACGCACCCAGTCAGACCGTGTCTGCGAGCTCGTCACGTCGGTGAGAGGGATCGAGGAAGCGCGTCGGCGGCGACGAAGCGAGTCGGCGGCGCGGCGAGTGTCGGTCGCCTAGAAGGAGCACCGGCTGATCACACAGACGCCTTCAGTAGCAGCAGCGCGTGTAGCGGGGAGGTTGAGGACGTCAAGGCGCGAGCGCGTTCGTTGATGACCGATGACCGGCGCCTCACTTCGCTCGCGCTTGAGGATGGTCTGATGAGCTGGACAGACGCTCACGGAGCTGTATGATCGGCTCTTGTCGACCGCTCGCGCGTCTGATGCTTGCGTCGGTCCGCTCGACGGGTTGTCGGTTCAGGTGCGTCGTCTTACCACAGTGACGCCGCAAGCGAGTCTCCGAGGAACTGACGCTGCCCACACAGGCTTGCTCGTCGCGACACTCTGCGCCTGCCCCGCTCCGCTCGATGCGAGACTGCCGCCTTGGCTTGCCGTGAGTCGCTTGTCCTCCGCCCTGCTTCTCGCTCGCTCCCGCACCCCAAGGACGAAACAAGTCTTTCAGTCATCCTTGTTCTTTGAGGTCAGGGCACGGTCGTAAGACTGTCGCGCCAGACCGCTGACGAAGACCAGACGGGCATTCTGGCGACCTCGTCTCGCTCGCCCTTCTCGCTCGGTAGTCTTCACGGCTGTTGCGTGGGAGGCGCATGCGGGGCAGTCGCTTCTGAGGGATGCGGGGCGACAAGAGAAGCGATGTTGGCAGGATTCGGAGCTGACTTCCACTCGGTCGCGCAGAAGCTCCTCATCGTTCGTCAGCGTCTTGGCGGCGTGGCGGACCTCGGACTGCTATTTGCGCTTTCAGAACGTCGCAAAACGGCAGGCTACGCTCGTGACTCATTCGGCTGGAGCTTGCAAGTGCCTTCGACCGTACTTCTCAAGATTTGCTTGCGCTCGCTCCTGCAGCGTCAGGAGAATGTTCTTATTGGACTCCTGTCGGCATTCGGCCGTCCCGTCCCATCCCGGATTTACCGATCTGGGCGGAAGATCCGCGGACCGACATCCTCTTGCGCTTCCCCTCCCTTCCTCTCTCTCTCTCTCTCTCTCTCTCTCTTCCTCCTTCTCTCCGGCATCCGGCACCCTCTTGTCGCAAACGCGCCTTCTTCTGTCTGCTTTCTTCAAGATGTCGTCGGCGGCCGAACATGAGATGAGGTACTTTAGGACGCAGGTTGAGGACGCCTTCAAAGCCGTTCAGGAGTGCGAAGCGGCCAAGGTCAACAGTTCGTCTTCGTCCACGCCTCACATTGTTGAGGCTTACGTTTTTCCCTTGACTGACTGACGGTCATGACAGCCCTCGAACTCGAAACGCGACGGCGCGAGACGCTGTGCATGCGGCAAGCGCGACTCGCCGAAGCACACGTCGAGCTGCTTGAGATTGAGTTCAGGCACCGGCTCGATGCGGCGAACCCGGCAGACCGTAGGGAGGTGCGTCTGCTTGCGTGATTGTGCGCCAGAAGCCGACGGTGCTGAGGCAACTCGCCGTCCACAGGCAGCGCAAGAATGCCGCCTGCATGTCCAACAGACCGCCCAGGAGACGCACCGCGACCTCGCGACTCTTTCCCCTCGCTTGCAGCAATGCGTCCGTCATGAGAAGGCGACCAAGGAGGAGGTCGACCGGTTTGAAGGGCGCGGCGCTCTGCGCCATCGTGAGCGATTCTGTTCCCACATCTTCTCACGCTAGTGCTAACGGTCCGACCCTGGACAGGCATCATGAAATCGAAGAAGGTCGCTTTAGCCGCCTTTATTGATGCGGTTCATGGTGCGTTGCGGCCGGCTTGATTCGTTTCACGCTACTTACTGACCACAACGCCATCTGCTTGCAGAGCTGGGCAACATGCAGGGAAAGGAGGCTTACCTGAAGGCAAAGCGGGATGGTCTTCTCTCGCTCGCTCAGGTGTACGGTGACGCCGCACGAGGTGAGCAAGTCCCTCGACAACCTGTGTGCCGACTATGCTCACACTTTCCGATTCCTTGCAGGCAGTGTCGACCTCCAGGCTGTAAGTTTGTCCTTTCTCCCTCAGCGTCACGGCGTCTTCGACCTTCTTCGTAGCCGCCGACATACGACAAGTCGCGCCCGCGATCAGCTCGCCGAGAGACTGGTGCGTTCTGCGTCGTTATTGTCGCTAAAGACCAATTTCTGATCGTGCTCGGGAACAGGTTTGTGGGCGGCCGAATACGAGGCGCACGCAGCCACCGACCCTCGTTCGCCATCGGTCCGTGACGAAGCAGGTATGCCATTGCATGATTCGACCAGCAAGTTTAAGCGGCTGAGAACCGTTCGGAAACACAGGCTTTTGGGCAGCCGAGTACGAGGCGCTCGAGCAGCGCGAGCGTGCCGAGCATCAGGCTGCCGGAAACAGCGATCCCTTCGAACCTGGGGATCGCCGCAGCTCGCACAACTCGCCTCAAGCCGATCGGGAACAGGAAGAAAGTGAGAACTCTATCGACTCGGTTCTTTGACGCGCAGGCTGACCCTTTCGATGCCCTTGACAGTCAGAGCGGCGGCTGCCTTCTTTACCAACGAGGCCAGGGAGCGCCCGTCGGAGGAACACGCTGCGACGCACGCGAGTCCGAGCCATCCGCCTCCCCGTGTCTTCCGTCCGCGCCTCAGACTCGACACCCGCGACCCGAACCAGCGCACGGTTCACGCTCAGGCGGCAAACCATCGCGCTTCCATCAGTCGCTTCACCGCAGCTTTGAGCCCGTCCATCGACCCGGAGGCAGCCGCGCACATCGACTGGTCCAACTTGCCTCCGTCCGCGACTTCACCCATCGAGTCGTATCGAGCCTTCCTCGTACCGTCTGATGTCCAGCTCATTCATACTCGCGGCTCTTCGCACCGTCACGCACGTATTTTCCGCCCGGCCGCCGAGTAGATCCCGCGTTCTCGCAGACCCCTCCGCAATACAGACACTCTTTGCCGCTCTCTGCCGCTCCTCGCCGTGAGAGCGACAGCATCGTTGATACATAGTGCTATTCTACACGAGCGCAGCCCCGAGCGTTCGTACATTTAGCGAGACGACCTGCGTCCGCCTTTCCCAGCATCCCCCAGCCTCTACCGACGACGGAACGTGACGTCGCGGATGCGACCGGCAAAGCCAAAGTGACGGTCGACGCTGCGCCTGACCATGCGCTTCGAGTCGCTCTTCGGGAGGTCGCAGCCCTTGACCGGTCCAGGGCAGACGGCGTCGATCGTGCCGCTCTTGACGACAGCGTTGGTGACACACTGCTGGACTTGCGAGAGGCACGTAACGTACGCCGCGCCGTACGACGTCGCATTGTTGAAGTAGGACTCGAGGTCCGAGTTGAGCTGGGCTTGCGTAAGGTTGTGCTTGTTCTGGTACGAGTTGATGAGCGGCGCGGAGTAGTCGACGAGGTCGGTGAAGAAGCTGGAGGGGAGGTAGCCGTCGAACTGCTGGGCGATCGAAAGGATCACGGTCGACGAGATCTGCGGAGCCTTGGTCGAGGTGACGCATTCCTGCGCGGCGGTCGCGTTGCCGGCTGTGCGAATACGCTTGTCAGCTATCGTGCGGATCCAAGAGAACGAGCGGAGACTCACTCTTGATGAGCTCGGCAGCACACTGCTGGAGGACCTCGGAAAGCGTGACGGCGTTGCCGGACAATGACGACGAAACCGAGTTGATGGCGTTCGAGATCTGCGCCGAAACGGACGCGGCGAGCTGGTCGCTACCCTTCGTCGCATTGGCCAGGTTGTAAGTGAAGATGTCTGCGGGAGAACGAGTCGGTGAGCTGGAGGAGGGAACGGTGAAGGAAGGGAGACGCACTCTCGACAGCCGTCGTCAACGACGCAGGAAGGACGCCAACGAACTGCTCAAGCACCGAGTTGGACATGGTCTCGAGGGTGTCGTACGCGCCGCCCTTCTTGGTGAAGCAGGCAAGCGACGACGAGTTGCCGGCCTGCTGGATGGCGTCGGTGTAGCAAGCCGAGATCTGCTCGAGCGCGGTGACGGAGTTGCCAGAGAGCGATGCGATGACCGACTGAATCGACGACTGGATCTGCGCAACGAGGGCCTGCTCGGATGCGGGAAGGAGACTGCCGAGGAGGGGAGTAACCGAGTCGAAGACGGCGGAGAGGATGGTGTTCGGAAGGATGCCGACGAACTGCGGGAGTAGGGGAGGTCAGAGACCTGGTCCAATGCTTGGAAGGTGTCGGAGACGCACCTGCTCAAGAATCGTGTTCAGCGTCGACTGAAGGCCGGCGCTGTCGCTGCCTGACTGAGTCAAGCACGAGTAGCCAGCGGGGAGACCGCCCGACGAGAGGACCTCGGCGAGGCATGCTTCGAGCGCCTGCGTCGTCGACTTGCCAAGGTCGCTCTGGCTGAGGTTGGCCGCAGCGAAAGCCTCCTCGAGCGCCTTCTTGATGTCAAGCGAGGCGGCAACAGCGTCCGAGGTCGTGATGAGCGTCGAGGTTTGGACTTGCGTCACGTTCTGCGTGACGGTCTGCACGAGAGTAGTAGGCTCGGGGACCTTGATCGTCGAGTTGGCGACCGTGATCGTTCGAGTCGCTTCGGCGACCTTGGTAGCGAGGTGGACGGACGTGCGAGTGTGCGTGATGACCGCCGCGCTCGTGTGGCCAAGCTGCTTGTCGATAGCGCTCGAAAGGGCTGAGAAGAGACGGTGTGAGCAGTAGGAAGGAGAGGGGGAGAGCGAGAGGGCGCGCACCATCCGTGAGCTTGCCAGCAGCCTCGGGCGGGATGTACGAAGCGTTCGAGAACGACGAGATGGCCTTGCTAGCGCCCTGAGCAATCGTCTGAGCGGAGGCGTTCTTGACCTTCGGAGTAGGCTTCTTCTGGACGGCCTTGGTGCTCTTCGCCCATGCAGGCTTAGGCTTCGTGCGCTCTTTGAACGTCTTCTTGTGCGAGGACTTGTGCGTCGATGCGACGTGCTTTGCCGAGTTGGGCTTGGACGCGTGCGAGGAGGACGACTTGTGCTTTGAGGACGTTGACGACTTGTGCTTCTTCGGGAGGGCGAGCTTGGCGACCTCCGGGACGGTGGACTCGCCGGGCTTGTGGACGACGCCGGGATGGTCGGAACAGGGCTCGGGCGAGGCAACGGCGAAGAGTGCGAGCGAGGAGACGGCGAGCGACGCGAGGGCGAAAGAACGCATGGTGGCTGGCGGAAGAGGTCGAACGGAGAACACGCGTGTGATGAAGGAGAGCAAGGCGAGACCGCGACCGGAGGAGGCGAGGAAGAGGAGGGTTGCTGAACGAACGACGAAAGGTGATAAGGAGGGACGAGTACGCTGGCGGGAGCGCGGAAGGAGCGAGGGCGCGGTAGTCTGGGAGTGTAGAGTGGGAGACAAAGAGAGGGAGAGCGCGAGGTGCCAGCTGAATGGAATGCAGCAGGACACTTTCGCCGCGCGTGCAGCACGATCGAGGCGCGACGTGAGCAACGGTCACATCCGAGGAATGTGAGGTCGACCGATTCCATGTGGCACGGAACACCCGTCCGGCATCGCACCGTCCCAGAATGGCGTCCGACCGAAGTAAGCGAGGCGGTCGCGAGCCAGCAGCAAGGTCGCGCTCTGGGTGAGGAGGAGCAGGTGGTCAGATACGCCTCGCTAGGCCGCCCTCGCGCGTGTCGGAGGGTGCAAGTCCTTCAAGTGCCCCCATCGTGCAGTCGGTCTGCCCCACGACGGCGGTGTGAGGACGAGCGAGCGTCAACTGATGACGACAAGAAGGGAGGGCTTGTGAGGCGCGCGACGGCGAGCTGCTGGCTTTACGGCCACAATGTACGTTCCGGTGTAGCTTGGTGACATGTCCCAGCCATTCAGAACTGTTCAGCCGGGTGAGCGAGTTCACGTCAGGAGGAGAGGTTGGACGACAACCCTTGGACGGCGTCTACTGCCTCAAACTCCTCAAGGACCGCTAAGGCTTGACTGGGTCACTATGGCAACCGCTTTCATCGGGCTTCCCGTGCTCGTCAAGCTTCGCACCGGCCCGAACGACGCTGTTCAAGGTGTCCTCTCGTCGCTCGACCCGGCCGCTGGAACGCTCACACTCACAGAAGGTGCGCTACCGTGCGCTGGACCTTCACCGGAGCTGGACTGACGGGCTGTGTGCGCAGCTCGATCAACGATTGGAGGTGTCGAGCGACTCGACGGGATTCGACTACTTGCGAGGGAAGAGGTCGCCGGGCTCGAGCTGTTGAGCGTGGATCGAGGGGCACCTCTGCAGACGAGTAACCTGGTCCAGGCAGACGGTGTGCGGCGGAGCACGCCCCAGAAGGTATGGTCGCCTGCCTCGCGGCTTTGCTACTTTACTGACCGCCTGCTGCCCCCTCAGCCTCTTCCGCAGCCTACGCCCTCGCAGCCAGCCTACCTATCTCCTTCACCAGTCCCGTCCCCCTCGCCGCTCTCTGGCTCCCCTCGATCTGCCGAACAAGCGCGAAAGCGCGGAAACCGCGCTGGACGACGGAAGCAAGAAGCTTTGCAGCGCTCCCTTCAGCCGAACGACGAGTACCCTTCGCATAGTCCGTCGCACACGCCGTCGTTTAACGAGGACTTCGACTTTGGCGCCGGTCTGGCGACGTTTGACAAGAAGGCGGTCTTCGAGCAGATCAGGGTGCGGGCCTTCCTCTCCTGCTTGACCTACCGCTTTGTTGACGATACGCTCGCAGAGCCACGATGACACCGACCCTGCACTCCGCCTCGTCGCGCACAACCGGAACCCGAGCCGAACTTCGCAGACGAAGATGCTGCCGAGCGAATCGGTCCTCTCGCCTCAGGAGCTGTACGACCAGCGACAAGAGGCGCTGTCGATAAGGCAATTGGCTGGAAGGGAGGCGAAGGCGAGCATGACGCCGACGGATATGTCGAGGAGAAAGCCGGATGGGGAGGATGCGACACGACAGATGCAGGCTTTGACGCTGGACGATGAGACAGATCCCAGAGCCGCGAAAACGCTATTCACTGGTCGAGGTGTGTCGGTACCGGCGGTCAAGGCGAAGCAGTGGAAGGAGGCGCTCTCCATCGCAGAAGTGAGTTCGCTCCGACCATCTAGAAAGGTTGTGCACTCGCTGACCCTGCGTCGACAGATCGAATCCGCGCCAACGACGGCACAACGACTCGAAGCCTCGGCGATTGCCCTCACAACCTACATCCTTTCCCATATCTGTCTCTCCCAAAATCTTCTTCCCCTGCCCTCCCCGCCTCATTCCCGACCTTCCATCTGCCTCCTCTGCACCGACGCCGAGAAAGGCTACATCGTCATCCGAGCAGGCGTGACCCTTGCGAATCGCGGATGTCGGGTTGTTGCGCTGGTCGAGGACGGTGCAGACGGGAAGAGCGAGGCGTGGAAGACGGCTGTTCGGGTGCTCAGTTCAGCTGGAGGCCGGATCGTACGGGATGTTGCAGGTGCGTCAGCGTGGTAACCACGTCTTGACATTGTCAAGCTGACTCTCGCTCGCGCAGACCTTGCGCCGACCTACAACCTCGTCATTGATGCACTCGCCGCACCCGGTGGCAACGATGCCGGCATGCTCAGTCCCCGGCTCGACGGCACCTCGACTCCAACCTCGTCGGCATCAACTAGCGCTCTCTCAGTCGCGGCAGCAGAATGGGCAAACAAGGCAGACACACCCGTCGTCAGCCTGGACGTTCCGTTCGGCGTCAACCCTGATACTGGTGCGCCTCTTCCATTCCAGACTTTTGCACGACTTCATGCTGACAATTGACCGTACAGGCTCAACCCTTCCCTCCGCCTCGACGCCCATCCAAGCGACGCACATCCTCTCCTTCGGGCTCCCTGGCGCCTACCTCCTCTCTCCTTCTTCCGCCGTTCTCACTTCCGATACACACATCGCGCTCGCGGACGTCGGCTTCTCGCCTGCGCTGTGGCAGCGAGTAGGAGTGGAGGACTTTGACGCTGGGATGTGGGGTGCGGAAAATGTTGTCGAGCTGAGGCGGGCGTAGATCTCCTAAGCCCAGTCAAAAGAGCGCATTGGCTCTTACTTCACTCTCTCATGCAAGTCTTCATCGAGACGTGGGATATACAAGCTTGCAAGAAGGGTACAAGCTGTGCAGCGTCGAGCACAACTAGCGAGACCCGCCTTGGAGCTTCGAGTCGACCATCTCGCGGAACGAGGCGACGATCTGCGTGAAAGCAATATGTCAGCGAAGGCTCGCCGAACCCGGCAGCAGGCGCAGGCCATCGTGCAAGGCGTCCGCTCCACAGCTAGGAAAACGAGGCTCACCTCGTTCTCGCGCTTCGCCTTTTCCGCTGCCGCCAACTGCAAGATGCCGCGCTTCTCCTCTGCCGAGATGACCTGTGCGAGTGGTAGACGTCAGCGACGGCCAGAAAGAACGGCATGACTGCTTCGCCCAACGCACCTGGTTCTCCTTCCGCACACGAACGGCGTTCATGCGCTTGTGTCGACTACCACTCATGACGAACCCAGCCGACTCGTACCGCTCGATCTGGTCCGCCTCGAGACCGATCTCACCACGACGCGGGATACGCTGTCCCTCCGCAACGAACGCTGCCATAGCCGTTCCCTCGCCCGGTCGGAGCGCGCCACCGTACGCGTTGCGGTTCTTCGGCGCGCCTGGGCCGGTCAACGGCATTGGGCCGACTTCGTCGTCAGAGCGGGACATGTCGTAATCGATTTGTGCAGGCTTCTCGACCCATTCTTCCTCGTCGTCCGCAGCCGCGCGTGAGGTGTCGCCAGGAGCAGTCGAAGCGACAGCGACGGCAGTTGACGTAGGAATCGGGTCCCGCTCGTGTCGCTTCGACGAGGGAGCGTCGTCCTCGTCCGAGACGGGCGAAAGCGAGCGCTTCGAGCTGCGTCGAGGAGAGCGAGTACGCGAGCGCGACTTGTCGTCCTTGTCCCGGCGAGACGATTCGCGGTGGCTCGAACGATGTGAGCGGTGATGGCGAGAGGACGAGTGGCGGTTGCTTCGGTGACGCTTGCTTCGTCCGTCGTCGGCAGAGTCATCGCTGTCGCTCGAGTTGTCCGAGTGACGGCTCTTGTGGCGGGAAGAACGATGATGGCGGGAGGAGGAGGATTTGTGGTCGCGGCGAGACGACTTGGACTTGCGCGACTTGGTGCCGTCGTCCTCGCTGCGAACCGTCAAATTCAGCTCGCGTACATCTAGAGAGGTTTGGAAACTGACGTACGGTTCAGGCGTGCGAGGGGAGGGAGGCCAAATCGTAACGTTCGAGTTCTCGCGCTCCTTGCGGCGACTGCAAAGTCAAGGGGTCAATAGAAGGTCGCCCTGCATGGCGAGAGTCGTACTCACGCCTCGAAGAAGTCGTCTCGTCCGCCTGGCCGCGGTCGCCCGCCATACCCTCCTCCTCCTCCGTATCCCGAGTCACCTCCGCGTCCACCGCGTGGTCCGTAGCCCAGTTCCCGCTCAGGCGTCATTCGCCCTCCTCCACGCTGGTACTCTCGCTCGACAGCCCGCCTCTCCCGGTCATCCTCTGCCGCCTCACGGTCCCGCCTCATAGCCTCCCGTTCGCGACGATAGTCCTGCTCCTCCCTCTCCCGCCTGGCAGCCGGGTCGTTGTATTCGCCGTACGCCGGGGACGCCCTGCGCTCCCTCCTGTCGCCTCCATAGCGGTCATCGCGGTCGTCGCGGCGTGCGAGGTGCGGGGGAGTCTGGTGTCGAGGAGGAGAGTGGTAGTCGCTTGCGCGCGGGCGGGAGTGCTGCTGGTCGTCTTCGGGAACGTTCTGCAACCTCGAGGGGTGGACCTGCATCGTCAATAGCCGCGCACGAGCTGAGCGAGCGGGTGGTGAAGGCGAGAGAGTCGCTCGCTCATCTTGTCGTCCTCACGCACGCTCACTTGGCTCAGGAGAGCTCGCTGCTGCTTGACGAGTACCCAGAAACACTCAAACGATGGCAGCAATCAACGCACTCAGCCGCCTCGCCGTCCCCGCCTTCATCGGCGTCTCGCTCGCCAATGCCAGTCTCTACGACGGTCAGTCGCCGCCATCGTGGGCTCAGGGTGGATTGCAACGGGTGCAGTGATGGTCCGCAAGGGTCTCGGAGGCATTGCGTTTCGTCAGGCGGCGTCCAGCTTGAGTTGTCGCCGCTTCGGCAGCGATGCGCAACCCTTTCGATCCGATGGAGCTGGACGGATTGCCTGCGGCTGGGCCGGTGGAGCAAGACGGAACAGTGCTCAGAGCGCGAGGCTGACTCTTGAACGGCCGTCCCGCAGTTCCGGGTGGTCACCGTGCGATCCTCTTCGACCGCTTCTCGGGTGTCAAGGAGGAGGTGCGTCCCGCATGGATAGACTGACTTGTCGGCGAGACGAGGCTGACAGCGGCTTCCCTATTCGCAGCCCATCAACGAGGGAACGCACTTCCTCATCCCCTGGCTGCAGCGTCCGATCCTGATGGAGACTCGCATCAAGCCTCGGGTGCATTCGACCTACTAGCCTGACTGCTTCCAAGTGATGACTGACACGTTCGTGTGCAGAACATCTCGACGACGACCGGCTCGAAGGACTTGCAAACCGTATCGCTCACCCTCCGTGTCATGTTCCGCCCCGACATCCGCCATCTCGCAACCATCTACCGTTCGCTCGGCACGACCTACGACGAGCGTGTTCTCCCCTCCATCGGTAACGAGGTCCTGAAGGCGACGGTTGCGCAGTTCGATGCGGCGGAGCTCATCACCCAGAGGGAGGTCGTTAGCGCGCGGATCAGGGAGGACTTGCTGCGCAGGGCTGGCGAGTTCAACATCATCCTCGAGGATGTCTCTTTGGTGCGTGCGGATCTGTTTCGATCCGGAGGGCGCACAATCTCACCATTGTCGTGCGCAGACCCACATGACTTTCGGCAAGGACTTCACCCAGGCCGTTGAGCAGAAGCAGATCGCGCAGCAGGGTGCGTCTCCTACTGCTCGCTTTTGCGCCTTGCGACTCTAGCTAACGCGTCACTTGGCCACCTGCAGAGGCTGAGCGTGCCAAGTTCATCGTCGAGCGGGTAAGTTGTCCTGCGGAGACCTCCTTCCTCGAAGCGCCAGACTGACCGCTCTTGAGTGCAGTCCGAGCAAGAGCGTCAGGCAGCCGTCGTCCGCGCCGAGGGAGAAGCCGAGGCAGCCACAATCATCTCGAAGGCGCTGTCAAAGGCGGGAGACGGTCTCGTTCAGTTCAGGCGGATCGAGGCGTCGAAGGAGATTGCGGGCACCTTGGCGAACGTAAGCACGAGCCGTTGCCGAGTCTTGAGCGCTACGCTGACCTTTCCCGCGCTTGCAGGGCCGCAACGTCACCTACTTGCCTGGAGGCGGCAACGTTCTCTTGCAGGTCCCCTCGCAGCAGTAAACTGTGCTACGCCAGGGCATCTCCCCGACGCAGCGACCCGATGTATCTGTATAGTAGTTTCGGTTGTGCAGACCGTGAAACCTTGACCACCTCAACTCGCAAGCACGCGCTGTCTTCCTTTCGTCGAAGTGAGCGTACACAGAAGCTAGACGACAGCTGCGAGTTGCAGTAAGCACGCTCAAGACTCCGCTCAATAATCCAGTCGCCTGCGCTTGTCGTCTCGATCCCGTCGGTCGCGCTCGTCCCTGTCCCGCCCGCTGTATCCGCCTCGTTCGCCTCGCCCAGGACTCCTGCTGCGACTCCTGCTGCGCCGCCGGTAGTCCCTGTCGCGGTCGCGGTCGTCCCGTCCCGAGCCAGACGAGCGAGAGTAATCCTCGTCTCTTCGCCCGCCGTACCGGTCCTTCTCCCTTCCATCGCTTCGATCGTAGTCGCGGTATCTCGGCGGCGAACGACTCCGATCTCTTCGCTCCCGGCTCCTCGACCTCCGCCTATCGCCTCCTCCGCCTCGCCTGTCGTCGTCTCCTCGTCCATAGCCAATCCCGCCTCGTCGTCCGCTGCTTCCGCCTGGTGCGAAGCGGTCGTCGGATGGTGGAGGAGGCCGACGAGCAGCCCAGCCAGCGTCGCCACCTGTTCGTGCGGCCGAGGAGTTGGCGCCTGAGGCAGAGGCGGAGGTCGAGGCGCCTTCGTTAAGTTGCGGGCAGTCGCGCTTGAGCTGCAGCGAATGAATCTTCAGAGAGAGACCGTGAAGAGAGCGAGAGGGGGAGACGCACGTGAGGCCCGCCGCACAGGAAACATCCGCCATCTTTTCCTCCGCCCGCTCCGCCACCAGGACCCGACGGCTTTCCCCACCCTCCACTGGTCCGACTCGTATCCTCAGCGGCCAAGTGCGTGTACTTGGTCTGATGCGCCTTGCCGAAGTTGCGCTTTTGCATGACGGCGGGAAGGGAGGAGACGTCAGTGATGGTCGATGCCGTCGGCGCAGTGTAGTCGTGCTTCTTGAGGATGTCGAGGTCCTGTAACGTTGATCGATTCCAGCAGCGTCAGCTTCAAGCGAGATCTTCGCATCTGACCGGCGCTTCACGCACCTGGTGGAAGACACCCTTGTGGTGGTACTTCTGCAGGAAGACCTGCTGTCCCTTCTTCTTCTCTTTCCTCGTCTTGTCCGCGCGCTCCATATCCTCCTTGAGACGCAGCTCCTCGGGAAGTGCACGACGAGCCTCGACTTCCTCGCGGATCTTTTCGAGTCTAGCACGCGAAAAAGGTTAGTAGGGTTCGTGGCGAGCTCCGGGAGGATGGGTACACACGCATAGCGGGCCTCGCGGTCCCTTTTCAACCGCATCAGCTCGCGCAACTTCCACGCCTCGAACTCGCCTTCCGGGTCGAGACCGTCGGTGTCGTCGACGTCGGGGTGCGTCTCCTCCGCTTCCTCTGCGATCGATCTTAGGTCAGCATATCCGTGAGGAGAAAGCAGCGGAGCAACGCACTCGTCGAGATCTCCCTGACGATACTCTCCGCGACCAGCGCCTTCGCCTCCTCTCGTCGCTTCTTCTCCTCAGCTTCCCGCTGCGCCTCCAAAGCTTCGGCGTCGAGCTCCTTCTTCTCAGCGAGCGTGTCGCGATTCCGTCTGCGGGAAGAATGGTCAGCAAGTTCTGTGAGGGGAAGACCGGGAGTGCACTCACTTCGAAACGAAGACAGGCTTGTAGATCGGTTTCAGGGGCTCCTCTTCCTCAGAATCGGTCTCGTACTCGCTCGAATCCTGCTCAATCAGAAGGTCAGCCAGAGTGGACGAGGGGGCGAAGCAGAGGAATCCTCACCTCTTCTTCAGCGGCAGCGGAAGCTTGTGGTCGGAAAGTCGGCTTTGTAGGTGCAGCAGCGCGTTCTTCCTCGCTGTCCGTCTCTGCAAAAGAGGAGGAGGGTGGAAGGAAGGAACCGGCTCCCAAAAGTCAGTACCCTCCTCGTGCTGACCAGACTGACGGAATGGAGCGATGGCGAAGACATACCGTACTCTCCCTCACTGCTCTCCATCTCTGTTCTTCCCACCTCGTCCTTGCCGCCGACCTTGACCTTACCCGCCTTGTCAACCTCGACCTCGCGAAGGGCGACGTTGATTCTCCCGGCGGGCGCAGTGTCTCGCCGTGTAGCAGAGAACTCCTGCACTTGCTCGTCCGCTTCATCTTGGTCCGCGCCGCCTTCCCCCTCGACCTGCTGCTGCTGTTCCTCCTCATCGGAGTCGTCGTCTGAAGCGACAGGAACAGGCGCCTTCCCTGGCCTGTAGCGGCCAACTGGACGCAGCGGCTGCGTGAGCTTGCCGCGCGAGCCGTTCATGCTGTCGCTGGCTGTGCTTGAGCGTGTCGAGACGGTGGGGTCGCGCGAGACTGATGAGGTGAAGGTGGGTGTTCGTGGCTAGATGGGGCGGATTGCACGAGCGACGGGCGAATGAGCAGTACTGCTCAGGCAGCAGAGAGCTCTAACAGCGCAGCAAGGTGGGGAAGGATGAAAGCGGCAGGGAGTGACGGAGGACAACCCTCTCAAGGCGAGATTGCCTCGAACAAGTACGCTTGCTAGGACGTTTGGCACTCCCGCGTCTCGACGCTTACGACGGAAGCCGGCCAAGGCAGGGCAGACACGGCGTTTGCCAGTTTCAGGCCAATAGAGGCGAAAGGCGAACGAAAGCGAGCGGACCGCAATGGATGCCCATTCGTGTCGATTCAGTGGCGCACTACAGTTCATCGTCGTGCTGGCAAGATCTGGAGACCTGGCGGGGCTTGGAAGCGTTGGCAGTGCCCAAATCGCGAGAGAAGGGACGACCGACGCACATAAGTCCTGATACCGCGCTCTCCGCATCGGGTCCACCTCCTTCAGTTTGCCGAGCATCTCGACACAGGCCAGATTGAGCTCCTCCCGCTCAGACCGAGTCGCGTCACCTTCTGCCTCGAGTAGCCGGACGAGCAGCCGCTTGTAGTGGACGAGCGAGTCGAGGCACCCTGCGAGGGCAGGAACCTGTCAGCGTACAATAACGACTGCGAAGGCGAGTGGGAACAGACGCACATCGGCTGTCGGGCTCTTCTTCGAGTAGCTCGTCGATTCCCTCGATCTCTCGCCGAACGAGGGGCATCGTGCCTGCTCCAGGACGCGGCTGTCAGCATCCGAAAATCCTCGGCTAGTTGTAAACGAATCACACCTTCGCCAAGAAGCCACCGGTGATACAGCCACGCGCTCTGGTCGTTTGGATCTGACCAGATTGCCTGCTTGACAAGCTCGAACTCTGTGGCCGAGCAGAACGGAGAAGGTTATGACGACGGGTCGACTGAGCATAGACGAGGACGACGCACCCTGATCTACTCGCTCCAACCGCTCTTTCGCATCAGGTCCCCAGCCTTTCTCGTCCCACAGCTTCGTCAACAGCTTCGTTCGGTAATGCCAGGCGCTGAAATTGCTGAAGTTGGCAGAGATCTTGCGCGTCGTGAAGGCGAGTTCCGACTCGGTCGTTGGTCGAGGGAGAGGTTTCGAGCGAGAGGAGGAGGGATCGGAAGGCAGGGCGAGGATGGAGGAGACGAGGTACCGCCGGTAATCCCAGCTGTGGACTGCCGCACGAGACGGCACAATACGACGTCAATCGGGCTGGACTCGGTCGTAGGGCTCGGAAGACGCGGAACGCACAGTTGCGCGCGTCCTTTTCGAGATACATCTCGACCATCTTGATCTCCCAGCCCCAGTCTGCATCTGGCATAGTCTCCAAGACCCACTTGCGGTGCTCCCACAGACAGTACACTTTCGGATTCTGCTGGAGGGACGCCATTGTGAGCTGAAGGTCGCCTTCGAGGATCCGTTGTCGCGTCTCGGCGTCACTGGTGGACGAGAGCGCAGGTCAGCCGGGGACTGTGGCACGGCCCCGCAGCGAACGCACGCATCCTTGAGCAGCCCGTTGAGCAGGATTCGCCGCCTGATGCCCCATCCCGTCTGAAGCTCGGGATTGAACGAGAGCAACCGCGTCGTGAGGTCGAGCGCTTCTTGCGTGTACTCTTTGGATGCTGCCTGTTGCGCACAACCGGTCGTCAGCTTCCTCTAGCCCTTCGTCGGCGAGATATCCCCCCCGCTCCTCCTCATCAGTTCAACGGCGTCGGGACCCCTCCTGTGCTCGCTGCAGCAGCTGAACGAGCGAGACGCACCTTCTGCTGGACTGCCTGCAGCAGACTGCGATACTCGTCGACCCGCTTCTGCTCCTTCTCGCGCTTCTTCCGCTCGACCTCTGCCGAATCCGCGACCGGCGGGATGCGCGATCTCCTGACGCCGTGCTGCGACGAGCGGGTAGGCGGTCAATGCGACTGCTCGTTCAGGATGACAAAGGAGCTGTCTGGCTTACCATGCGGGTTCCACGAGGTGTGTAAGCTGTGCTGTGCCGAGGTGGAGGACGAGGTGGAGGGGAAGCCCCTCTCTGCCTCTCGCACATCACTCGCTGGATCCCAGAGAGCTCAACTCTGGCTCAAAGATGGGCCTGATCACGCACATCGTCGCCTTCAAGTACAAGGACGGGACCACCGACGCGGAGAAGCACCTTGTCGCCTCCTCCTTCCTCGCCCTCCAAGACCAGTGCAAGCTCCAGGGAACGGAGGAGAACTACCTATCGGTGACTGGCGGATCCAACAACTCTCCCGAGAGCTTCAACAAGGGCTGCGAGGTGCATTGACCCTCCTTGTCCTTCTCCAACGTCGCTAATCTTCTCAGCACGTACAGCACGCCTGGGTCGTGACGTTCCGGAATCTGCAAGAGCGCGACTACTACCTCGACAAGGATCCGGCGCATCAGGCGTTCAAGGAGAAGGCATTGCCATTCATCGTGGACGCCTTTGTGTTCGACTTTGAGCAGGGAACCTTTGCCTCTACTCGCCCGTAACCTTCGCCGATACGTCAAAGAAAAGAGAACAATTGTGGAGTTGTGCACGAGCTACAGCGACCGTTGCAGCGAGATGCCTGTGCCTTCGTTGCCTCCGCCCTTCGACAGACAATGCCGATGCTCCCTCCGCTTGCCCGGGTTATCTCTCCGCTCAACGATGCGAAAGGACAAGCGAGATTCGGATTGCATTAGACGCAGAGAGTCGGCTCAGACGAAGCATGCGAAGAGCAAGAGGAAAGATTGAAGAGCTCCTTGCGAATGCGCGACGCGGATCGGGGTCACTGACGAAGCGACGACTGGCGCGGTCGTTCAAGCGCCGCACCCTACGGCTTGAGGTCGTGAAGAAGCTGGTCGAGCCCTCATCGCTGGACATGCTCGGCATGGCGGTCGATGAACGCGTCCCAGTCGTCGCCGTGGACAAGCCTGCTCATCTTCGCAGCAGCGCTGAACCACTTGCGCCCTTCGACGACGTCGCCCTTGACGCGTGCATGGTGACCCGCGATAGAGATCAGCTCAAGCGGGGCGACTGAGCCCTCAAAGGCTGGGGCGGCGCGGACTTCGATGCGGTCTGCGTGCTCCTCGACGATGGCGCCTAAGAAGCGAAGGTACTCGAGGGTGTAATGGTCCGCGGCATCGAAGGACAGGGCATTGCGGAGGATGCTGGCGAAGAACAGGCAAGCGCCTGCAAGGTGAGGACGGAAGGTGCTGCTCCCGGCCGAGTACGTCAGCTCGAGCGCGGCGACGTGGTCCTGGAACTCGAGGATGGGAGCGAAGACTTCAGGCGAAAGCCCTTCCGAGAGTTGCTGACTAATCTGCGAAACCTTCGGGAGAGTCTGGTCGTGCAGTTCGTTACGCTTCGCGATCTGTTCTGCCGTGTCGTGCTTCTCGTCGAGGCAGTACGCGCATTTGCAGCCGTCCGGGAAGTGTGCTGCGAGGATGTAGGGGCGACGGGAGTGAAGCGGATCGACGTAGGAAAGGCAGACTTCCTCGCCCTCCTTGATCGGAACGCGTGCTCGGGCCATTTTGACGTCGCATATCTCCTCGCGAGCCGCGTTGGGGACGCAGGAATGGTTGAGAAGAGACATGCGAAGGTGCAGGCTGGACCCAGGGTCGAGCGTCGAGCCTTTTGAACGCTCGAGTGACCCCTCGCGCCATCCGAAGCTGTGGAGATTGTGAGATCGTTAGCTCGGGGATCGGACGTAGCATGAGGGAGCGGACGCACCTGTTCGTTGCGCAGATTGACTCGAGGCGGATCGTGCCGAGCTGGACAGACTCGTCCTCCTGGGGAAGCGGACGTTGGTCGAGGGATTCGAAGGCGACGTCGCAACTCGCCGGCAGGACCTTGCTGTGCAGACTGTGGACGAAGGGCACAAGCGACGGGTCCTCCTTGAGCACGTGAGCGAGTCGCTGGGCGAGCTGATACAGCGAGAGCTGCCAGGCGCGGTTGCCGCCGAATGGGAAAACCCTGGACGGGTCGCTGGCGTCGTGCTGGTCGCCGACGACGATAGCCTTGTCGACTGCGGACACGCAAGGCAAGCATGAGCGTTAGCAAGGACTTGACAGTCGATTGAGAAGGTCGAGAGGACGGACCCAGGAGGAGTTCGCCCGCCTCGATATCCCTCGTCGCGACAACACCGCGTCCTCCGCCACGTCCCTCCATGTTGACGAGCTTGATGGGACCGATGAAGTCGCCGGCATCGAGCCTCGTCTCCGTTTCCGCGATCTTTTCCAGCTTGCGCCAGTCGTAGCTGCCCTCCTCGCTCTCGCGGATCTTGCGCTGCACTCGCTCCAGTCCTTCGACCGCCTCGCTGGCCGCGGCGTTGATGTCGAGGGCCTTCTTGTACTGCTCGAGCGCGAGCGTGAGGTGGCGCATCCCTTCCAGTGCGCGAGCGAGGCGGATGGTGGCCTTCACCCTCGCGTTCGACGGCCCGACAACTCCCTCGTCGAGCTGCTTGAGGACAAATGAGCTGTCGTGGTAGGTGGAAGCGAAGTTTGCGAGGCGGAGGTGAGCTTGCGAGCGATTGTGGCGGAGAAGGAGGCGGACTTCGGGGGCGACGTCGCGAGAAAGGCCTTCGTCGTAGATCTTGACAGCAATCTCGAGGTCGCCCTGCTGAAAGTACCGGTTTCCGAGAGCGCAGAAGTCGAACTGGTCGGGCAATTCGTCGACGGTGAAGCCTGGGATCTGCTCGACGATGCTGCCAGGGCGAGGATTGGTGTTCTTGACCCCGCCGGGCGCGACGAGGATGAAGTTCGTCCCGTGCAGCTTCAGGGCGATTTTGGCGTACACGATGGCCCGCTCTTCCACCGTCTTTCCCTGCAAGTCCTCCAGCGACAAGTTTGCTGCGCAGACGCTTTTGAAGTTGGGATGGCGCAGTGTCGATTGAAGCGTACGCGTGTCGATGCCGAGGCCCATGAACGGGTAATCGCTGCGCGTCGTGCTGCGCGAACTCATCAGAGCGGCGGGAGGGGCGAATCGCAAGGGGGAGGGGGCGAGGGGGATGTGCAAGTGAAGAACGGCGGTCCTCGCGAAAGGGCGTGCGCGCAGCCGTGCGAGCATCGACAGAGCCGCTCAGGACGTACGACGAGGAAGAGCGAAGCCGGACAGTCCGCGGAGGCGAGTGGCGAAAGGGAAGGGGTGAGGAGGAGGAGGAGGGGACGTTGCAAGGCTCAGCGAGGTCAACCTCGTTGATTGGAGACACGACACGCACAGTATGTCCGGAAAAATGCTTCAGGTAAGCTTGCGAAGCTGCCTCTGCTCTCTCACTCTCGAAGGAGTCTCTAGCCAGGGAAGCCTGCCCTACCTGCATGCAGGGCGAAGAGAAAGCAAACGCGGCATTGCAGGAGGTGAAAGCGAGGACTTGTGGCTGTATAGAAACGAGCGAGGCGCGAGAACCTGGGGGACAAGCAAGGTCAGCAAACTCGGCGGGAAGTGCTCGTCTGAGCTGGCACTCTTACCTTGTGATGCTGTGGGGGTGTGTGGATCAAGCGAGCGTATCGTTGTAGAAGGCGAAGCGAAGCGAAGCGAAGCGGGAAAGGGGAGAACGAGTCGAAGCGAGGAAGGTCCTGCGCGACAAGCGCAAGCGAAGTCAGCACGTCGCTCAGTCTGGGCACCACGAGTGAGAGGAGCGCAGACGCACCATGTCACACCCTGCACTCTTCGAGCAAGCCGTTAAGGCCGAGCTTTTGGACATCCGCTTGGTGGCGCTCGACGAAGCGGTCCCAGTCATCCGAGTAAAGCGCCTTGCTCATATCGAACGCCGCGAGCGTCCACCTGCGCGCATTCTTTCCCTCGCCCTCGAGCCTTGCCAAGTAGCTGGCAACCTTGAGGAGACTCGAAACGGCGCTGTCCTCGTCCTCGAACGGGATTGCGACGATGCGAATGCGGTCCTGCTCGTCGTCAACGACGAGGCCGGCAGCTTCGAGGGATGCCAAGCGATACTTGATCGCCAAGTGCATCACCGGCACCTTGGAGTAGAGGCACATGTCGCTCATCGCGCGGTAGACCTCAATCAGGTCGAGGCGGAAGACGCGCTGGGCTGAGTAGGTCCTCTCGACGCGAGCGATGTGGTCGAGAAAGCACAGCACGAAGTCGGGAGTGCGGTCCGCAAGGGTGCTGAACTGGCGAACCTGCTTGCCGAGTTCGGTGTCGCTGCCGAGGAGAGCCTTGCGCTGCTTGACCTGGGCGGGACTGTCGAGAGCTTCGTCGAGGCAGTACGCACACTTGCAGCCGTCGGGGAAGTGCCCCGCGAGGATGTAGGGGCGACGGCTGTGCATCGGGCCGATGTAACGCAGGCAGACTTCTTCGCCCTCCTTGATGGGAACGCGCGCGCGGATGAGTTTGACGTCGCGGAGTCCCTGGATGACGGTGTTCGGGACGCAGTTGTGGTTGAGGAGGGACATGCGGAGGTGCAGGCCAGATCCGGCGTCGAGTGCCGAGTTCGCGCGGTCGAGAGACTCGCCGCAGCGCTGGAAGCTGCGAGCGGCGCGGGACCGTCAGCATTGGCAGGGTCATTGGAAAAGCTAGAGTGGACAGAACGCACCCGTTCGTCGAGCAAATTGACTCGAGACGGATCTTGTCGAGCTGGACGGAGTCGTCCTCCTGGGGAAGCTGACGGTGGTCGAGGGATTCGAAGGCGAGATCGTAAGTCGCTGGCTGGACCTTGCTGTGAAGGCTGTAGACGAAGGGCTCGAGCGAAGGATCCTCCTTGATGAGGCTGGCGAGCCTCTGTGCGGACTGGTACATCGAGAGCTGCCAGGCGGCTTGTCCGCCGAAGAGGAAGGCCTTGGATGGGTCGCTGGCAGGGTTGGGCTCTCCAACGACAATAGCTTTGTCGACTACAGACATGCGAGGCTCGGACAGTGATCAGCGAGACGTCGAAAAGCGATTGAGAAGGTTGGAGGGACGAACCGATGAGCAGCTCGCCCGCCTCGATGCTCCTCGTAGCGACAAGTCCGCGCCCTCCACCGCGTCCCTCCATCTTGACGAGCTTGACCGGTCCGACAAAGTCGCCGACGTCGAGCCTCATGTTGGTCTTGGCCTGCTTCTCGAGCTCGCGCCAATCGTACTCGCCCTCGTTCGTCTCGCGGAGCTTGCGCTCGATGCGCTTCTTGCCCTCCGCACCCTCCTTGCTGCCGGCATCGAGTTCAACGACCTTGGCGAAGTGCTCGAGCGCGAGCGTGAGGTGACGCATGCCTTCGAAAGCGCGAGCGAGGCGGAGAGTCGCCTTCAACCTCGCCTGGGATGGTCCGGTAACGCCTTTGTCGAGCTCCTTGAGGACAAACGAGCTGTCGTGATAGGCCGAAGCGAAGTTCTCGAGGCGAAGGTGGACCTGCGCGCGGTTAAGGCGGAGGAGGAGGCGCAACTCGGGCGAGGGGTTGCGCGCGAGGCCTTCGGTGTACGCCTTGACGGCTTCGGCATCTCGCCTGAGCTTGAAGAACTCGTTTCCGAGCGCCTTGAAGTCGAAGTCGTCCGGAAGTTTGTCGACGGGCACTTGAGGCGGCACGAAGTGGTAAGTATCCTCCGTGAGCGTCGGACCGCCGGTCGGCATCAAACCTTGCGTGCCGTGAGTGGTGAGGAGCGTAGAGAAAGCCTTTTCGAGGGTCGGAAACGCGTCCATCGCCTTCGAGGTCTGCACATTCTTCAGGAGGTTGTCGAACAGCTCCGGCGCGTAAATGATCCCCTTGCACTGCGAGGTGTCCATACCGGCACGCCGCATAGCGTCGAGCACCTTGGCGAGGTCCGGCTGCGCCATCGTGAGCAGCGAGTGAGTGGCGAGAGGGAGAGGATTGCGATGAGGCGAAGTCGGACAGGCGGCGCTGTTTGCGGACGCCGGTCCCCGTGCGTCAGCTACTGTGAGTGTTTTCAGTGAGCAGAGAAACGGTACAAACGGTTCGCGCGGGCAGGACGGACGAAGCGAAGGAGAGAGGCGGAGGAGAGGGAGGAAGGAGGCGCAACGTCTCGCTCAGCCAGACAAGAGACAGAAGCGCAGCTGGTTACTCTCCTTTTCGATGCAATGGGGTCGGCTGCGCTCACCCGGCAGACGCGACCCTGCGGTACTCCCGTCCGCACCTCGACACAGGACAAGCTACACCTCCCTGAACCGCTTGTAACTCCGTTCCCGGCCCACATCCCTCCAATCCCGCTTAACGCCGTTCCCGTCGCCTGAGCCGCCCTCGCCGTTCGAGCCGTTCGCGACCTTTTCGACGCCGACGACCAGCTCGCGACTGCCCAGTCCCGGCCGGGCCTCCCGCTCTGCCGCGTACGTTCGCGCCTCGATGAGCGTCCCCAGTCCGCCGTTCGTGCGACCGTTCGGTGCTGTAGTGCTCGCACCGCCGCCAAGCTTGGACAGGAGTTGCGCGCCCTTCGAGTCTGTCGCGAAAGGGTTGGCCGGTGATGCGGGCTTTGGCGCAGAGGCGGACGATGCTGCAGCTGTTGCAACCGACGAAGCGCCGGGTACGGTGAAGAAGGGGCTGCTGGCGGGTTTTGCGGCGGGAGGGAGGGAAGCGCCTGCGTCCCGCTGTCGTCGCGCGGCTGCCCGGTCCACGAAAGCCGCCTTTTTCGGCTTCGGTGCTGGCGTTGCGTCTGAGACTGCCGAGTCGTGCGAGACTGGCGGTCGTGCCGATGATTTCGCCGACGACGCAGGCTTGAGCAGCTTGGCCTTCAAGCCAGCCATCTGCTCCCTCCGCTCCTGCTCCTTCTGCTCTTTTGTCTTGGTCGTATAGTTGTTGGGCGCTGGACTCGCGCCGGAGGAGCTGTCGGAAGGAGCGGAGATGAGGGGAATGAGATTGGAAGAATCGGAAGCGACAGCGCAGGTTGAGCAGGCGAAAGTTGGGTGGATGTGGACGGAGAAGGTGGTCGATCCGGTGCGGATGGTGCTGTGGCGACACTCTGTCAGTACCTCGCTGCCAAGGCAGAGAAACGGAGCTGCGGCGCACTCGAGATGATGTAGACGGTGAGGAACCGAGGCAACCTTGGGTTCAGAAAGACGTATCGCCTCCCCGCTCCGGTCGCTGCTGATGAAGGTGCCATGTGTGCTGCCATTGTCGACGATGGCCCAGTACCCTCCATCCTCCGTTTCGGGATCGAGCGCCCAGAAGAGTGTCGCATGCACTTTGGAGACCGCAAGCTCGCGCAGCCGGATCCGCCGCTCGAAGGACTTGTCTCGCCCGATTGATACGGGCTCAGAAGGGTCGAGAGAGGCCACCGTTTGCGCTGGTGGAAGGACTGACGGGTCGGGTCGTTTCGAGACGACAAGTCGGAGCAAGGGGGCTTTGGCGAACGGGTCCGGCTTGTTCGCCTCGTCCTCCTCATCGGTTCCGTTCCCTGGCCAGACCTGCTCCTCTGGTACAGCGTATGGGTCCGCCTCGCCGTTTGGTCCGTTGTCCTTCGAGTCCTTCTCCTGCTCCGGGACGTTCGTTTGCTCCTGTTCGGCGCCGCCTGCATACTCCCACTCGCCATTCGGCAGCGGCTTGGCCCACTGCTTCGTCTTGAGGTTGAAGTAGAGCGAGAATCGAGGATCCCACGTCCAGTCCGAAGTCGACGGCGCCGCGACTGCCTGCTGCTCGCCGTCGTATGGTAGCATGACCGCGGCGAGCACAACGAGCCTTCTCAGCAAGTTAAGAAAGCTTGAGGCGTTGTTGAAGGAGAGCAAGGGTCGTCATCTCGAGCGAGGAGGACTTGTGCAGCGGCCATGACCTCGCTGTGCTCCGACGAGGGTGCCAATGGTCCTTTCAGCTTACTCTGAGCTGACTTTATCCCGCCCAGCTGTCCCTGCGCGCCTGCATCTCGCCGCCCGCCCTTCATCACCTCTTCCGACAAACTCCCGACTGTCTCGACGGCGACGGCTCGAGGGCGTGTCGAACGCGGCTGTATACGATGCTGTGGATCGGATGGAGATGCCAGGATAGCAGGTGGTCCACCAGCGGGAGGAAGAACGCTTCTCTCTGCACGCGCCTCTCCTCGCGTCCTTCCCAGGAGGACTTCGCTTCTCTCCCTCTCTTCCCACCACACCCACGCTCGTTCAGCCTTCGAAGACACTGCCCATTATGCTTGTGCACTCTGCACTCGCCCTCACGCTCGTTTCAACCCTCGCTGGCCCCGTTCTCGCTCGCTCACCGCACGGAGCGCCCGCACCTCACCTTCGTGCCCGCGCCGAAGCTTCGACACCGACTGCCAGCACGCACGCACAGACTAGTCGTGTGGTTGCCGGCGCTGCTACCACCGCAGCAGCCAGCGCGACAGTCACCGCCGCAGCGACGAAGAAGGCCGCCGCCGCCGAAGGATCCCCTCTTCCCCTCACCCAGTACACCTACGCCTACAGCGACATCCCTTATCTCGTCAACCCCTACAAGTCAGTACGAGGCCCACAATCAGGCTACAACATCTGCAACTCGACGACGTCGGGCGACTCGTCGCAGTGCCAGACCCTGAGTACGTTCCCGGCTACTTGACGGGGGCGGACGACGTCCTCAGGTGGTAGAGACGGCTAACCACTCCTGCACAGTCGCCAACGACATCCAGGACTTCTGCCTTTGGGGATCGTCCTTGACCGGCGATGGCCTCGACACCATCGGCGACATCGAGGCTGCCGTCGTCGCGTACTGCACGACGGACAAGCACGGCGCGCGCGTCATCAAGCCTGGCGCAATCACAGGCGTCCAGGTCCTCAAGACACCGGCGTACATCCAGTGGACCGGCTTCATCGACCAGACGGCGCTTCACTTGACCAAGGACGACACGGGAGGCGAGCTTGGTGCGTTTGTCGTCTTCATCTGACTTTCAACGTTCTTTGACAAGTCACTGCACCGCAGACCCGCACGGCGCCGACCTCCAAGGCAACCCTCTCGGCGGTACGTGAACGGCGCCGACTTTCGACGGTCCCGATACTTACGCATAGCGCTCGCAGGTCTTGTTTACTCGACAGGTCTTCCCTCTGGCGACAACCAGACTTACCTGCAGGCCGTCGAGTGGAACAACTTCATCGGCGGCGGCGTCTTCTGCCTCAAGCTCTGCGACCCGGCCTACTACGCCAAACACGGCGACCAATTCTTCTGCCAGAACCGATTCGATCGCATTGGATGCTCCTACAACATGCCCGCCGCCTATCGCGGCGGCGAATTCAGCGTCTGCGACTCGGAGCTTCAAGACATCGTCGGCGTTTACACTGAGAACGGACAGGTCAAGACGTACTCGCAGGAGCCCGAGGGTACTGTGCCGGCTCCGCCATACACGCCGCGCGTTCCCAAGTCGAGCAACTGCAAGACCTTTGCCTCGACCGATCTCTGGGCGGCGGTGCGCGGTCCTTTCGCTTGCCTCCCTTCGCACGTACAGCCTTGCTAACATCGTCGCCTACAGCCCACCACCTCGTCCGCGTCCTCCTCGATGTCGACCGGGCAGACCTCGTCGTCAGCTTCGTCCGCCGGCGTGACCGGCCACCCTGCCGCTGCGTCTGCTGGCTCGAGCGACTCGTCCAAGTCGACCACTGGCAACGGCGCGGCGTTCCTCGTCGCTTCGACCGGCTTCCTCGCGCTCGTCGCGGGCGCCGCCATCGTCCTCGCCTAGACTTTGACCGCCAAAGACACTCGTTCCATACCCTCCCGTCGTTCTCGTTCTCACTCGCTCGCAATTATACCCTTTCTCTGGCCGGCTCACTCTCTCGCAGACGCCGCATCGCAAGCTTTCTGCAACCCGGTGATTTCATGATCAGTCGTCCTCGTCCATCATTTCCCCCTTCCTCCGCTTTTCCTCGATCTTCTGCTTCATCTTCTGCTTCGCTTCATCGATTTGCGGTTTGAGCTTGTCCTGCTTGGCCGATTCGACGAGGAGCGCGTGGACCAACCCAATGTAGTTGTGCCGTCGCAGCGTGTTCTGCGAGACGAGGAAAATCAGTGACGAAACAACTCAGCCCCCGTGATTAGCTGGGCTCACCTCGACCTCCCAGTCCTTCAGCCGCTCCTCGATACCCTGCAGCTTGTCCCGCACATCCACCAACTCAGCCTGCACTTCTCCGCTGCTCTGATCAGCCGCCTCGAGCTCCGCCAGGCGCTTCTGGAGAGCCGTTCGTCGGCCTGTCACAGCGAGAAGGTTGAACATGACCTCGCCGGCAGGGTAGGTCGCGATCCGTCGCTCGAGGACCCTGCGGCAAGATCCGTCAGCGATGACCTTCGTCGACCGAAAAGGAACGCCACGCACTCTCGCGCCATGTCCGTCCACTTCTCCCGCCCTCCAGGAATCTCGCCGTGCGATACCGGCATCGGCTTCAAGCCATCAAGCTCGTACAGCTTGTCGCCAATCGGCAGATACGCGATAAAGTGGTAGGCGTCCTCGTGCTCGTCCTGCGGGCGGTTTTCCTCGAGGTGGAACGGGTCGGAGCGGGCGAACGAGTTGTGCACTTCGCGGATCTTTTCAGAGTTGCTGATCGTCCAGCCGCGCGTCTCCGGGTCGAGGCCTGCGCAGAGAAGCTGGACGAGTGAGTGCGTGCGAGCGAACGCAAGCACGATAGACGGACCTTCGGAGAAGAGCTGCAGGTTACTGAGCTCCTCGCCAAGCTGGACGTTCGGGTCGCGGATGTTGAGCGTCGCATTCAGCAGAGCGATACTTGCGCAAGCGTTGTTGATGACCTGATGACTGGAAGCGGGAGTGTGCGAATCAGTCAGAGGCGATGTCAAGCGGAATTGAAGGAGAGGAGCGAGGGCTCACGCGAAATAGTGTGGACCTGCCGGCTCCTCCAGCTTGCCGTCCATCTTTTCCGGGTCGCCATGCCCGACCCATTTGAACAGGAAGACGAGCGCAAAGACCGGTCTGTGAGCCGCGAGCGGTCAATACCAACCCCCACCTGGAGCGAGAGAGTGAACGGGACAAACTCGAGATCCTGAAGTAGCTGCGCGTCCAAGCCCCACAGCTCCTCGACCTCCAAGCCTCGCACGCCCAGCTCGTGCAGCAAGCCAGTGAAAACACCCGGATCTGGCGGCGCAAGTCGTCAGCGACGGGGTTCGAGGTGATGAGGAACAAGCGGCGCACCAGACTCGGTGAGGGACCAGCCAGCAGATTCTGCCATCTTCTAGAGCAGTTTTGAACGTGTCGAGCAGGTCAAGCGCGCTCAGCGAGGTGAGCGAGAGGGATGGCAGGAGGCGAACCGGTCGAGGAGGAGGTTGGCAAAGACCACCTCGACACTGCTCGCTAGAATGTTCGGCTGGGGCAAGAAAGAGTCTCCACAGGCTGCCGCTGGGCCCTCACAACCCGCTGCGCCGTCCCCACCACCGCCACGAACTTTCGAGTCGCTTGTCGAGGAGGAGCTGCCAATCCAGCGGCACTCGGTCGCGATGCAGGGAGGAATGCCGAGTTGCATGACGCTCTTTGACGACTTTGTGTCCTGCTACTGTGCGTGCCAACCCTCCTCGATAAGTCTCGTCGTCGCTGACCTCGCTTGCCTTCTTTCCCGCGAACAGCTCTTGGCTCGCAGTTCAAGTCGATCTACCGGCACGGCTCGACACGAGACTGCACGCCCAAGTTCGAGGACTTCAAGTTTTGCATGTCGATGCGCAAGCTGAGTGACGAGAAGCGGGAGGACCTCTGGGTCAAGCGACGGGCGGAGTGGTGGGCGCGGAGACGGCTAGGCAGGAGCAGCGAAGACGTCTGGGATGCGAGGAAGTGCGTACAAGCGAGCTGGTCTGGCTCTTTTGCCGGCTAACCTTGACTTTCTGCAGAAACCTCTACACCGATCCGCTCGAAGAGAACCGTCAGGCAACACAAGGTGGCTCGGCAGATGCTACCGCCTAGACGAGATCGATGGCCCGCTGTGCTCGCGCTCCAAGAATGCCAAGTCGACTACACCTCGTCTCCATTGCCTAGACACCCTTCGGTTCGCCTTTCCCTCGCCTCCCTCGCCTCCCTCGCCTGGTCACCTCTCTCCATTCCGCCCGTGTATCATCGTGCATGTTGTTCATCCATATCCTGCGTCTCTTATTCACTGCGATTCCTTCCCTCGACGAGTTTGGAGGATCAGGCATTCGCCTAGTTAACTGCGAGAACGGCGGCGAGAGTGGGAGACTTGGTGGGAGACTCTTTATGGCGGCGCACGACCTCCGCTCTGAGAAGACGTACGTACTGAGATCTTCGGAAGCAAGCCAACGACTGAGAGTTCCCACTTCAACTACTCCCTCCTCTACCCTTCACCGCTCACCGACAATGGGCCTCCTCTCGTGCTTCGGTCCGCTTTTTCCTGCTCGCTCTTCCGCTGCTTCTGTCTGTTCGGAAGCTACGCTTATTGACAAGTCTACGTACGCCCACGTCGAAAAGTGCGAAGCCAAAGCGGCGCACCACGCGGTTCAGAAGGAGGATAGGACGGGCATCAGGCTGGCTGCGCTGAGGCGTGAGATGCAGGACGCCGGAGTAGACGCCTAGTACGTCCAGACTAGACGAGCGCGGGCGTGCTGAGCTGACCTCGAGCGGTCGCAGCGTTATCCCTTCCGCGGACGCTCATGGCAGCGAGTGCGCTTTGAAGCTTCGTGGTGGGCAGACACAGCGTACTGACCAGGTGTGTTATCTAGATGGGTCGGCGCATGCGACGAGCGGCGGGCCTTCATCTCCAAGTACGTCCCCCTACCCTCCTCTCCCCTTTCGAGCCTATCGCTGATTGTCCATACATCTTTCGCAGCTTCACCGGCTCAGCGGGCACCGCTATCGTGACTCCTACCGAAGCGCACCTCTTCACCGACTCCCGGTACTTCGTCCAGGCAGCAAAACAGCTTGATTCGAATTGGACGTTGGAGAAAGTCGGCAGTGCTGGCGTGAAGAATTGGAACGAGTGGCTGCTCGAGGTGCGCAAATCTACTCATTTGATGATACAGTCCATCGCTGACCTTGTTGACGCGCAGTTGCCGAAAGACAGCAAGATCGGCGTCGACGCAGCCCTTCAAGACTACGGCAGCGGCAAGGCGCTCTCACAGTCTGTCAAGAGTCGTGGTCTTGAGCTCGTCTTTCCTGCCGAGAATCTCGTCGATCAGATCTGGCACGACCGACCGTCTCGGACGCAGAAGCCGATCCACGTTCACCCGCTCAAATTCACGGGTGCGCCTCTTCCCGCTTGTTGCTGTCCTCTCCGATGCTGACCTCGCCTCTTTTGACAGGAAAATCGGCGAAAGCCAAGATTGCGGATCTTCGCTCCTACTTGTCTTCGAACTTCCCCACCGCGGAGAACAGCCCATCTCCCTCCTACCTCGTCACCTCCCTCACCGCGATCGCCTGGCTCCTCAACCTCCGCGGCGGCGACATCGCACACAATCCCGTCTTCTACGCCTACGTCCTCGTCGAGAAGGAGACCGTCAAGCTGTGGGTCCAGGAGGAGAGCCTGTCGGATGAGGTTCGAAGCGCGATTGCGGAGTTCGGTGGAGAGATCCGGGACTACAAGAAGGCGCTGGATGAGCTGGCGGAGACGAAGGGGATGGTGGTGACGGACAGCAAGTCGAGCTGGGCGATCGTGGAGCGTCTCGGAGAGGTGCGTTACGTTTCCGCTCGTTCTGTTTCCGTGGTGCTTACTTTGACGTTGCAGGAGAATGTCGAGATTGTCAAGTCGCCTGTCGAGACTGCGCAGGCGGTCAAGAATGAGGTCGAGATTCAGGGCTTCCGCAATGCCTACTTGCGAGATGGTGCAGCTTGGGCGAGTGGCACTTCTTCTCCCACCTTACCGAAAGCTCAAACTGATGCCGCTACTACAGGCTCGTTGGCAAGCGTGGCTGGAAGAGCAGCTCGAGCAAGGGAAGGAGGTGACCGAATGGGATGCTGGCGAGAAGCTGACGAGCTTCCGTAAAGGCGGGCAGTACTTTGCCGGTGTGCGTGTTAAGCTTTGCCTCCCCTGTGTAATAAAGCCACTGACATTGCGACCGCAGCTCGCGTACGAAAACATCTCCGCATCGGGCGAGAATGCCGGTGCGTGCACAGAAGCCCCGTCGGTCGTCACTGTTTGGTTTCACTGACCCACAGATCTTCTGCCCCTGCAGCTCTTCCTCATTACGAGCCTTCCCCGGATCGACCGACGCCCATCTCGCGCGATTCGCCCTACCTGAACGACTCAGGCGCGCAGTACCTGTGCGTTCGAGTGACCTGCCCACTTATCTCGCAATGGCTGACACTCGCCTGACAGCGACGGCACGATTGACACGACCCGCACGATGCATTTCGGCAAACCCACTCGCGAGCAGAAGCGGGCCTTCACGCGAGTCTTGCAGGGCCACATCGCCGTCGACTCGCTCATCTTCCCCGAGGGAACGACGGGTGATGCGATTGATGCGTTGGCCCGGGCGCCGTTGTGGAGCGAAGGGATGAACTAGTCTGTCTCAAGTCTGCTTCGGCTCGCTGGCTTGGCTGACGCTCTTGCTTGATGCTCGCTCTCAGCGGCCACGGTACGGGTCACGGCTTGGGCGAGTACCTCTCCGTGCACGAATCGCAAGTCGGCATCGCGCACAGCGCCGCCTACTTCGGCACGCCCTTCCAGCCCGGCCACACGATGTCGAACGAGCCAGGATACTACGAGGAGCGCTCGTACGGTATCCGACTCGAAAGCGTGCTCATCGTCAAGGAGGTGAAGACGAGGCGGGACTTTGGCGACAGGCGATGGCTCGGCTTTGAGCAGGTGACGATGGTGCGTTCGCGTCTTCCTCCCTTCACTCTCCATCCTCACGTCGGTCTCCGTGCTGATGCCGCCCTTGCGTCACACAGGTGCCGATTCAGACGAAGATGGTCGACTACAGCCTCCTCACGCCGCACGAGAAACGATGGCTGCGCGACCACAACCGCCTGTGTGCCGAGAAGCTGCTCCCGCTCGTCAAGCACGACAAGAGGGCTGAGCGATGGCTCAGGAGGCAGTAGAGGAGGTGGATCATTGTGCAGAGTATCGTTTGCTTCGACGTAAAACGGGATGACCTTCTCAAGCTTCGTTCTGCTCTTCGCTGGATCTTGTAGCTTATCAGTCTCGCCGCGAAAGAGTCTGCAGAACGTGATTGATACTGCGCAGCAGCGGGACTACGGCTACAAGCGGACACACCCCACCTCGTCTACTTCGTCAAGGCGACAGCACTTGCTGGGTTTCGACAGCGACCTGCGCCTCCCCCCTACCCGCCCTACCACCAAGGACGACCCTCGAGCTCAGCAACGAGCCTCGCCTCCGCTTCTTCCCAGTTGATGACGGCGAAGACTTGCTTGAGGTACTCCAGGCGGTTCGTTTTCTGTCAGAGGGAACATTGATCTCGTCTGAGCTGCTGGGGCAGTCGATGCGAAGCCGGGACGCACGTATTGGACAAGGTAGGCATGCTCAAAGCAGTCAATGCCGAGGATGGGGACTTGCCAGGCGAAGGGAAGGTTCTGGTTCGCAGTCGTGATCACCTCGAGCTGTACGCAGGAAAGGGGATCATCTCGGTCAGCTCCATAACCAGCCGAGAAGGGAGCGAGGCGGAAGCGAGACCTGCGAGAAGCAAGCGAGCTCACCGAACGTGACTGCCTGTCCCAAACAGTCCACACCCAGCCACTGCCCCTGATGCCCGATCCGGCGGTCACCATGATGGCGGAAAGCTGCTCGACCGAATCGAATGAAGTCGAGACGTGGTCGTGAAGCGGGCCCGAGGTCGGGAAGAGACTGCCAGTGCCGTTATACTTCGACGACGCCGCTGGGGCGAGACTGCGCCAAAAGAGAGACTGCGCCAAAGGTCCTGTGTGAGTAAGCGAGCGCGACCGAAGCCCAGCGACGCCCTCACGTGGTTGATGTGCCCTGCGCGAGGGAGAGGGAGGCGAGGTCAGCTTGCGAGCATGCTATTTCAGCGAATCGCCTCGCTCACCTCCGCCATTCAAAGCGAGCGACTCGGTGAGCCTCACAACCTCCTCGACGTTGCCGCACTTGATCGCAGTCGACATGTTGGAGACGGCCTGAGGGAGTCGAGGATGGTCAACTCTTCCGTCCTCGGCTCTCATGGCTTCGCGCCGTTCGCGTCGAGGAGCGCATCAGGTTGAGAGCGGTAACGTGCGTGAGGTGGCCAACGTCGTGGTGAAGGCGCTGCGAGCGTAGCGAGTTGAGGGTTAGCTTCTCCGCCCTCGCGCGGTTTCGCCCCGCACGCACCATGATGTCCTCGATGACGAAAGGCTCAAGCGCGTTGTAGGCGTATGGAAGCGGCGGAAGCGAGGCCGGCAAGCTGAAGTTGAGGAAGGGCCCTCCGCAGGCGAGTCCAGCGCAAGTCCCGCTGCGCAGGGCGAGGGGCGCGGCGAGAGCGCACGCGAGTGCAGCGAGGGAGATCAGAAGCTTGCAGAGCATCGTAAGCGAGTACGAGCGAGGGATTCAGGCGAGGTGGCGTAGGAGCGAGTGAAGGGAAGAAGGGAGAGAGGCGTCGAGGCGGATGTCGACCTTTCGACAACCCGCCAGGAGCAGCTAGGGAGGTCAGACGGCTAGAGCTGATATCACGCAATCTACACTGTACAAACGACAGCGAGCTTGTGGGCATGAGAGGAAGGGTTCGGTGCGAGGGGACGAGGCTGAGTGTCTGCTGCTGTGCGAGGGGAGGGAGGCGGACTGGACGACAGACGAAGAAACGAATGAGGGTGAGCAGTAGAGCACTGAGGAGACAAACGGGACTTGGGACGGATAGGGCGGTTTACTGCGTCGAGCGAACCCGCGTGGACCTCCTCAACTCGTAGCCATCGCCGTCAAAGTCTTCGCCCAGTACCGCATGCTCAGAGCTTCGTCTCGACGCATTGGCGCGAGGAACGTAAGCGCTGTCCTCGTCGTCCTGCTCGTCCTCTTCGTCCCCGCTCGCGTCAGCGTGTTTCCCCTTTGCCTTGCCCGCCTTCTTGCGCTTCTTCTTCGGTGGCGGCGTGAGCTCGGGAAGGTAGTTACGCCCCTCGCGCTGCTTCTCGTACGACTCGAGACCAGTCTCAAAGATGAAGCGCAGAGGACGGCCGAAAGAGCGTGGGTAGTCGGGGTGTGGGACTGGAGGGCAGGCTGGGAGACGGTCGACAATGCCGCGAGAGCTACGTGAGAGGTAGTAGGGCGAGTGGGACGAAGGAGCGGAGAAGGAGGATGAGCGTGCCGAGGTGAGCGAGGGAAGGGAGGTCGACGAGATTGCGGAAGACAGGGAGACTGAGCGGCTGTGGCCTGGCGGATCTTGGAGCGTTTCATCGGGCTCGACGACCGTGTGAGGCATAATGCCGGCCTTGCTGGCGAGGGCGCTGACTTGACGTTCGCCAGTCTCGAGAGCGGCCTTGCCTTCAGCGACGCACGCTTCGAGAAGGTCGATAAGGCCGTCTGGAAGCTCGTCTGGCCGTTCGAGAAGCTGGACAAGGTCGCTTGCGAGAGCAGGGAAGGGTGAAGGTGGAGAGACGAGTGCGAGCGGCGCGACATGCGTGACTTGCGGACCAGGCGCGACAACTCCGCTCTGTTCACCGAGGCTGAGAGTCGAAAGCGTAGTGCCGATGCTGGGGAGGCGAGGCAGGGAAGGCGGACCGCGGGGAGCCGCAAAGACGAGGTGCGGCGGAACGGGCAGTTCGTAGACTTGCTGTCCGCGCGTCGGCAAGAAGGGGTCGAGCTAGGAAGAGAGAATTGAATGAGCTCATTGAGCGCACAACTTCAAAGTGGAAGAACGCACCTGGAACCTCGCTCTCCTCGATCCAGCAGTCGTCTCGTCTTCGCCTTCACCCCTTCCCCTTCCCGCTTTTTCCCTCCGCAGAGTCGTCTGCTGCATAGGCAGAGGAGCACCCCGCTTCTTCTTCGGCGATGGCGAGGCGAACGTGAACTGCTTCAGCAAGACCCTTCCCTCGTCCTCTTCCCTTCCGACTTTTCCGCCTGCGTCATGACTGCTGGGCGAGTAATGCGACGGGACGTATGTCGGTGCCGAATGCCCAGGAGTCGGCGTAGTGTTTCTGGTCGGAGGAAGGAAGCTGGATTTCGAAGGAGAAGCGAAGGTGGCTGAGCGAGTGCCGACGCGACTTGCTCCCTTCGACGTCGGCGTCGAGATGACCGCTCGACCGGTTTTGTCGATGTCGAGCTTGAAGCCCTCGACGACCATCGTGAGGGGAAGGCTGGCAGCCGGCGATGTTAGGCGATGAGTGTCGAATTGAGTAGGCGGCGTCGACAAGTCGTGGGAGGTGCGCGAGGCTCGTGAAGACAGAGGAGGAGCAAGGAGACCAGACAGAGCGGCAGGACAAGCAGAGGAGGCGAGGAGGACGTTCAACCGCTGCAAGAGGCAGCGGCGCCTTTGCACGGGCGAGAGGTGAAGGAAGGAGAAGGCGTGACGAGGCAATCAAAACAGTCAGAAAGGAGGTTGGGAGGCCAAAGCGATTTGCGGGGAGACGCCGACGAGGTCAGTGCGATTTGCCTCCTCTCGCCATTGATGACCTCGCCGCCTCGCTACGAGCAGCACGCCGACTTCAACTTCTGCCCGACTGTGAGTTTCTCGCGCTCGTTGACTTTGATGACGTCCTTCGGCGGATCCGCCTTGCGACCTCGCTTGTAAGGTGTGCCGGCGTGCTCGTCCTCCGAAAGGGAGTCGAAGGCGCGAACGGCGGTTACGCGCCGAGCGATGTAGTCGAAGCTGTAGACAAACTGTCAGTGCGTGTTTTCGCTTAATGGGAAGCCGAGTACGGCAAGGGTCGCGGAAGCACACAACCCTGCGGCGGCATTCGCACTCACATCTCTTCGACGCCCTCCCCCGTCTTCGCGCTCGTCCGCGGAAAGTGCTTAATGCCATCGCTCATGAAGCGCGCCACCTCGTCCTCCTCTTCCTGCTCCACCGGCTCGTCCTGGACGACCTCGTCGCCCGCCTCTCCATTGCGATGATCCGGCCGCATGCTGTCGTCCTCGAGATCTTCGCGCTGCATGATATGCCCGTCCGGGTCCTTGTACGGCCCGCCTTCGTAGATGGCTGGAGGAGCGCCGGCCCGACCGAAGTGTAAGGGCGCTGAAGGAGGAGAGGTTGCGACGAGGAGGTCGGGTATGGGTTCGTCGAGCTCGAAGGCTGGAGGAGTGGAGGCTGTAGAGGCGGTGGAAGCGGTGGCACAGGGAGAATCGGTGTCGGTGGGCGTCGTCGAAGAGGCGGAGACCTTGACTGCCGCAGAACCGTTGGGTGCACCCAACGCTGAGGAGGCCGAGGGTGCAAGTTCCGTCTTCTGGTCGCCGACTTGAACCCGCGGCAGTCGTCGCTTCTTCAGCTTTCCGCCCTTGTCTGGCGGAGGTAACACCTCGACGCTGACCTTCGGGAGGATCGTCTTCCCTTCACTTCTCCGCCTCGCGCCCTTCCTCCCTCTCGGCATCAGCTCCTGCAACACCTTATCCACCGCATCCTGAATCTCCTTCGCCTGTTTCTCCCCCTCTTCTCCCCGCTCAGCAAGCTCATCCGCCTTAGTCCCGACGCAAACCCAGCAAAACTTTCTCCGCTCGTCCTCGTCTTCCGGGACGGGGCACTTGGCGGCGAACTCGAGGAACCATGTTCGGATGGAAGAGGCAACTTGGGAAGGCGGAAGGGGCGAGATGAGAGAGTAGACGAGAATGCAGCAGTCTGAGTTGCGGTAGAAGGCGGGGGCGAGCGAGCGGAAGCGTTCCTGGCCTGCAATGGAGCGCATCTTCGTCAACGCTGTCCTCGGTACCATTCAGAGGAGAAAAACGCACCCGCCGTGTCCCACACCTGCAAACTCACTTCCTCCCTCCCCTCCTCATCCCTCTCCACCCTCCATTTCCGACTCAAGAAGTCGCATCCAATCGTCGCGCGATAGGCGAGGCTGAAGCCACCGTTGACGAAGCGCTGGCGGAGGCAGGTCTTGCCGGTTGAGGCGTCGCCGATTAGGATGGTCTTGAGGACGAGAGGAGGAGGTTGAGGGGGACCTGAGGGAGCCGGGGCGGAGAGCGGGGTGTGGGACATGCTGAAGCCTACGCTGAATGACTGTTAGTGTGTCTGACGGGCGTTCGGCGGGCGCGAAGGCGGGAGTTGCGAGTCGAGGTGGGGAGGCTGGCGAGGAGGTGCAGACTCGGCGACGACACGACGGGGCAGCCGCGAAGCAAGCCAGGCGAGTCAGACACGCTTGCTAGAGAGCAGCACAACCAGCGGCAAGTCCCACGAGCGAGAGTGAGTGTGAGAACGAGCACCAACCTCTCCCCGCCTCGCCTTCCCAAACTCCGTCATCACTGCGCCCCTGTCAATTCGCCTGTCCTTCTCTCCCAGCGACGCTTCGAAAGCATAGACGATACACTCAATGGCCCCAGAATGTGGCTACAACTCGATCAACTCCCCCGTCCGGCCACGCTCCTCCTCCTCCTCCTCCTCCTGCTCCGGCTCCTCCTCGACAGGCAACTCGCCCTTCGGTACGGCCGGAAACAACGCGCCTTGTGCACCTGTCGGCACGGAGGGGAAAGAAGATGGCTTGTAGTAACCCGCTGGGACTGGTTGGGACGGTTGTCGGTGCGGCTGAGCTTGGTGAGGCGATTGAGGGTAGGCTTGCACCGGCGGAGGAGAGGCGACTTCGGCGTGTTGCGGTACTGCGGATGGAGGGACGGGCGCGACGGGTATGGCGTAGGCGGGAAGAGGCTGGCCTGTCAGTGCGGGCGGAGGGGCGTATTGGTAGCGTGCGTCGAGAGGTTGGGCGGCGGCGGGAGGAGCGTGGTAGGGCTGGTGGTGCTGAGGCTGGGCGTAGGCCTGAGAAGTGGCGGAGTAGGAGGAGAGGCGGTTCGACAGTGGCGGCCGATAGCCTGCGATGATGCACGAAGAGGTGTAGGTCAGCAAGTCTGCCGAGGTCGACACGTCACCCGTATGAAAGGCATCGGACTCACTTGCGCGCTCTGTCAAACCCGCGCCATACAACCTCGCCGCCTCACCCAACTTCCACTCCATCTCGCTCAGTATCTCCCTCCTCCTCCTCGCGTCCTCCATCGCGCGATCGAGCCTTCCCTGCGTCGCATACGCCTCGTCATACATTCTCCGTTCTTTCGGGCCGAGGTAAGGCGGGTAAGGGGGAGAGGCAAAGAGGGAGGTAAAGTCGGAGAGGAGGGCGGATTCGGTCGCGGAGAGGTCGTAGGAGGGGAGAGACATGGGTTTTGGGCGGGAGGCGGCGGGCGAGTCGTAGGCGGTGGAAGAGGGGAAGAGCGACGAGTAGGCTGTCGAGGTGGGAATTGTCGCCTCTGACTCGCTGCGTGCGAATGACGGCGCAGTCGCAGGAGGTTGCAAGTCTCTCAAGCTCGCCGCGATAGCCGCTGCCAGGTCCGGGTCGTCCTCCTCGTCCTTCTTCGCCGACGACGATGCGCCCTTCGAATCCGAGATCTGCGACGCATACGACGGGTTGTACCCCGACTTGGCCGGCGGACCTGGATGGGCTCGAGGCAGCTGGTCCGGCTCGACCTCTTTGAGGGACGCCTCGATCGCCTTCCGTAGGTCCTCGTCCTCCTGCTCCTTGCGCGACAGCCCGCCCTTGGCACTTACAGTCTTACTCCGCTCAACCTGCGCAGGCCTCTTCGCCTCCCGCTGTCCCGCCGAATAACTCGCATGTCTCTGTACGCTCCCACCCTTCCCCTCTCTGATCTTCTTCGCGCACCCGTCGCACACCCTGACAGGCTCGAGGATCCCATAGTGAGGGAGGGGAGCGGCGGACGACGAGCATTGCTGGTCGAAGACTTGGCCGCAGTTTCGGCAGTGGTGTTTGCGGTTGAAGGTGGAGAATTCGGTGCGGCAGCGCGTGCAGTAGGGCGAGTCGGTCCAGTCCGGGGCCTGCGCGAGCACGAGTTCGTTAGCGGGTGAGAGTGAAGAGCGAGCTGCGGACGTAGGACGCACCGAGAGCGAGTCGACCATTGCGGCCGTCGCCGTTGGGTCTCGCGGAGGGAACTGGACGCCCTCCTTGACGAGCTTGTCGTACACGCGGACGAGTTCCGAGTCGCGCAGCTGGTCCTTGCCCTTGAACGCGGTGGCCCAATCCTGCAGCCTCGCGAGGACCTTGTCCTTGACGTCGCGGTGCACCGATCCGCCCGACTTGACTCCGCGCGCAAGCAGCTCGAGGTCGGTCGCTACGCCGCCCTCGAACGCCGTCTTTGCGAACTGGACGAGGAACGCCGTCCCGCCATTCTTGACGCAGACGTCGCACAACTCGAGCGCGAGGAGCTGTACGTTGGGGTTGTCGTACTGGATTCGGCGGAGGAGGGAGCGGGACGCGTAGGCCGGGATGACAGAGGCGGATCGGACGAGGTCTGCGAGTTGGAGGGCGGCGACGAGGTCGAGTGGGGTTTGGGCGGGGAGGAGGTCGCTCGTTGTCTTGTCTGTGGGGATTGACGGGCGTGGTCAGCGTGCTCTGCGAGGCGTGAGACGGGTGTTGCGAGGCTGTCGAGATGACGAGGACGAGGACGAGGTGGGGGTTGGTGAGAGCGAGGGAAGAGACTCGCCGATGAGCGTGTCCCACTCTTGCTGCTGCTGCGTCGGTCCCCACAGGAAACTCATCGTCACCCAGCCTGACAGTCCGAGTCGATGAGGAGAGTGGCCGAGGACAAGTGGCCCGTTTGTGATCAGGTTTGTATTCAGTCCACACTCGAATACAAAGTTTGTAATCCCTCGGATGTCAACCGTGGCTCTCCCTTCGCCGACATCACTCGCTGACCAGGATGGCACCGCGCAGGAGACAGTCGCAGCAGAATAATGGGGACGGGCAGGTCTACGGTCCACGGTCGGCGCTCACCTCGTTCCTCCGCGTGCGCTCACTCTCGCCACTCCTCCTCGGACGCGACTGACATCTCCTCGCTCGACTCGCTCGATGACAGGAACAAGGCATCACGGGACCGAACGCAAACATCAACTATGCCAACAGGCGCACGGGGCAACTCGCTCAGCCGTCCCCTCCCTCTCCAGCGACTCCCGCGACTGCCTCTGGCTCGACCACCCCGACCACTTCGGTCCAGCTCACCGCCGCAGACGACAGCACGGCTTCGTCGTCCACTGGAGCGTCGATGCCCGTGACGGTCACTGCCGCATCGACCGACGCAAACGCCGAAGCAGGGCCCTCCTCTTCTTCGACGGGCAAGAAGCGCAAGTCGACCTCGTCCGCTGCGAGCAAGAAGAAGGCCAAGAAGGACAAGGGCGGAGACGAGGAGGATGGGTTCACGCTTGCGGGCGCACCGCACGTTGCGCCGAAGAAGGGACGGTACGACGACAGGATGCCGGGGGCTATCGCTGTCTGCGCCGAGTGCGGGAAGAAGTTTACCGTCTCCAAGGTGCGTAGTGCTCTCGCTACCCGCGCACACGAGCTGACTTGCGCGCGTGTCCTCGCAGTACACGGCGTCGAACCCGCGCGGACCAGGCCTGCTCTGCTCGCCCTGCACGTCCGAGTCGATCGAAGATCGCGCGACGTTCCCTTCGCTCCCGAAGAAACCCAAGCTGGTCAAGAAAAAGTCGCAGAAGGGCGTCGAGGAGACGATGTACACGCCCGTCCCGGCTCTGCAGCAGGCCTGTCTCTCTGTGCGCTCGCTTCCCCTTGGTTTTCTCTCTGCCAGTGGCTGATCTTCCGACGCAGATCATTGGCTCGTACATCGACGACGTCGAAGCGCTCGGCGATATCGGGCACAAGAACCTCGACCGAGTCGCCAAGATCGTGTGCAAGAACCGCGCGCTCAACGGCGACAACTTGCGCTTGTTCCTCGAAGTCGGGCACAAGGAGTTGAAGCTGTACGACTGCACGAGTGCGCAACCTTCCCCTCTCTCGCTCTCTGAGGAACGAGCTGACGGCGGTTCCGACGCAGACGTGAAAGACACGGCTCTCGCCTCCATCTCGACGTTCTGCCCGCACCTCGAGCGCCTCACGCTCAACTTGTGCGGAAGGCTCGACGACGATGTCATCGATGCGTGGATGAAGGGCTTCAAGGAGCTGAGGCACTTGACGCTGTATGGTCAGTCGCTGACCTTTGCCTCGAGAAAGTCCTCGCGCTGTCGTGTATCTGGGCTCATACCAGCGCTTTCTCGCAGCCCCGTACCTCGTCACAATCAAGAAGTGGATCGAGTTCCTCTCGACCTGCGGAACGGATCGTCCCGAGTTCGAGACGTTCCAGCTGCGCATGTCTTCCCGTACGTCCTGCTCTCTTCTGTGATCAGACGGACAGCTGACACAAGTGCCTGCGCAGGCTTCAACGACGACTGCCTTGACGCCCTTGTCTCGCACTCGCCGAACCTCACGCACCTCCAGCTCGCCGAGATCGGCCGCTTCACCTCCTCGTCCCTCTCGAAGCTTCACTCGCTCAAGAACCTCGTCTCGCTCGACATTGCGCGTCTCGGGACACCGCAAGGTCAGACGCTCGAGGACGACGCTGTCATCGCGCTACTCGCGAACGTCGGCGGCAACCTCGAGCGCCTCGTGCTGGACGGGAACGAGAAGTTGACCGAAAGAGTACTCACGGAGGGAATTCGTCCGCACTGCCCGGCGCTGCGCGAGTTGTCGTTGTCGAACTTGCCGGACGTCGAGACGAGCGGTGTCGAGGCGCTCTTCACGCCTCCCTCGCCCGACTCGGACTCTGCCGAGCCGACCGCACCCTTCTCCGCCGCCGGCCTGACCCTCCTCAACCTCCACCGCGTCTCGTTCTTATCTCCTACCGCCCTCGAACTCATCCTCACCCACTCGGGCCGCACGCTCAAACACCTCAACCTCCATTCCTGCGACGACCTCACCTCCGAAGTCCTCACCCACAAACTCGCCACCTCGTGTCCGGATCTCGAGGTCGTCGATCTCAGTTTCGTCAGGAGCGTCGATAACTTTGTCGTCAAGGCTTTGCTCGATGGATGTCCGAGGTTGAGGGTGTTGTTCTTGCATGGCAACAACCGCGTGACGAGTGATGTGCCGAGGAAGGTGCGTTTGCTGTCTCCTTCATGCTCCGAGATGAGTCGGAGGCTGACTTTCGATGTGTGCACGAACAGGCCGGCGTCCAGCTTCGTGGTCTCGAGAACGCCGTCCACAGCGAGAGTCCCTCGGGTGTCATGTGGGCCTAAATTTTCGCCTGTGCCGCCATCAGCATCTGTACCCTCTCCCCCTTGTCGAGGTGCCCTTCGTCGACCTTGTCTTCACTCTCTCGCTTGCGCCTCGCCTCGCCTGCCGTTTCTTGTAGCCTTTCTTTGCGTAGCTTGTCATCTTGGGAACACTTTGAGATTTCACGCAATTCCGCACGAGAGATTTCCTTCTCCTCCTCCTGGCAGTGTCCTGGCCTTTCGCCTCTGCCTCTGCACTTCTCGCTCGACTCGCTCACTCTCGCTCGTCCGGCTAGCTAGCTCCTTTCCCAGCTCTCTTGACTTCATCAATCCCTCCACCCGGCCCGCAACACCCTCCACGCCTTCCACTCCTCCGCAACCCCCACACGCTCCCCTCCCCTCCCCTCCCCTCCCCTCCCCTCCCCTCCTTCCTCTCACCGTCAGGACTGAGAGGCGATGCTAGTTCTCGTGATTGGCGACTTGCACATCCCGAACAGGGCGCATGACTTGCCGGCCAAGTTCAAGAAGTTGTTGGTGAGTCTCGAGGATGGGAGGAAGGCGGTGTCATCAGTTCGAGGAGGAGGAACGAGAGGATGGAAGAGGGCGTCCGGGTCTGGGCAGGAGGTGTACAGCGTGGAACGAGAAAGTGAGGAGCGGTACCGACGGGCTTTGAGGATCGGCGCCAGACCTGCTGATGAGCGATACTCGAGGATATCGAGGAGGAGGGTGGATTTCGGCGATTTAGCGAGACGAGCTTGCGCTGTGATCCTCAAGAGAGGCAGAGTTGATCCGCCTGAGTCGCTCGAGCGCCCACAACCCGCCAACCCCTCCTCCTCCTCCTCGAACCTCCCGCTAACCTCCCTTTCCCTCTTCCCCTCTCTCGCAGGTCCCCGGCAAGATCGGCCAAATCCTCTCAACGGGCAACACGACCGACCAGGAGACGTGGGACTACCTGCGGAGTGTTGCACCGGACGTGAGAGGCGTGAGAGGGGATTGGGACGAGGTGCGTCTTCGTGTTCGTGTTCTGCGGCAGCTGTCTCGTACATCGGGAGATGCGACAGTACAAGTCGTCGGCGCTTCCGTTGACCGCATTTAGCGGAATGCATCCTGACCCGCCTCACGCACACCTCGCAGCCCTCTGCCTCTCTACCGCCCTCAATGGTCGTCCAGCACGGCCCGCTCCGAATTGGCGTCATCCACGGACACCAAGTTGTGCCCTTCGGCGATGCAGAGATCTTGGCGGCGACGGCGAGGAAGATGGATGTGGATGTGCTGATTAGCGGAGGGACACATCGGTGCGTCAGGACCCCTTCAAGCCTTCTCGTCGAGCGGATCGCCTGCATACTTGGCGAGTGCTGCTGTTCCAACTCCTGACGCCCATGCCTTGTCTGAAGCTTCGAAGCGTTTGAGTCGGACGGCCGGTTCTTCCTCAATCCCGGCTCGGCAACAGGCGCTTTCTCTCCGCTATGGACGCCTGCATCGACAACAACAACGATAGAAGGAGAAGCAGCAACAGCGCAGGCGGGCGAAGCGGCCGCGGGAGCGGATGGAGAGAAGAAGGAGGGCGATGCAGCCGCGGGAGAGCAGAAGGATGGCGGGGAGGGAACGGACGGCGGCGATGCGGAGAAGGTCGACGAGAATGCGCAGCAAGGCGAGGACGGGCCGACACCCAGCTTTGCGCTGCTCGACATCCAGGGGAACGTCGTCGTCACGTACGTCCCGCCCGCCTTTCTCGCGCTCGCTGCGGGTCTCTGACTGACATTGTACTTCCCGTCCCGCAGATACGTCTACACTGAGCGGCATGGGGACGTCAGCGTCGAGAAGATGGAGTTCAGGAAGTCGACATGAGGTTCGCGGCGATAGGCGAGGGAGATACCGTCGCAGGGAGTTGGTGCAGCCTCGCGCGGACGGGTTGCTGGAACGCGGAGCATGTCGTCCGATACGTTCTCGTGCTCGCTGCGTGTGATCGGCCCTCCCGGACGTTCGTGGTCCGCCGCAAGCCAACAAAGAGTCAACTCCGGCCGACGCAACTCGAGCGATGCGAAATCGTCTGCTTGCTCTCTTCGCCTCGTTGAGCTTGCTGGACTCGCTGAACTTGCTGCAAGACTCGCATCAAAGGCTATCTTGACCCTGCGCAACCGCCAGACCACCCACGTCCTCCTCATCGCCCTCAAGCACGACATCAGCGACTTCCCGAAGCACTCAACCACGCCCAGGTGACAGCGTAGACGGCTCGATAGACTGACCAGGCGTACTGTGAGTAATCGGCTCTGTCTACGCACCTTGTCAAGCCCGCGACGCTGACATCTTACCACTCCCTTCCTTTCGACCCTCTTCGATCCGTTGTCCGTCTTGCTCGCAGATTGTTTGCGTGAGTGGGTCATCCGACAGTGAACCCTTTGACTCTGCTGACCGATCTGTCGTTCCCGCAGCTCCCGCAACTCGCTCCCCTACGCCCGCGGCATCTCCCTCTTCCCTCATGAGCGCTCCCGCCAAGCTGCGAGGCAACCCTCCTGCGCCTGCGCCAATCGTTGTGCAGAAATATGGCGGAACGAGTGTCGGCAAGCAGCTGCACATGATCACCGGCAACATCGTCCCGTGAGTCCCTCTCCCGTTCGAAAGCGGAGGAATGGTCTTGACCCGGGTTCAAACGCAGACAATACCTCAACGACGGCTACCGAGTAGTCGTTGTCTGCTCTGCACGATCCGGCAACACCAAGGCGACCGGCACGACCAACCTCTTGCTCCGAGCAGCTCTCGAAGCCATCCGACCGAAAGGTCCCGACCTCTCCTCCTCCGTCCCCTCGCTCCGCAACTCTCCCTCGCAGTCTCCCGCACCCGGCACCCCCGTCACGCCTCGACAAAGCTACCTCTCCGGCTCGCTCTCCAACCTCCGCATGATGGCGTCTGGCGTTGGGCTCGACAAGATGAATGGCGACGACGACAGGCAGTTGTTCGACGACACTGTTGATCAGATCAAGCGGGATCACCTCGAGGCGGCGCGTAAGGCGATCGTCAACTCGAAGGAGGTGTTGCAGGAGGTTGAGGAGGAGCTCGAGTACGACTGCGAGCGGTTGAGGGGCTTCTTGCGGGCGGCGCAGGTGCGAAGCGTTCTTCTTGGCTCCACGAGAATTTGTGCTAATCCTACGATGCGCAGATCATCGACGAGATCTCGACACGGTCAAAGGACATCATTATGGGCGTCGGAGAGCGATTGTCTTGCCGCATCGTTGCTGCTTCCCTGCGGGATAGGGTGCGTCCGCTTCCGCTGTCACAACCACAGCTCGCTGACCTCTCGGCACATGCAGGGCATCGACTCCGAGCTGCTCTCGCTGGAGAGCATCATCGACTGGGACGTCCTTGGCGACGAGGCGGAAGTCGCGTCAAAGTCGGCAGACGGCCCACCCCAGCTCGGCCAGGAGTTCTACTCGAAGCTCAGTCAACGACTCGGCGAGCGATTGGCAGAGTGCGGTGACCGAGTGCCAGTCGTGACGGGTGTGTACCGCAGCGTCTGCTCGAGCGAGCGTTCAGCTGACACCTCTTGCTCGTAGGCTTCTTCGGCGTCGTTCCCGGCTCACTCCTGGCGCAGGTCGGCCGCGGCTACTCGGACCTCTGCGCGGCGTTGTGCGCCGTCGGTCTCAGCGCCGCCGAACTGCAAGTCTGGAAGGAAGTCGATGGCATCTTCACGGCCGACCCTCGCAAGGTCCCGACCGCACGGCTTCTGTCGACGATTACGCCAGAGGAAGCCGCCGAGTTGACCTACTACGGCTCCGAGGTCATCCATCCCTTCACGATGGAACAGGTTATCCGCGCTGCGATCCCGATCCGCATCAAGAATGTAGAGAACCCGCGAGGCGAGGGCACCATCATCTTCCCCGACACGGTATCCGCCGACGCAGCCGACGAGACCCACACGGCCAAGACGACTGTCGCTCCCTCAGCCGCTCCTTACGCACCTGCCTCCCTCCCCTCTTCCGTCCTCGAACCGCATCTCGGCCCGACAGCCATCACGATCAAAGACACCGTCGTCGTCCTATCCGTCCACTCGAACCGCAAGACGATCTCGCACGGCTTCTTCGCTCGCATCTTTGGCGCGCTCGACAAGCATGGGATCGTCGTCGACTTGATCTCGACCTCCGAGGTGCACGTCTCGATGGCCATTCACGGCGAGATCAGGAAGAGCGTGCTGGATCGCGTAACGAGGGACTTGAAGGTTGTTGGCGAGGTGAGCCGGATTCCTTCGAGGCTTTCTGGCGTGAATGGCTCGGCCGTTCTCAAGCGTGACTGCGTTCGACGGCGCCGCAATGACTGACGCTTTCTGTGCCCTCAGATCTCCATCTCACGCGACATGGCCATCCTCTCGCTCGTCGGCAAGCACATGAAGAACATGGTCGGCGTCGCCGGCAAGATGTTCACGTGAGTGCACTGCGTCAATCGCGAGTGGCTCGTCTGACGATTCATCGTCGCGCAGGACGCTCGCCGAGGGCAACGTCAACATCGAGATGATTTCGCAGGGCGCGAGCGAGATCAAGTGAGTGCCGTTTCCCTCTCGATGTGCTCGATGTTCTCAGCTCCCGCTATATCGTCTAGCTGTCTCTCATTGTGCACACGCTGACCCGTTGCTTCGACAGCATCTCCTGCGTGATCGAAGAGCGTGACGCCGTCAAGGCGCTCAACCTCGTCCACCTCAAGCTCCTCCACCAGGCGCCGCAGGTGTTCTCCTAGACTCTCTGCGTCCTCCGACTCTCCTCTCGCCCTCGCACAGCGCTCATCCTGCCCATATGCATCCTTTTCTCTCCCCTTTCCTCGTCGCATCGCATCTTCTTCACCTATACTCCCTCCGCCACGACCCGGCGATTCTGCAAAACAGCTTGTTGACAGCTGACACTCTTTCACGCCTCACAGAGAGTGCAGACCGTGCGCACCTCGCGAGCGGACTTGACTTCCTCCTCCTCGTCGCCGGGACCTTCTCAAGCTGGCTTTTCGAGCCGAAGCCGGCTACGCAAGCTGGAAGCGAGTTCATTCGTCTCTGTGTCGCTTCTTTGCTCTCTGGGCCCTTCCAAGTCGCCCAAAGTCCCGCTCCGTGAGACTCCGCGGCGCACCCTCTCCTCATCTCCCTTGCCCTCCTTCACCTCACTCGCTCCCGCTTGCCACGGTCCTGTGCCCGCTCAGACACCCTCACAAGCGCTCCCACAGCTCTCTCAACCGCCTCGCCAACCCTCGCCACGCCCCACAGCGATGGAGGCACTCACCAAAGGTGCGCCTCCTGTCCCCGTCCCCACCCTCGCATCTCGCCTCTCCTCGACGCTGCTGACCCGTTCGCGGCGCTCATCACGCAGCTGCGGGTGCCATGACCCTCGGCGACGAGCAGCACGACCCGATGCTCAGGCCGGGTTACGGAACGTGAGTTGAAGGTCCCCCTCCCCTCCGCTCGTCGATCTGGCTCACCCTGTACTCGCTCGGAAACAGCGTCGGAAAGCCCTTCTCCGTCTACATGAACGCCTACGAGATCCGCACCCCGAACCTCGTGTAGGTTTCGCGATCGGCGTCGTCGGATCGCCTACTGACGACCATCCCGGATTCTCCTTCAGCGCCTACCACTACGACGTCAAGATCAAACCCGACAAGCCCGTCGTACGCTCGAACGTCCCTGTAGCGCTCTTCTCACCGCTGACCGTCTTCTTCGCTTCTTCCTCCTCGCCCTCCCGGCTCCCTCTCCGCCTTCGCATCGCCCTCTCGCCATGTCACTCGCTCTTTCAATCGTCTCGAATTTTCGTTGTAGACTCCGCCCCGCCTCAACAGGGAGATCTGGCGCTACCTCGACCAGACCCTCAACGCCTTCAACGGCATCGCCGTCGCCTTCGACGGCAGGTCGATGGCCTACTCGCCGAAGAAGCTCCCGGCCGACGAGGGGCAGTGGAACATCACCCTTCCCGACGAGGATGGCGGCGGTGGTGGCGCTGGCAGGAGGACCTTCACTGTGACCATCCGTTTTACGCGACCCATCGACCTCGCTCGTTTGGGCGTCTTTGTGCGCGGCGAAGGTCTCGGCGAGCCCTCCTTCCCCGACCAGTCGCAGGTGCAGTCGGCCATCCAGGCGCTCAACGTCCTCATCCAGCACGGCCCGACCCTCCTCTACCCGTCGCGCCAGGCTTCCTTCTTCCTTCCGCCGATGAGGCAGGAGGAGGCCAGCATTGCCCGTGGCCTGGCAATGTGGAGGGGGTTCGTTAGCTCCGTCCGCATGGGTCCTGGACGCGTCTTCCTCAACCTCGACATTGCGTCGCAGCCGATGGTCCAGGCCGGCAATCTCCCGCGCGTCGTTCTCAATTTCCTTCGAGGCACGAACCGCAACCTCACCGAGCAGCACCTCGACGCCAAGACCATCCCGAGTAGCGAGTACATCCGTCTCGGTCGCTTCCTCAAGGGCCTCAAGGTCAAGCTCACCGTCAAGGACGCCGACGGCATCGAGCCGACGCGCAAGGTTCGCGGCATCGAGGGCCACTCCGCCAACGACCCGGCGCACGCCTTCCAGATTGACGGCACGACCTATACGATTGCGTCCTACTTCGAGCAGTTCTACGGCGTCAAGCTCAGGAACCCCAACTTCCCGGTCATCAGCGTCAGCAAGGTCGCAAGGTGGCCGCTCGAGCTCTGCGTCGTCGAGGCTGGCCAGAAGTGGACGAAGAAGCTCGACCCGGAGCAGACCGTCGAGTCGATCCGCTTGACGACCGTCGCGCCGCGCGAGCGCCTCGGCAACCTCTCGGAGGGTCTCAAACGCATCCAGCCTAGTGACGCTGCCCTCGGGCAGTGGGGCATCAAGATCGACCAGAAGCCGCTCGAGGCCAAGGCTCGCCTTCTCACGCCGCCAACCGTCAACTTCAAGGGCCGGTGCGTCCCGCGCTGTCTGGCCTGCCTCAAAAGCGAACCTGACTGTCTCGCCGTGCGCACTCTTCTCCCCTTCGTGGACAACCTCGCGTGGATAGCGCCGCGAGGATCAACAACGGTGTCTGGGACGTCCGCGGCCACCAGCTGTACACTTCCGCCAGGATCGAGCGCTGGCTCGTCCTCGTCGTGCGTCGCCGTCTTCTCACCCTCGCTCGTCATTAATTGACCGGTATTTCCTATTTCCTTCGCAGCTCGACTCGCCTCAGTACTTCCAGATTGACGCCGCCCAGACCTGCATCGTCGGTCTCGTCGCGGCCTGCCAGCAGATGGGCATCACCTACGCCAACCCGCGCCCTCCGATCCACTACGCTCCTCGCGGCGCCGACACGGCCGCCTTCATGCGCGAGAAGGGCATGGAGATGATGCAGGAGCAGGGCGGACCGCCTCAGCTCATCGTCTGCTTCCTCCCGCGCAAGCCGTGCAGCGAGTACGCCGAGATCAAGAAGTTCGGCGACCAGCAGGTCGGCTGTGCGACGCAGTGCCTCGTGCGTGAAAGTCCGCGCTCTTTCGCTTCGAAGCATGCCTAACTTTCTAGGCGATCCCGACAGTACGAGACGAAGGCGAAGCGCGGATCGCCTGGCTACTGGCAGAACGTCGCACTCAAGATCTCGGTCAAGCTGCACAACGGGATCAACTGGATCTTGAACCCGCAAGACCTCGGACCCATCGCCGAGAAGCCGACGTTGGTGCGTTACGTTCCTCGCTTCTGCGCCTCCTTCATTGCTCTTTCTCTTCCGCCTCTCCCCCGCTACCGGTCATCTCGAGCGCTACTGACGCGGCGTAAGCGCGCAGGTGATCGGCGCCGACGTCTCGCACGCCCAGCCGAACTCGGTCGCTCCCTCCGTCGCCGCCATCGTCGGCAGCATGGACCAGACCTGCTCGATCTACGGGTCCGCCATCACCGTCCAGCCCTCGCGCCTCGAAGTCATCGCCCGCCTCGAGGAGATGGTCCTCAAGCTCCTCCGCCAGTTCCTCAAGAGGAACGGAGTTCCGCCCGAGAGGATCGCAAGTCTCGCTCGCCTTCCGCGTCTTCTTGATGATCGCTAACTCTCTCTCACGCGCAGTTCTTCTTCCGCGACGGCATCTCGGAGGGCCAGTTCCCGCAAGTCATTGCCACCGAGGTCGAGGCCGTCCGCAAGGCTGCGCAGCGCTTCGGCGCTGAGCACAACCAGCACGACTACGCCCCGAAGCTCACGTTCCTCTGCTGTGGCAAGAGGCACCACGTCTCGCTGTTCCCGTCTCGGACGGCGTACGGCGACCCCAAGACCGGCAACGTCAAGAGCGGGACGGTAGTCGACACCGAGGTCGTCTCGCCGTTCCACTTCGACTGTGCGTCCTCCTCCTTTCTCTCGCTGTTCAGCACTGAGCCTCTCTATTGCAGGGTACTCGATGGCGCATCAGCCGCTCCTCGGCACGGGAAGGAGTTGCCACTTGACGGTTCTCCGCGACGACTCGAACTTCACGGCCGACCAGCTCCAGCAGCTCACCTTCAACCTCGCGTTCACGTACGCCAAGGCGACTCGCTCCGTCTCGGTTCCGACTCCGGCGTACTATGCTTCGAGGCGTGAGTCTCGCTCCGCCATTCTCAAACCCTTTCCGCTGACGTCGCAATCCCCCAGTCTGCACGCGCGCCCAACTTCTCCTCAAGCGCGAGGACGAGGACACGACGACGGTCATCTCGTCGACGTCTAACTCGTCCGACGAGCGTCTCCGCCAGCAGGCCCTCGCCGAGTACTCGTCGAGGCTCAAGGCGATCCACCCGAACCACGAGGAGACGCTCTTCTTCATGTGAAGAGCCGGAGAAGGCGAAGGAAGGGGATGCTACGGACCGGAGGAGGGACAAGAAGAAGAGGAGGAGGAGTCGCTTGAACCGTTGTGTCGCTTGTTGCCGCTTAACCCTGCCTGAAACGCGACTGCACATGTTGGTACGCGTCCCGTAACCGGGAGTAGTGAGCGCCTGGAGAGGATGGCAGGGAAGCTCCTGTAGAGCCTCATCGAAGCACTTCTCCCGCTCTCTACGGCGTCTCTCCTAAGTCTCAATTGCTTCCAGGTGCAAGTAAGCTCCATAGGAACGACAGCAACCTCAAAAGCGAGACGGTAGAACGACAGGCGGGCAGGTGGACGAGCGGTGAACGGGGTCGAAGGCAGACTTGGCGAGCGCGAACTCTTTCGGGTAGTGCAGGTGCTGTGGAAACTGCATGATCAGTGTCACGGTACACGAGGAAGAACCGGCGAAACGCACCCTCAGACGGAGATCAAGGGCATAAACGAGACTGCTGTACGATTTCCTCAAGGACTCGAGGATAACCTCTGGCTTCTCCCCTGCCAGCCTGTGAACACTTTCCGGCTTGTAGTATCGCCCCGCCGTCTGAAGGAGGCCGTACTCGTACTTTGCCGCCGCTTCCACGCCCTCCTTGCGGATGTCGGGGTGCGTGAAGACCTCGTCGGGCATTGTTACCTCCTTGAAGTACGTCTTGACCGCGAACGCAAATTTCTCGTTCCGTTCCGACGGGCCCATCTCGAATCCGTGCTTCAGAACGAGCTCCGCTTGTTTCGCGGTGAACAGAATCACTCCGACGTCGATGTTGGCGAGGCGATGGAGCGAGAGAACGCATTCGACGATGACGACCTCGGGCGTGAGCGCGTGCACTGTGACGGATTGAGGGTTGGCATTGTCGGAAAGTGGCCTGTTGGAGAGGGGGATGCCGGCTTGCTGGGTCTTAAGGCGGGAGTCGGAGCGTTCAAGCGTGATGTCGACGGCGTACTCGACGTGCGTGGTCGTGCTGGGGGGAGGTGAAGTCAGCTGTGAGAGACTGCTCGAGGACTTAACGGACGACTGACGCTTTTGGGTCGGTGAGCTTGCGGTCGAGAATAGCCCTGGGGGCGTCGAACACTGGATGCGGTCCACCCTACGACTCTGTTGAGTGAGTTCGGCGTCTATGGCGGTCGACGCGGGACGAACCTTGCGCGAAAGCAGCTTCTCTAGTTGAGCCAGTGTGTGCGGGGCGTCGGGCCCGCGCACGCGAAGTTGGACCGGCTGGACATGTCCCAAATTCAATCAGCACACTTGTCGGATACGGAGGTCAGAAAGGACGCACGAGTGACTGGGAGAGATGCGGCCAGTGGAAGGCGAGGAAGAGGTGCTCGTTCAAATCCCACCATTTCGGGTCTCCCGCTTCCGACGAGTCCTGCATGGCTAAGAAGATGCAGTGTCCCGCCGTAATCTGTACAGCCGTGATGCCTGCCACGGGGCAGAAGAAGGGTGAGAGAGGCATCGTCCGAGGGAGGAAGCGACGGATCGCACCATGCGCAACGACTTGTCCGGGCGGCGCCTTACTGCTCAGGATAGCTGCGACACCTACGTCGCCGGCACCGCAGGCGAAGGTGCTGGGTATTTCTGCCGCACGTTGGATCGGATAAGACGTCGCCATCTGCCGTACTCTCCTCGTGATCTTGGTCAGCATGGCGAGACTGGCCCCAGGCGGGAGCACGTGTGCAGATTAAGCGAAGAGAGACGCAAGGGGAGAAAGAGGGGAGAAAAGCGACGAGGGGGGGACGACGAGCACCGCAGCCGGCATGTCCACGGAGCAGGTTGGACGGAACGGCCGATGCGGACGTCTGAGCTCGTTGAGCGGCACGACCTTCCCTCCTCTGCTTACCGGCGCTCGGGCGTGAGGAACAGTCAGTCGCGGAGCAGGCGACGAGGGGAAAGGAGGCAAGCACGGCGCGGGGAAAGCCCACTGCGGTCGTAGAGACTTCGAGTCACTTGCGAAAGCTTCTTCAGACACTTCAGCCTTCCTTCAGCGAGAGCGAGCGATGTGTGAGAGCCAGAGAGGTGAGGAGGAGGGGGTTGGCCAGGACACGTCGCACTCGCTGGCTCAGACTGCTGCTTAAAGGACTCGCTACGACTCAGGAGCTCTCTACGACCCTCCCCACTCCGGCCAACCCTTTCCCAACGCCAGCTTCGCCCTTCCTCCTCCTCCCGACTCTCCTCGAGTCTCGGTCGACGCGGCGTACGACGCAGACGGTGTGCGGCTCGGACGGGTGCTGTCGTTGCAGCTGTTGAGATTCCTGGACACACCAGGTGAGTCTCTCGTGTCCCTCGTCGTTTCGAAAGTCTCCCTCCCCGCGTCATCTCTCATCAGCCGGAAGACGAGGGTCCAGCACGAACCCGCAGTGTGCGAAGTGGGTGCCGCCAGGCGTGTGCTGTGAAGTCGTCAAGACGACTGACTAGGCGTCACGACGTCCCGCCATGCTGACCTCCAGCTTCACCTCCCGCAGTTCCTCAGACGACCCGTCGCTCGCTCGTCTTTGCGCTCTACCCGTCTCCTGCCAGCCGACATGCACAAGTCGACAGGTTCTGGTGACGGCTTTTTTGCCGGAATCAAGGAAACCTTCATCCCCGGAAGCACTTCCTCGTCGCAACCGGCTCAGCAGTCCTCCTCGGCAAACGGCAGCGGGTCGTACCTCCCAAACCCGTCCAACCTCCTCGTAGACCTCGCTCCGCACCTCGTCGGCTCGTCGTCACGCTTGCTTCACCCGAGCAACATCTCCTCGCACCAGGCCTCCCTCACTTCTTCCCAATCTGCCTCGACTACCACTTCCCTCCGTCGCAAGATCTCGTTCATCCGAGCGGGACTTTCCATCGGTCGCCCGAACGCTCCTCTCCAATCATGGAGCGAGCTCGGCACCCAGCTCTACCTGCGCGACCGCGTTGACGAGCTCCTCCGCCTTCCCGTCCCTCCCGCACCCTTCAATCTCTCTTCCGCCTCGACCTCTGCCGCATCCGCACAGCAAGGCCAACTGACGCTCGAAGCGCCGCCACCTCGACCTGAAGACCCTGTTCCGCTCTTTCAGGGCTTTCGGGCGACGATCCCTGCGGCGCAGGCGTCCAAGACGGAGCGGCGACGGCGACGAGCGTTGCTGAGCGAGCGTGCGCTGGGTCTCGAAGGTGGCAAGCTCGGCTTAAAGGAGCGAGGAGACAAAGCGCGCGGGATGCTCGGCGGGGTGGGCGAGTTTGGCGAAGTCGAGCAGGACAACAGCTTGACGATGGGTCGACGGAGCAAGGGGCGACGAAAGACGCGCGGGCCGGTGGATGACGAGATCGCGGGTGCAGACTTGCAAAGTCGGGAGGATCTCGAAAAGGATGCGAAGGAGGTTGAGGGCGACATGGCGAACATTGCCGTCCGGCGGGCGTTGCTGAACGGGCAGATCAAGGACGTCGAGGCCAAGATTGCCGCGCTGGAGAAGGTGCGGGAGGACCTGCGGAAAGGATTGCTTGGCTTGCGGGAAGAGGAGCTGGAGCTGGAGGACGAGCGTGCGTCTCGTTTCACGTGTCTGCAGTCTCTCGCTTGACTGACTCTCGCACCTGTAGTCGAAGGTATCGAGACTCGCCTCGCACGCTTGCCGCTCAACGCCTCCGTCCCCTCCGTTCCATCGACGGCTGCGAACGGCCGTGCTCGCCCCGAGCCTGCCGTCGCGCCGCTTCTTCCGACTTCCTCGTCGCGGCGACGAAAAGGTCCTGCTTTCTTGCCCAGCGAGCACGACGAGTTGCCGACGAACGTTGCGTTCATGGTGCGTCGCCCAGGCTCGCATAGCCAGTCCTCGCGACTGACCTTTCCTCCTGCAGACACTCTCTGGCCATCTCTCGCCCATCCTCGCCCTCGACTTTACCGAACCTTACGGCACACTTGTCTCCTCTTCCTCCGATTCGTCCGTTCGGCTCTGGGACCTTACGACGGGCACCGAGACCGGCTTCCTTAAGGGCCACGACGGTCTCGTCAAGGCTCTGCAGGTCGAGGGCAGCGTGTGCGTCACCGGAGGCGAGGAAGGCGGGATCCGCGTTTGGGACCTCGATAAGGCGGAGGAGATGTTCTACTCGGGCACGTTACCGACCGCATCGCTGGCGAGGTCGATGATGGCGGAGGAGGACGTCTTCGGCCCGACTGCGACTGTTGGCGCTGGTGGACTCGTCAACGGTGTGCCGGCGGAGGACGACGGCGTCCTGCGCGAGTCTTCGAGTGTGCGAGACGGCGTTGAGGCGAACACTGGACAGGAGCAGAACGGTCCTTGCGTGCGACACCTGCAGGGGCACACGAAGGCTGTCACGAGCCTGTTCTTTGACGGCTCCACCCTCGTCACTGGTTCTTCCGACTCGACCCTGCGCCAATGGGACCTCACGACCGGTCAATGCGTCCAGACGATGGACATCCTGTGGGCTATCTCGAACCCCCTCCCTTCCTCCTCGATCTCCTACCCCGCCTCCTCCTACTCCCACTCCAGCACCGACCCCTTCGCCTCGGCTTTCGCTCAGCCTCCCGCAACGCTCGGCTCGCCACCTGTCACGCCTCGCAAGCAGTATGCCGCCTCGCTTCGCCGCCAGTCATCGCTCTTCGAGAGCCCCGGCGCGATGGCTGCGCCGACTACTGCGACGTATGCCGACGGAAGCTGGGAGCTCTATGACGACTTCGTCGGCGGGGTCATGTTCTGGGGCTATGCGCTGGCTAGCGGGACAAGGGACGGATGTGTCCGGCTTTGGGATAGTGCGTTCGTCCTTCGCGTCTTTGCGCGGCCGTCGCTGACATCTCGCCTCGCGCAGTGCGTACCGGTCAAGCACACCGCACGCTCGTCGGCCACACTGGTCCTGTCACCTGCCTTCAATTTGACGAGTACCATCTTGTCAGCGGCAGTCTCGACCGCACCATTCGGGTGAGTGGACCTTCGATTCGCTCAAGCTGGAAGCACAAGCTGACAAGCTTTCCGCGCAGATCTGGGACCTCCGCACGGGCGCCATCTCTGACACGCTCCGCTACGACCACGCCGTCACATCTCTCCAATTCGACAGCCGCAAAGTCGTCGCCGCAGCAGGCGAGAACGGCGTCAAGGTATACAACCGGACGACGATGGAGCACTCGTCGCTCATGCTCGGCGGTCACACGGCGCCAGCTGAGAAACTCAGGTTCATGGACAAGTACCTCGCGAGCGGTGGAAGGGACGCGACGGTCAAGATTTGGGCGTTGCAGTGAGGAGGAGAACGGTGGAAAGTGCACTTCGCAAGCTCGTACAGCATCACCTCGCAATTCTCGTGCAGCATCCGTCGTTCCCTTCGTTGAGAGGTCTATACGTTACAACAAGCACATAGAGAGCTACAGGCTAGATACAAGGGCGCCGAGGCTACGGGGCCATCAGCGGAGCGACGATCCGGTCCCAGTGCGCCTCCCAGCTCTCCCAGTCCTGCCCAGGCTCGTCGCCACCGTACTTGCAGTCCTTGATGCCGACGCGGAGGATGTCGATGTCGGACGGGAAGGGCATGGGGAACCCGAGGAGAAGGGTCTGCGGGAGTGGCCAAATTCAGCGAGTTGTGCGAGCGAAGTGAGCGCAAGACACGCACCATGAGCTCATCAGCGAGATCTTCCGCCGTCTTGAACGTCCGGCCGTTCTTGCCGTCCTTTACGAGTTCGCCGAGGCAGGGAAAGTCGAGCGCGAGGACGGGCAGGCCGCAACCGAACATGTCGACAACCTTCATCGGAAGGTCGATCCCGCTCGTGCTCGTGTGGAGCGAGACGCCGAGATCAGCGGAACCTGAAAGCGCTCCTGTTAGCGGGTGACGCCCAGAGAAGGGAGGAAGTGCAACTTGCCTAGCAGCCTTGGGTAGTCCTCCCTCTCGAGCCACTCAGTCCTGACCCGTACCCAGTCCCACTTTCTCTCCAGCCGCTCAACCTCCACCTCAAACGCCTTCTTCCCCGCGCCCTTGCCTGTGACCAGCACCACAACCTTGGGCAACTTCCTCGCCGCCTTCTTGCCCGACAGCGGGATGACCTGTCCATGCGAGTCGCGCAGCCCTCCCTCGCCGGCCGCAAACTTCCTTGCCGCTACTTCATACAGCTCCAGCGCGCGCAAGAGGATCGAGAAGTCTTCGTCGGCGGTCCAGGAGGTGGAAGAGACGAGGAGGGCGGGGCGGTCGGGGCGAAGAGCGCCGGCTGAGGTGGTGAAGAGCGTCGAGTCAGGCTCAAAGGCGGGCTCCCAGTCGCTCAGGCTGTTAAGGGAGGGGAGGCGAGAGAAGAGCTGCCGAAGCGACGGGTCAGACGCGGCTCATGAAGCGAGGGCTTAGAAACGCACGTTGTGAGCCTCGTGCTCTTCGAGGCGGCGGAAAGAGGCGGGTGGTCGGTCATGAAAGGTGACAACCCGGCCTCTGCGGGGAAAAGGTGAGCGAGAGCTGCAAGAATCCGCATAAGCGAAGCGCACCTCAGATTCGCCTCCTTGATCAGCTCGTGCTTCATCGCATCCGAGACCGTGAGGTGTGCGTATGCGAGACGTCCGAAGAGCAGTTCCAGGCTGTGGGAGACTGAAGTGTCAGAGCCGCATAAGCGAAAAGGTCGGGTTTCGCGCACAACTTGGCGAAGAGGACGACTGGGTGACGTTTCCCTAGCCTGAGTGCGAGGACCGAGTAGCCCGTGTTGTGCCAGTCGATGATAACCTTGCTGCCGCGAAGGAACGCTGCGAGCTTGACCACGATGAGAGTCGGGATGGCAGGCGGGTTCTGCGTGGATGAGCGATGTCAGCGAGGAAGCCCATCGAGCTTCGACTGACTAGCGCACCTGAACAAAGAGGAAAGCCGGAGCAATCTGGATCGAGACGAGCGCACGCAAGAGGTCCCAGGCGCCGACGATGACCTTGAGCGGGAGGCAGAGGAGGAAGAGCGGGCGAGGAAGGCCGGTAACCCAGCCGAGCGGGGTCGGGAGGTAGACGAAGCGGATGTGCGGGTTCTCTGTGAGGTGTTTCGGCGGCGCAGACCCTGCGAACGAGCGAGTTCATCGGGATGAGCGTGGGAGAGGGAGGTCAACACAGCCTCATGGGGCTCGATAGAGGCAAACGCACCTCTGTAGGCGACGATGTGGGTCGTGTAGCCATTCCTCGCGAGACTTTCTGCGTGGTACATCATGCGCGGACTCCGCCCGATGTCGCCGAGGACGACGAGCGCGACAGATTTCGGGACGAGGGAAGGGCGGGTACTCTGGATGCGGCGGAAAAGGACGAGCAGCGAGATGCCGCCTGCGAGCGTCGACAGCAGTGTCTCGATGCCCCACATCGCTCAAAGCAAGCTCTCGAGCGAGTGAGAGTCAGTGGTCGAGTCCAACTTCGCCTCTTCCTCATCAGCCAAACACACCAGACTCGACAATGTGAGCTGCAGGGCCTCTTTCGGCTGCTAGGTCATCTTTTTGGAGTCTCCCACTGAATCCATATGTGTCCGCAACGCACGACCGCCCGTCGCCGCTCTTCCCTCACTGTTTCTCCCTCCGTCATCAATCGTCGACCCGCCGACCCACACACAGGCTGACGAGGCTCGCTGTGCACGCAGGTCTGCCGGGAAACAGCCTGGAACGCAGATCAAGCTCACCAACGTGTCGGTCGTGCGGCTGAAGAAGGGTGGGAAGCGGTTCGAGGTGCGTCTTCCTCTCGTTCCCTCTCTGCGGCGCCGTACCGCGCTCCGATCTTTCTGCGCCACGCCTGCTGACGCCAGTACCGTCTCCTGCGCAGGTCGCGACGTACAAGAACACGGTGCGGTCGTGGCGGAGCGGCGCACAGACGGATCTCTCGGAAGTCATCCAGATCGACAACGTCTTCACCAACGTCTCCAAGGGCGCCGTTGCCTCTGCGGACGAGCTACAAAAAGCATTCGGAACGACCGACCGAACGGAGATCATGATGCAGATCTTGAAGAAGGGCGAGTTGCAGGTCGGCGAGAAAGAGCGGGCGGTCGAGCTTGAGGAGTTGCGGAGGGAGATTTGCACGGAGGTTGCGGCGCGATGTGTCGACCCAAACACGCAGCGGCCGCACACGGTCGGCATGATCGAGAAGGCGATGAACGAGGTTGGCTACAACGTCAACGGCAGCAAGGCGGCAAAGGCGCAGGTGCGGCGCAGTCCTCTTCCCGCTTCCTTTCTTGTTCCAAGCTATCACGAATTCGACGTGGCTCAAGCGGAGAGACTGGTCTTTTGCGGACGGGACTCGTACTGAAGCTCTCGCTTCTCACTCCGGCAGGCTCTCGACTTGATCAAGGTCCTGCAAGCGAAGAAGACGCTCCCGATCGCGCGTGCGCAGATGCGTGTGCGGATAACGATGTCGTCGAAGGAGGGCAAGAAGATCAAGGAGAAGGTGCTGCCGTTGATTGCGAAGGTCGAGGAGGACGAGTGGTCGGACGAGTGGGAGCTGGTGCGTCTGCCTTGGCGTCTTCATTCGCTCTCAGTTTCCAGCGTTGACGAGCGTCTGGCCTGCGGCAGGTCGCCCTCATCGATCCGGGCTCGTTCCGCCTCATCGACGACCTGCTGCAGAAGGAGGTCAAGGGCGCGAAGAAGATCGAGACGATGTCGTTCTCGGCTGTCGAGGACGAGGCGAGGGTAGAGTAGACATGCTTGCTATGCCACAGTCACGAGAAGTACAGCAGCTCTGAGGAGACAGCGCGTCAAGCGTTGGATGGAGAGAAGGTCTCGAATGAAAGCGATTGCAGAAGCAGTGTAGAGGAAAGAAGAGTATGGCAACAAGAAGAACCGCAGCGGAACAGGATGGGGAAAGTTACGAGCAAGGGGACCTATGGCGACGGCGCAGATCGCTCGAGTCATGCGCAGGTTCATGAGCCGATGCGACAGATTGGACGGGAGATTGTGAAAGTGGCGCGTCGTCGTCGTCGGACGAGGGGAGCGTGTGTCGAGGTGTAAAGTTCCGACGCATCGCGATGTAGGCCTTGGCAGCGGTTGCTCCCAGCCAGCCCCATCTGTGTCGAGCGGAGTCGAAGAGATCGTAATGGACTGTCAGGACGTCATGTCAGGTCAGTCAGAAGCCGCCGCACGGGACTGGCGCGCGGTAACACACCGAGTTCATCTTTGACGCTGATTGTCGAGCCGTCGTCGAGGTGGATCAGGTCTGCCTCCTCAAGCGACTTCGGTTTCAGCGCGATGCTCTCATAGACCGCCGACGAAGCGACCGGCTCGTTGCGTCGCATCTGGATGCAGTCGCGCCGCAGAAGGGCAGGAACTGTGGAGGCGAATGATCAGTTCGGAGTTGGAACGAGCTCGGTGTTCCGCACGTACCAGCAAAGTTGAAATGCTTGTCGAAGACATAGTCAGGTCGATCGCGCAAAGCCTCGGTTGCGTCGAACGGATAGTACGCCGTCGCCTCGCCCAACAGCTCGATGAATTCGTCCGCCATACGCTCAATCCCGGGACACTTGCGATAGACCTCCTCGAATTCACTGTACCACTCGCTGCTCTGGACGTTGAGGAGCATGCACATCATGGTGAGGTGACGCCGTGGGTAGATGGGTTTTTGGAAGGGGGGCTCGGGGACCAGGCGGAGGTGCAGAGGTGTCGACATGGAGTGTTGTGCAACCCAGAGCGATTCAAGGCTTCAGTGCTGGCGGGATCACGAGAGTCGGAAGACTAGGCGATGGTAAGCGGCGAGCTGACAGTCGTCGGCGTTGGCAGGGAAGAAGCGATCGGGATTCTTGAGGGTGAGGAGGCGTATGAGACGAGTCTCAGCGCGACAAGCGAAACTCGGCTTCGAGCGTCGCCCTTACGAGGGGGGGAAAGAGGAGGCTTTGTGTGGGAGCCAAGGGGTGTGAATGATGAGAATCCCCGCAATTGTAGTCGCTGAGGCCGCCTTGTAATCCCTGGCCGTCAGGACACTCCCTGGCAGCCGTTCTTCGGCACAGATGTACAGAAGTGATGGGAATTCTCGCCTTGGCACAGCAAGCGAAGGCCCTGGTGCACAGGGAGAGCCAGGAAAGCGACTTGTGCTTTCGCCAATGGGCGCGAAGGGGGTCTCCCGCTCGCCTCGTCGCTTCGTTCGGCGCAAGGAGCGAGACTCGGGTCTTTCCAGCTGCTGTGAACCCCTTGCAATCGCGACAAGACCCCACGAGCTGCTGTAGAGCGCCAGCCAGCCTCACCTGGCAGAAGGGGCCTGAGCCACCTCTCGAACCGGCGATTGTGAGACTTTGCACCTGTTGGTGGGAGCTGTGTGAAGGGGGCGCTCGCCGAAAAGGGCGGTCCGAGATGGAGAGGAAAGCGTCAAAGCGGTCGAGAATATGCTCAGATGGTGTCGCCCTGCCCGCACAAGGCCTCACAGCCGCAAGCGAGGTTGGGGAGATGAGGCGTAGAAGCGGGTGTACAGGCGCGAGGTGGGCCTCGCGGAGGCTAGTCGAGCTGTGACCACGTCCAGAGAGTGCGAACAAGCCGGTGCAGGAGCAGCCGGCTGACCTGGCGCGGTGAGCGTGAACTGTCAACCGCAAAGAGCTGAGGCGATGAGAGCAGAAGGGGAAGGGCGGCGGTATGAAGCATGCGCCGAACGAACGTGTCTTTCTACCATCCACGAGCCTAGCTTGACATAAACAAACGAGCCCGCGGAGGAGGAAACTGCCACACATCGATACAGACGTTGCAATTGCAGCCTGAAAGGTTCCGCCTCGCGCGCTCTCTTACTCAGAGCTGCGTGTAGTTGGCGGGGAACTGCCCCTCCTGTCCGTTGAGCCGCCCGGTCCACCAGTCCTGGTCCGACTCGGTGCGCTTGACGATCTCGATCCTGTCGCCCGCCTGGAACGACAAGTCGCCGCCGGCCTGTGCGAGAGTCACGGGTTAGCACGGGAGCTAGAGCGAGTCGGTGATAGACGAGAACGCACCTGCGCGGTATAGTCGTACAGCGCCGTGACGTACTCCTTCTTCGCCGCCGCGCCGGGTCGACCAGGCGGAGGAGGCGGCGGCGGCCTCTTGCCCGCCAAGCCGGGGCTGACGGCGGGTGGCGAGTACGCGGGAGGAGCAGCGTCGCTCGCGCCAGGTCGAGCAAAGGAGGAAGAGGTGCCGCTGCGGCCGAGGGAGGAGGAGGAGTAGGTCGAGCTGGCGCGGTGAAGCGAGCCGGTCTCGGAGCCAGAGTTGGCGCGGTGCTGCGACATGAACTTGGCTGCATCATCGAGACGAGAGTCAGTCAACGAAGGAGGACGGGCAGAGTGAGGGGACGAACCGGTCGAAGTGAATCGCTTGGTGATGCTCAAAGCCTCGATCCGCTCGGGCACATCACCCATGCGCTCGTAGTGCATCGTCTCGAGGCCGTCAGTCGCGAGAGCGTCGGCGCCGTACGTCGAAGTCGCGAAAGCCTGCATCTTCTCGAGAAGGGTGTCTGTGGGCGAAGAGCACTTGTCAGGAAGGCCCGTACCGTTGAGCAAATCCGTCACGCACAGAGGATGCCAATCTCGATGTAGTAGAAAGTCTGGAAGATGGGCGAGATGAGGCTCGTCGAGAGCGCGATGAAGTGCGGAATCTCCGCCTTGAGCATGCTGCGAGAGGATGGGCAAGGTCAGCGGCGGGCGAAAGTAGACGAGCAACCTCTGCGCACTTATTGTAGTGCTCATACTCCTGCGTCGCAATTTCGAGTTCCTGCTCGTACTTGAAGAGGTTCTTCTCGTCCGAAAGCGACTTCTCCTTCTTGTCCTTCAGCTTGTTGTAGGAGTTGTTGTGGCGGTCGTAGTCGACGAGCTGTGCGTGCGAGGCGTAAATCGATCGGTCAAGCGGGGGAGACCGGCGAAACGCACCTTGTGCTCGCGCTTCGTGATAGTCTTGCGAATCTTCTTAAGCAGCTCCTGCATGGGCGACCCCTTGCTCAGCAGATTGACGATAAGCAGCGCGACAGCGCAACGCACCTGGTACTCTTTGAGAGGGGCCGTGACCCTCGCGTCAACCAGCTCGAGTTCAGGCTGGATCGCATCGCGCAACTCGGCCATGAGCTCGTGGTAGTGGTCGATGTTGCGCAGGGTCGTCTCGGCCTCGGGGTGGCGGGCGGTGAGCGAGCCTTCGTCGACGAGCGGGTTGAAGAGGGTCGAGAAGGCCGTTGCGAAGCCGGCGCCGGACGTGAGCATGCCTGCGGGAGAGGTCAGTCGGGAAAGCGTTGGAGCTGAACTGGACGGACGTACTAGCGACGCTGTCGCGGAAGCTGCTCGAGTCCTTGACAAGCTTTGCGGTGTACTCTGCGAGACGAACAGGTCAGCAACGAAGTGGTCATACGAGCGAAGGCGGAAACACACCTTCGAGACCGCTGAACTTCCTGACAAGCTCGTTCGTCTCGGCATCGACGCTCTGTTTGCCCATCCCAACCTTACTTCCGATCATGTGCGGCGCTGCGGAGGGTACGGCAAGGTCAGTATGTACGCCCGCCAAGGGAGTGCGCAGTGTCATCCATCCCTCCAAGTCCGCCTCGACGCTCTCGCAGCCGCCCAGCGATCGTCCCAGCGTCTTCGAGGCCCCTAGACACTCAACTGGTCGCCGACCGAAGCCCTCAGGCGGCGTGATCGCAGAGAACCACCACCGTCCCTTCGGGAGGCGGTGGAGGGTCGGTATAAGGAGTGGGAAGGGTTGGCAAGCCTAGGGAGGACGACTGACCGCGCGCGAAAGCCTTTCCGATTCCCTTCATCGTGTCAGCGTCTCAAGCGAGTCGAGTCGAGCGAGGTGTCGAGGGCAACTCCGTCGTCTGCCTCCCCCACTTCATCACCGCGAGCGAACTCGTCCTCATACGGCTTGCTGGGGCCCTCCAGCTATCTGCAGAGGCTTTTACATCTTACGGGACCATATCGAACCAAGGACGCGGCTCCCTTGCGCTGTTCTCCGCTCTCTCGACATCCCTCCTCTCCCGCCTCGTCCAGCGTTGGCGTGTCACTCTCTCTCACGTCAGATGGCGGCAGTCGACTTGTCTGACCTATCAGTATTGTCTACCTCACCGAATGGCGCCGACTCGACACCTCGGCGGTCAAATACGCCCGCTCCTCCTCCTCGACTCCGCCTCGAAGACCAGCACTTCTGCGTGCTAGGCGGTGGAACAGGATGCAATGCGGTCCTTGGAGCATTCAATGGATCGATGGTGTCGTACTGCTTGCCGGTATCGGACGACGGAGGAAGCAGTAGCGAGATTCAGCGGGTCCTGGGTGCATCCACTCCCACGTCTCGTGCCGGTTCTCCGCTGACGCCGCTCGTGCTAACTTCGCAGGCGGTCCAGCACTAGGCGACATCCGCTCACGTCTCATCCGCCTTATCCCACCAAGTCCCGCCGGCTCCCCTCTCGACTGCATTCGCCGCTTACTCGAGTATCGGCTACCGGGCGGCGAGGGCACGTCTCATTCAGCTGTCAAACAGGAGTGGGGAGACATTGTCGAGGGAACGCACAGGCTATGGCGGGTGAGTCGAGACGTTTGCGGCGACTTTTCGTGTCGGGCGGAAGCTCCGTTTCGCTAGTTCGCCCGATCTCAGTCTCTTCACCGGTCGTACTCACCCTTCTCCGCGTTGGATGACAGGGTATCCCAGGCGACCGGAAGGAGACGATCCGCTCGTTCCTCGTCTACCTCCAGAACGCCATCCTCAAGAAGGCGCAGCGAGCGAGTCTTCCGTCACTTCCTTGCCAGCGCGAAATACTTACAGTCAGCCTCGAGTAGGGCTTCAACTTCAAGAAGGCCTCGATCGGCAACTTATTCCTCAGCGGAGCGTCCCTCTTCCTCGGCTCCGTACGTTCAAGTCCTTCTACAGTTGGAAGCGCTGTCTGCTCACCTCGAGAGACACAGCCTGACCTACTTTCGCACTCCACAGGTTCCCTCGGCCATTTTCCTCTTCGTCTCGGTGACGGGCATCTCGCAAGACTCGATCCGCGTCATTCCCGTCATCAACACAAGCTCGACGGTCACTATCGCTGCCGAACTCGAAGACGGCTCGATCATCGCCGGTCAGAGCGAGATCTCGCATCCGTGTGGACCTGACAATGCTCTCTCGACGAAGGAGACTGTCGGAGGAGCGGGCCTGCGAGCGGAAGCGGTCTTTCCCCTCACCCGCGCAACGACACCTTCTTTCCCCGAACCGCCAGTACTCGGCGCAGAAGAAGACGAGGACCACGCGCCCCTACCGCTATCACCGGAATTCACCCTCTCTGTCTCGCCCGATGCCGACATCATCTCTCCCTCGCCACTGTCGCCTATCGCAACCCGCTCGCGGAACCTCGAGTTCACGAAAGACGCCTCCGAGATCCCACCTCTTCCCTCTCGTATCCGCCGGATCTTCTACCTCTCGACTCACGGCCTGGAGATTCACCCCCGGCCAAACTCGACCTTCCTCCAATCCCTCCGCGACGCCTCAATCCTCGTCTATGCACCTGGCTCGCTCTACACCTCCATCGTCCCATGTCTCGCACTCAAGCCAGTCGGAGAACTCGTTGCGCGGGGAAACATCGCCAAAAAGGTCCTGTTGCTCAATGCGACGGACGACCGCGAGACGCCTGACTACGATGCCGTGGACTACGTGTGGGCGTTGGCAGAGACATGTGGCAGGAGCTTTGCGGAAGGGCAGAGGCAGTGCGAGCCAAAGGACGTCGTTACGCATCTGGTTTACCTGCGGAACGGCAAGGTCGAGGTCGACGAGGGTGTCTTGCGGGTGTGTTCGCTCCCTTCTACTCTTTCGTAGAACCTCGCTTAACTCTTTCACGCCTACAGTCCCTGGACATCCAGCCTGTCGCGGTCGGACCGACTCAGGACGGCCTCTTCGACGACGAGGTGGTCAAGGAGGCTCTCGCGCGGATCATGGCGGCGTAGAATGCTCTCAGCGTGCTCAATGAACACTGTGCATTGCCTTGCCTGTGTTCTGCCTTCTTCACTGCTCGTCGCTTGCTCCCCCTGTCGCTCACCGAGCCTCTTTCGGTCTTCGACGTCGCTGTGCTCCTCACTTTCGGTTGTTGAAACGGGCTGCCTCGTGCTGCTGCTGTCTAGTCGCTGCATCCGCCCGCCGACACCTTCCAGCGTCCGCGCCAGCACCCTCACACTCCCCATCTCTCGCAGCTCCTCAACCGACGAGAGACCCGCAGCCATCCTTCCACCCGCTCGTACAGCTCGCCCTGCCCGCCATGACACGGCTAGCATCGCTCGCCACCGCCCTCAGTCTCACCTGCGCCTTCTTCGCCTCCCCCGCCGCCGCGCAGTCCTCTTCCGCTTCCTCCTCCTCCACCCCGTCATCCTCGTCTCTCGCCGGTTCGTCGACCTCGAGCGCATCGGCAGCTGCAGCAACAGCATCAGGAGCAGCTAATGCGACGAGCGTCGTGACCGTCGAGGGACTGGTACCGGCGTTCGCGACCGGATCGTCGTCTTCGATGAACTCGACGATCCAAACCGGATGGAGCACGGATGATGCACGAGGGACGATGAAGTGCGTTGCGAGGCAGAACGTGTCGCCTGCAAAGAGCGGATTGCTGACCATCGGGATCTCCGTGCGCAGGGAAGGGTTGACTTTGCTGCAGAACTCGACGGGAACGGCGGAGAATCGGACCGTTTATGTGCGTGGAAGCCGTACCAACGTGCACAGTATGGCTGGGAGGCTGACAGTCTCCCGTGTCCGCAGGGCGTGCTTCTCTACTTCAACGAGACCACCGCGAACCAGAACTTCACCTCGACCCAGATCCCTTGGATCGCCTACATCTCCTGCGACGACGCCATGCAGAATTACACGATGCCTGCGAACAGCTCGATTCCGGCGGCGACGAACGGAACGGTCTCTGCGGGCGGCAACTCGACGCAGACGGTAAGCGTGCTGCAGCAGGCGGAGCAGCTAGGCGCGAAGGGTATTGTGCTCTACTCGACTCGCGAGCAGGTGCGCCAGCGTCTCATCGTACTCCAATCTTTGCACGCTGATTGACAGAAGCTGCATCCTGGGCCGCAGTCCTGCATGCTCAACTACACGATGCTCGCTGGCAGTATGAACGCAACCAACGCAACTCTCACCAACTCGACCATGGCCAACTCTACGATGGCCAACTCGACGATGGCAGCGGGCGGAAACTTGAACGGCTCGATCCCGATCTTTTCGGCTACCTCGCAGCGAGTCGCTCAGATCATCATCAGCCAGTTCTCGTGAGTCTCGCGCCCTCCTGCACTCCCATGCGCTTACGGATCTGCCTCGCACCCCAGCAACGTCGACCCGAATCATCGCTACTTCAACTCGAGCGCCCTCTCTGCCGCAACCGCGAATCTGACCGCCGTGATCCCGACGAACGGCTCAGTCAACCTCAATGTCCCTACCAACTTTGTGCTCGCCCAGATTGTCCCCTCGTACTCGGCCAACGACTCGTCGAACGGCGTCGTCGCGACTTTGAGCCGAGCCCAACCGGCGCCTACGGACTCGACCACGTCTCGAAGCGCGAGTGGCAGCGCGCCGTCGCAGTCTGCGAGTGGAGGGCCGAGTAGCGGAGTTGCGAAGCGTGATGGCGGGCGGAGCAAGGTCTCGCTTGCCGCAACTGGCTTCCTTGTCGGCGGATTGTTGGGAGGCGTGGGACTGCTACTCTAGACCGGGTCCCTCGACGAGGAGCCTCAGCCCCTGTACATACGCTCCGACGCACCCGCAATAGACACTTGTTCGCCGGACACCTCTGACGGAGGAACACCGACGTCGCCCGTCATTTGCCTTTCATTCCTGCTCCCGCTCGTGGGCTCCGCTCCGGCGACGTTAGCGACGGACAAATACCCTCAACCTTGACGCGGGAGATGCGGGAGACGATGGGCGGGCGGAGAGGCGGGGGCTGGCCAAGGTTTGCGCGACATGCAACGAACAAACGGACGACCGCACCTGCCTCATGCGCGACCCCTTGCTCTCGATTGCACTTCATTGTGCTAGTCAGGCACGACTCTCAACCTTGTCTAGTGCCAGGGCATCATGGATCGGGTTGCTCTGTTCCTCGCCTCGTGCTCGCCGCAGGGTCTCGCCTGCTTCGAACCTTGTTCCGGTCCATTCCTCGCTTCGTGGGCCGCTCGTCAGGCGTCGACCTACCTGGCTGGCGGGTCGCATACGGGTGCCGGACGCCCTCGAGGACCTTGGAGATGGCGGCGCCGCCGTCTGCAGCGGAGTCCGGACGAGGAAGGGCTTCTCCCGCTGCGCGCTTCTCTGCTGCTGTTCGGTCGGGTACAGAGTGATCGACTGCGCTGCCTCGTGCAATCTGCGCATCATTCCCTTCACAGGCACGCGGGCGAGCGACGATTTCGCGACCCCAGCGACTGACCCTCGCCTGAGCAATTGCCGCCTCGCCCTCGCGTTCCTCGCACGCAGCCCGCATCGGGTGACCCTCGGCCGTCCTTCCTTCTCTTGCCGTTCTGCTTCCCGCTCTCTCTTGCTCCCAACGCTCACTCATCTTTCCTGCACGCCGCCCGTCCACCGCCCACGCCCGCTCAGCTCGCCTGCGTCGTTCATCTGTCCGTCTGCAGAGGAGCGCAATCGACTCCTGCCCGAACTTCGTTCTCCGAGTCTCGCGACCGTCGCCCGTCGCTCGTCGCCTGCCGTCCGCCTCCTCTCCCTCCACCCCTCCTCATTCGTACAGGAGACAGTAGCGCACTCGCGCCTCTTCAGCTCTCCTGTGCGACGCAACTACCGTCGGTCGAACGTCAACGTCGGATCGAGTCGTCGTTCCCTTCCTTTCCCTCCCAAACGTCGCCTCTCGCCTGCCTTCACCTCTTCCCACGATTGAAATGCGCGACCCTCGGCTTTCCTCGCCCTCGCCTCAGCGCGTCCATCAAGACGTCTTCGAGTACGCCCCGCACGACTCGATGCCGTCGACTTCCCATGCCCCATTCCCCGTCGCACACCCGCACGCACCGACGACCGAGTCCTTCCTCTCCAACCAGCCTCACTTCTCCAGCAGTTCATCTCGCTCAACTCGCAACGAGCAGGTGCAGTGGATGCACTCGCAGCGACCGGCGCAGCCTCACCCTCGGAGCGACCAATACTCGTCGCGAGAACAGTACCTGCAGCAGCCGGCAAGACCGCAACAGCCTGCGACAATCCCCATCCACCGAGTCTACGTTCTTCGATGCGCAACCTGCGACACCTTTCTGTCAGACCGAGGGATGCGGGTGAGTGTGCCGTTGTCACATTCCAGCGAAAGAAGACGAGTTGACCGGGTCCTCATCTTTTCTGCAGGCCGTCCTCCTCCTCAAGCCTCACATCGTCCTATTCTCCACCGACGCCGCGCCTGCGAACTCGGAGACGTTCTGGCCTGGCGAGCTCGGCGAGGAGGAGCATGTTGAGCGGACGTGCAGCTGCTTGACGAGCTCCATCAACTGCCACGGTTGCGGCAAGACCGTCGGATGTGCGTCAGCTTCTGCACATTCTGTTGTCTCCAGCTGCTGACACGTCGCTTCTCCGTGATGCCAGACCACATCGTTTCGCCCTGCGCCAAGTGCACTGTGAGTCTACCTGCCGCGCTTGCTCTCTCCGCTGTCGCTGACAAAGTTCCCCATGCAGGCGTCGGTCCAGAAGCATCAGCGAACGGCGAATCACCACCGATATGTCTTCCACCACAACGAGGTGACTTCGCGCGAACGAATGTACTTCCCTGACGAAAGAGGCGTCAACAACCCCTTCGTCGCCCGGTCTTCCGCGCTAGTGGCGACCTCGTCACCGAACCGACACTGTCGCAGCGCTGGAGAAGAGGCTGCCGACGCCGCCTCGTCCGCACGCTCGCGACACGGCGAACGCCTTCTCAAGGCGGGCGACACGCTTTACTGGCACCTGCTCATCCCTGGCGGAGAGCGGTGCCAGAGCATCGACCCTCGGACACGAGAGCCGGTTTGGAGCGAGAACGTCGGACGTTGAGGCGACGAGATGACGCCCGTTCTTCCATTCGCCCCAGCGCTTCCCGCCTTTCGCCTTGTCCAACTTCCTGTATCGCCTGCTCATGTCCATCACACGTTGTTAAGTATACACGCAACCCGCATCGGCTGTCCTTACCCTTTCCCTTGCCTCCTTGATATCCTTTTCCCTTCGTTCGCTCTTCCCCTTCGCATGCATTCTTCTCGTCCTTCCCGATTCTTGCCATCCGTACCGTCTAATCTGCATTCCAGCCATCTCCTTATTGACCTCGCTTGATACACGCTCATACGCACTTCGCCGTTCGCGAAGAGGAACTGAAGACTCTGCCGCCCGCCGTCTTCGCTTCGTTCTGGTCTCTGGGAACTCCAAGTGGACGGCTCGAAGTGTACAATGCGAACAACATGGGTAGAACCGCAAAGCAAGCTGGTCGACAGGCGGACGCTTCCTCAGCGCGACGGACAAGCCTCTTGCTTTCTTTCGACGCGCTCTCTCCCGCTATCAACGCTCGCTGGACCGGTGCTTGCATATCTGACGGCTCGCTTCCATGGACGCCGACGACCCGCCTATCGGAGATAGCCTCGCGGAGGGCGCCATCACCATTGTCGAAGGGACCTGGCAGCCTCTCATCGAACCGGTTCACGGCATCGTCCGTGCCTCGTTCTTGCCATTGACGAGGCCGCAGACGGTGGTGTATGCGGTGGCAGAGTACAGGGAGGAGCTGAACCCTCACCAGGTGTGTGTGAGCCCTTTCATCAGTTTGACGAGGAGGAAGTGGGGGAGGTATGGCTTCGACAAGGGCGTTCGCGAGCCTGGGACAGTCTCAAGCAGCTATTAGCAGCCTGTTGGAAGACGTCAGCCCACTTTGCGGCCGGAGAGTCGGGGGGCGGTCGGTTCTTCTCCTCGAGGTCGTGAAGTTGGGGCGATGTTGCGACGTGAGGCGTTCAATCTGGCTAATGTCCTACGCACAGGTCCCACTCGAGGTCGGCGACGAGGTCTACATCGTCGAGGTCTTCCATTCTTCTTCGCCCTTGCCGAAAGACGTTCGATGGTACCGCGGATACGTCCTCTGCACCTCGTCCCGTCAGGTCGATCCGTACGCCCTAGCAGCATCTTCTCACCCTCCGTTCCGTACGGACGATCCGAACGCCATCCTCGGCATCTTTCCCGCCGCTCACATCGCCTTGCAAGATGATGTCGTGGGCGAAATCGCACCGCCAGATAGTCACGACAAGCCGAACGGCACTTCTCGTACGTCGGAGCTCGAGAGGACTGCGTCAAGGCGACGTAATGGCGGGATGCGGATGGAGTCGCTACAAGAGGAGGAGGAGCCGGAGGACGCCGACGGGCGAGCTGATGGACAACGACGACACCAGGCGCCAAACGGGTCAACTCTGCCAGCTTCGCCGAGAAAGCGGAGCCGCAACCGCGCTTCCATCACTTCGCTCAGCTCTGTCGGCGGATCGTTCCAATCAGCCCGACTGAGCCGGCTTGGCCTGGCTTCACCCGGTACAGACGAGCGATCATCACCTCCGCTTCCCAGTCTCAAGTGCGGCGACGAGACGAGCAGCGGACTCGACGAGCCCCTCATCGACGAGATCGCCTGTGCCCTCCGCGAGTGGCAGAACCTGATGCACACCCACCTCGTTCGCGGAGACTACATGCTCTTCGAAACCGTCGCCGAGCACTTTGACGCTCTCCATGCCATGCGACAACAACTCTTGTCGAAATCGCTCGGCAGTGGCGACGCTGCTCGTCTGCGGCGGGAGGCTGTGGCTCATCTCGTCGCCGGAAACGCTGCGCAAGGGCTCGACATCGTCGTGCGGCATCCGCATTCGGGTGCATTGGTGAAGACGAACATCGAGGGAGACGTTGACGAGAAGGCTTGGATGACGGTCCCAGAGCTCTGTGAGCATGACCCTCATTGGCAGGCCTAAGCTGCGTCACTGACCCGACTCCGCTGCAGACAAGGAACAAGTCGCCCTCGCCTACTCATCCTCAGCCCCTTCGCAGTCTCAGACCCATGTGTCGTCTATCCGCCTCGACTTCCAAGGTCTTGTCGGCGGCGACCTTGCCTCGCCAGGCGAGACCCTCGAGCTGTACTTCTCGCTGTTCAGCAAGGTCGAATCGCGGTACGTGACGGAGGAGGCGTGCATCCTCATCGACCACGAGGGAACGCTCGCTGGCAACGAGACGAGGCAGACAGTCTTCCGCGACCTCACCAAGAACGACATGCAGAGCGAAGTGTATCTCGTTTGCCGCATCATCCGCAACGGCTTCTACAGGTCGTCGGGCAGCATCAGCAACGCCAGTGCGCCACCCAGGTCGGCGTTGCGGAACGGCCTGTCGCTCGCCTCGTCGCGCCACTCCGCCCGTTCCGACGCAGCCTCGCTGGACTCGGCGCCCTCGCCGGCCACCCTCGACGTCTCCCCCGCGCCCGAGACCATGCTGCACCGTGACGATGCCGGTCACAAGTCTTGCCGCCGTCCCGTCGGAGCAGCCGTCGCGGAGCTGGCGGCAGTCGCAGCGCGAAAGTCGCCCATCGCCGTCCCAATCTTCGTTCCTGTCGACGAAGGCACGTTTTCGACCCTCCACGAAGACCTCATCCACAGCCGCACGAGACGATTCGAACAAACGCCCAATGCCCAGCACATCACGGTCGAGATCGAGTACCTATCGCCGGACAACGATAAACGCGACCTCGTCGAATGTTCCGTCACGCCCCGTCTGGACTTCCCCGACATCAGCTCGAAGGAGCAGCGGAACGACTTCTACGTCAAGCTCTGGAGCGGCGAGTTCCATCGGTCGGGCTCGGGAACCGCTACTGTCCGAAGTCTCGCACAGCTCGCAGCCGCTGGCGGTAGCGCAGGCAGCTTCGAGGTCTCGGCCGAAGCGAGGAGTCGGTACGGACAGCCGCTCGATAGAGCCCTCTCGCGAGGTGCGGGACAACAACCCGTTTCCGCCTTTGTCTCGACCGTCTACAAGGGTGCCGAAAAGCCTTCCTGGGGCGAGCTCTTCAAGGTCAGCCTCGCGCCGGAGGAGTTCGTCGACTCGCACCTTTTCCTCACCGTCCGCGACCGCAACTCGCGGAGCGATCTGCCTTTCGCCTTCGCCTTTCTTCCCTTCCTGCACGACGGGACGGCGGTCCAAGCGGACGGCACGCACTCTCTGGTTCTCTACAAGTACGACGAGGCCATTGCAAATCCTGCCTTCTACTTCCAAGTTCCCGCAAAACGCGACAGCGACTCCGAACCTCCGTCGATTCCGCCGAGCGTTTCCAAGACCCTCGTTCCGCTCAGGGACAGCATCAAGATTCGCACGTTCCTCGTCTCTACCGCCCTCTCGCAGGACGACGTCCTGCTGCGCCTGCTCCGATGGCACGAGACGCTCGTTCGTCAGCCCGACTCGATCAGCGAGACCTTGGTGCAGCTCCGCTTCTGTCCCGAGGCGGAGATTGCGAGGTTCCTCCCGTGCGTACCGCTTCCAATTGGATTTCGGTCGAAGAGCTCACTCTCCGCATTACACAGCGATGTTCTCGACGCGCTCTTCGCCCTGTTCGCCTCTGCGGCCAATACGACCGGTCACCTGGATCGCGCTGCTTACGAAGCCCTCATCTCGGTGCTCGGCATCGTGCACGACCGTCGCTTCACCGGGTTCGGCGAGGCGCTCGACGAGTACATCGCGCGGCACTTCAGCGAACCCAGTGCAGGCCGTCTCGTCTTGCGCACGCTGCAGAGCCTGCTACGACATCCCGAAGACCCCGCAGCGGCGTCCCTGTTGCGATCTAGCGTCAAGGTCTGGCGATGGCTTTTCGGGCTCGCCTTGCGGGCCCACGTGATCTCGCGGTCACAAGGCGATGACGGCACAGGCGACGCACAAGGGGCCTTCCGAAACGAGGTCGTCGGCCTACTCGCCGAAGTCAACACGCTCATGCGTACGACAAGGCCGGCATCCATCGTCGGAACGCAAACGCTTCTCATTCAGCATTTCGCCTCGATTCTCCCGCTTCTCACGTCAGTCTTCGGCGAAGAGGAGACCATCGAGGTCATCCTGTCCTTCATCGAGTCGACAGGCGAGCTGAAGGGGAAGGCGCTTGTCTGGCGGCTCCTGCTTCTGAACGAGGTGGTCCGCTCGTCCGCCTTCGCCTCGCCAGCTGCTCGTGCAGCATTCGTCCCAGGACTCGTCCGAGCTGTCAAAGCGTGTCTCGGCAGGTTCGACGAGCTCGCCATGTGCGCGCCAAACGCATCGCAGGTCGCCCGCGATACGGCCCGCATCGCTTGGGTCGAGGAACTCCGGCTCGCCACATCCGTCCTCGCCAGCGCAGTCGACGTCGTCCAGAAAGCCCTCGTCAGCCCGGACACCCGCTCGAACCGAACGCTCTCCGCGCAGGAGCAGGACAACGCGGAGTATCTCCTCTCCCTCGTGCCGCTGCTTCTGGACAGCCTTAACGAGTTCGAGAACCCCGTCAACACCGCCGCCATCGAGCGACAGCGCGCACCGGGCGCTGCTCTGCTCGACATACCGGTCACCTTCCCTTCGTCGTATCCTTTTTCCCTCGTCACACGTCCACCGACGACCGGCGCTGGCGCCGCACCCTCCGAGTCGGCGACTCGCCGATCCGTTCAGCCCGGTATTGGGGAAACCGTCTGCACGGTGCTCGCCCTCATCCACCTCGCATCGCTGCAGACTCTCATCGGTTGGTTCGATTCGCTGCGGGAGGTGGAGGGTCCCGACAACCTCGCCGAGCTGCTGAGCCAGCTCTGCCGCCTCGCGATGTCGACGATCGAGCATGACAGGTTGCCCGAAACCTGGCTCACCTTCGACTTGTTCGCCCACCGCACCGCTTTCAAGCTCGCCGAGGCTGTCGACGTCGTTGTCCGCCGACATTTCCTGCCGCTCGAAGACGCCGCTTTCTCGTTCCGGACCGTGCTGTGGGAGGACTACCTCGGCATGGTTCTCAGCCTCGTCTCGAGGCCTCAGCGCACCATCGAGAACTTCTCGCCGCAGAAGCGGTTAGTCCCGGCTTTCACCGCTTCGCAGGAGTCGCCGCTGATCGCTTCCATTCCCAGACGAGCGGTGTGGCAGCTGTCCGGCGATCTGCGAGCGGAGGGCGCTGCTCTCCTCGATCGCGCCTGGACGTCCCTCGCCCTCGTTGACGACCGTTTGCAGCCCTTGGTATTGACCTATGGCGGCTACCAAGTCCAGCTCGTGACTGTCCTGCTCGGCAAAGTACTCTCGACATGCCTCTCTCAGCACGATTCGCTTCGACGAGTCGGTACAACAACGCTTCGCGCAATGATCCTGTCCGAGGTGCGTAAGCGCACATTGAACCTCCTGCTCGTCCGTCACTGATGACAGCGCTGCAGTACGAGCTGAACGGCGAGCTCGACACCCTCGAAGCCGCCGCGATCGGCCACCTCGACTCGCTCTTCGGCGCCCGCGACCACGTCGACGCTGCAGCATCTCGCACGTTCTTCGTCGCCGAGTTGCGCCAGCTCTTCGGCGAGTGTGATCTCAAGGACGACCAGCGCACTCGCGTCACCGCCTTCCTCGAATCTGTCGACGCATTCCTCGAGCTGTTGCTGTCGGTCAAGACTTTGCCCGAGGGCGACGAGGTGCGTACACCTCTGTTCCCGAAAGTGAGCATTTGATGACCATTCACCTCGACAGTTCCAAGAGGACCGCATCGCCTCAACCCTTCGCCTTATGACGGTGAGCGCGATTCCCGATCGATTCTCTTTGCGGCGCTGAACTCGCTCGCTTCCTCCAGTTCATCCGCAGCATCGGCCGAACCGACATCTTCGTCCGCTACGTCCAGCGTCTCGTCGACTGTACGTCCACCGGTTCTTGTACTCCAGGCCTCGCTGACGACATGCCTCGATAGACCATCTCGCCGCCGCTAACTTCGTCGAGGCCGGCCTGACCCTTAAGCTGCACGCCGACCTCTACGACTGGAACAACACCGCGTCGCTCGACCCCGTGCAGGACCTCGACTCCCAGAAACAGACGGAGTTTGCGCGCCGAGAATTGCTCTTCCACCGCATCATCGACTACCTCACTCGCGGCAAGGCATGGGAGACGGCGATTGAGCTAGCGACCGAGCTCGAGAAGCAGTACGAGACCAAGACGTTCGACTATGTCAAGCTCGCCGGTGTCCTGCGCATCAAGGCGGACCTGTTTGCTAGCATTGCCAAGTCCGAGCGGCAGTTTGGGCGCGTTCAGCTCCTCTCGCTCATTCTGCTCTCGCTAATCTTCGCCTTGCACAGCTCCTACTTCCGCGTCGCCTACTATGGCAGCCACTGGCCCGCCTCGGTCGCCGGCAAGCAGTTCATCCACCGCGGCAGCGAGACCGAGACGCTCGGAACGTTCATCGAGCGCATGCTCAACAAGCATCCATCGTGCGTCAATCGCTAGGGCCGATCGCCTCTGTCACCTCACTGATGAGTGATGGGTGGTATCGTGCAGCGCGCAACTGCTTCGGACGAGCAGCATCCCCGGCGAGGAGATCCAGTACGGCGAGACGCAATACCTCCAGATTACTGCCGTCTCGCCCGAATACGATCGCTCGCACCCTCTCCTCCTTTCACAGGACGTCCCGCACTTCGCCAAAGTCTGGCATCTCCACCACGGGTCGACCTTCTCCTTCACTCGCCCCCTGGCCAAAGATGCGCAAGGCCGCAACCTCTCGACTAACGACTTCACCGCGCTATGGACGGAAAAGACGGTCTTGATTACTGAGGATGCGTTCCCGACTGTCCTCCCTCGCTCAGAGGTCGTCGAGATTCGCCTGATCGAGATTTCGCCTACTGAGAACGCCCTGGCGGATATCGCGACGAAGAGTGAGGAGCTCGAGGCGCTGGAGCGGAGGTACAAGGCTGTGATGCAGACGGCCGAGGAGGGGACGAAAGTCAACACGTGCGTCTTGCATTTCCTCCTAGCTCTCCTCCTCATCTGATCCGCCTCCTTGCGCAGCAACCCACTCTCAATGGCGCTCAACGGCGTGATCGATGCACCCGTCAACCAAGGCGTGCCGATGTACCGCCGCGCGTTCCTCGCGCCCGAAATTATCGCCAACTCGCCGCCTGCGCAAGTCGCGCTCGTCCGCCAGCTCGAGACAGCTATCGATGAGCTCGTGCGTTACTCGCTTCTTGATGTGTTGGAGGCAGTCTGACGGTCGTTTGCGGTGCAGGTCGTCACCGTTGCGAGGTGCTTGAAGTTGCATGCGCTGCTTTGCACGCCCGACATGCAAGCCTTCCACGAGACGCTTGAGAAGTGTGCGTCGACTCCTGCGCTCGTCCTCTCGTGCTTCAAGGCTGACGGTCGCCCGCCCGCGCAGTCTTCGAGAAGAACTTTGCGGCCGAGATCGCCCGTCTCCCCGAACCCGCCACCTACCAACCCGCCGGCTTTGCCGCCCTCTCGCCCGATACCGCCTCCGCACCTATCTTCATATCTACCGCAGCTCGGGCGTACGGCAGTATCTCGATCACCTCCCCTCGGTCCGCTACGTCGCCCCCAAGTTCGCGGAACAATTCCATTTCGGCGCAGGCGGTCGACGACCAGTGGTTGCGCGTCAAGAGTCCTGTCGCCTCATCTTCTCCCACGCCTGCGCCTGTAGATGTGCGCAAGGCGTCGAGCGTCGCGGCGTCGGACAAGGACAGGCCGTTCAGCCCGACTCGACCGCTCTCGCTCTTTTCGCGTCGGTCGCCCTCTCCTGTCGCTGAGCCAGCAGCGAAGGCAGAAGAGGGGAGTGGGACAGGACTCGGACGACGGGCGAGTCTCTTGTCGAGCGCGGTGAAGAAGCTGGGAGGAGGAGGAGGAGGCGGAGGGGGCGCGGCGAAGCGCAAGACGAGTTTCCCGGCTGTGCCCGAGGAGTGAGGGTGTCGCTTATCTGTTCGGTGTACTCTCTTGGATTGCGCTTGACCTGTGTTGCTGTAACTACGCGTTCGCCATCGTCCTCTTCGACCGGGACCTTCTCAACCGTCTTCTCGCTTCTTCCGTGGCCAATTCGGTGCTCTGCGAGGCTACCAATGCAGTCAGAAGATGTCTCTTCGGTGCTGGACGAGGCCAGCAGGGAGTCGTCAGGTGATCGCAGCGGGAGGATCGCCCTGCATCGCTCCTTCTCCCAGGGTACACACTGCTGAGCTATGCTGTTTGCTTGAATGGACGAGCTGTCACACCGCTGGTTCGCTTCGACGGGGACAGGGACTTTGGCGGCGTCCGTGCAATCTCCGCACGCGGCGACGATGGGTCTGCCGCATTCGCCCACTTCGCAAGGCGGGCAGTACCACACAGAGCGTCCAGCCAGCTCAGCCAGCTTCTACTACACGCTCCCGACACCGCCGACCGCTCACGACAGCCGCAACGCCGCCCAGTCGCGACCTCTTCCCTCGCGTCACCTGCTCTCAGCGCTTCCTCTAGCGACCGAACAAGGGCGTGCACCGCACCTAGACTATGCAGGGGTCATCTTCAGCACATCGCCAGTCGCGCCCGCACCGGAGACACACAGCTACCACGGCCTCGATCACTCCTCATCGCTCACCCAACAGCCGTCGCTCCCAGCCTGGCCACTCACCCCGCCGGCTCAGTCAGACTACCAGCTCACCAGCATGTCGATGAGCAGCGACGGCGGCGCCGGACCAAGCGGCGACCAGGGCGCGACTCCCTCTGCGAGGATGGAGACGGATCCGCTCTTCCCCCCGCCTCCGGTGGGCGCGAGGCGGCGCTCGAGGACGGCTGGGGAGCCGAGACCGGTCAGGGGAATCGTTGGACAGGCTGCAGAGGAGCAGGCGGCCGTCGACAGAGGGTCTGCGACGGCGGCGGCGGCCGGAGCGGGGAGAGCAAGCAGTTCCAGGCCGGCGGTTGCGGCGCTGGCGGCGGCGGTAGGGCCCAAGACGACGGAGAAGTCGTGCAGGAACTGCAGGACTCGGAAAGTCAAGGTGCGTTCCGTTCGCGATGCACTTCGTCAACCTCATCCCGCTTACGCTTGGCGCGCAGTGCGACCGCAAATGGCCCAGATGCCAGCGGTGTAAGGACAGGAAGGAAGAGTGTGCGTTTCGTGCTTCTCACCGCTTACAGGCGGGCGCTCGAAGCTGACCTTGTACGCATTTCGACAGGTGACTTTGGGTCGTTCGTTCCAGGTGCGCTTGCTCGAATCGATTGGCGAATATGCCGAGCAGTACTGACAGCCGTACATCAATTTTTCCTTCGCAACATCCACACTCGCGCCACTGCCTTCGACCTTGTTGGACCTCCTTGACCTGCTCGCTTCTCACTCGACAGTCGATGCCATTCCGGTCGCTGCGCTTCAGGGAGCCGTGACTGCTCGTAGTCCATCGGACGGTGGAGACCGCGAGAACGTCTTTGCGCTTCAGGCTCGTATCGGTACGTCCCGCCGCTCTCGTTCGGCCGCTTACTTCTCTACGAATTGCGCTAACGCCGGTACCGTGCAGCCAACCTCGAAGCCGAACTCGAGGCTCTGCGCGCACCGCCAGCCGCTTCAGGCAGCAACCTCGCCCGCCAGCCCGATCAACGGGTCCGCAAAGGCTCCGCCGCGTCCGGGAGCAACGAGCAGATGGGATCCGGCTCGAACTCGTCCGCCTCCGGTCCAAGTCGTCGTCAGTCAGGACCCGTTGTGCCGTACCCGCATGTCGCAGGCCCACAAGACTTCGCCTCGAGCGTCCCGCATCCTGGTTCGCCCGGCTCGCTCGTCAGCCTTACTGAATCGCTCTCGGCGGCTTTCGAGCTCGGTGCGGGACTGAGGGAACCTGGGCCTGAAGGCGAGCAGCGAGTGAGGACAGTCGAAGTCTTCCTCCGCGGCGTGGCGATGCACAACTCCGAGCTTTACAGCCTCGCGGCGACGGGACTGGGGCCAATACCGGATCGGAATCGGGCTGGATGGATCGGAAGAGCGGATCAGGGATTGCCTACGATCAGCGAGGAGCAGCCGGAATGGAGGCTCGCGAGGGCGTGGATGTCGCGGACGCTCATCGTTCACCTCATCCTCTGTTCGTCGCGCCGTACCCTCCCTCCCCTGACCCCCTATACTGACGCGCTTCTCCTGTAGCCTTCTACAACTCTTGTTGTGCATATTTGCCCGCCTTTTCGAGCTGGCACGACCGCCGAGACTGGCTGATCAACAACGTCGACAACCTCGATCCCGCCAGCCGAGTCGTCGCGACCACCTTTTGCGCGATGGGTGCCCGCGCGAGTCCTCATTCGGTGCGTCTCCCCGCCTCACAAGCGAGATGGACCCGGCTGACCCGCTTCGAACGTCGCGTAGGCCATCCTCGGCATCTCGCTCCCCAGCCCAAACCCGACCGACTGCTTCGAGGAAGCCTCGATCGCGGGCCACCACCGCGAAGCTGCGTGCCGCGCACTGCACAACCACGCCTTTGACCTCATGCACAGTCTCGGCATCCTCTACGACTTCAGCCGCGAGAACCTCGAGGCGTTGTTGGTCCTCATTCAGATGCTCATCTGTGCGCTCTGCTTCCTCTTCCTTCTCCCCGCGTTGTCGGCTGACGAAGCGTCGTTCGACAGTCAACGAGCTCATGCCGCAGCGGTCGAGGTCGCTCATGCTGTTCGCGCTCGGGCAGTACAAGGAGTTGCAGGATAGCGCGCTCCCGCCCGGCTTCAAGGAGGAGACGCGCATGGAGATCGGCCTTCCCCTCCTCGAAAACGACTCGGTCACCGCAGCCTACGCGCGCAAGAAGCCCCTCATCTCGGCGTCAGACCTCGAGCACTACTTTCCCCCGTACCTCCACCCGGACACGGACAAGGACAACATGCAGTCGATCGTGCAGGACTGTCTGCGCGACACGCTCGCTGCGGACGGACGCCTGACGCACAAGGGCGTCTCGGACGCGGCGAATATCGTCCAGGCCTGGATCTCGCATTCGCATCGCCTTTTCGCGCAGGTCGCCGCGCCCCAGCCCGGAGGTCCGCCGAGTACGCTTGTCGACGATATTCGAAAGTTGTGGACGATGCTGGACCAGATCCATGAGGGGATCCGGAAGGTCCAGGAGATGCTGGTGCAGCTGTCGTACGTCCCGCAAGGGTGCCAAGGGGACGGATGTACGGACGAGCACCTCCGTTTCATCACCCGTCTCGACAAGGACCTCCTGGTGCGACCCGCTTCACCTTTTCCCCTCTCCCTCACGCTGATCCGCTGAGAGTCGCGCAGGACACCCTCTTCCTCATACATTCGCTCGTGACCGAGAACCTCGGCCTCGACTCGCTCATCGGCGATACGGCTCAGGCGACCTACATCGAGAGCGACAAGCGCGTTCGGAAGGCGCTCAAGCTCATTGCGTTCTACCTCGAGGTGCGTCGCACGGTTTCCGCTGATCCGCTTGTCTTCGCGAGGTCGGGAGCTGACTCTCGCCGAGATCATCGCCGTCGCAGCTCTACCTCACGAGTCGGTGCGTCCGCTTCCCTCTCCTTTTGTCCGCGTCTCGCTCACCATCCCCACCTCGCAGCGACCCACACCTGACCTACCACGTCATCTTCTCGCTCGAGATCCTCCCAAACTGGACCGCAATCGCCGTCCAACGATTCGGCGAGACCGACGGCCCTTTCTCGCCCGACCTCGAGTTGACGGACGAGGAACTCGATTGGTGCGTCGTTCCTTCTCTTCTCTCTCGCAGGCTGTGGCTGACGAGTCGAGTGGAGCAGGATCGACAAGGGCTTGATTGTGGGAAGCTATTATCACCCGATCGCGAATGGGCGGTTGCAGGAGCTGAGGCAGTCTCGTCGTCCGAGCTACCGTGCGTCGCGCCCCCCTCGTGATGATCTGCGCTGCCCACTGACAGACTCGTGATGCGCACGCAGGCGCCCAGCCGTACGCCTCGACCGCCGCCATCCAACCGCCCTTCACCGCCGCCCTGCCCACCGCCACTCCCACCCCTCGGCCTCCTCCGCCTGTCGCTGCGCTCCCCACCCACGCACCCCAACCGAGTCTCACGAACCTGCGCCCGCCCCACTGGCCAGACTATGCCAACGCACCCGCGACGACGAGTCTGTACCGCCCTACTACGACGCACTACTTCACGGTCGACAATGTGGTGGATTATCTCGGGTACGAGACGCCTAGCGCGGGAGCGGGAGGAGGACGAACGGGAGCGGGAGCGGGAGGGGAGAGGGAGGTCCCGCCCCCGCCTTCGACCTCGTCTGCTTCGGCGTCGGGGTCGGTCTCGTACTCTGCCGGGGGTGGGGCGAGCGCAGGAGGGTACGAGCACTATGCGACCTCCGCAGGAGTGGAAGGAGGAGAAGGCGCTTTCGATCCAACGGCCGTACTCGTCCCTCGCGCCTCTCACCCTCACCCTCACCAGCCGCACCCGCAGCAGGCTCATGGGTTCGAGTCCCAGTTCCAGGGTGGAGTGACGGATCCGCAGGCTAGCAAGAAGTGGGGCGAATGAGGAGGGTAAGTTAGCGAGACCGTCTCGACGCGAGCGGGGAGTCGCGGGATGGCTTGGGTTACGCTATTTGTTGCCGTGTTATCTCTCTGCCGATTGTAACATCGCTTGTTGCTACACTATCATATCACTCGGGGACTGTGTAGCGACGGACGAGGAAGGTCCCGTGTGCAACAGTAATGGGCAGCAATAGGTTTTAGTCATTAGTCGCTCATTTGCGGGCGACCGGGCTGGTCGCGAGTAAATTGCAAGGTCGAGAACCTTGTCGCCCAAGGGTCGCTCGTCGGTTCCAAGGGCATTACTCACAGCTTGTATTCGAGTTTGTATTGCAACTGAATACACCCAGCCGCAGCGAGATCGGTTCCCGCCATCTCCTCTTCCGCACGCTCACACTCGCTGGGGAACTGCTGACAGAGCAGAGTGCTGCTCTTCAGGACTGGACAGAGGAACCCACACCGGAGTAACCACGACTCGCGGCCCGCCCGCCCGCCTCGCCGCCCTCCGTTGTGGGTCCCGGCCCTCGACTCGCAGATCCTCATCGAGCTCGCGCTCGGTCGTGCGAAGTGCGCGACAAGTGCAGCGGCTCTGTCTGAGCAATCAACAAGCCATCACCAACTCGAGCGAACCCGCTCCCGACGACCGCTAGCACACCGCGACCTCGCTCATCTCGCACGCACAGCGCTCTCGTTCGCCTGACATTGCGGCAGAGTCGACAGAGTACTGAAGCACCTTAGACGGCCGCACGATGGCCGCCGCCCTTCCCTCAACCTCGGCTTCATCCTCACACACCTTCCCCCCACCTCCTTCTCACCATCCCCCCTCCGCCTCCTCCTCGTCCGTACCACGCAACTCGCGCACAATCCTCTCCGACACGACCTCCCAGTCCTTCGGAAACCCCAACTCGCTCCCCGGTCCTCCGCCATCACACTTCTTCCCCTCGATTCCCAAGGCTCAGCGGGACAGGGCCAGGCAGGCAAGGTTGGATGCGGCTGCGGCGGCTGCGGCGGAGGCGGCGGCAGCGAGTCCGAGCCCTCCTCCGCCTGCTGTACCCGCCAAAGACGGCATCACCTCGCGAGCGGGAGGAGCGGGCAGCGGCTCATCAGACGACGAGCGACAACAGCGCCAAGCTCGTGCTGAACTCGCCTCGTCCGGACCGTTCGATAACCGTCGACCGTCTGTTGTTGGATCGGGGGTTGGAACGGGCGGGAGCGCGGGAACGAAGAGGCGGTTCAGGGATGTCGAGAGGACGAGTTGGGATGCTGCGAGTGAGCTTGTGCGCATCGAGCGGGAGAGGGAGAAGGAGAGGATGGCGCGTGGCGCTGGCGTCGAAGGTGGGAAGGGCAAGGAGGTGATGCGGGACGAGGAAGACAGGGAGAAGACCCCGACGCCGAGTATGGCCCAGTCCGTCTCTTTCGCCGACCGCTCCCAACCACGCGGAACCGCCTCAACATCCGTCTCACCCGATCCTCCCGAACCCGCCTCCGCCAAGCGCTTCTCGATCGCCTCGCTCGTATCGGACGATGCGGACGCAGATGGGGACGAAGCGATGGTGCTGGACGATGATGCGAGTGTCGTGACCGGCGCGACGGGGACGTCGGCGAACGGTGAAGGAGGGCAGAGTGATGGATCGGCGAAGGAGCCGGCAAAGAAGAGGAGCAGGACGTTGACGACGCCGGCGCAGACGGCGGTGCTGAATGCGCTGCTGGCGAAGGTGCGTCTCACTTCCTCCTCCTGAACTCCTCTTCTTGCTCTTCCTCGAAGTCTGACGAGTTCCCCTCTGACTCAGACGCGCTTCCCCTCGACCGAAGTCCGCGAGGAGGTCGGACGGCAAATCGGCATGTCTGCGCGGCGCGTCCAAGTGTGGTTCCAGAACCGGCGGCAGTCGCAAAAGCGGCAACGGGATCGTGAAGCGCAAGAAGCAGCGGCAGCTTCGGCAGCAGCAGCTTCGGCGATGTCTGCGGGCGTTCATCCGTCGATGCACCACCCCGGCTATCCTCCGCTACATCCGCACGCCTACCCGCCCGGCGCGTACGGCGGGCCTATACCAGTCTACGCCGGCATGCAAGGCGGCAAGCCTTTCCCGCCTCACCCCGGCGCAGTCTACCCAGGCCGCCCCGACCTGCACCGAAACGCTTCGATGGACTCGCTCGGCAGCCAGCAGAGCTACGCCTCGTCCCGCCTCAGTATGGGCAGCAGTTACCAAATGCCAAGCGCACTGCACAGCCGAGACTCGCTTGCGCCTTTGCCGTCCGAACAGCGGTTCTCGAACCCTTACGCTGGAGGCGCGCCGCCATACACCTTCGGACGATCGCCTCATCCCGCATACGGTCCGACCGGACTGCCCGTCCCGCCCCCTCAACTCGCCTATCCCCCGCATCCTGGCGCACCCGCGCCGATCACGACGAAACTCTACTTCCCGCATGTCCCGCGCTCGCATGCTCCGCCTGGCAGGATTCAGGCGGATCCGCTCGCGAGCGCTGGCGCGCCGGACGTCAAGCTTCCTTCGCTGTCGTCCGTCCTTGGCGCAGGTCCCGCCGCCCCTCAACCCGCTCAGCAACCTCCTCCCGCCCATCCTCCCTCGTCAGCGCCCGTCGACCACCAACCCATGTTCAGCCACTCACCTTTCTCGCCCACTCCCACGCACGCGAGCGTGACATCGCCCGTCTCGGCACCTTTTCCGAACCCATCCTTTCAGCGCGCCGTTTTCTCGCCCGAGCCGTCATCCTCCTTCGAGCGCCTCCGTATCTCGACTGGACCGCTCTCTCCTACGTCGGTCGCGACGCCCACACCCTTCTCGCCCGCTTCGACTGTGCCAACCCCCTCGACTGCTGCGACGACTCCAGTCGCACCGGCTCGTCCAGGCTCGACCGACATTCTCGACGTCGCGATGGAGACAATGGCGTACCGTTCCTCAGGCCGCTCGTTACCGCCTCGGCAGACTCTCCCGCCTCTGCGGTCGGTCTTTGGTGATGCGCCTATCGCGACGCGGGGAGGAAAGAAGGGTGGGCCGAGTGAGGCGGACAAGGCGCTGCTCACGCCTATCAGGGCCGACTCTGCGGCTGCCCCGGCAGCGGTGGGACCTCCTCGACTTCCGCCGATTCAGTCTCTCGCCCCAGTTGCGCTCGGCTTGCCCACCACTTCTTCCTCCGGTTCGTCCTCCGCCTCGCCACCCGCGACAACCTCCCGCCCCGCCATCCGCGACTCCCGCGCCTCGACATGGTCCGAAGCTTCTCACGTGACGCGCTCGTCCGCCGCCTCGTTCGAGTTTGGGAAACCTCCGGCGGGGTCGTATCGCGCTTCGACGAGCATTGAGAGGGATGTGGTGGCGGAGAAACAGAGGGGGAGGGAAGCGAGAGGTGAGAGTGTCGAGACGGAGGAGACGAGCGCGAGTGCGGCAGAGGTTGGGATGGCCAAGTAGTGGGTCGGGGGAGATGCTGCGGTTCGGCATGGACACTCCTGAGTGCTTCTTCTTCTCTTCTTCGTTATTATGTCTTGTCTGTCTCTCTCTTTGCTCGTCTTGTCGGAATCTGGATTTGTTGGATAGCGGAGGTTGTTTAGCGTGTTGTTCCCTGTACCCTCAGGTCTAGTCTTTATTGCCATGCGTACTCGCTTATTCTCACGTCTTTGTGAACGTTCTGCCAGCCCTCGAGGAGCAATAGCGCGAGCGAGAGGCGACTTCACCGCTTCACCTCGCAATCCGCTTTCTTCCTGGTCTTCCTCACTCGCTGTTGCTCGCACGACAAGAGATCGCCTCGCTAGCTCGTCGGTCGTACCCAATAGGTTCATTTGGCCCTTCGCGACCGTTCGCTCCGCCCGCGATGCCGTCCTCGTGCGTCCTGTTCCCCTCCCCACTTTCATCGCTCGGAGACGCTCGCAGGACGACAAAAGCTCTAGGGGTTGTGCAATGGCTCAGAAGGGCTACATAGATGCCCTTGGTGCTGACCGGACCGCCTTATCTGCCCCTCGCAGCGTCGACGCTCCGACGTCGTCCTTCGACCCGCTCCCCTCTCCCTACTTCCTCTTCTTCTCCATCCTCGAGCCGCTCCTTACCTTCGCCGGCGCCGCCTACGCGATTTTTACTCCCTTGCCCTACTACATCGCCCTCTACCCGCCCTCTCTCCTTGCTCCACCCACCGCGAAATCGACCCATGTCGCCGCGACCATGATTGTCCGACAGCTCGGGTCCTGCTTCTTCCTTTTTGCGATGATGGGATGCGTCTTACTGCCGGCTATGCGGAGGACGCTGAAGGACAGGCCGGAGGAGCTTGAGTTGCTCGTGCGGGCATACTTGACCTGCCTAGCTGCGGCCGACTTGACGGTGCGTCTCGCTCAACCTCGCAACGCTTCTGACCCATGCTTACCCCTCCTGCGCATTACAGCACATCGGCTTCACACTCTTCGACCTCGGTGTCGAAGGCAGCCTCGCCCCGTCGGGCTGGAACGCCCTTGTTTGGGGAAACGTCGGCATCACGTCGGTTCTCTTCCTCGTCAGGATGTTGTGGATGGCAGGTGTAAGCCGAGGCTCGACGCGACGCGCAGGGGCGGTACGGAAGGGCGAGTAGGCGAGTTTGCCGGCGGAATACGGTTGAGAACCGCCCAAACCTCCTTCACAGGCTCAGTTCCGGCTATACCGCTTTTCACAAGCTGAACATTCCATGACTTGGGACAATCGGGGGTCACGATTCGCGGTTTTGACGACCACGGGACCAAGTCGCGGTTTCATCCAAGCCGCCCTCTTAAGCCGGCTATCCTCCCTTCTGCCTCTCTCCTCCCTTCTCCTCACTCTCTTCGCCTCCTTCGCTCTCCTCGCACGAGACTTACCTATACACGCCCGCTCTATCAGCGCTACACTCGCTCCTCACGATGTCCCACCCTACCGCTGCTCCTCTCCCCACTCCTCCCGCTGCGCCTTCTCCTGGCGACCATTCTGCACGCTTCCTAGAGCACATGTTCCTCCTCAAGATGCAGCAGACGATGGCTCAGCGTGCGCTGAGGTCGTCGTCGTCGGGATTGCCCTTGTTCGCGACGGAGCAGGTGCGTGACTCCCGTCGCGGTTTCGGCGGACTTCGCTGACGCTCGGGTTTACGCCCTCCGTAGCCTCACAGCTATGTGGACGGCAGCGTCCTACCTCGCATCCAGCGACATATCAAGCACGGCTTCGAGAATCTCGAGTCGATGGTCCAGCAGACAAACCTCAGGCTCGACGCCCTCTTCTCGCTCATCGAAGACAGCTGCATGCCTCCCCTCGTCTCGATGCCGTCGAACATGACCGGGACGGCGCACGAGACTGCGGATGACGACTTGCCTGAGATGCCGCCGCTCGTCGACCACGAAGGTCGCCTGTACTACCTCGACGGACGCGTCGAAACGTCGGCTGCTCCTGCCGTCGTCGTCGCTGAGCTTGCCACGACTTCGAAGGACGTTCTCCAGTGGTCGGCGCCTCTTCCTACGTGCGGCAACGTCGGATGCATCGCGGTGGAGCACTCGTCGGTCCTTCAGCACGCCGTCGAGCAGCCTCACGAGCCAGCTACGGCTCAGTCGAACGCGGACGAAGACAAGATGGACGATGAGGTTTCGGACGCCCAGATGGACGACGAGGTTTCGGACGCCGAGACGGAAGGCACGCTTCCTGCTGGCTCCGGCGAAGATGCGGACACCGAGACTTTCGACGAGCCCACGCCTTCGTCGCTCAAGGCTTCCGGTTGGGCAGACGACGAGTGGGAGCCCACCAACGTCGAGACGGAGCGCTTCGTTTACCCCGGAACGTCGAGGCGCCTCTCGGACCGCTCCCGCAAGTCGTCGCCGCACAACTTTTACAGTGGTTTCCGCAAGCCCGATCAGCGCTCTCTCGCCGGCGACGACGCCTGCGAGGACGGCCAGGGCGAAGAAGACCCCGAGATCCGTATCAACCGCATCCAGATCGCGCTCCTCGAGGCGAAGCTCAAGCTCGCCAAGAAGGAGCTCGAGATCGCGCAGAGGAGGGAGGCTGAAGGAGGCGAGTCGTCGATGGACGAAGCCGAGGACTGATGTATTCCGTCCACTGCCTGTTTGTTATCTCTAAGCATTGCTTTCGTTTCCTCGACGCCTGAAGAGACGGACAAAGCGAATGCCTCGTTCCAAACGCTACTCGCTGTCGCTGCCAGTCTCCTTCCTGCCCTTTGCGGCCCAGAAAGCCATCCTGGCATCGGCCTTGTCCTGGCTCGTTTTCTTCTTCTTCTTGGCCTGGCCATTCTCCGACGTCGCCTTCATGACGCGCTTCGCTGGCGGCACAATCAACGCCTCGACGACCTCGTCCGAGTCGACAGATGATCCCGTCTTCGACGTTGCGCGAGACGCTTCGACGCTGCCATCGTGCCGGACGAAGTCCCCGCCGAACCCGCCGAGGACGACATCGCCGTCGGAGCCATGCTCGTCATCGCTCGCCGACGAGTCGTCCGTGACGTGCGTGTAGACGTTGCGTGACGAGGTGGAGGTGGTCGCGACGGAAGGAACGCCGAGAAGATACCGCGAGTCGCTCTCCTCCTCGTCCGATACGGCGGCACCGCGCGAGCCGGTCGTGTCGATGACAAAGCCTGCTTCGCCCATCGACGTGTCGTCCTCGTCGTCCTGCGCGGTCGCATGTGGAGCGAGGGCTTCGAGCGCCGCCTCCTTCGCCTTGGCATCTTCGATCGCGGATCTGTCGACCAGTGGCTGGATCGTGAGGACCTCGCCGCCCTCGGCTGCCGCCTTTTCCGCCTTCCTCGCCGCCTTCTTCTCCTTGCGCCTCAGGCTCTTCTTCTCCTTCTCCTCGATCTTGCGCTCGAGTCGCGCAATAGTCCGCTCGCGCTTCTCACGGTCTCGCGCCTCCTGCTGCATCTTCTTCATGCCCTTCTTGCTCAGGCCGGCGCCGGCGCCCTTGTTCGGGTCCGTTCGGTCCAGCAGGCGCTGCAGGACGCCGTCTTCCCATAGCCGGACGTTGGCGTCTCGCGCATCCGCATCGTGCTTCGAAAGGCCGATGACGGAACCAAGTAAGCTTTGGCTCATGCGGCTCGGAGGGTCGGAGTCGGCATTTGGAAGAGCGGAGGCGGAGAGGGCGACGAGGGAGGGATTTGAGCGAGAGGCGAGGAGCGAGTGCCGCTGGATGAGCCAGGCGGCGAGAGTGTCGAAGCCCCCTGCGAGGGTTTGTCGGACCCGGAGAATGGCGTGAGAGCCACCAGAGACGTCGTTTTCTGCGGGATGAGCGAGACGTCAGTCAAGCACAAGCTCGCAGAGCAGAGAAAGGAACGCACGCGGGTCATTAGGGTCCTCAATCGAGAGGAGGTATGGCTGCTGGGGCCGGAACCACCCCTTGTCGTGCTTGTTGAAGTATCCACCGCGTCCTCGAAGCGTAATACCCGCCTGGTCGTAGTTGAAGTGCTTGCCATACAGTTCGAGGAATTCGACGAAGAGCAGGCCGAGGTTGCGATTCGGGTTGATCGTCGAGGTCTGGATCTTCGGATGCAGCTGCGAAGCGAACGAGCGACCGTGTCAGGAGACTCGTGGAAAGCGAAGGAAAGGGAGCGCGACGCACCTGAAGGAACGAGATGACCATGCAGATGATCGAGTAGCTGCCCAATCCGCCCGTGAAGACCTCGTTCATGCCTCGTTGCGCCAGGAACGCCTTGACCAGCAGAACCATCGACCTCGCGACGCCGTGGTCAACGGGATGAGGCTCGGCGCCGCCGCTCAACTGGCCTTCCTCGTCCTCGTCCGAATCTGCCTCTTCGCCTTCTTCGGGAGATGCGCGCTGCTTCCCCTTCCCCTTCGACACGGTCTTCCCCTTCGAGGGCCCGCCGAGGTCGGCCATCCCCGGCTCGACGTACCCCTCCTCCCTGAACGCGTACTCCTCCAGCATGCTCCTCACCCTCACGGCCGCATCGACACCGTTCTTCTGGTTGACCGAGAGATCGACGCTGAAACCGCCGTAGCGAGTAACAAACTTGACGATCGGGACGCGGGCTTTGGCGATCACGACGAGGGACTGAGGGGCGGCAATGGAGGAGGTGAGGAGGAGGGAGGCGAGGCGGTGGAGGAGGGACGATGAGGGCTTGAGTGGGGGAGAGGGCATGGAAGAGGAAAGGACGACGAGGTCGATGTCACTGTGAAGCGGCGTCCGATGAATCAGTCAGCACTCGCGTAACGATTGGTGCGAAGCCTCGGCTCGCTGCGTACCCGCCTGGCAGGTAAAGTCCCGTTCCGACGCTCCCGAAGCACTGGACGTCGGCATCAGGGTACTTGCTCTTGATCGTGCGGCGAATGAGTTCGATAGTCCACAAGCGAAGCTGGTGTTCGATCGGAGTAGGGGAGATGTAAGTCACGAAAGCGCGACATTCGGCGTTGAACCTGTGTAAGCAACAGCTCTGTTAATGAGCAAGGCTGGATAGAGCCGAACGGGAGGACGGGGACGCACTGGTCGATGGAAGTCTCGTGCTTGCGCCAGTCGACGCCCGGGTCCTCGCACCACGGCGTACTCCGCGCCTTCTCGCGGTCCCGCAGCCTTCTGCTTGACTCTTCCAGCTCCCCCTCATCGAACTCATCGTGCTTCCTCTTGCCGCTTCTCTTCCTCGACCCAGGCGCGCCGTCTCGCGGTGTCCCTCTTCCTCCAGCTGATCCGGTTTGCGGCGGCGGTGACGGCGATGCTTCAAAGGAGATGAAGTCCTCCTGCCCCTCGAACTGCGCGCGAGACGTCGAGTCGGGAGGACCTTCGGTCGTCGCAGGACCCTTGCCCTTTGGTGTCGCCGCCTCCCTGTTCGCCGCGTTCAGCTGGTTCTGCAGCAGTCGCGTTGCAAGGGTACCCTGGCGGGGTTTCGGCGTCCCCTCTGCTGATGTCGAGGCGCGAGACGGTCCTTTGGAGTTTGCGAGCGATGGAGTCGATGCCGCGTCCCCGCTCGAAAGCGACTGCTCGGAAGCCATTCTCGACGCAAGCGCTTCAGACAAGATAGCGGCACAAGTCTGCAAACCCAGCGAGACGCGAGAGGTGAGCGAGGCGAGTGTCGTTCGGAGAGAGTTGCTCGAGTAAGGTCAACCAGGACACCACCGCGCTCTCTGCTTCGTGTGGCTGGCTTGGCCGTGCTACAGTGCTCTCAGACGCCGCTTATACACGCGCACTCTCCCAAGTCCCGTACCGGTGCGTCCCCTCCCCTCCATGACCTCAGCTCGCCGACAACTCGCACATCGCACGGACTAGCGGGCCATTCGACGCGTGCAGGTGCACAAAGACACTGTACAGAGACGCTGGAGCCGCAGAACTGACCATTCCACGCCCTCTCCCAGGTTGACACCAGGTCGCGTCTCGCCCCACCTCGACTTCGTCCGGCTCTCCTCGCCTTCGAACCGCTTGCAGAGGCTCGTGCAGCTGTTCATCTTACTCTCGCACGACCATGCCGCCTCGAATCGAGTCGTCCGACTCGGAAATGGAGATCCAGGAGACGAAGCCGTCCACCTCGACTCGCACAACTCCCGCCCGCAAGCGCAAGTCCGTTGCGCCCGTCGTGACACTCTCGTCTGACTCGGAGGGGAGCAGTGAGGACGAGAAGCCCGCGGTCAAGAAGAAGAAGACGGACGGCGGAAAGGCGGTGGCTTTCAACGGCAAGGGGAAGGGGAAGGCGACTGCCACCAAGGGCAAGAAGGGCAAGAAGGGCAAGAAGGAGGAGAGCAGCGAGTACGAGGGCGAGTCGGCGTCGTCTGACGAGGCCGAACAGGATGAGGGAGATGAGGAAGAGGAGGAGGACGTCAAGCCGAAGAAAAAGGTCGCAATCTCGCAGGCTTCCAAACCCAAAGCGTCAACACCCGCGAAGAAGGGCGCTCCAGCGCCGAAGAAGAAGGAAACGAAAGCGGCAGTCGACGACGAAGTGAAGGATGAGAAGCCCAAGTTCAAGTGGCAGCCCAAACCGCGCGCTGGTCCCGCCGCACCAGGTGCGTTCGCATTCTACACTGCCGTTTGTGCATCCCTCTGCGAGGTCACTCAGCTGATGCGGCAACACCTCGCACAAAGGCTCGAAGGACATCCCCGAAGGCGCTCCTGACTGTCTCGCCGGCTTGACCTTCGTCTTCACCGGCGAGCTGGAGAGTCTGTCCAGGGAGGAAGCGCAAGACCTGGCGAAGCGTTACGGAGGGTAAGTCCCTTGCCAATCTTGCCTGAGGTGAGACTACCGGTCAGGTGTCGCTGACTGCCTTCCGCTTCGCCTCCTCTTGCAGTCGTGTCACCACCGCCCCATCTTCCAAGACTTCCTACGTCGTCCTCGGCTCCGACGCCGGTCCGAAGAAGCTCGAGGTGATCAAGAAGCACCAAATCAAAACGCTCGACGAAGACGGCTTCCTCGCGCTCATCGGCTCGCGGCCGGCGAACCCGGATGACCCGAAGGTCAAGGAGGCGAGGAAGAAGGAGGAGGCCAAGATCAAGGAGAGTGCGAAGAGTCTGACGCTGGCGAAGGATGCGCCGTGAGCTGCAGCTTTCAATGCTTGCGAATCCCAAGAGCTTGCGATCCTGACGCAGTGTGGCTCCCGCAGGGAACACATGACGCAGCTCTGGACGACCAAGTATGCGCCGCAGAAGCTCAACGACATTTGCGGCAACAAGGGCGCGGTTGAGAAGTTGAGGAAGTGGCTCGAGTCCTGGTGCGTTAAATTTCGGCTCCCTCTCTCTCTCGCAGATCGCGTCGTGCCTGAACGTACGGTGTACGCCTGGTCTTTGACAACGAAATTGACGCGATTCTTCCTCGCAGGCCGAAAAACGTCGCCTCCAACTTCAAGAAGCCCGGCCCCGACGGCATGAACATATTCCGCTGCGTGCTCATCTCTGGCCCTCCCGGTATCGGCAAGACGACCTCTGCACACCTCGTCGCCAAACTCGAAGGTTACGACGTCCTCGAGCTCAACGCGTCCGATACGAGAAGCAAGAAGTTGCTTGAGGAGGCGTTCAAGAGCAAGGTCACGGACGCGACGCTGAGCGGGTTCTTCAAGAAGCCCGGCGAGGAGGTGCGTCCGCATGCTACTGCAGCTCCAGCTCAACCTATGCGCTGTGGCCGAAGCTCTTAACTGATCTCGACCGTCCCGCCCGACAGCACGACCCGTCGACTGGTCTTACCGTCAACCGCAAGTCGCTGATCATCATGGACGAGGTCGACGGCATGTCTGCAGGCGATCGCGGCGGTGTCGGTGCACTCAACCAGTTCATTAAGAAGACCAAGATCCCGATCATTGCCATCGCCAACGACAAGAGCAGCCAGAAGATGAAGCCCCTGATGAACACTTGCTTCCAGATGAGCTTCAAGCGGTGCGTCCCACGACAGTTGCGACGAGACTTGCGCGGTAGCTCACGCTTTCATCGCCCCAGCCCGTCCGCACAGGAGATCCGCTCGCGCATCATGTCCATCGCCTTCAAGTGCGTTAGCAGCCATTCAAGGCGCTCTCTTCCGTACTGACAGCCTTGTGTAATCAACAGGGAAGGCCTCAAGCTCGACGCGAAGGTCGTCGACCAGCTCGTCGCCGGCTCGAACTCTGACATTCGCCAGATTGTCAACATGCTCGCGACGTACAAGCTCAGCGCCAAGGCTATGAGCTACGACGAGGGGAAGAAGCTGTGAGTGGCGGACTCTGCCGTTTGCCTCCGACTTGACGATGAGCTTACTTGTCGGTCGGCTCCTGCTCGCAGCGCCAAGATGAACGAGAAAAACACGATTCAGACGCCGTGGACGCTCTACAGCAAGCTGACCGGCCCGCAAGCCTTCTCGCCCGTCTCCGGCATGACGCTTAACGACAAGGTCGAGATCTACTTCCAGGACCACTCGATCATGCCGCTCTTCGTCCAGGAGAATTACCTCAAGGGCGACTTTGCGCGCGCGAGGTCCGAGACCGGGCCGGGCAAGCAGCTCAAGAGGCTCGAGTTGATGCAGAAGGCGTCTGAGAGCATCTCGGACGGAGACCTCGTCGACGCCATGATCCACGGGTGCGCGCCGATCCTCCCAGCGAAGTTTGCCAGTCAGCTTACTGAGATCTTGCTTGGTCCTCGTGCTTAGCACCCAGCAGCAATGGTCGCTCATGCCCCTGCACGGCATGCTCTCCTGCGTCCGCCCCGCGTCTTTCACGTACGGCTCAGGCGGCGGCTATCCTAGCTTCCCTGCGTGCGTCCCGTCTTCATTCCTACACTGTCATGCGAGAGTAGACCGCTGACGACTCGTCCTTGCCGCAGCTGGCTTGGCAAGAACTCGACGCAGGGCAAGCTCGGCCGCCAACTCAACGAGATTCAGATCCGCATGCGTCTCCGTGTCTCGGGCGACAAGCGCGAAATCCGCCAATCGTACATCCCGACTCTCTTCCCACGCCTCGTGCGGCCGCTCATCGACCACGGAACGGACGGCGTCGAGGACGTGATCGAGACGCTCGACCAGTACTACCTCAGCAAGGAGGAGTGGGACGCGATTGTCGAGATGGGCATCGGCGAGGGAATGGGCCAGGAGGAGGTGCTCAAGAAGATCCCGGCGCAGACCAAGTCGGCCTTCACTCGCAAGTAGGTCCCCGTCCCTCCGCTTCCACTGCTCGACCTTAATTCACATCCGTATCGTCACCAGATACAACTCGTCGGACCACCCGATCCCGTACTACAAGCCGGATGGCGGCAAAGCTAAGGCGAAGAAGCTCGCGCCGGCCGGCGAGGCGCCCGACCTCGAAGAAGCCTTCGTGCGTCTCCTTCCTTCCAATGCAAGCGAAGGTGCGAATCTGACGTTCATCGCCTACCCCCTATGCAGGTCGACGAGGACCTCGACGAGGCGGACGCTGAGGACGATGCAGCCGACTCGGACTCTTCGGCGGGCGACGTTGGCAAGGACAAGCTCATCAGGGCCAAGAAGGGTCCGGGCGCTGCAGCAAAGAAGGTCAAGGCAGCTGCGGGCTCGAAGGCGGCGCCGAAGGGCAAGGCCGCCGCCAAGAAGTGAATGGAATGGCCGGAGTCGAGGAGGATGTGGTGCGCTTGTTCACGTCTGGGGTCTGTCTGCGGCTCGCATGCCGCTCTGTATGTTGTTCTCGCTCGCTTGTGTAGACGCTTTGCCGCGCTTTGGGATGCGCAACCGCCTTTACGCTTACATCCGGACTCCTGGCGAGTGAGTGAGCGGGCCTCTTTCTCGGGGACAACCTTGTCGAAGCTGGATATCAGCTCATTAGATAGTCAGGGTATCGGCACGCACGCAGGACTTGCGAAAGAAGCTGCTGCCACGGTCGTGACGAAGCCGTTCATCCTTCGTCTCCTGCACTCACAGTCGCTGGTTGCAAAGTCGAGCTGCCAGACCAGCGACGACCGCTACAGATTCGACTTTGGTCTTGTACACCGCACACCCAGTTTCGCACCCAGCAAGCGCCTCGACGAGCTCGCTGTCCCTTCCTCTCCCCAGCTCCCTCTCCGACCCTCGTCTACCCGCCGTCACCACCGCAGGAAAGGCCGCGCAGCCGATCAGTGACGGCAGAGTAGATGGCACGGCTCAAGCGCCAGCCCAAGAAGGGCGGATCGGCCCACCCCGGCATCGCCAGCTTCATCACCCAGCTCCAGCAGGTTCCCCAGCATGAGCTGCCCTCGCTGGTCCAGCCGCTGCTCGAGCACGGCTGGGAGTGGCCCAAGACCGACCTCCAGCACTGGGTCTACCCGCTCAACCGGTTCGACGAGATCCTCGAGAACGTCATTCGCGACTACGACCTCGGCTCGATGGAGCACTGCCAGACGAACGAGTTCACGCCGCGGACCAAGGAGCTCCTCCTGAGCGTTCTCGGCTTCCAGAAGCTCCTCCTCGAGAACTCGACGAACCGAAAGATCTTCAACGGTTTCGACGTGAGTTCGCGGTCCTCCTTGTCGAGAAGCAGATCTTGGCTTGAGCTTTGCGCGCTGATTCGCTCTTTGTTACTACCGATGCAGCGCATCAACGACCTCCTCCACACTACCGACATCTCTGTCCTCCTCGCGACCCTCCGCCTCGCTCTTCGTCCAGCTCAGCAGTTCTCGTCGATCAACTCGTCCCTGAACGCCGCGCCCTTCTCCGAGAAGCGCCTCCTCGCACTCGCCCAGTCGTGGGGAACGCGCGAGCATGGCATCGAGCTTTACCAGCTTGCCGAGGATAGGCAGCTGGAAGTTCCGCTCGAGTCGCAGGAGCCCGAGTGGCAGTTCTACCGCAAGGCTGAGCCGAGCAAGGGCGCGTCTGAGAACAAGTCCCAGGAGCAAGGGATGGAGGTTGATTCTGCGGAACCGCCGGCGTCGGCGCCTCAGGCCTCGACCAGCGTTTCTACCCCTGCACCCGTACGACGCACCGCATCCTTCGCTCCCCACCTCCACACGCCCGCGCGCGAGGCGCCTTCGACGCCCGCCGCTCCTACGACGCCTGCAACGGGCACGTCGGCGCAGGGTCCGAAGTCTACGGAGGGTCTCACGACGATCCACCTTCCCAACCTCCGCACGACGCAGAAGAGCGCAATCGACATTCTTCTCGACCTTGCTGAGACTCACCACGTGCCCGACTCGGACCGCCTTGACCTCCTTCAGCGCATCCGCATCGGCCAGGCGCTCTCTTCGCCTAGTACGGCCACTCGTCAGCAGCTCCTCGTTGTGCGCCTCTTCGCCCTCGCCGTCTTCGCCCACTCGCAAAGCGAGCAAGCCGCTCAGCTGAAGATCTTCCTGTACGAGCCCGACCTGATCGCTCAGGTCGCTGAGCTGGTCCACCCCGAACGCGACGTCCCGGTCGAGGTCCGCAGCGCAGCGCTGTACGCGCTGGAGGCGTTCGGTAGGCGGAAGTCGAGGACTGCCGAGGTGGCCAGCGCGCTCAACGCCAGCGTCAGCCACGGCGTGCTGATGGAGACGGTCCGCAAGATGGCGGCCGATCTCGACACCGACGAGCGTGCGCACCTCTCTCTTTCCCGCTGCACTGTAGGACGCTGACAGAGCTCGTCTGCAGCCGAGACGAATGTCGAATACATCGATGCGCTTTTCCACGTCCTGACCTACATGAACATCCACACCGCGATCGGCTCCATGGTTATCGGCGCCGGCATCGTCAGCGTTCTGCTCGACTTCCTCCGGAACGAGCGACGTGGCTACCTCCAGCTCCTCGGCGCGAACAAGGCGAATGTCCTCCTCGACGGCTTCGTTTCCGGCTACTCGAACGCTTTTACGGCCTTCATGTCAGCCGGAGGCCTCAACGTCTGGGTCGCTCGCATCAAGACCGAGGTCGACGAAGCTGTGTCTGCGCACGCCGACGAGGCGAAGAAGCTCGAGGCATCGGTCAAGGAGAACGCGCTCGGTTTCTTGCCTTTCCAGCAGGGCATCCTGCTCAAGTCGTTCCTCCGCGCCCTTCAGCGTCTCCTCGCCGGATCCGGCACGACCGAGGGCCTCCGGAACGTCATCGACACGTCGCTCCTCGACAGTATCAAGACGGTCATGCAGTATCGACGCGTCTTCGGCCCGCAGATCTTCTCCCTTGCCGCCAACATCGCTGCGACGTTCGTTCACAACGAGCCGACATCGCTTGCCGCCCTCCAGGAGGCCAAGGTGCCCGAGATCTTCTACGACTCGCTCGAAGGAGTCATTCCCGCCGCCAACGAAGTCCTGCAGTCGATCCCGCATGCCATCGGCGCCTTCTGCCTCAACCAAGCGGGACTCGATCAGCTTCTCGCGCGCCCGCTCGTCGACAAGTACTTCGAAATCTTCACGACGCGCGAGCACGTCGAGCTCCTTCGGGACCGCGACTCGGCCGTCATCCTCGGCAGCTCGATTGAAGAGCTCATCCGGCATCACCCCGCCCTCAAGGAGAAGCTCATGAAGGGCGTCCACGGCGTCCTCGAGGCGCTCAAGGCGAACGGCGAGCGCTTCGTCGTTCCCGACGGAGAAGAGGGGTACAACCTCGTCGCAGCTTCGCCTGTGCGAGACGTCCCCATGCAGGAGTTGGGGACGGATTCGGCCGGACAGGCGACTCGTGCGGGTCAAGAGCAAGATTCGGATCAGGCGCGTCGAGAGCAAGACGTGAAGGACAAGGACAAGAAGAAGGACGAGGAGACTATGAAGAACAACGAGGCGACCGACGCGATCGATGTCTTCGGACGCGTGCGTACGCTCCGCTAGCAAGCTTGGTATCGCATGCTGACTACCGCGACTGCCTGCAGTTCCTCGAAGGGCTGTTCCAGAACACCGGCCAAGTCATCGACGACTTCTTCGGCGCGACAGACAAGGTCTTCGAGACGCTCCTCGATCTGCTCGCCCTGCCGTGCTCTCCTGCGATCATGGAGAAGAATAACGGCTACAGCTCCATCGCCGCCATGTTCCGGATCGCAACCGAGACCAAGGCAAGCGAGGTTCTCTCCTGCATCTTGCGCCGCACCGACAAGTGGATGAAGAAGACCGAGTGGTTCTGGAACACGACAGCGACCGACGGCCTCGCTCGCGAGTCGCCGCTCGCCGCGATGGTTAGCCCGCCTGTCGACTCGCTTCCTGACCAGCAGAAGCGCTTCCGCGACATCACCGTCCTCCTCTCGCACATCTCGCTGCTCTCCGATGTCTTCACAAACCTCACTTACGCGTACGGGAAACCCGCAACCGTCATCCTCAGCGTCTTCACCAAGCCGGCGGAGCAGGGCGAGGTTCTCGAGCGCATCGGACGCGTCTACCGGGCGTGTCAGTGGGAGAACGTCGCCATCCGTCCCACCAGCTTCTGGACGGGCGAGGCGTCCCAGGCAGCGACCGAGGAGATCGCGCAGAATGCGCCGCAAGGCGAGGCGCCGACTCCCGCGGTCGCAGCTTCGCGCGAGCACCAGCAGGAGCGTGCAGCCGAGAAGGCGGCGGTCGAAGCGATCTCGACTCCGGCGACGCCCGACTCGCCCAACATCAAGCTCATTCAGGACGTCCTACAGGCTTTCACGAGATCGACCTTGCCGTTCATGCAGGCCATCCTCAAGCTTGTCCTCCAGCGTCGCACCGCCGAGGCTGCGCATCGCGCCGTCGGACAAGCTGTTGCTGAGAAGCTCGCTCGCTTCCTCCGCGACAGCCTTGAATGGCCCGAGGCGAAGGAGCTCTCTGCCAACCTGGCGTACGCAGCGCAGAGCCTCATCCTCGTCACCAAACTCCTCTTCGACGGTGCGTCGCCGCATCATGATTTCCGGTTGACACGACCCACTCACCGCTTCATTTTTCGCAGAACGTCCGAACGGCTTGCAAGTCCAGCTCTTGCGTTCCTTCGTCGCCTGCGGCGGCTTCGAAGCCTACCTGCGCCTCTTTGAGCGGCTACAGGCCGTCGCAACGGATTACTTCGCCTCCACGTCGGACGCCAGCACCGCTTCGCCGCTCATCATTCCGGTCTTCGGCGGTCTCAAGACGGTCCTCGAGCTTCTCGTCCGGCTCACGGCGGGCCAGACGATCCTCGAAGCGCCGCAAACGGCAATTCTGCTCACTCGCGAGAAGGACCCGGCAAGTCGCAACTACTTCAACGCGCCCGCTCTCCTCGTTCGCCTTCGCGCAGCAGCTTTGCCGGCAATCTGCGCCATGTGGGAGCAGCCCTGGCTCCGAAAATGCCCTCAGAACGTCGTTCGCAGTCTCGTCGCCACCCTCATCAACGTTCTCAAGGCGGAGGGGGAGGACCAGACAGACCAGCCGCCTCGACCAGAAGTCGGTCGCCCTCTCGGTCAGGTCATCGCAGACGGCAACCTCGCGGTGGGGGGCACGGCGAACGCGCTCAATGCCATGTTCGGCGGTGGGCCGCTCGGAGCCCTGGCGGGCGTTCCAGCCACGCCGCCTGCTCCGGACGAGACGCGCATCGCGCAGCTGATGGACATGGGTTTCCCGCGTGGCGCATGCGAGACGGCGCTCCGCCGCACGCGCAACAACGTCGCCCTTGCGACTGAGTACCTTCTCCAGCACCCGGACGTGGTCGGCGCCGCTCGCGATGAGGAAGCCCGTCAGCTCCTCGCCCCCGCTCCGCTCGCACCTCCTGCCGATGCTCAACCTGCACAGGCCGACAACGTCGAAGCTGCGCCAGCTCCTCTCGCTCCCCAAGACCAGCCCGCAGAGCCTGCGGCCCCGGCACCCGAGCCCCAGGCAGACGTCGAGATGGGAGATGCCAATGCAGATGGCACGGTTGCCGAAGCCGCAGCGTCGACTACTGCTGCAGAGGAGCCGCCGGCGACGCTAGAAACGCCAATCGACGACGTGAAGAAGGAGCTCAAGGTCGCCCGCGAGAAGATCGAGACCGGCTTCATCCACCGCACGCTCGAACTCGCCGAGGACTTTGCGGACCTCGTCTTCGACGTCAAGAACGTCTTCAACTCGCTTGCGCCGCCGAGCAGTGCCGAGTCGGGCAAGCCACCGTTCAAGCCGCTTCTAGACGAGCTCGACTCGTTCACAGCGGAGAACGGTGCGGACGCCCGCGAAGCCGCCATCACGACCCGGCTGCGTCTCATTGCCCTCATCACTACCGACGTCAGCTACCGCGAAACGGTCGAGTCTCTGCGCGAGAACGTCATGTCGACCGTGATGCGTTTCGAACGTCATTACTCGGAAAAGTCGCCCGCCAAGGATGCTCGCCCGAAGTGGCTGGCGCCCCTGATGCTCGTCGCCGACTCGATGCTCGCCATTCAAGACGTGCCGCGACCGACCGAGATCCTCGCCGAAGGCAGCGAGGTCCCCTCTGTTGAGCTCGTCGCGCAGGGTCCGGCCTGGGCAAACGAGCGCAAAGCGCTCTTCGAGCTCGCTCTCGACGTCCTCGACAAGGGCGTCTCGACCCGCGACGTCTTCATCTCGACGTTGCGCCTCCTCCTCTGCTTGACGCGCGACCACGATGTCGCCGCCGCTTTCGCTCAACGCGATGGCGTCCGAACTCTTCTCTCTTCCTTCGCGATCGATTCGCCGGAGACGAAGGGTTGCAGGTCCTATGCCGTCATGATTCTCCGCCACGTCGTCGAGGATCAGGCTCTCCTCAAGTCGGTGATGGAGCGAGAGATCGAAGGATGGTTCGGCTCGAACCGGTCAAAGGTAATGTCGTTTCCGCTGCTTCTCCTTCGGTCTGACGGGCTGAACTTCACCATAGCAGGTGGCCGACGCCACGGGCTTCGTTCGCGCAACACACAGCGTTGCCTTGCGTAACATCGCGACTTTCCTCGAAGCCGCCAAGACCACCATCAAGCTCGTTCGCGCCGATGCCCCGCACCACTACCACGTTACGCTGCAGCGAGACGACGGCGCGAACGCCGGCAAGCAGGTCGACTCTGAGCCCCTCAAGTCGCCGCTCAACCAAGATGGCGCCGACTCGACGGACGCCGCCATGGGCGACGCACCGACCAAAGCCGCCGGCAGGGCGACGCTGTCTCCCGCGCCGCAGGCGGTTGATGTGGTCGTTCACCTGCTCATGCAGCAGGCGCTCGACACGAGTAAGGGTGCCCTCGCGCCTGTCCCGCGTCCTGCGGAGGGCGCCGAATCGGCCGGCAACGCGCCTCCGGACGCATCGAAGAAGGATGCGGTGGATGCCCACATCCCTGCGGACACCCCTCTCGACGATTTCTACCAGTCCGCCTTCTCCCTCGCGTGTCTCGCCGAACTCGTCGCGTCCTATAACCCGTGCAAGGCGAGCTTCCTCGCCTTCTCGACCCGCAAGGGCGGGAGCAAGGAAACGGTCACACCCAAGTCGCGCTCTTCGTTCCTCTACTTCCTCCTGAACGATCTCGCCCTGTCCTCGTCGCTCGCGCCACTTGGCGACTTCGATACGAAGCGCGCATCGTCGATGTGGGGTTGGGCGTCGCTCGTCGTCGTTGGTCTTTGTTACGATTCGGCTGCGGCGTCGACCCTCGGCAACGCCGCAGACAGGGAGTCGGCGAACGAGATCACGGTCGTGCGCAAGGCCGTCCTCGAAGTCATCGCTCGAGCGTTCCGCGATGCGATGGCATCGTCCGAGCCAACCGAGACCCGTTACGCACGGCTCGCCTGCCTCTCCGACCTCTGCCATCGCCTGTTGACGGCGCGTCCCTTCCCGAACGTCAACCGGCCGCACTCGGAGACGTCGATGCAGCTCGCCAAGCTCATGCTCGAGAAGAACTTTGCCGTCATCCTCACGAACGCGCTCGCCGACGTCGATCTCAACTACCCTCACGTCAACGTCCTGATCAACGCGATCCTCCGCCCGCTCGACCACCTCACCAAGATCGTCACGAAGCTCGGCCGCGCCAAGGGAGCATTGTCCGGAGCGGCAGGCGCTTCGAAGGACGGTGCCATGTCGAGCGACTTTTCCTCGGAAGACTCGTCGATGATGAGCGACGGCGAGACTGTCAGTGACGAGTCTGACGTGGAGCTGAGCCCGGAGGATCAGGCCGCAGCCGACCTGTACCGCAACTCGGCGCTCGGCATGTACGAGGGCGAGCTCGAGCAGGGCCAGCCGGAGGAGTTTATGAGCGAGGACGAGGAGGCTTACGACGAAGACGACGACGAGATGATGGAGGAGGAGTTCGACGGTAGCGAGTTCAGCGATGCGTCCGACCTGGATGATGACGAGGTGAGTGGGCACAATTGCTCGACCTGGACGACATCTGACGCGCATTCTGAACTTTACAGGAGCATGGCGGCCGGCGCTTCTCGGATGCCGACATGGAGGAGATGGCCGCAGAAGACGAGGACGACCTTGACGGCGACTCGGACGGCGAAGGCTCCATCATCGATGCCGACGATGTCGAAGAGGAGATTCTGTTCGAAGAAGGTGGCGATGGCGAAGACCAGCTTGAGGCATTCGAGGCCCAGTTCGATGGGGAGGAGAACGATTGGGTGGACGAGGACGACGAGGAAGGTGGCGGTCCTGCCGATGGCGGAGACGAGCTCGTGTTCGGAGGCGAGGCAGGCATGGGAGAGATGGACGACGAGGAAGGCGTCGACGAAGCCGGCGACAGTGAAGGCGGCTTCACCGACGAGGAGGAGCTGCTGACGGGCGAGCTCGAGTTCGACCCAGAGATGACCGAGCAGCTGCGAGCTCAGTCGACTGCACAAGCGTACGGCTGGGACCCGGTCACGGGCGGCGACGGCGCCAGTGCTCGCCGCAACCGAAGCCTTGCCGAGGACATGATGATGCTGGGCGACGCCGGCGCCGACCGCCCTCGCAACCAGAACACGGCCGCGCCCCATCCACTCCTCGCCGAGTCGTCGTCTGCCGAGGCAGCGGCGGAACCAGCTGCGCGTCGTCCTCGCGGCCACCAGGGCGCGAGTCGCGACTCGCCGGCCTATCGCGAATGGGTGCGGTCCGTCGAAGCTATGCTCGGTCCCGGCGGTGTCAACACGCTCGAAGAGATTCTCGGCACGCAAGGCCTCTCGCATCTCCACGGGCCGGAGCAGGTCAGCGTCCAGCTCCAGCCGACGGCGGAAGGCGGCATGGCCGTGGTCATCCAACCGAACCCAGGCGCCCGCGGTGCGCAGCACGCTCACGGGCATGACGCTCACCGCCACGCCGGGACCTCCGCATCGCAGCCCAGCTCGAGGTCGGTTGCGCGCCAGCTCTCCGACCGCATCAACGCTGCTTCGGCCTTTCTGCCGCTGCAGACAAATCAGCGATGGTACGAGGAGAGCCGCATCCTTCAGGGTTCGTCTTTCTGCCTCGTCTTCTCGGCGCGGAGAGAACGCTGACACAAGGAAGGTGCAGGATGCGTGCTCGTCAACGAACGCATCGTGCGGCTCGCCAATCACCTCATCAACGTTCTCCACGGCCCCGCTCGCGAGACGGCGAAGGAGGAGCGCCGGAAGGAGGAGGAGCGTCGGAGAGAAGCGGAGCAGGAAGCGAGGGAGGTCGCCGAGCGACTCGAACAGGAGAAGCGAGTTCAAGCAGAGGAGGAGGAGCGACGACGGAAACAGGCGGAGGAAGAGAAGGCGAAGGAGGAGGCGGACACTCGAGGTGGAGCGGAGGCGTCAGCGGCGCAGACTTCGATGGAGGTCGACAACGAGCCGACCGAGGAAGTCCCTGACGACGTCGCCGAGGTCATGAATCTCGCCCGCTCGCTCGCCGCGGGACTCGCGGTGCCATCCACCTCGGGATCGACTCCAGCAGCCACCTCTCGTCAAGGGACGCCGGCGAATGCACCCCCAGCCTCGGATACCACCCCGTCAGGCGGAGCTTCTGCTCCAGCGGGCGAAGCCGCTGCACCAGTCGCCAGCGGCTCGGAAGATGCGCCGCGACCGGAGCGTGTTGCCGTCCTCGTCCATGGCGAAGAAGTCGACATCACCGACACCGGCATCGATCGCGAGTTCCTCGAAGCTCTGCCCGACGACATGCGCGACGAGGTGATCCGACAGCATCTGCGCGAGACTCGTACGCGCTCGACAGGACCTCCTCCAGCCCTTCCCGAGCACATCAACTCCGAGTTTCTCGACGCTCTGCCGCCGGCGCTGCGCGACGAAGTTCTTCGTCAGGAGGCCGCAGCGCAGCGTCGTGCTCAAGCTGCGCCTGCAGCCGCAGACCAGGCTGTCGGCCGCGCCGACGAGCCGGCCGACTTCGCCGAGGTCGACCCAGCCGACTTTTTGGGCACGCTCGACCCCGCACTGCGGTCTGCAGTCTTGTCGGCCGAGCAGGGCAACGCGCCCAATCCGCTCGACGCTCTCCTAGGCGGCCTTCTCGCCGCCGGCAGCAGGGCCCGTCGAGGTCCCGCTGCGAATGCGGCGTTCCAGGCTGTTGGCGGGCAAGCGGGCGGGCCCGACCGTGGCGGTGTTCCTCTGGGTCAACCGGGTCATGCCGCCGCCAAGAAGTCTGCGACGCACCGTGAAGTCATCCAGCTCCTCGACAAGTCCGGCCTGGCAACCCTCGTGCGACTACTCTTCTTCCCACAACCTCTCAAACGCCACTCGCTCCAGCGCGTCCTCGTCAACCTGTGCGAGAACGGTCGCACCCGGGTCGAGCTCGTCCACCTGCTCCTGACGATCCTACATGACGGGACTCGCGACGTCTCAGCTGTCGACAAAAGCTTCTCGCAGATGAGTCTGCGTGCGAGTCGTGCGCTCGTGACGAAGGAGACGCCAAAGCGCAGGGCGCCCGAGACGCCCGGTGGCTCCCTGCCGCACTTCCCCGGCGAGAGCGTGCCGAACTTGATCGCGCAGCGTTGTCTCGAGGCGCTCGGCTTCCTCGTCCAAGCGAACGAGCAGACGTCGCTCTACTTCCTCACCGAGCAGGAGGTCCCGGTCAGCAAGCGTGCCGCCAAGAAGGGCAAGGGCAAGGAGAAGGTGAGCTTGACGGGATCTGCTTTGCATGGGTAGCCGTTGACGCCTCTTTCCGCAGGCTGCGCCGACGACGACCTACCCCATCATCGTGCTTCTCGGACTCCTCGAGCGACCGGCAACCCTCAAGACGCCTGCGATGATGGAAGCGATCACGACTCTCCTCGCCCAAATCACGCGCTCGCTCGCCTCGATCGAGAAGCCTGCGACCGCCGAGCCCGCCGCAGTTTCTCAAGTTCCGCCTGCACCGAATGCCGCCACGGGGAAAGCCTCGTCGGCGGCAGCAGGCTCCACTGCACCTCCCGCAGAACCCGCCAGCAAGAACGACGACCAGAAGGCGAAGGACGTGAAGGACGCGCCATTGACGGTCGACGCGCTGTCGAAGAACCCACCGCAGATTCCGGCGACCAGTCTTGGCCACGTCGTCAACGTTCTCGACGCTGGCGAGTGCTCCAGTCGCACGTTCTCCCAGACGCTCGGCCTCATCCAGAACCTCTCGCATCTCGACGGAGCTCGCGAGATCATCCTCGGCGAGCTCAAGGCGCGCGCCGAGAAGATCTCGCAGGAGATCGTTCCCTCGCTCGTCGAGTTGCTCGACACGATCGGCCGCGACCAGCCCGTTGGCGGCGTCACGCTCGGCAAGTTCACGCCTGCGTCGTCGAACCAGGCAAAGCTCCTCCGCATTCTCAAGACGATCGACTTCTTCGGTGCAGCGCCAAAGAGGCTCCCATCGACCAACAGCGGCGAGCCCGCCTCGAAGAGTCTGTCTGCGGAGGAGGAGCAAGTCAAGCAGATCTACAGCTCGCTCAGCAAGTCTGATCTGTGGAAGCGACTCGGCGACGCGCTCGGCGGCATCGAGGCCAAGCCCGACCTGCTCTACCTCTCGACGGTGCTCCTCCCGCTGATCGAGTCGCTGCTCGTCGTCAACAAGTTCACGGACGCCTCCTCGACCGAGTTCATCGACTTCACTACGGCGCACAGCAAGATTCTTAACACGATGGTTCGCAACAACCCGTCGTTGATGAGTGGATCGTTCGCCGTGCTCGTCCGCAACTCGTCCATGCTCGACTTTGAGAACAAGCGCTCCTTCTTCTTCTCGGTGCGTCCGGCACGTTTGTGCAGCAGGGACTTTCGCTGATCTTCTTGCCTGCTGCAGCGCCTGCATGACCGTTCTCAGCGGAAGCGACCGCACTACCCGACGATCAACCTCAACGTCCGTCGTGCCCACGTCTTCGAGGACTCGTTCCATGTCTTCAACCGCAGGTCCGGCGAAGAGATCAAGTATGGCAAGCTGAACGTCAAGTTCTACGACGAGGAAGGAGTCGATGCTGGAGGCGTTACTCGGTACGTCCTTGCTCGCGCCTTGCCGAACGTGCCAACACGAGCTGACGGTCCGATTGCTTGCCCGATAGCGAATGGTTCGGAGTGCTCGCGCGCCAGATGTTCAACCCGGGATACGCGCTCTTCCAGCCTCAGGCCGCCGACTCGCTCACGTACCAGCCGAACAAGGTATGCGACGTCGCCGTCCCTCGCGCGCAATGCTGTGCTGACCGTGCTCGCGCAGTCGTCCGCCATCAACGAGAACCACCTCGAGTACTTCCGCTTCGTCGGCCGCCTCATCGGCAAGGCTATCTTTGATCAGCGCATCCTTGAGGCTCACTTCAGTCGCTGTGCGTTGCCCTCCCCTTCGCTGACTGGTAGCATCGAGCTGATGCACGCGCATCGCAGCTGTCTACAAGCACATGCTCGGCAAGCCCGTCGACCACCGCGACCTCGAGTCGATCGACCCCGAATATTATAAGTCCCTCGTGTGGATGCTCGAGAACGACATCGAGGGTATCATCGACTTGACGTTCTCCGTCGAGCGGGACGAGTTCGGCGTCATGGAGGTCGTCGACCTCATCCCGAACGGCCGGAACATCCCCGTCACGAACGAGAACAAGCACGACTACGTCCGCCGCATCGCCGACCAGCGCCTCTCGATCGAGATCAAGGATCAGATGGATGTGCGTCGCGCTGACTGCCACCTGCTACAGTTCTCGAGCCGCGTACTGATCTTTCCCTCATGCAGGCGTTGCTGAAGGGTCTGTACGACGTCGTGTCGAAGGACCTGCTTCAGATCTTCTCGGAGCGGGAGCTCGAGCTCCTCATCTCGGGCCTGCCGACGCTGGACGTGGATGACATGCGGGCGCACACCGGTGAGTGCTGCCACCGCCCTCTTCCGCAAGACCTCGTACTGACTACTCTAGCGACAGACCTCGTCGGGTTCTCGCCATCCGATCCCGTTGTCGCGTGGTTCTGGCGCGCTGTCAGGTCCTTCTCACAGGAGGAGCGCGCGAAGGTCCGTCCCATCCCGCCTTCGTCTAGCATCTCTCCTTCCCAGGCTGACCTCTCACCCCTTTACTTGTCACAGCTCCTCCAGTTCGTCTCTGGCTCGTCTCGCGTACCGCTCGAGGGTTTCGCCGCGCTGCAGGGCATGAAGTGAGTTGGCGATTCTGGCTCGGTTCGCCTCGCCTTTCGCGCAGTCACTAACCTCGTCTTCCGTTCCGCAGCGGCGTCACCCGCTTCAACATCCACAAGGCGGGCAACAATGCGAGCCTCCCCACCGCGCACACCTGCTTCAACCAGCTCGACCTGCCGACCGGCTACGAATCCTACGAGCATTTCCGCCGCCACCTCTCGCTCGCCATCCACGAGGTGAGTTTGACGACCTCTCCTGTGTCGACCGCACACGCTGACGCGCGCGTTGCTCGACAGGGCGCAACTGGCTTCGCTTTCGCCTGACCGGGAGACGTCGACTTTCCTTTCTTTCCGCAGCTTGCCCCATCTCTTTCCCGTTGTTCCGCCGTGCATACTGTGTCACTTTAGCTCCGCAACCCTGCATTCGCAACTCTTGTAGAAAGCCTGGCCGCCGTTGTGTTGTTGTCGCCGTCGAAGAGAGTAAGTTGCTCCTCGCTCGCTTTTTCCTCTTAGTCTCCGCTTCGCGCGCGTCTCTGTGTGCGCCGGTACGCTTCCTTTGCCTGTTTCTTTCGCTTCCTCGTACTCGCTGACCTTTTTCAACTCGTCGCGGTCCGCGGATGCAGCGGGATCAGCTACAGTCCACTCTCTTCCTCCTCCCGCTCACTTTCACCGACACAATGAGCTCTCCTGACCTCGAAGCGCTCCTCCGCATGGCAGCTACGATGGGGCTGGGACCGGACGTCATCAAGCAGGTTCGCGCGAACCCCGACATGCTGCGTCGCCTGGCCGAGGGGGTGAGGGCGAGCGCGTCGAGCGGGATCACGTCGCCAGCGTCGTCGACGGAGACGGACATGCAAGACTTGCTCAAACAGCATGCAGACGCTGCGAGGGCTGTTGCCGAACGGGAGAAGCGACTCCCTCCTCGACACCCGCCGAGGAAGGATCGCGACGACCAGATGCGCGAGATGGAGGCTGGCCGCCGCCAGGCTATGGAGGTTCAGAGCGTTGGGGAGAAGGGCTTTCAGTTCTCGTTCATCGGCATGCCCAAGGCATCGTCCCTCGTGCCTTTGTCGAAGCTTCAGCCGAGTCAGTCCCTTCGCTCTCCCTCAACCGTCACCGTTACTGACCGCAGCATGTATAGTCGTTTTCGACGAGATGCAGGTGACGAAGACGCACGAAGGCCGCTATCTCGCCGTACGGATCGTCTCGCGCCCAGGTGAGCCAGCTCAAGCAGACCTGGCTGTCTCCCGAGGCTTACGGGCTTTGCGACAGCTGTCATGGTCGGCATCACTTTCCTCGCCGAAGACGTCACTGGCCGCAGCGAAGTAATCGCCATCTACAACCTCGACCTGCACGGAATCCACGCAGGACCCGACCTCGACGCTTTCTTTCCGCTTGGTACGATCCTCGTCGTCCGCGAGCCAACTTTCAAGATGAATGCGAACGGAACGATGAGCCTTGTCAGGATGGACTCGCCCACCGACTTCGAGCTTGTCCGCCCTGGTCACCCCCTCTTCTCGACTCTCTCCTTCGCCACGCCTCCGCCCGTCTCACCTCGCACCGACGACTTCGACTTCAAGGCACTCGGTAACAAGTACTTCGTCGCCAAGAAGGACCTTCTCGCAGTCAAAGCCTACACCGACGGCCTCGCTCACACTCTTTCGCCCGAAGTCAGCCTTCTCCTCCGCCTCAACCGCTCGCAAGCCCACCTTCGCCTCGAGAACTTCGCTTCGGCCTATCACGACAGCTCGTTCGTGCTGAAGCAGCTCGATGAGGGCGTTAGCGGGCCGCCGCAAGCGAGGTTGAAGGCGACGATCCGCCTCGCTCGCGCATTCGAAGGGATGCGCCACCTCACGCTCGCGCTCGAGCAGTTCGGCAAGGTTATCAAGCTCGATACCGGCAGCAAGGAGGGTGCGGAGGGCAAGAAGCGCATCGAGCGCAAGCTTCGCGAGCGCGACACGGGCGGGTACGACTGGCGCGAACTGGAAAAGCTCGCCGAGACGCAGACGAGACTCGACGTCGGCGACTTTATCGGCCCCATCAAGGTCGTCGAGATGCAAGGGCGCGGTGGAGGTCGCGGCGTTGTGGCTACGAGGGATATCGAGGCGGGAGAAGTCCTCCTCGGTACATTTGGCCTTCCTAAGTCCGACTGGCTTCAACGCTGACTGCTTTTCGCACGGCCAGTCGAGGCTGCGTTGGGCGTCGGCGAGCCTCCCAAGGGCGGAATGATGCTCACCCTCGACTTCCAGACCAACACTGCGACGAAGCCCTCTACGCTCGACCTCGTCTTGAAGCTCGCGAGCAGAATTAGCGACGATCCGACGGTTGCTCCCCTCGTCTATGGCTTGCATGGCGGAGCCCGCTTCCCTCCTTCGAAGACACTCGCCTTCGACTCCTTTACCGAGCGCCCATTGCCCGTCGAGGGCGAGCAACAGTTTGTCGATATCGCCCGTCTTGAAGCCGTCTGTTCCACCAACACGTGAGTTGGCAGGGCTGCTGATGCGGCGGCGGACCATGCTCCTCACACATTCGACTTCCACAGCTTCAGCGCTGGCTCGACCCAACTCGTCGATATCGTCGACGAGGACGCTGAGAGGGTCATGAAGAAGAGCGCCAGCGGCCTCTTTCTCGGGGCAAGCCTCTTCAACCACAGCTGCTCGCCTAACGCTCGCTGGTCGCCCTTGCGCAACGTCATGGTGATTCGCTCGCGCACGTCTATCCGCCAAGGAGACGAGGTCTTCCTTTCGTACGTCGCACCGCTCGACTCGCGCCGTCCCCAGATCCTCCAAAGTCATTTTCCGGCCGGGTGCAAGTGCTCGCTGTGTCTCGGCGAAGCCCTCGATGGTTCGGTCCAGATCGCTCGCCGCGCCTCGCTCAAGAAGACGGACTTCGCTGAGATCCAGAAGGCTGTCGAAGAGCTGCGGGCGAGAGCTACACTCGAGCCAAAGAGCTTGATCCGTCTTCGTCTGCGTCTCCAGAAGATCCTTCGCCAGCTCGAGGCGACCTACTCGCAAAAGCACGGCGCCTTTCGTCCGGAGATGGCGACGGTCTACCACACGATGGGCGAGTTGACGGATCCGACTCAGTCGTCGACGAGGGACGAGGGTAATCGCTTCAGCATCAAGGCTCTCACCGCTGCCGGAGCGGTCTTGGAGGAGACGACCGCGAAGGTCAAGGTTGTCGCCGCGCCCTGCAGTGACCCGTGCAACGCCGTCCCGCAACTCCTCAACATCGCGCATCGCTACAACAGGTCACCGGCAAAGCCGCAGCAGGCTCGCAAGTGGGTCATGGCCGCTTTCGAGATGAACCGCATCCTGTACGGCGACGATTGGTCTCGCTTCGTCGAACGCTACGTCGAGGACATCAAGGCGTTCAAGATTGAGTCCGTTGTCAAGGACTGCGGTGCCATCTAGGGCAGGGACAAGTAGGTTCGACGAGCGCCAGACCGTTCTCCGAGCTGACAGACCGTCTTGCGCAGGCACCGATTTCTCTCTTGCATGGTGTGCTCCTCCCGTCTTCTCTGCTGCTCGAGTTTCGCTTGCATTTCAGCGTCGTTTCACGAAGCGGGTCTGCGCGTCCGCCTGAAAGCGTGGCGAGGAGCGTCGCTCGATGGCCTCTCTGCAAGACAATGGTGGTCGGAGGACAACACCTTCGCTCGAGCGGATGAGAGGCTCGTTTAGACGGCAACAAAGCGACGAGAGAGCTGGCGGAAGAGGCGAGTAAGCGCCACAGTCCTGCGCTGCGAAGTTCATCGCTCGCGCTGTGGATTACGCATCCAGCATAGCCGTCCCAGCAGATGAAGTCGAGGCTGTGCGCGGCCGCAAGCTGTCACAGCCTTTGTGGACGGCGCTCCCCCTCAAACTGATGATGAGAATCGCGAGGAGGAGCAGGAGAAGGAGTGCCTCTGCTGGAAGTGCTGGAACCGTTCGGCAGTAGTAGTCAGTACATCTAATAGCCTCTGCGCGCACCAAGAAGCCCAGCTTGCCCGCGAGTGGAGTGTCCAGGTCGAAGAGGCGCTCCTCATCGCAACTTGGCTCCACCCGCTGCTGGCGATGGCCTCGCCGCCGCACAAGATGTCCAAGCTTGCTCACGACGCCGCCAGAGATGCACAGACTACGGTCCAACAGTCCAAACAGGCCGCCGAGTCCAGCTCCTCGCTGCCTCCACCGCCTTCGACGAGCAAGCGACTCGGGCTGACCAGCGGCGTAGACAAAGCCAAGGTCAAAAAGATCACGCTCAAACCTAAGCGTGAGTGCTCTGCCCGCTCTTGCAACGCACCCGGAACCGACTGACGCTGTTGACGCCGTGCCAGCTCGATCTTCCGCCGCACCCGACCGCACCGCCCTCACGAATCAAGCTGTTCTCACCCTCACACGCGCCGTTCGAGCCATCCAGTCACGCCCACCACAACCTACACCCGAGTCGCTGCAGACGCTGTACGGACTGTGCGAGGCGGCCGTCGCTGCAGGGCCGCAAACCTGCCAGCTTCTCTATGACCGCATCCGCATGGAGATTGAGCGGGAGACGGGCGAGTTGCGCAAGATTTTGGCGGGCAGTGCGGACGGGATGATGCATGAGGGGCAGGAGGAGAAGTGGATGAACGAGTTCGAGCGGGAGGGGAAGCGGTTCTTGGACCAGGTGCTCCTCATTCGGAGCATCTTTCTCCAACTTGACCGCACCTACGTCCTCAACTCGGCTGGTCTTCTGTCCATCTGGTATGTACCGCTTCTACTGGCAGAAAGACGAGCATCGCTGACCTCGATTATTCTCAGGGACCTCGGGCTCGACCTCTTCCAGCATTCGGTTCTCGCGGACGAAGGGATCGCACAACGCGTCACCTCATGTCTGCTACATCTCGTTGAACAGGAGAGGTGTGTTCTTCTGCTGGATTCGGACGAGCTGCTGCTGATGCCCGAAGCGTAGGAACGGCAATATCGTCTCCCGTTCTCTCCTTCGCTCTTTCCTCCTTCTCCTCCGCACCTTCTCGCAACAAAGCTACACTACTCTCTTCTCCACGCCCTTCCTGGCTTCCACACGCGCCTTCTACAACGCCCAAGGCCTGTCGCTTTCTACGAGTGTGGACCCGTCGACTTACCTCAAGCGTGTGGTCGAGCGATTACACGAGGAGGGCGAGCGGTGCGACGCTGTACTCGGTTCGGAGTCGAAGGGCAGCGTGCTGCGTATAGTCGAGGAGGAGATGATCAAGGGTCATGTCGAGAGTATCGCCGAGAAGGGTACGTCCGAGTCCGCCGATCTCTGAGTGCCAATGATGCGCTGACTCTCCGCCTCGCAGAAACGAGCGAGATGTGCGCGAAAGATGCGCGGGAAGACTTGACCGCGCTGTACGCCCTCCTTGGCCGGATCAGCAAGATCCCCGAGCTTCGCAAATCGTTCCTCGAGTACCTCAAGGTGCGTACTCCCGCTTCAGTCACTGCGGAGACGCTGACCTCCCTTTCGCGACCATCAGTCCGCCGGTCTCGCCGTCGTCATGGACGCCTCGCAAGACGTCAACATGGTTGACAACCTGATCGCCTTCCGCAAGCGCGCGAACGACCTCGTCACAGCCTGCTTCTCCGACGACGCGAGCTTCAAGTCGGCGATCAACTCGGCGTTCGAGTTCTTCATTAACAAGCGCGAGAACAAGCCGGCCGAGATGATGGGTAAGGTTGCCGTTGTTTGGCATCGTCCTTTCTGCGAGCTGATCCGTCGTGAAACGCAGCCAAGTATCTCGACGCCAAGCTGCGAAGCGGTGGGAACCGCGGCATGGACGAGAACGAGCTCGAGAAGACGCTCAACGACGTTCTCTACCTCTTCCGTTTCACGCAAGGTGCGTCTCCTCCTTTTAGTCCGCTAGCTTTCCGCCCTAGGGAGGGCAAGCTGACTTCTGGAATTCGCTGACCTACAGGCAAGGACATCTTCGAGGCGTTCTACAAGCGCGACCTTGCCAAGCGATTGCTGCTCAACAAGTCTGCCTCGTTTGACGCCGAGCGCAGCATGCTTCTCAAGCTCAAGGACGGTGCGTCTTGCGTCTCGACTTGTAGAGGCAAGCTGACACGGGGCGTCGTCCTTGTCTTCGCGTGCAGAATGCGGCGCCGGCTTCACGCAGAAGCTCGAGGTCATGTTCAAGGACATGGAGCTGTCGGCCGACGTCATGCAAGCCTACCAAGCCACGGCCGCCGGCTCGCGCTCACCCAGCAAATCGAGCGAGTCGTTCGACCTCTCCGTTGCCGTCCTCTCGCAAGGCAACTGGCCGACCTACCCTCCCTTCCCTATCGCGCTTCCTCCATCTCTCACCTCCGCCCTCGATCGCTTCAAAGCGTTCTACATCTCGAAACACTCGGGTCGGACAATCACCTGGGCTCACGGGCTCGATACGTGTGCATTGAGGGCGACGTTCCCGAGCAAGGGCAAGGGCGGGGGAAGGAAGGAGTTGATGGTTAGTTTGGCGCAGGCGGTCGTGTTGTTGTTGTTCAATGACGTCGAGGATGCGAAGTTGAGCGTGGAGGAGATTGGCGAGGCGACGAAGTTGGGTGCGTGGCGACGGTTCCGCTGGTCTCTCAAGCGATACTGACCTGCTCGTGTCTGTTGATCTTCGCGTACGCAGACAAGAAGGAACTCAACCGCACGCTCCAATCCCTCGCATGCGGTAAAGTCCGCGTGCTCGTCAAGCACCCGAAAGGCCGCGACGTCAACCCAGGCGACCAGTTCTCGTTCAACTCGGTGCGTTTGCCGCTTGTTCTCGCCCTCTGTTGAATGCTCGCTTCGAGGGTGATTGACGGATAGGGTCGGATCTGCGGGAACAGGACTTCAAGGACGACCATGTGCGGATCAAGATCAACCAGATCCAGCAGAAGGAGACGGTGCGTTCGCCTGTTCCCCATCGCTGCGAGCCTCTCTCGAATGGCAGGAGCTGCTTGCTGACCGGACGAACGGTTGACAACAGGCTGAGGAGAACAAGTCGACGACCGAACGCGTCTTTACGGACCGGTCTTCGCACTTGCAGCTCGCTATCGTCCGGTGCGTCCTCGCCTTACATTTCACGCTCGTCGGGCATGACTGTTGGCGCCGTGGGCGGCTGCTGATCTTTGGACGGTTGCACAGGATCATGAAGGCTCGCAAGACGCTCAAGCATCAGGAGCTGTGCGTGCTCCTTTCGTTCACGCTCTCCTGCGCGTGACGGAGAACCAACGCTGATCCCTCGCTTGCGCAGCGTGATGGAGGTCATCAAGCAGATCGGACAGCGGTTCAAGGTCGAGCCCGCCGAGATCAAGAAGGTGCGTAGCCGCCGTCCCGCTTCGCCCGCAGCCTCACTGACGTTCTCTCTCTCGCCGTGCAGTCGATCTCGAGCCTGATTGACCGCGAGTACATGCGGCGGTCGGACGAGGACCAGCGGGTGTACGAGTACCTCGCCTGATTCGACTCGGCGCCTCTCGACGACTCTCCCTGTACATTCGTCACCTTTCACCTGTTGTTTCGCCCTTACTGCTATGCATCGCTGTTCGCACGAGAAGGGATTGGCTCGAGTACAGGGGGACGGTGAGCGGGTCGGGCTGGGCTGTCTGAGCGGGGGCGGGGGGACTTCGCCTCGCTCGTCAACTACGCCTCGCCAGCACGCTGTGGACCACAACGAGCACTGCCAGACTGCTCACACACGCCATGCCACGACCCACACACACCCACACCGCCCAGACGCCGCGCCAGTCGACGCCGACCTCGTCAAGCTCGTCGAACACATCGGGTCACGCACCCACCGCGAGGAGGCGCAAGGGCGTGCCAGTCAAGTCGCCAGGACGGTCACTCGCACCCTCGACTCTGTCCTCGTCGACCCCAGCGGGTCCGCGAACGCTCTCGTCGACCGTCAACGCGCCTCATCTCCTCAAGGTCCTCCTCCGCGACTCGGACCTGCCTCGCTCGTCGCTCGACAACAAGCGCTTCAAGCCCGCCGCAGAGAAGGCCAAGAAGAAGAAGACGAGCCAGCGGGACACCCTGCCGCCTGCGCTGGAGGGCTACGGGCGTGGCAGGCGCGGGACTTCGCTGAGCGCGATCACTTCGGCGGAGGGAGACTACGACCTGTCCGGCGCGTATGCGGCGATGGGACGGGGCAGGTCGCCTGGTGTGCACACTGCAGGGGGCAGGAAGGGCAAGGCGAACGGCGTCCACCACCACCACCTCTCCTCCTCCGCGAGGCGAACTCATGCCCCCGCGCACTTCCACCCGTATGCGCATACATCGAGCCCCTCGTACCAGCCGTCGACCTCCGCCATCCCGTACGCCGACCCGAGCAGGATGGCGCGCGCCTTGTCCGCCGGTCTCGCACACGCCATGCCGCCTGCGTCTATCGCGCCGCCTCACCTCGCACACCCGCCGCAGCCTTACTACCCTCCCATCCCGCCTTCGTCGGCTGTCCCCGTCCCTTCTCCCCTCGCGAGGAGCTTCTCGGCGAGTGGAGCCGAGCGGCTGGCGAGGCAGCGGACGCCGAGCGGGTCGACCGGAGTCGCGAGGGTCGCGGAGCTCGCTGGGACGCCAGTACCGTGAGTCGAGTCTCGTTCTCCCGGGTCTCTCTTGTTCCAAACGGAGCTGACTCTGCTCTCGCAAGCAGTGGCTACCACGCCGTCGCCGCATGACACCCCGTCGCCCACATCTCCGTATCCCTCGCTCATTCCTCGCCCTCGCCTGCATACCCACATCGACCTGTCGGAACACTATTTGCGCCTTCCCTTTCTTTGTTGCTCTCCATATCGACCTCTTCGCTTTCTCCAGCGGTGTATAGACTTGCTTCCACCCCTTGATCCGCTTCTTTCCCCTCGTCGTTGTCTCCCATAGCTTCCTTGCACTAATGGACTGGCTTCCTCGCAACTTTTGACGGAGAGACTGCTTTTACAGAAGCTCTACGAGGAGAGCCAATGGTAGACCCGCACAACATGCTCAAACATCCGCCTCTCACCTCCTCCCTCACGCCAGCGGAACAGCCGCACCGTCCTGCGCCGGCGCGGGTCCAGGATTCTGCACCGGCTGCGCCCTCGGCGGCACGTACCCCATCTGCGCCATCTGCGCCTGCACCTCTGCAGGCTGGACCTGCGCCGCGTTCTGCCTCGCGGCGGTGACGAGCCTCGCCGCCTCCTCCAGCATGCGCGCAACCTTGACGCGGTCCTCGAACAGCTCCTGCTTCTGCACTTCGACCGCGCGCCGTTCAGCCTCGACGAGCTGTTCGAGCTCCTCGAAGTGCTTGAGCTTGAGATCGAGTTTGCGGACTTGAGCTTCGACGACGGCTGTGACGAGGGAGTGGAGCGAGGCGTCTTCTTCGAGTGCGAGGGCGTGCGCTTTCGCTGCTGCCGAGCCGAGGGCGGTGAGGGCGGCTTTTTGGATGTTCGAGGTGGCCGAAGTGCGCGACGAGTCGGCGAGCGGGTCCTCGTCGGCGTCTTCCTCCTTCTTCTCGACTGCGGAGGACGCCTCGCCGTTCGTCTTCACCGCTCCGTCGACCTCCATCCCATCGCCGCCCGTCGCCTGCGCCTTGTCCTTCTTCTCCTTGAGGCCCTTCTCGAGCTCCTCAATCGCCTCTCCCGCCGCCTTGGCCGCAACCTTCCTGTCGACCGCACCCGCCAAGAACGCCACAACGCTCATGACCGGGTTATCCGTCTTGCTAAGCGGGACCCTCCCAAACCCATACGGGCCGTTCGCCGCTCCTCCCGCCTCGGCAAGGAAGCCATCCTCGATCGGGAGCTTGAGGAACTTGGCGATGCACTGTTCCTTCGTGCGCGTACCAACGTGGTCGGCGACTTTGTCCCAGTCTTCGTCGTGCATCTCGATCCCTTCGAGCAGGAGGAGCGTCTCCTGGTCCGACCAGGGATCGGTCTCGGCGTGCGCGAACGGGTCCGCGTCGAGTCGGACAAAGTCGCCCGAGTGCATCGTCGAGGGGAAGCGGCCCTCGGAGTAGCACGCGCCGCAGAGCGACACCTCGCCCTTGGATTTGAGCGACGTGTATCGCACGGTTGGGGTGGTCGTTCCGCAGGTGTGGCAAGGTTTCAGGTTGCGCTGAGGGTCGGCGGGTGACGTTTCGGCGGCGGTTTGGGCGGCGAGAGCTTGGTCAGCGAGCGAAGAGGCGGTTGCGGAGGAGAGGCGGATGTCGGCTGTCGCCGGACGGGAAGGGTCCGTCTTGATCAGGTCGGTGCGGATGGAGGTGCCGGAGGCAGTGGTGGAGGAGGGCTTCGTGCCGGGGTGAAGGGGAGCGAGACCTCGAGGGGTGTCGACGAGGATGCGGAAGTGGCCGGTGAAGGGAGGGCCGAGAGAGGATGGGCGCGAGTCGGCATCGATCTGCGCACACTCGTGGGTCAGTCACAGCATTTTCAAGCGACTCGTAGCAACGCGCCTGGTAGTTGATGAGTCCCCACTGCTCGAGAAAGGCGTGCACGCGCATGATGGCGCAGACGTCTCCCGCGAGGTTCCGCCTGCACGCCGTCACGGTCAAGTACTCGCTCGGGTTGAGCCTGTACGTGTGGATCATAAAGTCGCGGTAGTCCTTGTAGATGGTCGGCGTCTTTGAGCGGTTCTTCGAGTTGAAGAACTCGGGCAGGCTGCGGCGCTCGATCGGGTGGATGGTCGCGAGGCTAAACCAGGTCGCGTACGAAGGCACGATGACGGGGTGCGTCTGCGTCGCAAGGTACCGCCGCGCCGTCGTGAGCCGCTTCGAGACGTTGGCAGCGTCGTCGCCAAACATGCCCGCCTCCTTGGCCGAACGCTGGTTCGCGTCGCCGTCTTCCGCCCCGTCATCCATCGCTGCACCCGGTGTCGATGCCTCGCCCGGTTCCTGCGTGCGCGCGCGCTTGTTGTCGCCGGTCGAGGTCGAGGCGGACGGGTCACCTCCCGCGGCCGTCGCAGCAGTTGGGTCGTCTTCAGCGGGGCGCTTGAGCGTCTGCTGAGGCTGTTGCGAGTCGACCTGCATCTTCACAGCGAGCGTGAACGTGAGAGAGCGAGCGTGTCCAAGTCGACGAGATGAGGACGCGAGCGGGTTGGCCTCTGCCGCTCACACTCGCTCCACTGGCTGGTCTGGGTCCCTCGCAGTGCTTTCAGGACCTCATAGACTGGCTTGACGAGCGCACCGGCCTTTCTCGCGACCGAGGCGACCCTCTCCTCGTCCTCCGCGAATCTCCATCGCTCGCAGGGCTATGCTCCGCTCAACACGCTCAAGATGCGCTCTGCTATAGCTTGTGACGTTTGTATAAGCGCTGGAACGGCGACAACGGAACGCAGGGGCCTTCCTCGGGGTCCTCGGAGGCAGACGGACTCCTCTCTCGCGTGTCTCCTCCCCTCGCCCCCTCTCATCGCCTCACCACACCGCTTCCTGGCTTCAAGAGCTGCTTTCCTCGCGACTACTGCTTCCAACTATACACACTCGTTTGACTCACCCGGGCAGTCTTGCCACAAATCGCCATGTCATCCGCCTACAGCCTGTCGGGGGTGAGTGCGCGCTCCTCTCCACGCTCGGCTCGACTCGCTCACGTTCATCGCAACTCGCAGACGCCGGCGACTGACCGCCGATACATGACTTCGGCGGCGCCGTCGTCGAGTGCGCGAGGCGGGAGGCTGACGCGCGGCATGAAGGGCGTTCTCCTCCTCGCGGCTTTGGCGGTGTTGATCGTGAGTTGCGACCTCTCCTTGTTTTACAGCTCAGCTATGCTGACGCTGAAGCCATCCCAGATTGCCATCGTGCCTGCCGCGGTCGTCACGACTCGCAAAGACGACAAGAACCTGGCTGCGCAGGACTCGTCTGCCGGGTATACGACCGTCATTAACGGCGTGACCACCTTCATCCAGACCCGCACGGCGTCCGTCGTCACCCGCAGCTCCTTCTCGACCCTCCCGAACGGCCGCATCTCGACTGTTTTGCAAGAAGTCACGCTGCCGGTTGTCACTGTGTCGGCGACTGCTGCTGGCGCGGTCCAGACTGGTTTCGAGACGGTCACTATCGACGGACAGGCTGTGGTGGTCGCCACACAAACGCAGTACGTCGCTGGCGGACAGGTTGTCGTAACGCGAACTCTGCTGAACGGTTCGTCCGGATCCCTACCTCTCAGGATGATCCGCGCTGACACGAAAGCCATGCAGACCCACAAGCTGTGGAGACGGTTTACTCGACAGCCTTCCAAGACCTGACTGTGACGAGGTAAGCGTGTCCACGACCTACGGGCCAGGAGGAAGAATCGCTGACTGGGGAAGCAAACAGGCCCGGCTCCGCTTCGCCTACCACAAATTCCGTTCCGTCGTCGTCTGCGCCTTCGAGCAGCTCCTCGACGACGTCTTTCGTGCCCTCTACCTCGAGCGTACCCTCAACATCGAGCCTGCCCGCATCAAGCCAGTCGAGCAGCTCTTCGACCACAGTTCCTCCGCCCTTGACTAATTCGTCTTCCTCGAGCTCGCCTATCGTCACCAGCCCCGCGACGACGAGTCAGCAGCCGACCACAACGTCGCAGGCGAGCAGGTGCGGGTTGTCGCTTGATCATGCTTTCGCTCAGAAGCTGACAGGCGCACCACAGCTCGACTAGTCAAGTCACCAGCGTCATCCCGACCTCGTCGACTCGCACAACCTCGGCGGACCCGACGTGCGTGCCGAGTTTTTCTTCGCCGGAAGGCAGTACTGACTTCCCTTCGGACGCAGGACGACGAGCTCCGTCTCTACCTCCGCCGTCCCGACCAGCACGTGCGTCAAACGCTCCCGGAGACGCATCAAGCAACGCTAACCCCATCGCATTGTCGCAGCACGGCCGCTTGCATTCCCGGTCTTCCCCCCTTCCTCGGCGGCTGCCCAATCTCGTCCAGCTCCTCGCGCACATCGTCAACAACCGCACCTCCTAGCACGTCTACCGAGCCACCGACTACAACGAGCGCAGCACCATCTTCGACGTCTGCCCCTTGCATCCCTGGCCTCCCCGTTTTCCTCGGCGGCTGCCCCGTTCCAACGACTTCTTCGCGCTCCTCCTCATCGACTGAAGCCGTGAGCACAATGTCTGAGCGCTCAAGTACGACAAGCGCGGCCCCGACCACGAGTAGCGCAGCTTGTGTCCCTGGCTTGCCCGTCTTGCTTGGCGGATGTCCCGAGCCTACAACGTCGAGCCGCACGTCGAGGTGCGCCGGACCTAAGTTCCTTAGGGTGCAGCGTCCTGACTCATCCTGGTACTCCCCAGCTCGCGCACGACAACGACAGCTGCGCCCACCTCTAGTCCAGCTTGCATCCCTGGTCTTCCCGTCCTCCTCGGCGGCTGCCCCGTTCCGACAACTTCTTCGCGCTCCTCCTCGTCGACTGAAGCCGCGAGTACGACGTCTGAGCGCTCAAGTACGACAGGCGCGGCGCCGACCACGACTAGCGCAGCCTGCATCCCAGGCTTGCCCGTCTTGCTTGGTGGGTGTCCCGAACCGACTACGACCTCCTCTCCAGCAGTCACGACACGTACAACCTCGTCGCGTACGACTCTTGCGCCGTCGGGTACCGCAACATCGAGCAGTACGCCGACCGACTGCATTCCGGGATTGCCTCCGCTTTTGGGCGGTTGCCAGCCCAGCACGTCTCCGAGTTCGTCGAGCACGCGTACGACGACAACGGAGGCTGAGACGGCTCGTCCTACAACGAGCGAGAGGACGTACGTTCTGCCTGCTCGGCCTTCTCGAGATGGCAGAGCTAACAGCGGTCCGGCCCCACAGGACAACCACAACGACGCAAGCCGAGTCGACTTGTGTCCCTGGCCTTCCTCCGCTTCTTGGCGGCTGCGCGCCCTCTACGACACGAGCGCCAACCCCGACCTCTACGAGCGACGCCGAACCTTCGTCGACCTCAAGCAGGTGCGTTTGCTTCCGACTGTCTTCCGCTGCATCTGCTAACCTGCATTGTCGCAGCGACAGCACGACGGTCAGTGTCTCGATTTGCCAAGGCCTCGACTGCGAGTCGAGCACGCGAACTACGCCTGCTCCTTCGACGCGCACAAGCAGGTGCGTCGCCTTTCTGCTCTTCGCTTTTCCATTGACTGACATTGAAGTGTTTTGTCGCAGCTCCTCCTTAGCATCGGCAACCACGACCGACCCTGACTCGTCCTCCAGGTGAGCTTCGCAACGTCGTTCGACCCGAGCAATTCCGCGACAGCATGCTGACCGCCCTTTACACAGCTCGACTCGTCCTGTCACAAGCACGACGACGGACGCAGAGTCGTCTAGCACGACACGTCCTGAGCCGTCCTCCGCGTCCTCGTCGTCTTCCAGCTCCTCCTCGGACGAACCCGCAACGACATCCACCCGGCCGACGCCTTCCTCCGCAACTCAGGACACCTCCTCAGCCTCTCCCTCGGCGACCTCGTCCAGCCCCGGACCCGCACCAACCTCTTCCTCGTCATCCAGCTCCGAGCCCGATCCAACTTCTTCTCCTGCCTCATCCTCGTCCTCTGCCTCCGCATCGCCTCCTCCCTCGTCCTCGTCATCGACAACAACCTCTGAGCAGTCCGTCCCAACAGACGACGAAGGCATTCCGGTCCAGTCCGCCGCGCAGGTCGCTCATCCCGGCTCAGGCGCTGGTACGGAGCGCGAACTGATTCGCCGCCGCCTCCCGAAGTTCACGCCTGCGCCGACTCCTCACGCGCGGCTGGTCAAGAGGCATCGTGAAGTTGTGGCGCGACACTAGTTCCTCCCTTTCGTCGCCGCCTGCGCCCGGCTCTCGTCCTCGTTCTTCCAAGTTATAATCTGTCAGTCACTCGCTCCGCTGCTTGCGTGTCCGCTTGATACCCCTCCGTAGTTTCTCCTTATCACCCCTTCCGTCGCAAGCCCTCTCGCCTGCAAAGTCCTTCGCACGCTCTTTGATCTCGTCGAGTTCGAAGAGGCAACGAGAGGACGGAAGTCTAGTGTTCATTCACATCACAGCAAGAAGTATACATCTATTCAGCAAGAAAGAGAACGAACAGCTATATGCGTGGCAACCCAGGACGAAAGGACAGAGAGATCGGGAATCCGTGTATACAGAGGCTCGAAGGGCAAGGAGGAGGCGAACGTCCGTGGGAGAAAGGGCGAGGGGTACTGATGGTGATGGGCCGTCTAGAGCGAAACCGAGGAAGAGAGCGCGGGGGCGATTAGGGCGCTCGAGGATAGAGTCGAGAGTGTCGAGATAAGATATGCCGTGGGCGCGCCTCAGAAGGTCGCCCAACTCTGCCACGGCCCTCCCTGTACGCTCCCAAACTCCTGCTGGAGCCTCCTCCGTTCCTTGACAGTCCGCTCATGGCGCTCGTCGTCTTCGTCCGAGTCTTCTTCCCCGTCCTCGTCGGCAGCCAGACGCGGCGGGCCGTCTTCGACCTCGGTCGAGGCGTTCGATACCCCGTCGAAAGCCCTTCGCGCCTCGGGCCCGTCGCGCTCCGAGTCGGACGAATCCGAAAGCACCTCGCCCTCCCTGACTACCTTGGGCGTCGTAACCGCCGTACACCTCGCGCCCCTCACACTCGCAGGCGACGCGCCCCTCGACCCGAGTCTCGAAGCGCTCGAGTTGCGCGACAAGCTGGGCTGCTTTTTCCGTCGCCCGTGCCCGTGCGCGTGAAGTTGGGTGGGCGGGATGACGAGCGATTCGGGCGACGTCCCGTCCGTCGAAGTCGAGGTTCCGTACGCCGCGAGGCCCTCGACGGACGTCGAAGGGGTCGAGTACTCCGACGCGGTGGTGACGGATGAAGTCGATGTAGCGCTACCTTGTCGCGAGCGGGAGCGCGACGAGGCCTTGCCGTGCGCTTGCGCGTGAGAGTGTGCGTTGGGAGGGGAGTGAGCGGGGGACGAGGCGCGCGAGGCGGAACTAGCTCGCGAATGAGGGTGGCGGAGGGTCAAGGGGCCTGCGCCTGCGTTCGCGGCGTTGCCGAAGGCCGAGTAGGGCGCGAGTGGGTGTGCGAGGACGGGCGGGGTGAGGAGAGGGGTTGGAGCGCCGGAGGGGTTCGGCGCGGAGAAGTAGCACCTGTCGCAGACGCGTGCTGAGAGCGGCATCGAGTTGGTCTGGGAGGGAGGGGAGGACGAGGTGGGTGTCGAGCTGGTCGAGGCGGTCGAGGCGGTAGAGATGGCTGATGCGTTCGAGAGAGAGACCGAGTACGCGAGAGAGGGGAGGTCGATGGCGGATGAGCGGGGGGTCGCGCGAGGAGTGCCTCGAGGCGTGAAGGCTGGGACGGAGTCGTCTTCGCTCGAAGGCCACAGCAGCGTCGAGCGAGACGAGTGCGCGGCGCAGAAGATGTCGCCGCAGGTGCTACGGGGCGAGGATCAGCGGGAGAAGGGGATGGACCGGAAGGAGAGAGCGGCGCGCACCGGCAGTGGTGTCTCCGGTTGATGAGGTCGAACCTGAGCGAGCAGTCTGGGTCTGCGCAGTTCTCTGCCTCGTCATCGGGCTGTTGTCGCACACGAGCGAGTGGAGTGAGCACCGTTCCTTCACGCCAGCAGTCCGAGGAAGAGCGCACCTTCCACTGCGAGCGCGGGAGCATGCGGCCGCGGACGAAGGCAGCGCCAATGTCCCTGCTCGAGTCCTGCGAGACGGGCGAGAAGGGCGCGGCGAGGGTGCTCAGCCACGACTGCGACTTTGCTTCTGTCGCGGCGAGGGAGGGTGAATGCGGCGGCGATGGGTGCATGAACAGGTCGCGCTGGACAGATCCTGCGGTTGCGAGAGGGTCAGACTCGCTCAGGGTGTCGCTGAGAGTGCTCTGATGCTCACCATTGCGTCGCAGTGCGGCTGGGCGGTCTGCGCGATGCGAGCGAAGGGGGATGTCAGGGGTTCGGAAGTCGGGGCAGGGGTGAGGGATGGCACGCACAGAGTGGCTGCTTGTTCTGTCGTTCCCTGAAGTGCAGGGTGACTGCTGTGCTGCCATGGGACGGGCTGGGAGGCTGCCTGACAGCTGGGTGTGGCATGGTGTGGGTCGGAGTTGTGCGTGCGAGATGCCGAGTGTCCTGGGCTGGGCTGTGGGTTGGCCTGGTTGGTTGGTTGGTTGCTCGTTTGTGGTTCGTTTGTGGGTTGTTCAGGCCGACATCGCTGAGGATGCCTGCTGCCGTCGAGTTGGACGAGGGCGAGGCGAGCGAGGCGGCGAGGGCAGCGTGGGCGTGCCTGGCTTGGTCCACTTCCACACAGCCCGCTTCCTTCTCTCTCTCTCTCTCCCCTCGCTCACCGACTCGCTTGTCACACAACTCTTTCACTGGGACTGCTCACTTGGACAGCACACACACACTCGCACTCTTCGACCACACCGCCTCCGCGGAACAGCCATCCGCCACCCCTTCCATCCCCAGCTTGTTTCGCCCGCCCCGCTCTTTCCCCTCGTCTCGCTCGTCTCGCTCCCTTCTCGCTGCCCACCGCACAGCCAGCCAGCCAGCCAGGCGGTGCAACCCCTCGCTCGCCTCGCTTCAACGCTTGTCCGACCAACGCTATCTCGCTTGGCTCACCGCGTCCAGCTGGACTGCACCGCGCTGCTCCCCGTCGCGGCACTTCTCTCCGAACCCGCATACAGGCAATCCCCAGCCAGAACGGCGACTTCCAGCCCTTTCCTCTTCCCGCCTTCGTCCCGCCCGCCCGCTCTCACGATGAGAGGGGGGACGGCCGACTGGCGCGGCAAGGACCCGCAGCTTCGCGTCAGGACCTATAGTTGGCGGACCGAAGGAGAGGAAGACAAGATTGCAGAGTGGAAGAGGAAGATTGTAAGTTCTCGCCGCCTTGACAACTAGACCTCATACATACTGTGCGGACCACGAAAAACAAACAAATCAAAAAGAAAAGAAAGGGAGAGAGGGAGAGGAGAAGAGAGAGAAGAGAAGGAAAGGAGAGAAGAGGGAGGAGAAGAGGGGAAGGATTGAGGAGGAGGAAGGAGGAGAGAGGAGGGAGGAGGGAGGAGGATATCTTCAAGATGAACAGCACCTACGGACGCCTCAGCAGCCCACGTGAGATGTACCCCTAGCTGCACTTCAGTATCGTCGTCGGCAACGGATTCTCCGCTGCCCCTCCTGAGGGTCGAAAAAGCGCGAACGGAGGAGGTGAGGCACGCTGGGCCGGTGGCAAGGCGTGAGGCTGCGGACGCTTAGAACGAACAGCCAATGCCTTTAGGTATAGCAATGGCCGGCGAGGCATATCAGCAAGCAGGGAAGAGCCTGAGTCAGTCAAGACCAAGGAGGAGAGAGGGAGCGAAAGACAAGGCGGAGCATTTGGTGCCCTCCGAGAAGAATTCCAGCTTGCAAGGTCCGCCAGACCTCCTCGAGCGATAGTTGTACATGTAAGGCGGACCGTACGGTGTTTGCGGCGAAGCCTGCCATGCTGCGCAGCTGACCAGCCCCAGAAGGATGCTCGGGCCGACCTTGCTCGTCTCAGTCTTCCCGCTGGTACCCTGCGCGTACCGATGCGCACTGAGAGTATGTTGTAGCACCCTCCGAGCCAAAAATCGAAGCCTCCATGCGCCCGTAGACCGCCCTGCCAGTAGCCCTCTCCCAAAGCCAGCCTGCTATTTCCTGTCAACATCCACCTACTGACCTCCTCCTGTGAAATTGTGCTTTGAGGCGCAAGTACGGTTCCGTCGAGCGAAGCGAAGCGGCGCAAAACGAATGGCTGAGACTGTTGATGCTTCCTGGTGTGCGAGAGAGAGATGAAGCGGCAGTGTGGCGAGTAGCGCATCGTACTGCGGGGTCGCGCGCAGCGAGCGAGCGGTCACAGCAGGTCGAAAAGCTGCTAGCGAGGACATCGAAGCACTGTGCAGAGCGGAAGAGCTGTTGTAGATGAAGGAGCGGAGGCGAAGGGACGATTACAAGACCCTTACTCGGCAAGTCTAATCTCGCTGACTAGCCTCGAATTGTCCTTCTCTCGACGATTTCTCCTCTCCTCGCCGCTCTAGGCACGAAGCGACCAGCGTGAGCCCGACAAAGAATTGTTTGCAGCCCTTGGTCGTCAGGAGACATCCTAACGAGCCGTGAGAGACGAGAAATCAGCGAGGCCGCGAGTGACTTGGCTGGAGATCAAGCCGGTCGCTCACTCATCCGCCCTGACTACTCCTCTCCAAGGACAGCTCTTGGGGGACTGCTGCTGTTGAATGGAGGGGAGGAGAACTTTGCTAACTTCGCTGCTCAGGCACAGGGTCTACGTCGCAAGAACACGGGGAGAGGTGTGTGCGGCGTGCGGGTGAATGGGGGCAGGCACAAAGCTGATGGATTTTGGCGAAGCCGGGAAGACCCTTAGCTTCTGGCGAAGCTGCGGGAAAGAGTCTCGCCTCCTCCGCGCGCCTCAATGGCGCTCGGTACGATTGGACTCGTCTGAACTTACTGCTTAGTCTTGATCGTGCGGTACATACATGTACTCGCAGGGCGACGAGGGGGGCGCTCACACGACCTGCGACTGCTCGCTCCTCGCCTCGACATCCGCCGAACATCCCATCGCCGAGCCTTGCCTTGCCGCTTCTTCTCAATACAGTACACCTTGCAGGACTCTGAGAACCGTACATCTCCGCGCCTCCCTCCCATCTCCGCGATTCTCAAAGCTGTCTCGGACTCCGCTTCGTCTTGGTCGGAAAAAGCTTTGCGCCCTCTTTCGCTGTGGATGCCGAGCAAGAAGCACTGAAGCAGGGGCGCGCTTCCCGCTTCGTCTTTGCCGAGCAGACGGGAAGGAGAAATGGAGAAGGTCAAAGGCAGGAAGTGAGGGAAGCGGAATCCAGCTCCGTCTATCCGCGTTTCCAAGCGAAGCAAAGCGTTACGGGTATAAAGAAGACAACGTCAAGAGAGAGAGAGACCATGCATGCGAATTTATGCGAGTATGTATGAGGGGAGGAGAGGAAATGTCTATGAGCGACGAGGAAAGCGAGCATGTCGTCGGTCTCCGTGCGACTGGAAGAAGGAAAGAGTGGGAGTCGGGTAGTGTCTGTTATGAGTTGATAGAAAAGGCATCTCGTCGAGTCGAGGTCGGGTCGAGGCGAAGCGAGGCGGGAGGAGAAGGAGGGTTAGCAGGCAGGCAGGTCTGCTTAGAGCGGCAAGACGGCCCTCCCATTCGCATCCACCGTCAAACCCCCACTCGTCGACCTCCCCAACCCCATTCCCAACCCCGCTTGAGACTCGACGCCGTGGTGGATCCTCTGCTCCTCCTCGCGGATCAAGTCCCCGAGCGAGACGCTCGCTGCGCTTCGGGGGAGAGATGCCGTTGGACCCGCTCCAAGTGGGTGGACGGACGAAGGAGAAGGCGTAGAGGAGGCCGAAGAGGAGGACGAGAGGTGCAGTCCTTCGCCGAAGCGGCCGGAGAGCTCGCTCATGGGTGACGAGTACACCTTGGCCATTGGTGCGGAAGAGGGGAAGTAGCCTCCTGGCATTGACGCTGTTCTTGATAGCGCGATGGAAGAGGAGGAGCCGAGATCGATTGGGGCAGCGAGGGACGAGACGGAGGCGTGGCGAGGGAGCGGAGGTGGGTTCGAAGCGAGCGAGGCGGCGGAGAAGGGCGAGGTAGTGTTTGTCGTGTAGGGTGTAGGGCGAGAATACGAGCGGTGACGGCCGTGCATTGCTGGGCGAGACGAGGAGACGGAGGGTCGGCGCGATCCTTTCGGCGGCTCGAAAGGGAGCGAAGGGAGCGAAGGGGTGTGACGGTGCATCGATGCGGGCGTCGAGGTGCGCGACGACGCAGCCGAGGCGAGACTCGAGTGCTGCAGCGCGCTGTCTGGGTCGCCGGGCGAGTTGTCCCGGAACGTCAACGAGCCCGTGTGCCGCCTCGACAACGCAGGACGCGGTGCAGTCCCTGCAATCCCGTACTGCTCCTCCGTCAAGTCCTGCGCCGCGAACGTCGCATCCTGCGCGAGGACCGGCGTCTGCTGAGGCGTCTGCGACGGGTCTTGCATGCCGAGACTCGCCGCATACCCGCTGTCGTGCGGACTGTGCGTCGTCGAAGCGGGCGTGGCGATCGAAGACGTCGTGTACGCAGGCGAGACGACCTGTCCGTACTGGTCGACCGAGATCGTCGCCGTCTGGTCGAAGGGAGTGTCGGCAAGGTAAGGCGAGGGAGCGGTCGAGCTGGGGGTCGTCGCAGCGTGTGAGTAGGGCTGGTGCTCGTCGAGAGTGTGTAGCTGGTGCGAAGGGTGGATGTACGGGCCGGACGACGACGTCGGGAAGACGTGCATGCTTTCCTGCGCCTGACCCTGCGATAGCGGTGCGAGCGGCGCCTGCGGATGCAGCGGGACGTCTTCACCTCCCGCCATGCTCGGGTCAAAGACGAGCTCGCCGGCGGGAAGCATCGCAAAGCCGTTCGTCGCCATGAACTGGTGTTGAGCCGGATCGACGGGTTCGAGAGGCGAAGCGAAGCTCGACTCGGGGTAGTAGGTGAAGGAAGAGGAAGAGGATAGTTGTTGAACGGGCGAGTCGTAAGCGGAAGAGAGGGACGAGGCGGCAGACGACTGGTCCTCGATATGGAGGCGGGCGAGAACGGGCTGGACGCGGCCTGACGGCGTGATGATCGTGCCTTGTACGGCAGGATGGCCGCTCCACGCTTCTGCAACCTCGACGGCCTGGTGCATAGGCTGGAAGACGGCTCCTGGTCGACCTGGAGCATCCGAGATGTACGAAAAGTTGTGCAGGCCAGTCGGGAGTGGCGGCGACGAGTTGGCGTGAGGTCGTCGATACCGTGCAGGTGTGATGGGCGCGCCTTCGTGCTGTTGGGGGAAGGCGACCTGCTGCTGAGGACCGAGGACTTCAGTTGCATCCGGGTCGGCATCGGCGAAACCATACGCCTGCATCGACGTCGTCTGCAGCGCTGGGTGCTGGAAGGCGGCAATCGAGTGGCTGCGGTACATCTGCGCCGGTCGCTGCGACTGAGGGGCCAAGTCGAACGCTTCGACCGACTGGGCAGGTCGAAGAGCGGTGAAGCCGGCAAGGGACGAGACCGACTCGCTGCGCGTCTTGTGCATCGGCGCCGAGCGAGCGTAGGGCGCGAAGCGAGCGCCACCGTTGAGCGAGCTGGACGAGGCGGTTCGGCACATTGTGGGCGGCATCGGGAGAGGCGCTTCTCCTCGAGCTGATGCGGCAGCTGCGGCAGCTGTGACTGCTGCTGCTGCCGCACTCGCTCTTGCTTTGGCGACAGTGACGTTGTCGATGGTGCCGAGCGAGATGGAAGTCTGGCTGCGACTCCGGTCCCGCTTCTCGCGCGCTTGTTGCCTGTGAGAGCGGCTTGGACGTCAGCACGGGCGCAGGAGCTTGAGTAAGGACTCAACGCACGCGTTCCAGTAGTTCTTGATTGCGTTGTCCGGCCGTCCGGGCAGATGCTTCGCCATCTCCGCCCATCGCGGTCCCATGCGAGCGTACATCTCCTTGATGAGCGCGTCTTCCTCGACGGTCCAGTTGCCCTTCTTGACTGCGGATGGAGGTGGGTTAGCGATGCAAAGGCAGGCGAGAGGGGAGAAGGACTGACTGGACGGGTCAAGGTGGTTATGCCATCGTTCTCGACACTGCTTCCCGCTGCGTGTCGGCATCTCCTCCGAGATGCTCACCTAAAGACGTTGTATCAGTACACGCGTGAGAATGTACAAAGCGAGCGAACGCACCCATTTCTCCGAGCCGTACTTGGCGACCAGCGCCTCGAGTTGAGCGTCCTCCTCCGGCGTCCAAGGCCCCTTGATCGGTTTCGGCTTCGAGAGGGCTTTCCAGCGCTGTTTGAGGGGAGAACCAGCAGCATCAGCCATCTCAACCTTCAAAGTTTCGCATCCGGGAGTCTCCTCGCGATGAAGATGTCCCGCCAACAGCGCGCCGCCCAGCCCTCCATGCATTGCGAGACGTAGAGAACTGGGAAGAGAGCTCAACGCACGTCCTGGCAGTCCTTCTTCGCGTGCTTGCCGTCAGGAAACGCCCTCTTGACAACTTCGCCCCAGCTGGCCTTGCCATCCGCTTCCTCGAGGACCAGTCGGAGCTTCAAGTCGTCCTGCTCTGTCCATCTCGGCGTCGCTGCCATCGCTCCCTGCGAGGACGGGGTGGATGCGAGTCCGGACCCTCGGTGCGGAGCGAGGGAGAAGGAGGCGCGACGGCGCGATGAGCGGGGCGAGTAAGCGGCCAGATGCGCTGCGCCGCTGTAGATCGTGCAGTCCCTCGAGCGTTGTACAGACTCAGCCAGTGAGCTCGTGTTCGTGTGCAGCAGGCGGAAAGCGACCTGCTCCTCCTCCTCCTCGTCCGCAAGCCCCCCCTTTCCACCCCACAACCCTGATTTTCCAACCTTCGTACGCTTCCAGGTGCATTCGTGCGTACAGTGCTCCGAAAGAAGTCTTCCGACAGCGAAGTTGCAGGGAAGTAGCGAGGACAACCGATACATAACGAGCGGGCGAGAGAAATAATCAAGGGAACGAAGATAGAGCCGCAATGGTCCGTCTGTACGCTTATAGCACTGTGGTTGTCGCGCTGGGATGACAGGTAAGACGTCAGTGGGCAGACGGAAGAAGGAGGCGAAGGAAGCGAGCTCTCACGCTGGCGGGATGCTCGAAGTCGTCGAAGAACTGCTTCCAGTCGAGCGACTGGTCCCCGGTGTCGTGCTGCTCCTGTTCGTTGTGGTACCTGAAGGCGAGCGGGTGGGCGAGCCCGTGCGGGTCGAGGTGGATGAACGAGACGGCGAAGACGCGGAAGACGACCGACTTGAGGTAGGCAGAGTCGACGAGCCGCGGGTGCTCGTTGTAGGACTAGATGTCGTACGACTCGTTGAGCTCGAGATGGAGCGAGACGCGGTGCGCGACAAGGAGGAGGCCGAGGACGAGCGAGTCGAGGAGGATCCATTGCTCGTCGACCCGCGAGAATTGCTCGAACTCGAACGGCTAGATGTCGCTGAGCGCGTGCCACTGCTGCTGCTGCTTGGGCGTGTCGTAGGGCGTTGACTCGTTGTCTGCGACGAGGGGGAGCGGCTCGTCGTGCGAGGCGGAATTGTGGTAGATGAACGGGAAGGGCTGAGTGAAGGTCATATCCCGTCAGCACGTCAGATGACTGGGTCAAGAGTAGCGAGCCCACCCGATAGACGGAATCGTCACGCTCGTCGTCCCCGTCGTCGAAGACCCGGACCGCGTCGAACTCGCTCCGGCGCTTGTGCTCGTGCTTGTCGTGGAGCCTGGCACGCATCCGAGCGGTAGGTTCAAGAACGTGCACGTGACGACTGGTGAGCTTGTGCGAGAAGCGGAGGAAGTGCTGATTGGGCCGGAGGACGGAGGAAGGGTGGTCGAGCTGTGTCGCCGTCCCGGTCAGGTCAGTCCCGCTTCACTGTCAAGCTAGAGGGATGACTGACCCAGTCACTGTGGTGGAGCGCGACTGCGTGCTCGCTCCCGTCGTCGAAGCAGAGCGAGTCGGGGTGGAAGACCTGCACAAGCCTCACAGTATCAGCCTCTCCCTTACTGAGCCCGCTTGTCGCGCCAGACGCACCTGCTAGACGTCTCCGTCGTGCTTGATACACCGCTCGTCGTACTGTGACCGACAAGCGAGCAGCAAAACGAGGTTGGGAAGGTCAGCTACTCGTTCGCCTCGCTACAGCTTTCGTGGGCGCACCTCGTACTCGAACCGCCTGTACTCGATCCTGGAATACTGGAAGAAGCGCGGGAAGAGGTGGAGCGGGTGGCGCTGAGTCGGAGCGCAAGTCAGCTTCAGAATTCGAAAAGTGCGAGGAGAACAGGCAAACCTGGACGACGAAGTGCTCGCTCCAGGCGTACTCGTAGGCGAAGGCGTCGTATTTGACGAGCGCGAGGTCGAGGCGCTAGTCGTGCTGCGCGCGAGGAAGCGGGTCAGAAGCGGATGCAATGAGAGATTCGAGAGAAGAGAGCGCACCTTGATGAGCTCGAGCTGCCCGGCGACGTAGTCGGGCGCGTACCGGTGCTGTAGCTGGACGAGCTGTGGCGAGGTTAGCTTGTCAGCACGTTCGGTAAAGTCCGCAGAATCGGGCGAGGCGGACGAACCTGGACGAGGTCGGCGGCTGCGTCGTCAACGGACGACTCGTACTGTTTGCCGAAGAGCTTACAGAAGCCGTCGAGATAGGAGAAGTTGTCGGGCGAGTCGTGCTGCGTACGCAGCGCTGTCAGTCCCTGTTCCAGCTGCGAGAGAGAGAGAGACGGGGCGAGACGCACGTTGTAGACGAGACGGGCGGTTCTGTAGTTGACGTCGAAGAAGACGAGCCGCTCGATGCCGATGCCGAGGCAGAGGAAGACAAGCTCGTCGTGCTTGAAGGGATTGGCGGAAGGGTGCTCGAGCGTGAAACGGATGTCGAGACTGCCGATGAAGACGCAGACGAGGCGGAGCTGGAAGAAGAACTGCTCGGGATTGTGGTAGATACAGGCAAGGAGGTGGTTGAGCGGGAGGAGGAAGGCGGAAGAGTCGACGGGGATGAGCTCCCGCTCGAGCTGCTCAATACCGAAGTCGGGCTTTGGCTTGTACTCGTTGGCGGAACCGAAGTTGTAATAGAAGGAGAGGCAGAGGTCGGTGTCGGACTGCGATCAAGGTGGTCAACACGCAGGAACATCGAGGTTAGGAGGAGAGTGAACGTACCCGAGTACCGTAACAATATCGAGGCTAGTGAGCGTCAAGGTCCTTGTGCCCACCTCACCTGCGTGCGCACCCCTTCTACCTCAGTCTCTACCGCAAGTGAACGAGTGCGAGAGCAAGAGACGCGCCTCCTCCCGCCGTAAAAGTCACCGTGGCAACGTCCGTCTGCAAATTAGTCGCCGTACGAGCGACGACGACTAGTCCGTCTGTGAGAGTTGTTGTGACAAAAGCTGCAGAACGAAGTGACTGAGTTGAGTAGCGAAAGGAGAGGAGAGGAGAGGGGAGAGGGCAGGAAGGCTCACCGGTCTGGATTTGGTCGATGCTTGTTGCGGAGACCTGCGAAGCGCCGGCTTTGTCAGCTTGTGATAGGTGCAGGAGCGGAGGAGGAGGAGGACGCACCGTGATGTCCGGCAGCGCAACAAATGAAGTCACAGTCGAAGCTTGCCCATTCGCGAGCGTCGTGAGGCGAGTCTGGCCACCCAAACTCGTCAGCCGACCCTGCCCGCGTTTGCGAGAAAGCGACCGAAACGCACCCTCGTAGCGACGACCCCATCGAGCGTCCTCGTCTCCGTCTTGCCGTCGACGACAGTCGTGACTACCTGCTGTCCCTCCGCAACGTTGTTCTTGTTCTTCCGTGTCAGTACAACCGAGGGCGGGACGATAATAACCTGCTCAATACATCCTCAGCCTGAGCCCGTGTGAGTAGGTGGCGAGGGAAGGACGCACGGTGAGGAGGATAACCAAGGCGAGCAAGCCCAGCAAGAGGAGGAGCCTTCCCCTCCGCCTCTTCGACGCCGCACTCGTATAGCCTGCACTCGCCGCGGCGGGCGTATAGCGGCGCGAGGGAGTCTGTGTGAGGCGTGCGAGCGTGAGTGCGGAACTTTGCGAAGGAAGGAGAGGGAGGGACGCACGCTCGGGCTGGAGAAGGTCCCGCCTGGCGTGGACATGGCAGCGGCTTCTCCCAGTCGTCGACGGAAGTCTCAGGGAGTAGAAGAACGGCGGAAGAGGGAGGAGGAAGCACGAGGGAACGCAGGAAGCGCCGGAGTCTCCACGGATAGGCCTGAGCGGCGCGCGAAGCGGTTGACTGCTGAGTCCAAGTTCAGCTATGTTATGCCATCGAAGGCGTGAGAACTTGACTTGTACAAAGTGCGAAAAACCATCGAGAGCGAGGTGCAGAAGGAAGCGAGTGGATCCATCGAGTGTCGAGGAGGTACAGCAGAGGCCAGACGCGCAATGGGCGCTTCGGTACAAGCTCGCAGGCTTAAGTCAGACCTTGAGCACGCCTGCACACACACGGCGAGCCGTCCCACGCGATGAGCGAGGCGCCCGAGCGTGTGAGACGTTCAGTGAGCGAAGAGGACGGCGAGGAGCGAGTCGGAGTCCGTTCGGCGTGGTTGTTCGAGTGGCATGTCGAGTACGATGTAGCGAGTGTCATGAGCGAGTCGGTTGAGCTGTGTGCGGTGGTTGACGGTGGAAGAGCTCGGCAAGACGGTTGTCGCGATCGTGGTCGCGATCCTCGCCCGCCTCCTCCTCTCTTCCCGCTCTCACTCACAACGCTCTCTCGCTCTCGTGCACCCTGTAGCTGTGACTGCAGTACTACCCAGGGACACAACAGCGACCATGGCAGCGAGACCAGGTACGCGCGCACATCTCCCGGCTCGAACGCGGCCCTCGTCACCGACACCGACTCACTCGCACTCACTCACTCGCTCTACTGCACGCAGTCGCACAGCACGCCTTCCTCGCAGACGCACTCGACTCGCTCCAGCACTCGGTCGAGCGCCTCAACCACGCCCACCCGAACGGCACCGCGTACGACTCGACCCCGACCACGGCCCTCTTCCTCCCGCTCATCTCGGCGCCCGATGCCCCGCGCTGGCAGGACGTCCAGGCGAGCCTCATGGCCCGCTTCGGACTCACCAAGCAGTCGAGGGTCGCAGGCGTCGACCCGGGCATGCTCGGCACCGTCCTCGTCGTCTCGCTCCTCAAGAAGACGGTCATCTCGGACGACTCGCTCAGCGGGCTCGCCTGCCGCGCGTGGATCGCAGACCTCGATGCGGCAGTTACCTACGCAGAGGCAGAGTGCCTCCGCCGCGGCGGAGCACGCCCTCACCCGCAGCCGCACGCCGTCCCAGTCCAGCCGGCGCAAGTCGCCAAGCCCTCGTTCTTTGGCTCGGCTCCTCCTCCCGCCACCGCCGCGCCCGTCGCATCAGCACCCTTTGCCTCCGCAGTCCCTCAGCAACCGACGCCGCCGATCTACGTTCCCCCGACACCCGCCTCGACCGCACCCGCGAAAGAGCCTTCTTCTTCGTCCTCGCAGCCTTTCCCTCCTCCACCCGCTTCGCAGCCCGGCCCCTCTTCTTCTCAACACCAGACTCCGGCCCCTCTCCCGCCCTCACTCGCAGCCCTCGCCTCTCAGCGCCGCGAGTCAGGCGCATCAGACGCTTTCGAGCACGAGGAGCAGGACCAGAAGCCGTTTGTGCCCGAGTTGCATGGGGCCGCTCAGCAGCACCAGGGACAGGGGCAGGGACAGGGAGAGGAGGAGAAGGACGAGTTGGAGGAGCCGCCGGAGGATGAGGAGGCGTGGGACGAGCAGAGCAGTAGCGTGAGCGTGCGTTCGCGTTCCTCCCCTTCCTCTTCCCCCCTCCCTTCCCCCGCTGATGCGGATTCTGAGCTCGCACGCAGCACCGCGCTTCCCCCTCGACCGCCTCAGCCCCTCAACAAACCCAACTCGGCGCCGCGCTCGCCGCTCTCACCCAACCCTCCCCTTACTCGGCTCTCGGCTTTGCGCCGCCCGCGCCGGCGCCTGCACCTGTTCAAGCTCCCGCGCAGACGCAGGTCGCGAAGAGGGGAGGAGCGGGGAGCGGAGCGGGGAGCGGAGCGCCGAAGCCCAAGAGGCAGAGGCATGCGCAGTTCAGTGGTGACGTGAGTCGCGGGACCTGCTTTCGTCGCCACTCCTGCGCGCCTAGCTCTGTAGCTAGCAGCTGGATGGCAAGTTGCGAGATCTTCAAGACTGACGTCCATCTTCCGTTCGCGCAGGAAACTCCCCCGATCGAGCTCGCCTGCGCCATCTTCGGCTACATCCAGCCCTTCCCGGACATCGAGCCCCTCCCTCTCCCTCCGACTTGGCGCTCGCTCAACTATTCGTTCAAGCGGAGGCACCTCAAGGGACAGCTGGTATGGGCCATCAACAAGGGGTTCAGGGAGGATATCTTTGGTGAGTGCCGCCCGTTGCTCGTGCTCAGGAGGGGGGACAGTGTGCTGACGGAGGGGTCGGACGCCCGCAGTCTACCGCCCGTCGGAGAACTACCTCGCCTTGGACCCGAAGAACAACTGGTGCGGCACCAAGGCTCACTTTGACGCCCCGGGACACCCGATCGCCTTCATCGGCCGCAAAGACAAGTGCGACGAAGCGTTCAAGGCCATCTCGCGCGGCGTGCACCCGGACAAGCAGCGCGACGGGATCCACGTCTTCATCAGCGTGCCGATTCATCGTTGGCTCGCGCGCGGGTTCTACGTCGTCGCGTACGATGGGTCGACGGACGAGGCGGCGCTCAAGTTGCCTTCTGGTCCTGGAGCGCTCGATCGTCTCCATCCCGAGATGAGGAGGATTTTCGTCGCGCACACGACCGCCAAGGACGCCGAGCAGAACAAGAAGACACTCCACGACTGGAACTTCCAGGCCAACACGTACGACGAGGCCGTGCGCGAACTCGAGAATGGCCAAGGGGGCCAAGTCATGCGCTTCTTGCTCCTCAAGTGCATCGATTTCGACCAGGCTGCGTTCGACGTGTGGGATGCCGCGAGGAGGGATCCGGTGCAGACGGGCGGGCGGGGACCGAGCGCCGCGAATGCGGCCGCGAACGGTCAGCAGTCGCCGGTCCAGGGTCCGGGTCCGATGGCGTTCGTTTGAGGAAGAGGTGGTCGCCGTCTCGCTTGACTTTGTGTAGATACCTTTTCCATGCCTCGAGGTCTCCCTGTCGTTCGCTCTTCGCATTTTGCACAATACCAGCATTGTTGTCCATCCCAGCCCGAGTTCGCCAGATCCTCCTCCTCTTTCTCCTGCCCACCAACTCGCTCTCGTCACTTCCGCTTCGCTAGGCTCGCTTGCTGTTGTACAAACGTCGCGAGTGTCTGCGACCATGGGTGTACCTCGTACGTCCCGCGCGAAGCGCTCGTCTCGCTCGCCCACCCTCCTCCACTCATCAAACTGATGAAGCCCTGTACCTCACCGCAGTGCCCTCGCACCCGAGCCTGAGCGAAGTCTTCACGGCTCTCGAGCAAGCAGTAACCAGCTTCCAGTCGACTCACCCCGACAACGACGACTTTGCGCGCACCTCGACTTACAAGCGCTTCTTCCCTCTCCTCCGATCCGCAACTCCGCCCGTCTGGCCGGCGGTGCAACAGGTCTTGCACGCGCAGTTTGGCGAGACGAGTGCGAGTTGTCGAGCCGGAGTCGAGGCGGGCGAGATGGGCGTTGGATTGGTCGTCGACGTGTTGGCCAGGACGGAGGTTGGGGAGGACTCTAGCGCGGCGATGGCGGCCAAGTTGTGGCTTGTCCAGCTCGAGTCGGCCGTCACTAAGGCAGAGTACGCGCTCCGTCACCGAACTGTCTCGAGCGACCGCTGACTTTGGATTCTTGAGCGACAGGCTCGACTTGCTCCGTCGACCGTCTGCTACGCCCGCAGCCGCCGCTTCACCCGCCTCGACCGCACCCGCAGCAGCCGCACAACTCCCCACCCCATCCGAAACGGCTCAAGCGAACCCCTTTGCCGTTCCCGCACCGACTCCAACCCCCCCTGCGACTTCGACTCGCCCCCCTTTCGGCTCTTACAGCAACCCTTCTGGGTGGACTGCTACGCCGACGACTTGGACCGCGTCTAGCGCCAGAGAGCGTGCGAAGTCGCCCGTGTTCGCGCAGCAGGACCAGCACATGGACGACCCGTGGAAGAGCGACGACTTCGGTGGGCCGTCTGCGTCTGGCGGAAACGACCCGCTCGACGAGAACGGGCGGTCGAGGTCGCGGTCGCAGGCTCCGCCGCGGGAGGATACGCCGCCAAAGGTTGTGAAGGAGAAAACGCCTGCGCCTCGCGCTTCGGCCTCCGCTTCGACTAGCAGGCGCGAGACACCCGTGCGATCGACTCGCGCTCAGTCTCCCAAGTACACTCTCACGATCGGCAGCGATAGCAGCGAGTTGGGTGAGGCGACGGAATCGGAGGAGGACGAAGATGAGGAAGAGGTGCACAATGTTCTTCCTGACCGAACTTGGCTTTTCCTTACGGCTTTCGTGCAGGACGACGAGGACGACGACGAAGTTGACGACGACCTATCGTACCACAGCGGCTCAGACGGAGGGGTGCGTTGCTCCTCGTGGAAGCTTCGCTCTAGGAATCGTCTGAACCGTTTCCATTTGCAGCTCGATGGCGCGTCAAGTCTTACAAAGGCGAAAACGCCGACGGAACAAGGCGGAGCAGGACCATCGAGTGGGGCAGCTACGCCCGCCGTCGCAGCCGCGGCCGCACCGGCGAAACGGCCAGCACCCGTCGCCACGCCTGCCCCTGCCCCTGCAGCACAGCGCCCTAGGCTGGCGGCGCCGGCTGCCAACCACCAGGCAGGAGCAGCTCTGCAAGCGTCGGCACAGGCGACCTTCCTCGCCACCGTCTTCCGCCCCCTCGCCTTGCCCGACCTCTCTCCGCCTGCTGCCCTGACTACGCACTTGACTCTCAACCGCATCTTCACCCGGCCACAAATCGGCGGCCCTCAGAGGGAGATTGTCAGCAAGGGTTGGACGAAACAACACCCGCAATACCGCTCGTCAGCAAATTTCCTTGCGCTCGACCCGACGCTCAACTTTTGCGGCAGGGAGAAGGACGACTACGGAGCGCTCGGCCAGCCGATCGCCATCCTCGCCCGAAAGGATAAGTGCAATGAGATCCTCGGCGTCCTCAAGAAGATGCCCGAGCGTGGGAAGACCCGTGCTGGCTCGCAGATCTTCGTCCGGCGTGCGTCTGCTCAGTGGGCGTACTGCGGGTGGTACGAGCTTGCCTACGACGGCAGTATGGATGACACGGCTCTCCCGCTTCCGTCGGGACCTGGCGAGTTCAACCGCCTGCACCCGGACATCCAGGCTGCCCTCAAGAAGCGCGGCACAGGCCAAGTTGGTCCGAAGACACAGCGCACCATCCGTGACTGGGGCTTCACAGGACTGTTCAAGGAGGACAAGATCGACCTTGACCGGATCAAGGCGGAGCTCGCGTCCGGCCGGGGAGATCGCATGATGCGCTTCATCGTTCTGCGGTGCACGCGCTTCGATCAGGAGGCATTCAACGTCTGGAACGCGGCGAGGGAGTGACGAGGGCGTCTGCATGTAGCTGCCTCAGAGTGTATCCTTATTTCGACGGACTGTATATATCTCTCCTTGTGGCATTGCGCTTATGTGTGCACATATATGTTGTTTGCGAGCTCAGGAGGAACCACAAGCCGGGGGAGAGAGACTTGCAAAACGAGGTACAGGCGATAGTGCGACAACTTGCGGTGCGAAGAACGTGAATAAGGCTACTTGAGATGGAAGGAGAGAGTCTACAGCTGGTCAAGATGTGCATTAGCGGGTGCGGGCGCGTCAAGCGAGGAGAACGCACGATAATCTAATACTGCCGGACAGTCAGGAGGGCGACTCGCCCGTCTTGCGCGATCCCGTGTGCGATGCCTAGCGCGAAATCGTCAGCATACCTCGACGAGGTGAGAAAGAGGACGCACCCTTGTTACCCGGCTCTAGCAAGCCATCGAGCCACTCGACCTGCGCCGAGTACCGCCTGTTCAGGTACCACGTCCCCCGGCCAGCTTGCTCGATGATCCAGTCACGTCCAATGTTGTATCCGTCCGGGATGATCTTGTGCTTGCCGCGGAGATCCTGTCGAGGGAAGGAAAGTCAGGTCGGTGGACGAGGGAATGCGGAAGCTCTTCCGGCGGCGTGAGCAACCGCGTCCGGCGCTTCAACGCTGAGAAAAAGCTTAAGAGGATGTCAGAAGAACGGCACGCACCAGCTCCTTCGACGCCGCAAGAAACCAAGCTCCCGAATCCGCCTCTGATCCGTTCTGCCGGTACGCCCGAAAGTGATTCCCGCCTGCGCCGCGCAAGGGTCAGCTTCCAACGTCGACAGTGGAAAAATCTGCGAGTACTCGCCTGTCACGCTCTCCAAGCAAGCACCAACGATCGGGAATGGCCAGACTGATTCCCGCATGACGTACAGCTCCTGCTCCCATCCTGGACGAGCGACGGGAGTTAGCGACCGAGCTCTTCCCATGCTAACTTACACCACGAGGCGAAGCAAGTATGACAGCGCACCTTTGCCATCGCCTAGGTTCGCTTCCTGCGGGTCGCCGAAGTGCAGGTTCGCGCACTCGTTCCAAAGACCTGTCAATTGAGCCGTTTACTAGATTAGCAGTCCGTGGAACAGCAGCAAAAAAGACCAGCTTTGAGCAAGGAAGGGAAAGAGAAGACGTTGCTCACCCAGAGACCTCGAGTACGCAATGAAGCCGGACTCGCTCAGCACTCCTGGGCTTGACTGCGCCGACACAATCACGTTGAGTGGCTCGCCGGCCTTCCATCGGTTCCGCTGCGATAGCGAGAGGGCGGATAGGGAGCGATGCCGGAGGAAGAGCCGAATTCAATGGTCGTTAGCTCGAGACGGAGCAGTCGCGGACCATCAAAGAGCCGACGCACGTTCAGCATCGACCCTCCTCGTTCCCGTACGTCGTAGTACGCCGGTCTCGCGGGTTGCGATAGCGGTGAGGCTGTGTCGACATCGGGGGTCGCATTTGGCGAGAGGACAAGCTGGGCGGGCGGTTCGAGCGGAACAGGCTGGGCCAGAGGTAGCAAAAGAATCGGTAGCAGCGCCAGAACCCTCATCGCAGCACATTGGGCGGAAGCAACGTGATGACGAGGAGAAAGTCAGGAGCGAGGAGGTTGACTTCGCTCCGCAAGGTCCCTCTCGCTGCTCGAGGGCGGGACAGACTGGCTCAGACTCCCTGACCGAGGCTCCTCTCACTGCTGCCCGCCCGCCATGCCTCCGCCGTCTCCCGCTCCCTCCTCGCTCCTCTTCACCATCTCGTCGCACAAGGGCGCGGTGCACACGGCAGTGTACAATGCGGGGAGCTCCTACATCCTGAGCGGTGGGGCGGACAGGCAGATCAAGCTCACGAACGCCAAGAGCGGGATGGAGGTCAAGACGTACGGAGGGCACGGGTACGAGGTCCTTGGGATTGCCTGGTGAGCTCCTTCGATACCTTTCTGACGCGAGAAGCGGGGTTTGCGAAGCTGGAGCTGACGCTTGCCGCGAACCGCAGTTCGCACGACAACTCTCGCTTCGCTTCGTGCGGAGGAGACCGTTCCGTCTTTCTCTGGGATGTCACGTCGGGCGACATTGTGCGACGGCTGAGCGGACACACGGGCAAGGTGAATGCGGTCGCGTGGAATGCGGATTCAAGCGTGCTGGCGAGCGGTGCGTTGCTCTCCTCTTTAGCCGGCGAGACCAGGTCTGACCCGCTTTCCCCGCCTCGCAGGCTCTTTCGACACTTCCGTCCGGTTATGGGACATCAAGTGAGCCCCCTCGACATCACTCAGCTTGTTTGCTGCCAATTAGTTGACTCCTTGCGCTCGCAGGTCGCAAAATCGTGCGCCGCTGCAGGTTCTCGAGGGCGCTCGCGATTCGATAATGTCGATACGGATTCACGACCATCTCATCTGTACGGGGAGCGTTGACGGTTACGTGCGGACCTACGACTTGCGGATGGGCCAGATGCAGGCGGACTTTTTCGACCGTGAGTTTCGACAACCTCTCGCCTCCGGTTCTCACAGGCTCGTCTCGAGTCTCCAGCTGTTGGACAACAGACAATTGTTACTGCTTGCTGATCGTCTGGCCGTTTCGCAGAACCCGTGACTTCGCTTGCCTTCACCGTCGACGCCTCCCTCCTCCTCGTCTCGACCCTCGATTCGACACACCGCCTGCTTGACCTCCAGCACGGCACCGTCGTCCAGTCATTCACCGGTCACAAGAACACGAGCTATCGCAGCCAGAGCTGTCTGGGGCGGAAGGAGGAGACGGTCGTGTGCGGTGACGAGGAGGGGAAGGTGTGGACTTGGGATCTCGAAGCTGTGAGTTGCGCAGCCTGCACACTCCGCAGAGCCTGCAGCGCGCGAACGTCTAGCGAAGAGCCCACGCGACATACCCCGCTAACCCCATCCCGTTTCATTCCTGCGCACAGGGTTCTCCGCTCGGCAAGCCCTTCAAGGCGCACGAAAAGGCCATCCTGTGGACCGCACACCACCCGAAGGAGCAGCAGCTCGTGACGGCGAGTTCGGACGGGACGGTCAAGGTCTGGGGAGTCGCGGACCCGGGGCGATGAGGAGGGAACTCTGCCAAGAGCTCGTGGAGCGGCCGAGGTCTGTGTGGGAGGCCGTACCGACGCAGGAGCTTGTTGTTGTATTGCTGCTCGATCTGCCGCGCGTGTTGGAGACGTCGTGGTCGGAGCTGTTTGACCAGAAGGCGCCGCCTTGGTCCCGTTCCGCGGGCGCAACGATGTCGGTACCGCTCCGAGTGACTTGGCTCGTGGCAGCGCGGCCTTCCCGCGCTGCTCGTTGACGACTGCGCGTTGCGGTTGGAGAGGTAGGAGCGGAGGTCGCGTCCATGGCGGGAACCGCAGCCGCTCGTCCTCCTCGACTCGTCGCGTATCCGCAAGCCGGTCCGTCCAGTGCGCTCGGTAGGAGCAACAAGTGGAGCAGGAGTGCCCGAAGATGCGCCTCAAAGCAGAATCGAGCAGCGTGCGAGGCGACGCGGGTGCAAGCCAGTTCCAACCGCGAGAAAGATCGTCGTCCGCTGCTTGCTGCTTCGCCATTCCCGACTCGCCTCGTTCCCTGCGCTAAGCAGCCTGCAGAGCGCCACAAGCTGGCCCCGTATCGCTGCAGCTCGTTACTGCTCGAGTGCGCAGTGCCTGGTACGCTCTTGCGCCCTTGATCTAGCCTGTCTGCTTGGCCCAGCACTGGGAGGCCGTTTCGACGCTGAGGGCGCACAAGCGGAGCACAGCAGCGCGTCAGGATGGGTGGTCACAGCGGAGCGAAAGGGCTGGTCGAGCGGTTTGCGAGTCTGAGGGACAGATGCGACCTCCGGTCCGGGCCCCTCGAACGAGGCTTCGGCCTTCACCGAGATAAGCTGGGTTGCTTGGGGACAACGCGATCCATCAGAGCCTGGCGGCACCGACATCAGCGGCAGAAGGCGTCGGCGAACGGCTGGCGGATGAGGAGGGACGGCGGTCGGAGGCAGTCGAGCGGCGCTGGCGCGCTTTGTTCCTGCAAGCGTGGCACAAGGACGCCCAGCTGCTGCCGCCCTTGTCGTCTCGCACGCTGTGCGATGGCATGTGCTGTTGCGAAGAGGTCGCTCGGGGAAGGGCGAGGACTTCAAGGGTCCTTGCGAGGCGGGGAGAGCGAGGGAGGCGCTGAGTGGCTCGTCTAGGGCGCTCGCAATGCTCCGATGGCGCTGTCTGCTGCTATCGAGCTGCACCTGGGAGGCGACGGTGGAGGCGACCTGGCAAACCCGCTCTCGCTCGCTCGCTCGCCTCTTTGCCATCCTCCTCCTCCTCACCGACTCGAACAGGCTTATTCGTGCTGTCGAGACCTTCAGGCTGTTCTACATATACTGCTCGGACCTGCGCTCTGCGGCAGAACGTCGCATGATCGGCCCTCTCAATTCCTCCACGAGCCAGCGCCTCGCGCTTTCACCTCGCCATCCTGCGCCGCGCAACGACGCTCTGGACACGGGGAGCGTTGTCTCCGGCGTACACCGTCCAGTAGCTCACACGGCAAGCGGCTGGGCGTGCAGTGCCGTTCCGACCGGACGCAGCTTCCCCCAGAGCGACGTTGCTCGCTCCCCTCTCCCTCCTTCTCCTCACTCGCCGTCGCCTGTGCCGTCGAATCGCCTCTCCTAGCAACCCGCATGCAGCAGACGCCGCATTCTGCAGACGAGAAAGGGATGGCCGACGACTTCCTCCCTTCGTTTCCGAAGACGGGCTCTTCCCACCCGCGTTGACGCTCTTTCACCGCTCCCGCCATGCCTGCGACTCGAACGACTCGCCAGCGTCGCCTGACTTCTCTCAGTCTTTCGGCTTGGTTGTGAACAGGACCCTCGAGTCCTCGTTCCGTGGCTCCCGCTCGTCCTTGCGCACCCAGAGGCAGGTCATTTGCTAGCGCGCGCATACTTGTCTAGTTCATTACGCACATTTCTGGACAATCTTCGGCGCCTCTTGCTGCTCTCTTCGTTGGTCGCGTCGTCTCGCTCGAGGCCGTCCCGTGAGCGGATCATCCGAACAGGTGAGCGCTTGAGCAAGATCGTCGGTCGCATTACTGATAATGACGGTCCAGCAGCTGCGACTTGGCAGAGTTCGCAACTTCTGTTCGCCAATTGAGAAGTCTTCCCCTCATCGGCTCCGCATCGCGCGACGAGGAATTCTCGTCCCGCAACCACCGTCGCCTTTACTCCGCCGTACACATCAGCCTGCGCATGCTCCTGCCAGACTGCGAGGCATGCAGAATGCCGAGCAGTACCGGAGCGATGCGAGCGGTGCGAGTAGCGACGGCACTTCGGCGCTCTTCCCTCCCTTCCTGACACCGTCAGGCAACCTGCGCATCCCCTCGTCGCTCCCGTACTTTCCAGCTCGCGAACGCGGGGAGGCGTCCGAGCCCGAGGTGCGCAACTCGGACTCGGACGACGACAGAGAAGGAGAAGGAGACTCGCCTGCCGTCATCTTGGGTGCGTCTCTCATCTCCGTTCTTGCGCCTACCAATACAGCACTGACAAGATTCCACAGGCATGCAAATGTTGGAGGCGGCCCGAAAGACGACGATACAGCCTTCACAGAACTACGCGCCGGACGAGACGACCGACACCCGCACTTCCGCCCTGTGCATCCCGCCTCCCGCTCCTCTACCTGCTCCAACTCACCTCCTCGAGCTCAAGTTCACCGCTTGCGGCGAGACGCTCCTCGTCCCGATCCACGAGGGCTTGTGGGCGAACAAGTCCCGATTTCTCTCCCACCTCGACGGGAACGCCTCGCCTGCTCCGGCCATCTTGCGCGAAGGCCAGCTCAGAATCATTCCCCTCCCCATCATCCGACACAGCCTCCCGTTCCGTACGGTCTGGCCCGTCCTCTACCAATACATTCATGTCGGCTCGACTGCCGCCGTCCTTCAAGACCTCCTCACCTTCCCTGTCCCACCCTCGCCTCTGTCTTCCGACCCGGCAGACGTGCAGCAGCACCAAGTAGGGGCGGTAGTAGCGAGGATTGAGCGGATAAGGCGGTTATGGCTCGACGTGGTCGCGCTCGAGGCGGACACGGATATCGCGCTGTGGGATGCGATGGATCGCGCTTGGAACGTCTTGCTCACGGAGCTGAAGGAGGGGTTGCACGGATCACCGACGCGGGAGGAGCCGTCGCTGAGCGAAGGAGAACTGAGGACGACTTGACCGACGGGTTAACCGTATGGACGAAGTCTTGACGTTGCATTCTATTCCCGCATATCGACGCTCACTAGTTTAGCGGCTAGTCTCCACTCCTACCGCACTGCGCAACCAGACTCTCTCGGGCTGTAGCATCTGTTTAGACTGTATGACGACTCACGACCTCTCCCGCGGACAGACACTGCAAAGTAGTTTTGACATTGTACAATGGATGATCGTGCGTGCGATCCCTACAAGTTCTCGACAAGCGTTCATGCTGCAACCTCCTGCCCGCTGCGGATGAGCCACTCCCGCCTGCCGGTGCTCGCCGGGTCGAAGTAGGGCGTCTCGCCGACGACGACTGCGCGGTCTCCTGCGCGGTACTCGGTGTAATCGAACGTGGCGAGGTGGTTGACGACCTGCGCGTTCCAAGGGCGGGTCAGGACACGAGCGCTCAGAAAGGCGAGAGGAAGCAAGCAAAACGCACCGGGTTGCTCCAAATCGCAACGTCGTACTTGCCCCAGCGGTACTTGACGTGGTTCTCGTGATTCTCGGCCTGCACGCGGAAGAGGTAGTCGAGCACGCTTCGCGACTCGTCGTGGTTGAGCTCGTTGATTCTGGTCGTGAAAGTCGGGTTGACGAAGAGCGCTCGTTGGCCAGTGACGGGGTTGGTCCTGTTCGTGCGCTTTCCGTTAGAGTTGCTGAAGAGGAACGCGGAGAGCGAGACGCACCGGATGATCGGGTGCGTAGCCTGGAACGCATCGCCCTGGTTCAGCGGACTTCCCCTCGGCTCAGTCCGCAGCTTGAACCCGTTGAGCCGCGACTGGGTCCGGAAGCGCTCGGCGTCGTGAACGGCCGTCAGGCCTTCAAGGAACTTCTGGTAGGCGGGAGTGAGGCGGTCGTAGGCGGCGTAGTTGGAAGACCAGAGGGTGCTGCGAAGGTCGGCGGGGTCAGCTGCGGTCGTCGAAGGAGTATGTAAGGGTGAGACTCACTCTCCGCCGACGCGAGGGATGGTGTGCTGCATAGCAATGCCGTCAGCGTGCCGTTCAAGGAAAGCGAGAAGGGAAACGATCGCTCACCATCTGAAGGATCGTGAAGAGCGACGGTCGCGGCTCGAACGAGACGTCCGTGTGCCATCCAGCCGACGTCAACCCCTTCTCAGGGAACGAGATCTGCCGTCCCTCCTTGTCGGGCGTCGACGAGATCTTTCCGAGCGGGAGGCCGTTCTCGGACAGCTCTTGCGTGGGGTGGATGTGCAGAGACGAGTCGGAGGGTTTGGCGGCCAGCTCGCCAAGGCGGAGGGCGAGGTTGCCGAGGTCTTCCGGGACGAGTTCGCGCTGGTCCTGGAAGAAGACGACGCCGCGGTGCGAGACTGCGAAAGATCCCAGGCCGCTCGTCAGCTTATGCATGGCGTCTTCGGTGAGGGCGTCCCACTCACTCAGAATAGCAAGGTCGCGCAGCAGTGCGTCGCCCTGCTCCTTCGGCAGCGCCAAGATCTCCTTCAGCTTGACGCCGGCATCGAAGCGGTCGCCGAGCGCAGGCGTGAGCTCCTCGCGCGGGTAGTCCTTGGCGTTCAGTGCCCCGCTGAACTCGAGAGGCTGGACCTTGAGGTCGCCCTTGAAGGGTGAGGTGCCGTTGGAGCCGCGAAGGGAGAGCGCGTCGAGGGTCGCTGTGAGGGTCTGGGTAGCTGAAGGCATCGTGACGTCGACGTCGGCTAGCTGGAGTCAAGGCGGAGCGATGCTGAAGCTGTCGAACCAGGAATCAAGCGGGTGCAAGGAGAGAGAGAGAGGAAGAGCGAAGCCGCATCGTTTCGGTGCGATTCGCATGGCTCGCTGTGCGTGACTGTTGCACGCAGCCGAGTCTCACTCGTGCTTTTGTGCGAACGGCAGCCGGCGGCGAGAGCGAGCACATCGACGGGACTGCGGATCGCGCAAGAGGACGTCTGCTGGCGTGCTGAGGCCAAGGGGCGCCGAACACTGCATCGGGCCGGGCCATTGTTGGTCCGAACAGCTCATCAAGCGTGTCCAGCCGGCGGAACGAGCGTGAGGCAGCGGGTGGACAAGGTGAGGAGGCGAAGAGGGAACTCTGCTCCGCTCACACTCGCTCTACCTCGCCACAAGCAAGCCAGTAAATCATGTGACGCCTTCAGACTGCACTTCCAAGCCATCGCACGCCCATCGCTGTCGCTGTTGTCGCTTCCACTTCGGCACGATCGAACGGAACTTGGACACTTCACTCGCCTCGCTTGCTGGGACTCTTGAGTAGCTGCGAACGATGCAGCCTGCTAGTGGCAAGGCCAAGCCAGGCAGGAAACGCATCGCCTGCCACGCCTGCTCGTCTAGTGCGTTTCCATCCCGCTCATCGAACTTGCACGGTCAACGGCGGTAGCAGCGCTTGCTGGTGTCAAGCAGACTCGCGAGGTGGGTGCACGAGGGATTGGGAGAATATATAAGGGGCTGCGGGCACCCGCTGGCAAGTTGAACGCGACAGGACGTTTTCGGAGAGGGTGTGGAGAAGCGGGTGAGGGCGACGAAGGCGGGTCCGGCGGGCGGTGCGCGCCCGTGCATGGGGTCGTCCAAGGCTTCATACGTACCGGCTGGGCGCGGCAACCCTTCGGAACGGTCTGCCACAGGCTCCGCCCGTCTCGCGAACAACTCGCTGACCCGCTTCGTTCTATCCTACGCAGACAAGCAGAAGTGCGATGGTGAGTCCTGGCGCTTCGATGCTTCCGAATCCCGACATGAACGGCGGCATGGATTTCAGAGGCTACTTTGCAAGAGCCGACCAAACTGACTCTCCGTCCCATGAACAGGCGCGACCCGATACCCTTGTCGAAGATGCGAGCTGTACAACATCCAATGCGAATATCCGGATGGACAGGTACCCAGGTCGGCTGTGAGGGTGGATCTCGGGCAGGGAACGTCGAGTGCGGCGAGCACGCCTTTGAACGGGACGGCGACGGCGGCTGGCGGAAAGGATGACATTGCGGCTGCGTGAGTTCAGGCTTTTCCTTCTCAGGAACCTTCGAAGCTGATGTTCACACTCGCAGGCTGCGCGAGATGACCGCGCGACTGGCTGCGATCGAAGCAGGCCTCGAGTCTGACCGCCGAAGCGGCTTCCGACCTTCCGCCGGCGCAGCCTCAACCTCTTCCTTCTCCCTACCCGGCGTCGCATCCTCTTCACTCCCTCATCTCCCAGCCGCGTCGACCTCCCTCGCGGTCCCCATCGAAACCCGCACGTCAGGCTCCTCGACTCCCGCACACGCCGAAAGCGTCGAGATGCCCGCCGACTCGAACCCGCTCCAGGTGCTCGTCAGCACAATGGAGCAGATGAGTCGCGACGAGACTGCGATGGACGAGGACGAAGGAGGCGAGATCTTCGGCGCGAGGAGGTCAGAGAACGAAGTTGGGCCTGAATCGGACCCGGCGTATCTCGAGCAGTTGGAGAGGGAGGCGAAGAACGAGCCGAGAAGCGGGAGACCGGATGCATTCGCGAGGGGATTGGTCACGTTCGAGGACGTCCAGACTGCGTTTGCGTTCTATGTCCAGCGAATACAGCCTTGGGTGCCGGTTGTTGAGCGGAGGGCGCCGCTGGTCGTGCGCGACAAGAGCCCGTTCCTCTTCCACGTCATCCTCGTCGTCACGAATTGTGCGTCAAGATCGCTTTCCTCACTGCTGTCTCCTGACAGGAAGAAGCTTCCGCTTCGGGTGCTCTGTCAAGACCTAATGTACTGACGGTTCTCCGTGCAGACTACAACACGTCCACGACCGTCCGCGCTCGTGAAGTCTACGCTGGCCTCAACGCCATCATCCACGAACTTCTCGTCGCCCACATCCTCGCTCCCGATCCCTCCATGTTCACCCGCGACTTCATCCGCGGCCTCCTCCTCCTTCTCTACTACAAGCCGGTTCAGACAGCCGCCTACAGCCACCGCGGGATCAAGTCGACCAGCCGCATTGTCCACGCCTCGAAAGTCAACGCTCTTTCGTCACTCATGGTTCACTCCCTCATCCAGCGTGCTGCCTCGTTCATCGACATCCAAAGCTCGCCACACCGCCTCACTCCCGTCCTCGACAATCCGACCGGCGTCGGGCCAGAAGAGCGCAAGCGAGCGCTCGCAGAGTTCCGCCTCTGGTGCACGCTTATCGCGGCAGACGCGCTCGGCTCGCTGCAAAGCGGTCGAATCACCTGGACCGACCCGGCTGCGGCGCTCAAGAATGCCCGCCGCTTCGCACAGCTCGCTGCGGACCCGACAGACGTCCGCCGCGCCTCGGTCCTCGAGCTCTACAGTATCGTCACCGTCCCGACCTCCGAGACCGCCGCGCTTCACCCAGTCCGATACCGCCTCGAACAGCTCTCGCGCATCAACGCCCAGCTCGACGCCTGGAAGTCGTACTGGACGCCCGTTTTGACCGAGGCGCAGAATAGGGGAGACCCGCTTGCGTATACGGTTGTGCAGACGCTCGCGCAATTCGTGGTGCTTGCGGTCAATGGAGCGGTCTTTACGCGATGGGACCTCGAGCGGAAGAAGGAGCTTGAGGACGGGAAGGAAGGCAGGCCGAAGCTGACGACGGAGTGCGTCTACTCTCTTTGCCCTTGAACGATGCTTCGCTGACTCTACGGCTGGCGCAGCGACTGGAAACACCTCCAACGAGCAGCCGACGCCGCAGACACAGCGATCTTCATCGTCTCGACCGAAGCGACCGTCACGGGCAACCCGCTGCGCGAGTACCGCTGGCCGCCAGCCGTCAACGGGTACCGAGAAGCGCTGCACCTCGACCCAAGGATTACGGAGGACTTCAAGACTGCGCTGGACACCATGACCTGCATCGTATGTGCAAGGTCCGCTCGAACTCGTTGAAGCGAAGCTTACCAGCTCCCCTCCGTAGGCTTTCGTCTACTCCCTCCTTTTCCTGGTCCGCATGGCTTCGGCGGTAAGTCTTACCCTCTCACATGCTCCAAGCGGCGCTCATTTTTCGCGCTCGCAGGGCCTCATCACCTGCGACCTCGTTACGCGCAAGGCGGACTACGAGGCCGGCTGCGACCTCAACACGCCTCAGCCGCTCACGAAGGGCCAGAAGCTGCCTCGCCTGCTCGAACTCGGCTCCGCCTTCCTCACCGGCATCTCACCGAACCCGGACCACCCAGCCCGTCGTCACGCCCTCCTCGTCGAGATGATCCTTCGCGTTGGGCTCGGAGCGGCAACTCCGCAGGCGCAAGGCGCACCTTCCCCTGCCTCGTCGGGTCAGAGGCGCTCCCCTGTCGTTGGCAGTGCGACGGTCAACTCGCAGCGCCCGCAAGCCTCGCCGCCTGTCTCCGCCGCCATGCCGAAGGCGAGCTCGAGCCTGGCGCAGACGAGCGCGCCGATGCCCTCGCCCTTTTCACTCCCTGCTCAGGCGAACACCTCGCTGCCGCCTGTCCTTCCCACTCCGCCTCAAGCGCTCCAAGCACAGTCTTCTCCGCAGCACCTCGTCCCGCCTCAACAGCCTCCCCGACCCGTTTCGTCCTTCGACTCGTGGCTGTGGGACACCTCGACGCCGACCTCGACATCCTTCTCCGGCCCGCTCCGCATGCAAGACGGCTCGTTCGTCATGCCCGACTTGACCGTCTCTACCTCGGCAGCCAACGCTGCCTCGTCGCTCGCCGCGACCGCTTCTCCCGCACTCGCTTCTGCGACTGTCCCGCCTCCGAGCGGGTACATGGGACGTCAGGGGACGTCGCCGATGCAGGCGACGATGACGGCTGCGTCGGCTGGCAGGAGAGGCGACGCCGCACAGGCGATGGCGTCGCTCCTCTCCGAAGTGAACCCCTTCCTCGACGACTTCTGTGCGTCACCTCTCATCCTTTCTTCGCTGTTGACTCTCCCCTGACTCGCTCTTTCCGCGCAGACGCGAGCCAACCCGGTATCGGCTCGCACGCCTTCAACGACGACTTTGGCCTCGGACCCGGCTCACTCGGCGGGCCCTCCAACTCCGCCGCAACAGGCGGAGCAGACGTCAATGCGCTCAACGGGCTCGATTGGAGTTCGTATGGCGCGAGTGGGTTTGGAGGCGCGACGCCTGGAGCGGGAGGGGCGGAGTGGGGGTTTGGGACGGGCGCGTGAAAGGAGATTTGTAGGTAGGTAGTACGCTTGATACGAGGACTAATCGATGCCTCGATTCGAACTTGCGCGAGGCATTCGGGCGGAAGCCATCCGCAGGTCACCTCCACCTCAGCTCTCCGCTCCTCCTGCCGTTCGAATCAGTGTACTGCTTCAGCTACGTTTTTACAATTTTGCGTCACGAAGGGAGCTACTATGCGATGAGGCGAGGCAGACGAGAAGAATGTACGATGGGATCAAGCGGAGCGGAAGCGAGAGGGGCTTAGACGAGGTACTGGCCCTACAAACATGGAAGTGGGTCGTTAGCACGCGCTCGAGAACGGTAGAGAGACTGGCGGAGGAGGAAGAGAGAGATGGAGAATCGAAGCGTACCGAGTTGGGGTGGACGACCTGGCCCGTCAGGATCTCGGACGTCGCGCAGTAAACGTAACTCTGCGGCGCTCCTCACATAATAAGCATCCGCTCTGTCACAGTGAGACTGGGTGCAGTTGCGCAAAGTAAGACGCACCTCTCCCAACTCCGCCGGCTGCGCAACACGCCCGTGAATAAGCGACGATGACCCGACGCTCCAGTCTTCCATCTGCTCTTTGGGGCGCGAGGCGGGTTGGAGGGGGGTGTAGACTGGGCCGGGACTGCGAGGGAGCGAGCGAAGCGAGTTAGTCTCGCGAGGGACGAGAGGGAGGAGGAAGACACACGCGACGCCGACGACGCGGATGGCTTTCGGGAGGATTTGGGTCGCGAGAGACTTGGTGAAGGTCGTGATGGCGCCCTTGGTGGCCGACTGCGAGACGAGGGGAAGAAGGCAGAGCGAAGGCGAGTCAGCGACGACGACTGGTCGAGAGATGTGAAGCAGCGAATGATGGACGTACGTAGTCGAGCATGCCAGCGCTGCCCTTCTGCTCTCCAAAAGAAGGTCAAGCGGGCACGTCGCGAACGAGATGTCAGCGATTTTCCGTGCGCAGGGACAGGACTTCGGGACGAACGTAGGCCGTGACGGAGGTGGTGTTGATGATCACATCTCCGCGCTTCATGTGCGGGAGGGCGGCCCTGCGAGACGGGTTGAAGACAGGTAAGCTCACGACATGGGCGCATGGAAGGGAGGGAAGAAGAGCGCACTTTGAGACGCCGATGTACTGGATGATGTTGCAGCGGAAGGTGTCCTCGACGTTGTTCATCTGCGAGCCGGTGGAGGAGAAGAGTCAGCGAGAGTCGGAGGGAGAGGGGGCAGAAGTGAGCAACCCACGTCAATTTCGGCGAGGTCCTGGCACTGGATTTGCTGCGAGGCGCTGGAGAACACGACGGCATTAGCGCAGTCCAACTAGATGTCGACGCGCAGGAGCGGCATCGAAACTCGACGTCCGCCTTCGCAAGTCCAACCCGCGTCGAAGCGACCCAAACTCACTTGTTGACGAGGATGTCGAGCGCGCCGTACTCCCTCATGTGCTTCTCGATCATGCTTTCGCGGAACTCTTGCGTGCGGAGGTCGCCCGGGACGAGAAGGCACTTCTTGCCCGCCTCTTCAACGAGCTTCTTCGTGTTTTGAGCACTGCGTTCCGCTCGATCGTCAGCGGTTCTCCCAGGTCGGAAAGGTAAGAGAGGGACTGGGAACGCACTCGTCCTCCTCCTGGGGGAGGTAGTTGATGGTGATGTCGGCCCCCTCGCGCGCAAAGAACACTGCGACAGTCTTTCCGATTCCCGAGTCTCCACCCGTGATGAGCGCCGCCTTGTCCTTGAGCTTGCCCGAGCCGACGTACTCCTCGAGGCGGGGCTCGCCGCGGTGCCAGCGCTCGACCTGCGAGGAGAAGTGTCAAGGAGCGGAAGAGAAGGAAGGATGCAACAGGACGCACCTTGGTGTGCTCGGCGAGGGGCGACATGTCGAGGTCACGACCGGGGAGCTTCTGCTCAAACTGTCATCGTCGCGCAAGAGGGCGGCAAGCGTGAGTTGTAGAGTCCTGACGTCGAGGACGAGGTGAAGGGGACAGAAGCGCACCTTGTCGGGGGAGAAGTTGGGGTAGGCGGTGATGACTTTTGCGTCGGATCCCATGATGCGAGTGCTGTTTCGACGTCGCGTGAGTGTCAGCAGTCGACGCGGAGGAGCGGGAAGGGCAGCGCACCTCGAGTGGAAGAAGTGTGTGCGGGTGAGGTGGTGAGTGCGTCTGACGAGATAAGCCAGTGTGAGCTAAAACGAAGAGCAAGAGAGCAAAGGACGAGGACGAGCCCGAGGACGAGGCGAGGCGAGCGCGGTGACGATTTGACCTTCGCAAGGCGGTGCTGTGGGGTAATGTTGAAACCATTGCAACGAGATTGTATTCAGACCATTACAACTTGCAATCTCACCCGGCACTCGCTCGGCTGGCTCGGGAGAAGGACACAGTGCCCTTTCATACACTCGTACACTCACTGGAGTCCAGAAAGTAGCGAAGGAAGGCGGCGGACGAGCCCTCGCATTGTCTTGATTGCATCCATCTCTCTCGCTCGACTACTACTCCCCAGCTTGACCAGGACTGCGCTGTGACTGCACCAACTCCACCCAGGGAGTCCCTCACTCCCTGGCCATGCCCCCAACCGCGCGCCGCACCCCGCTCTCGCACCTCACCTCCCCCTTCCTCGCACTCGGCTCGCTAGGCCCATCTTCAACCAACGCAGCGCCTGAACCCGCCGCACTCGCTCCGAGACACGACCAAGCAGCTGGTGGACGAGATCCGGCAGCCCTACCGGCGCATCTGAGGGACCGCTCAAAGGCGCAGCACCAAGACCGACTTCCCGATGCCATTCGAGGCGTGAGGTTCAACGCGCCCTTGAGACCGCCTCCGTTGCCAGCGCGACCCGAGAACGATGCCGCAGAGGGAGACGAAGCCGGGTTCACGTTGTCCCAGCTCGTGTTGGTGGTTACGGTCGACGGGCAGGTGCATGCGTTGAAGCGCGAGACGGGCCAGTGGGTCTGGACGTTGCATGACGATGGAGGGATTGCGCTCGGTGGAGTCGGGCGAGGGTCGGCGGAGGAACGGCGGAGACGGAGCGGGGCGGGAGACGCAGTCGGCGGACCACTCGTCAAGAGCGTGAGCAGGAAACGCCGCGCTCCTCCAACAGCCAGCTCTTCCCGCTCGACGGTCATGTCGAACGAGACGAGCGTCATCTCCGTGGACGCCGCAGACGAAGACGACGACGAGACGTACATTATCGAACCGAGCGGGTCGGGCGACATCTACGTCTACTCGCGCTCCTCGGGCGGACTGGACAAGCTTCCCCTCTCGATGCAAGAACTCGTCACCCTCTCGCCCTTCCGCTTCCCAGGCGACTCGAGCCGCATGTTCTCGGCGAGCAAGAACACAAAGTTTGTCGGGGTCGACTTGAAGACTGGAAGGCTCGTCGGCGTATTTGGGAGCAATGCGGGGTGGTGCGAGTGGGATGAGGGGGACGAGTTGACGGCGGGTGCGAGGGCGGCGGAGCAGGATTGCGAGGAGGACATTGCGAAGCGGCCAGACGACTTGCTGTACATGGCCCGAACAGGTGCGTTGTGTTTCGCTCGTGCTCTCGTATCGTCGGCTCACCCTCGCCCTCGCACAGAATACCACCTCTCGATCTACGACACGAGCTCGTCACAGCCCCTACAAACCCTCTCCTACACGACCTACACCTCCTCCGCCCTCCCACACGCCTCGACTCCCGCATCATCCGGCACCTACCCCTCGCAATCCACCTGGACCCGCACACCGGACTCGCTCTACCTCCAGCCGATGCACGACGGCTCGCTCGTCTGTTTCCGAGCGGGCCAATCTGGCGTACAATGGAGCATCGACTTTGAAGCGCCCGTCGTCAGCGTCTTCGATGTTGTCGTTCCCTTCGCCTCTACCTCCTTGCCCTCGCTCGAAGGCGCAGACCCCCACCCCGTCATGTTCGAACAACCGCACCCCTTACTCGTCCCCGACCTCCCACTCGACTTCTCCGTCCTCCAGCAAGAACCCGCCGCGACCTTCATCGGACGAGTCGTCTCCCCTGCGACGGGAGAGGAACAGTTGTTCGCCATGAGTAGGGATAGGTTTCCGCTTGTGCCGTTTGCGCAGGTGGCGGAGGCTGCAAAGGCGGGGCTGGGGGCGGAGGCGCAGGAGGCGGATGAGAGAAGCGAGGAGGTGAAGGAGAAGCCCAAGCCTTGTCGTGGTGTCGACTGCATCATCGGCCGACACCGACTCTTGCATCCTCCGCCCGCTTCGCCCCTTGACGCAACTATCGACGCTCCCACCGAGCCGCTCCTGATCGACGCCGCGCCCTCATCCTCCGTCCCCTCCCCTTCATCGCCCCACGATTCGCTCTCGACTCCAAACCGCCGCACGCCTCACTTACCAGGCTCCTCGACCCTCCTCGCTCGTCTGTCCTCCTCATCCGTCATGCGCGAATTGAGCGGACACGGAGAAGTCCTCGCAGGTGGCAGACTGACGGTCGGAGTGATGGTACTTGTGCTGGTTGGGTGGTGGTGGAGTCGCTGGAGGAAAGTAGGGGAGGAGGGGAAGAACGAGGGAGAGGGAAAGAGGAGGAGTGGGAGACGCACGAGGGGCAGGGGGAAGAAGCAGCAGGCTCCGGCCGGAGCGAGTGGTGGAGAAGCGAGCGGGACTGATACGCCGCGTGGAGGAGCGGTCCAGTCGAACGGACTTGACTTTGCGAGCGTGAGGGGCGTGACGGCGGTTGCGGTACCGTCTGTTGCGCCTGCGCCGCCTGTCGAAGGGCCAAGGAAACGCTCGCCTTCGACACCGCCTACACCGACGAACCTCTCTTTCGCCCCGCTTTCGAGCAGCAGCGCATCTGGCGCTTCGACTCCCGCCCGCGCTCGCGCGTCCTCTCTTTCCCTCGCTCCTGCCTTCCCGCTCTCCTCGACACTCAAGGACCTCCCGCCTCTCCCTCCGTCCGCCCTGCTCGATTCGGACGACACCGAGGACCTCCTCAACGCCTCTCCTTCCCTCGGTTCCTCCGTCGAACTGCCAGACCAAGCAGATGACGGCGCCGACTCCGACAGCGCGCCTCCCTCAGTCGCACCCGGCGGTGCGCCGGGTACTCCGCCTCGGAAACGCCAGCGGCGCAGACGGGGCGCGAAGAAGAAGAAGGCGAAGAACGGGCAGGGAATGGACGATGTCGCGGTTGGTGCGGTGGATGAGAAGGATTTGCTTGAGGGGATTACGTTGAGTGAGAGGGAGACGAGGGATGAAACGGCGGATGATTCGGAGGAAGGAGCTGTGGGCGCGAGTGCGCAGGTTGATGTGGATGGGAAGGGCGTCGATGGGGATGTGGCGGGTGCGAGTGCGCCGATTTCGGCGGCTGGAGTGGGCAGAGAGGTCGATGCGGTCGCGAAGAGCGCGAGGCTCGACCCGCAGGCCGTCGGCGGTCTTGCGGTCAGTGAGGAGATCCTCGGTACGCTCGCTTCCGCTCACTTGGCCCGTCCGACGAGCTGACGTCACTTCGCAGGCTACGGCTCGCACGGCACGGTCGTCCTGCGCGGCGAGTTCCAGGGTCGAGCGGTCGCCGTCAAGCGCCTGCTGAAGGACTTCGTCACGATCGCCGCGCACGAAGTCAACCTTCTGCAAGAGTCGGACGACCACCCGCACGTCATCCGCTACTTCTGCAAGGAGCAGCGCGAGACGTTCCTCTACATCGCCCTCGAGCTCTGCCCCGCTTCGCTCTTCGACCTTGTCGACCAGCCCTCCGCCTTTCCTGACCTCTTGCGCCAACTCGACCCGAAGAAGGCGCTCAAGCAAATCACGTCGGGCCTGCGCCACCTTCACTCGCTCAAGATCGTTCACCGCGACATCAAGCCGCAGAACATCCTCGTCTCGACCGCAAAGCGCGGTCAGCCCGGCTTGCGCATGCTCATCTCCGACTTTGGGCTCTGCAAGAAACTCGACGTCGACGAGTCGTCCTTCCAGCAGACCGTCAACCATGCCGCAGGCTCGTTCGGCTACCGCGCGCCGGAGGTCCTGCGCGGACTCGTCGACCCGAACGAGGGCGCAACTGGCACGTCTTCGGCGAGCGCAGGGTCAGGTGGCTCCTCGACGACACTCGCCGGCCTGACGACCACCGACCCGAGCATGCGCCTCACCCGCTCAATCGACATCTTCTCCCTCGGCTGCATCTTCTACTACGTCCTTACGCGCGGTGACCACCCGTTCGGTGGGCGGTACGAGCGCGAGATGAACATCTTGAACGGCAAGGCTAGCCTAGACCGGCTCGACGGACTCGGCGAGGAAGCGGTCGAGGTGCAGGACTTGATTTTGCGGATGGTCGCGACCGACCCGAGGGAGCGGTGCGTTCGCTTCTTGAGGTCGTGTGGGGTCGTCTGCTGATCTTGTTCGGTCCCCTTTAGCCCGACCGCCGACGCCGTCCTCCTCCACCCCTTCTTCTGGAATGCCCAGAAACGCCTCCTCTTCATCTGCGACGCCTCCGACCGCTTCGAGATCATGGACCGCGACCCTCCCACCTCGACACTCGTCACTCTCGAGAGTCGAGCTCGCGAGATCGTCGGCGACGACTGGCAGAAGGCGCTCGACCGGACCTTCCTCGAGAACCTCGGCAAGTACAGGAAGTACGATGGCGCGAGCGTGCGGGATCTGCTGCGCGTCCTTCGCAACAAGGTGCGTTCCTTGCTCACACGATACCCCGTCTGCAAGACTGAGCGCGTTGCCCGCGCAGAAACACCACTACCAAGACTTGCCCGAGAGCGTCCAGCGCGCGCTTGGCGACCTCCCAGGCGGCTTCCTCTCCTACTTCACGACGCGCTTCCCTCACCTCCTCCTCCACGTCTACGACACCATCGCACGGCACCTCGCGGACGAGCCGATGTTTGCGTCGACCTTCCGCATTCCCGAGGACGAGGCGTGAAAAGCCTGCCTCGCACGACTGTTCTCCTCTCGCCCATTGCGCTGTCCCTTAGATCCCTTCATTGTCTTTTAGTCTTCGGGTCGCAGCTGCGTACTCGCTGCCTTGTTCTGTCGCCGTTTCGTCCTTCTTTGTTGTCTTCCCTCTCGTCCTCTGCCTCGTCTTGCAACCTGCATCATTTCTTCCCACGCTCTTCTTCGCTCTCAGACTTCGCCTGCCCGCTTATGCGTGAGCAGCCCGCCTTCGCCCTCGGAGAATCATGTCACGATGCACAACGCCCTTTGAAAGATCACGACCCCGTACTACGCCGCGCCGCGTCCCACCCGTCATACGCATCTTGGTCAAAGTCCACAAAACGAAGGATCAGGAAGCGAACGACGAAAGAACCCGCTTTGCCCAGCTGCAAGTCCCGCCTCATGCTGTTGACCGTGATGCGTCCGTCTCGTCCACTTTTGAAGCCCCAGTCCTGCAGCGAATCGAACATCTTGTCCTTAGTCCGCTCTACAAGAGCGGTCTGTAGGTCGGGATGCAGCGAGTCGAACGCGCCAGGTCCGGTCGGCAGCTCGAAACCGGTCGACGCCGTCCGGCCGTCATACGCGATTCGCGCCCATCCCTTATACTGCCACCATGTGCCATTCTTCAATTCCTTGCCGAGGAGGACTTGGACTCACTCGGGCGCATCAACGGGTTTGCACCGTTTGAGCGGTCTGGCCTCGTCGGCCGAGCGATGCGGTGGCACGATGACCTCGATGTATTGTTTGAGCTTGTCCTCGTCTGCAAGAATGGCGATCGGTCGACCGTAGGCGAAGGTGTCCGGTGCGCAAAGGTTGTGCTTCGGCCAGATGGCGACAAAGTTTCGCGACGCCTCGTAGCCGTTGTCGGAGAAGCCGTGAAACATGGCCTGCACCTTTGGTCCGGCTATGGACCTGTGCTTGAAGGCACAGTCGAGAGCAGCCAGGCGAGGGTTGCGGAGGGGTGCGTCGGGCTCGAGGTCGAGGCCATCGAGGCCGCGAAAGCCTTTCAAGACGGAGGCGAAATACTGAGCGGCGGACGTCTGCACGAGCGGCTGGCCGATCAGTTCTTGGCGCGCACAATGAGAAGCGTCAGGGCAACAGACCTGGGGTGCTCCGAACTGCGGCAATGGCGGAGGCGACGGAGATGCTGCTGCGGTCTGTCGCTTCTTCCGAGCAGGCACAGGGGAAGCGAAAGGCTGTGAGTTCGGTAGTGTAAGTCAGGTTCGAAGTAGAGACGACGGAATGGCATGCCTTGGTGTCTTCGAGGTCGGGCGAAGGCGATCTCGAGCGCGTCAACCGTGACGATCGTCTTCGCCCATCGTTAAGGGCAGGTACAGGTCCCAATTCTTCCGTCTTGGGTCGTAAGAGCCGTGTCGTGGCGATTGGCCGGACGATGGGGTCGAGCGCAACGTCCTCGAGCTTGACTTCAGGCTTCGGCGAAGGCGAAGGTGCGCTCGCATGGCGCGCCTGGCGAGTCGTCCGCTCGTCAAGTGATTCTGGCGTTGAGAACGGCGTCGGAGACTCCGCGTTGCGGCCTTTTTGCGAAGCGTCTGTCGAGTCGCTCGAGGTGGAGCTCGAGTTTGACGGCGTGCGAACAAGTGATGAACTAGATTCTCCCACTTTGTAAGATGCGGATGATGTCGCAGTAAGGGCTACGGCGGTCGCGGCGAAAGCGTCGCGGGTCGAGGGCGTCGGCGAGGCTATTTTGTTGGGCTGGACGATGCGCGTGCTGATAAGGACTGACGTCAGAACTCGCTCATAAGCATCTAGACGAGACGGACGTACTTGCAAGATTCCAGGGCGTTTGTGAACCGGCGGAGCCAGACCTTGATCGCATGCATGCAGAGTCGGTCGTCGGGAACGAGGGTCTTCTTGAGGACACCGGCTATGTACGCGGCGCCGTACACTCCGGTCTCGATGCCAGCTTGATCGTCGCCTTGCTCGGCGCCGAACTGGGTTACGAGGGCATGCTGGACGGCGGGCCAGTCTGGCGTGACGAAGGGAGGCGGGAAGAGGGCGTAGGCGCGTGTGCGAGTGTACTCCCGACAACCTGGGTCATTCGAGATGAACAGCTCGACAGCATTGACGAGGGCCGTCCAGTCGTCCCGCAAGTCGGGATGGACGGAGACTGCGTGGGATCAGTACGGGAGGAACAGACGAAACAGCGACAGGACATACTCGAGACAGGCTGACCAGTGTGCGCCATGATAGATGGACAGCTGCTGTATATCTTGGAGGTAGCAACGAGCCCCGCGAGAGGTGCTAGCCAGACTAGAGGAAGAGGAGGAGGACAAGGAGCTGCTCCACTTCGACCACCTTGCCCGCTCGCTGATATCGCTTGGCCAAGCTTTACACCGGCTCATATTGGACTTCCAGAGCTACGCTGGTTTTGCGGATCCTGCCACGAGGTCCTCTCTCGCCGTCTCGTCTTCATCAGTCGAAGAGGTGGGGAGACAAGATGTCGACGGCGGAAGACTTGGAGGTCCTGCAAGTGCGCGCAACCCTTCAAGTAACCTATCTAGATGAGCTGCGGAGGCTCACAGCTTCGCTCGTCCGGTATACACAGATCTTGCGCTCTCTTCCCCCACTTCTCTCGCCGGACCTCCCTTCTCCTCCGCCCTCGCGGCCAGCCTCGCCTATCAAAGTCGAGCCAGCACCGCTGGAGAGAAAGCATGAGGAGGACGGACACCGAAATGGAGAGGAGCCGTCACAGCGGCCTACCATCGGACTGGGTTTCGAGGAGGGGCTTGACGAAGTTGCAGCCAAGTGCGTGCCAAACGAGCTGCACAATGAGGTGCAGAAGGCTCATACTTTGTGCTTCAGGCGCCCGCGACCGGCTCCTCCGCCTCCTCCAGCTCCGCCAGGCCGTCCACCACCCCCTCCTCCAGCCGCTCTTCCTTCAGACCTGAAGCCGTCTACGCCCGACTTGCGCAACTCGCCCCGGCCAGCATCGGCAAGACTGTCTCTGCCGAAAGGCTCGCCTATGCTCGGCTCGCCTCGTGTTGATCGCGAAGCAGAATGGCGGAAGGAGTGGCCGAAGGAACGGCTGCGGAAGCTGGCTGCACAGTGCGTATCCACGATAGCTCGGCGTCTCGTCGAGCTGACATGACTGCTGCCTCGCAGGTGTCGCGACCACGGACGCAAGCTCAAGCACGCAGGCGACGCCATTGCTCGCACGCCTCACCCCTCGCGCAAAGACATCCTCCGCGCCCTCGCTCACCACATCGACTCCATCCTTCTCTACATCTACTCGTTCTGGTGCGACGACGCGGCGAACCGGAACTGCAACGTGCAGCAGTGGGAGAGCGGGTTCGGGTTGATCTCGTTCGTCCGCAAGATGGCAGAGAAGGAGAACGTTGCACTCGTCGTCGGCCTGTGGTGCGTTAGCGTTCTTTTTGGCCGCCATTGACGTTGTCGCTCACCTCCTCGTGCGGCAGCACCCGCATGGAGGCGATAGCTGTCTTCACGACCTCGATGCACGAGCAGAAGGCGCTCAACTTCAGAGGCACGCAGCTCTCATATCACCGACCGAGCGCCTCGAGCGCACCCTCTTCCTCCTCTGCCGCCACCCTCCCACCGCGACCACCCGGCCCACCTCCCCCTCCGCCGCCCTTACCGCCGCCCGATCACTCTGCCGCTTCGCCAGCTTCGACCGCTGCGACTGACTCTCCCGTAACAACGGCATCGCCTTCAACCGCGTCAGGCGCCACGAGCCACCCTCCACCGCCATCTTCCGCCGCCCTGTCCGGCACGAAACCCTACGAAGACTTCCTCCGGTCCTTCCTCCGCGCCTCGCCCGAACTCTTCCGCTTCCAGCGACTCTACGACGACTCTTGCACCATTCTCTCACCCGCATTCCTCTCCACCTCCTTCCCCGAGACATGGGTTCTCTGTACCCTCGATCCAGGCGACAGTCCGAGTTCGCATCCTTCAGCGTTCATCCTCCCGAACCGACCCTGCAGGTTCGCCTGGCCGGCCGAGCTTGGACGAGGGACGAACGCGTGGGTCGCACATCAGGTAGCATGGGCGAGGAAGCTGGTTGAGGAATGGGCTGAGCGAGAGGGACTGGGCTACGTCCCAGAGAACGTTGGCGAAGGTGTCTAGACTGCTTCCTTCGGGCTTGTATGGCTCCACGCATTACTTCGCACGTGCATAGACCCCATTAATTGCGCCTGGCGACGGGCCTCTGGAGGAAGAGAAGGAAGCAACTCGTTTCAACCGGTTCTTCCGGCTCACCTGTCTCGTCAACAGCAAATGAACTATTTTCTGAAGGTCTGATTCCTCGCTTGCGCCGAATGAAGCTCGATGACGGAGGTTGACCTTCACTCAGCGAAGCGGAAACAGCTTGGACAAGAACACCTCGTTTCTGTCGCTCACACCCGCTCGTGCTGCCTCTGAACATCGCCTGCGACTCGCTAGGACCCTTCTGCAGCCATGAAGAACAAGCGCATCAAGTCGTACCGCCGCGCGATGCAGCTCTACCAGAGCTCGTTTGGCTTCCGGTGAGTCCGCCTACTTCGCGATGCAGGGTCACGTAGGGCTGACGAGTGAGTTTGTACGCTTTCAGTGAGCCATACCAGTTACTTGGTGCGCTATCAGCTTCCGGCGGGCAACCGTGCCCACACTCGACCCTTCATCTCCTCGAGGAGGCGATGCTGACCCTCCGTCTCGCCTGTACAGTCGACGCCGCCTTTCTGCAGTCATGCGTCAAGCAGAAGATGGATATTATGGCTCGCTTGCATGACGTCTTGCAGGGAGCGGTCAAGCCGAGTGCGTTCTTCCACCTCTCCCGTCTGCCGGTTCTTCAAGCTCACACCAGCTCCCCTTCGCAGTGATCACCCAATGTTGCATTCAGGCGCTTTACGATGCGGGTGCAGAGGCGCAGGCGGCGGTTGATGCGGCGAAGGGTTTCGAGCGACGAAAGTGCAACCACTTCAAAGCGAGGCCAGAGGACGAGTGCATGCTGGCAATGGCGGGTGAGTTCAGGCTTGGAGATGCATTGTCCAAGCCAGATCGCTGACAATCCCGCCGGCAGGAACCGAGAACAAGAACCGCTACGTCTTCGCTACGCAGTCCCTCCCTCTTCGAGAATCGCTCCGCGCCGTCCCGGGCTCGCCAATCATCTACATCGCACGGAGTGTCATGCTGCTAGAGTCGCCGTCGAATCAGACGCTAGCGAAAAAGCGAAGGGTGCGTTTCGCCTCGCTTCTCGCGTTGCTCTCCGGAGGCTGCTCCGCTTCTATCGCGCGCTCAAGTTTCGCCTCTGGCGCTTCCGACTCGACTGACACGAACCACATCCGCAGATGGAGGAGAGCAAGCTGCACGTTTCCGCCGAAGAGCTCGCGGTCATTACCGGCAAACCCCTTCCTTCCGCCGACCCCGTCGCTGCGACGTCTGCCCCTCCCGCCGATCCCTCTGCCGCCGCTTCCGAGGGTGCAGCAGAGCCGCCGAAGAAGAAGAAGCGGAAAGGACCGAGCGGACCGAACCCGCTCAGCGTCAAGAAGAAGAAGGCGAAGCCGGCTGATCCGAGTGCGGGACGGCGGCCGAGCAAGCGCGAGCGTGAGGAGGATGGTGGCGACTTGAGAGAGCAGAAAAGGCAGAGGGAGGAGGACGGGAAGGTGGTCAGCTTGGCGGCGCGAGGCGACGGAGGCGAGAAGAAGAAGCGGAGACGGCGACGAAAGGGTGCCACGACTGGAGCTGATGGAGAAGGCGGGAATGCAGGAGAAGGAGGCGCGGGCTCGGGAGGAGAGGCCTGAGTAGGTGAACGGCAACGCGGTCTTTCGCGCCATCACCACGACTCTTCGACTCTCGCGTCGCGCTTCACCCTAAGTTACGCCCTTCGTTTGCGGCAAGTTCGCGGACGCGCGGTGTTGCTATTCTCGACATTCCACGGTCTGCGCTCGCGGCGGGCATCAGCCCGCTTGTAACGCCTCCGCGGGGTCCGCCGGACCTGTCGCTGTGCTCGTCTTGGCTCGTCCGCCCGCCCCTCTTTCTTCCTCCTTCAGCGCGATCTCCCTACGAGTTCCGCTCTACTTCTCGCTTCATACATGCTCGGGTCCCACTGGCCGGTCCTGCTGTTGGCAGGTGCGTCTTGCGCTCGTCTCGACGTTCGCCTCCTGTTGACTGACCCTGCCTGTTCTGCAGCGAGTCCCGTCGTCCTGGCTCGTGAGCACATCCCTCGGACGCTCCATGCTCGTCAGGACGACTCGCTTCTGAGCCAGATCTGGACGTCGCTCGAGATCATTGCTTCGAACGCGGTTACTTGCCCAGCGAGCTGTGCTGGCTGGCTCCTCTCTTCAGCCGAGGTGCGCCCCGTTCATTCTGTACCCCTGAACATGCAGGCTGAAGATCGTCGTCTGCAGTGCGGCTTCGAGATCGCGGCGACGTTCTCGCTCGAGACGACCATTTCCTGCCTGTGCGAAGACATCGGCGACGACTTGCGCGAGTATGTCAGTCCCTCCGCAGCCATCCTGACAAATGCTCACTCAAGCTTGCTCGTAGCTGCGCAACTTGCGTAGCAGCCGACAGCTCGTCGAGCGCAGACGCAAAATCAGCTGCGGCCGGAGTCGCAGACTGTAAGCCGGGTTTCACGCTGTTCGTCTCTGCCTCACTGACGCCCGACTGTCGCACAGTATTCGACCAAGGCTGCGGTATGATTGGACACACGCGCTCGTCTAGCGCAGTCGCCGCCTCGAAGACGAGCCTTGCCGCACCTTCGACCTCTTCGACCTCTTCGGCTACTCGTCCGGCTACGACGATGCAGGCGACCATAGAGACCGCGCTGCCCAACGAGGTGAGCATTTTGACCTTAGCATCGATCCACCATTTTGTCTGATATTGTGCTGCTCAGGCAATCACCCTCGGCACCGATTCAAACGGCTTCACCTACCTCAGCACGATCAGCTACAGCATCAGCTACGACACCCCGCTCCAAGTACAGTCAATCATCTCTCAAGCATCCGCTTCTTCCGTCTCGGTGGCTTCTGCCTACAACAGTTCTCTCGCTGCCGCCCTTGCCAGCTCGATCGCCGCTTCGTACGCTCGCGCAGCAGCCAGCTACACGGTCGGCACGACCGTCCAAGGACAGCAAACCGAGACAGTCTTCACGGCGGCGGGACCGGCCAACACGGGGACGAGCGCAGCGTCGTCGGGCCACAGTTCGGGCGGAAAAGGAGTCGCTGGCTGGCGCGCTGGCTGGACTGGCGCTTTTGCGGGAGTCGCGGTGGTTCTCTATCTCCTGTAGACCCTCTCTCGGACGATCACAGTGCGAGTCATGGCGAGACGCCTTGCAGGCGAGATGCGATTGACACGCCTATAACGTCTGCACGAAGTCAACCGCTCCGTCCCAGATCTGCTTGATCTGCTTCTTGTTCCAGATCATCTCGAGCAGGAGCAAGTCGTGCGGCGTATCCTCCGTGACGACCACCTCAACTCTCACTCCATCGCGCCTCAAGTTCCTTACCAACCGTTCCCCTTCTTCCTGACAGCGTTCGCCCGTCCCGTAGTGCACAAAGCAAGGCGGGAAGGTAGCAAACGTGCCAGATGGGACGTCTGCGGCGCCGGGAGACATGTAGGGCGACTTGACGAAGGATTCGGGGTGCGAGCCGAGGAGGGATGAGACGAGGTGCAGACGGAACGCGCCGACTTCGAAGAGGTAGTCGCAGGAGTTCTTGCGGGGGATGTAAGAGTCGGGAGTGTGGCCGAGAAAGGAGTGAGCTGTGCGGAGGGAGAGAGGGAGAGTCAGCTTGCGAAGGTCGAAAGAAACGTTGCGTAAGCGTACAAGGATCTGCCCAAGGCTGACAAGATGAGGGGAGTCAGCTCTCAGTGGGCCATCAAGGAAGGTCAAAAGCGACTCACTGAAAAGAGGACTAGTCCAGCCGGCTGTTCCAGCGTCCAGCCATCTCCGCTCGTCTTGCCACTCGCAAACGTATCCTTGATCCAGCGTGTCAAGGCGAGTGCAAGATGACCGCCGCTGGAGTCGCCAAGGAGGACGATCTGTTCGCCTCGGATGCCGCGACGGAGGAGGGAGAGGTAGACCGCGGCAGCGTCTTGGAGAGCAGCGGGGACGGGATAGTCGGGAAGGAGGCGGTACTCGGCAGCTGTGAGTCACGAAGTCAGCGGCAGACCGCAATGATAGCCCCGGGAGACATACTGTGCATCGAGGAGAAGCGAGGTTGCTGGCAAGGCGGAATGTCAGCGAGACCTCTTGGCTCTGCTTCAAGGAATGCGCACCTTTTTGAACAGCTTGGAAGGGATGCTCGAGCTGGACGCGCCCGGGTGGGCTGAGTTATGCGTATAAGCTGTTCCTTCGAACGGTCAGCGCAACCCATCGATGACAGGCTGCGAGCGGGAGACTGGACGAACCTCCGCCATGCAAGTACAGCCCGACCAAACCGTCCCCTTCACGGTGACCAGCCGAACTACTGGGCGCATTCTTCCTCCGCCAGCTGTACATTCCAACTCGTTCGGCCGGCTGAACCTCCTTGTCGTCCACAACGCCCTGTACGAAGTCGCCTCTCAAGCCCTCGACCCACTCGAACTCGACGCCGTAGCGTACCCTGAGCCACCAGCGCGACGGCTCCTTGTCCGTCCTTCTCGCCGAGATCTTGAAGCCGCACAAGTCCATCGCGCCCATGATGCGCTTGACGGCTGGCATCATCGATGCTTCGAGTAACGTCCAAGAACGTCTCCATCGCTTTGAAGGAACGAGGGCGAAGAGGACGAAGTGGAAAGGGAGAAAGGCGAGCACCAGGATGAACTCCCAGACGAGGCGAAGATAGCTGACTGGTGGTTTGAGGGCGGGTGAGGACCGCGTCTTGTGCTTTGGTTCGGCAGAGACGCTGTTCTCGCCAGGTCGATTCGCGGGAGACGGGTCTGGCGAGGAGGCAGACTTGCGAGGAGCAGCGTCGGCAGAGGGGCGCGGCGACGCCATCGTGGGCGAGCTGGACGTCGAGCGTGAGCTGTCCATCTTTCGCAGATTCAGCAGCAGCAGCAAAAGGGTAAGAGAGAGACGACGCTCCCGATCTGGCGACCTTCGCAAGGGATGTCATCTCGCTGGCGATCCCAGGGGGAACCTCTCTCGAGATGGGCGAGAGAAAGCAGTGTCGCCTTTTCAGAGGGAAATGCTGATGCTACAGAACGAGCGAGCGATACGGGAAAGAGGGTGTAGGTATTCACGGGGAGAGGAGGGGAAGGAGGGAGGGGATGGGTATCGATGCAGAGATTACGAGGCGACGAGGGGGAGAGGGGTTGAAACGGGCGAGAGACGGGCTGGACGGTGACGACGGGGACTGAGTTGGAGGCAGCGGAGGTGGGGCTGCGTAGCGGGAGAAGGTTAGCGAGAAATCCGCGGCAGAGTAGGTACCGTCGAGACTCACGACAATGCCTCCGCCGCACAAGCGACGACTCAGGCTCCGTCCCGTTCCGAGACGCCGACTCTTGTCGCCCCGAAGGACCAACGAAAGCCCGCGCCACCCGCTCCCTCCGTCTCCCAACCGCGCGTCGACGACGGCCAGAGAAGGAAGAGAGCCGCACGCCGTTCAGATAAAGTCCTCGTCCGAGTCGTAGAACTCGTCTTCGTCCGCCTGCTCGAGCGCGTCCGCAATCTCGGCAAAGTCGACCTTGTACCGGAGGAGACCGCCGATGCCACCGAAGCCCTTGACGAACTGCGAGCCCTCCTGCGACCTGCGGGACGCGAAGACGAGTCAGCGCGATGTGAATGTGAAGGAGCAGACGATGTCAACGCACTTGTTCGTGACAATCTCAATCTCGGCACCAAAGTCCTTGTACTTCTCCGAGAGCCATTCGAGCAAGTTGACCGGCTCAGCCGCCTGCTCCATCTCGAGGCCCGTCGCCTTGTCGATGAACTTCTCACGCTCCGTCTCGCTAAGGGCAGCGATGCCGACAGCCGCCTCAGCCTTGTTGTTGCTAGCTGAGGGCGGAGGAGCCTGAGTGTGGACGACGTGCTCGGCACCCTGCGAGTCGCGGAGGACGTGGCGAGTGACGTCGAGGTTCTCCCAGACGATGAGGGTCTCGACGGCGCCCATCTCGAGACCGCGGAGCGTGTCGTCGACACCGAAGCAGTACTTGCCCGAGTCGTGCGAGATCTCGTCGAAGTAGCGCGAGATGAGCCTGCGCACAAAGCCTCTTCAGTATCGGGGAAAGGGCAAGCAATGCGCGCGGAACCCACTTCTTCTCCTGAACGAACTTGACGTTCGAGAGCGACTCGGCCGCGAGTTCGATAGCCTGGTTGAAACCGTTCTCGCCTCCGTACGACACGTCGACGACCTTGATGACCTTTGCCACGAGGCGCTGGTCGAACATGTCGGACTGGTTGAGCTCCGTCTTGAAGTCTGCCGAACCAGCAAGCACGAGTCCCTGGACGTTGACCTTGTCGTCGGTGATGAAGTGCTGGACAGCGAGTTCGGCGACCTTGCGAACGTAGTTGTGACGCTTCTCCATACGGAGACGGGCGAAACGGAGCGCAGACTGTCCACCACGACCGTGCTTCTTCGGCAGGTCGACCGAGAACTTGTGGATCACCTCGCGCGTGTTGCCCGCAAGCGTGCCGAAAAGTGCGCCGTTACCGTCCATCACGATGAAGCCGAACTTGGCGTCCGACTCGAGCAGCTCGGCGAGAGCCTCGGTGTGGAACTTGTTGTCGCAGAGGTAAAGCGAGGTGTTGATGGGCTGCGAGGCACGGCGTCAGCTCGCGTCTCTCCGGCGCATCTGTCGAAGACCTGGTACACACCTTGAAGGGCTCGAAGTCGATGTTGACCTGTGGAGAAGGAAAGCGTCCGGTCACTTCCGCAGGGACAACGGAATGGCATGCGAACTCACCTTCTTCTCCTTTCCCTCGTCCGTCAAGATGGTACCGCAGTAGATGATCAAGCCGTTGGGCGGGACCTTAGAGTACAGCTTGAGCCTCTGCTGGGTCGAGGTGATGGCGGCCAGGACGGAGAGACGGTTGACGCGCGACTTGATGTTGGACGCCGTGCCGTACTCTTGCGTCAACATGGACTGGAGCTGCGAGATCTGGGAGCTGTGTTGGATGACAGAAGTGAGTCAGGGAAGCTGGCGGGAAGGAACAGAACGGTCGACGGAGACGGACCGAGGCGGGGCGATGAGGGAAATCATCGAAGTGCCTGCGGGTCGAGCGGGTCAGCCCTAGGTGAATTGAAGTGAAGCAGAGACGCAACGCACCTGCTCCTCGGGCAGCCTGCAAGCTCTGGACTGCAGGCGTCGGAACGCACACGACAAGGTGATGGGGTCAGCTCATGCGCCCGCACCACGTTCCCCGGACCCGCTGGCGTGGCAAAAAGATGCAGCGACACGTACCGAGCTTCTTCATCCTGTTGGATCAGCGCATACAGCCGGAGCAGAGGCAGAGAGCGGCGTGTCAGTGGGTTTGCGGTCCGGGTGTGTGCTCGCGGGTGAACGGCGATACCGCGCGAGTCTGGACATGCCCAGATGGAACTGGGACGCACTTCCAGACGGCAATGTTCGCCTCTTGCTGTGCGTCGGCCATTGTGGGCTGGTGTCGGCGGAGGGGTGGCGGATGAGCGAAGTCGAGGAAGACGAGGCGACAAAGGCTCTGGCGGCGCGAGTGGTCGGCAGGTGGGGGCTGTCTGGCGTGCGAGAGCTGTCTAAGAGACTCTGCTAGCAGTTCCTGAGCTACCGCGACGAGCAGGGGCTGACGGTCGACACCAGACCTGCTCGACGCCCTCCTTGTTCTCCGACGACCCACTCTGCTCCGCGCTTTGGGCTCGCTGGGCTGCTCAATACGACTGAATTGGACTTCTTGCACAGTTCTCGCTGTCCCCGCCGCGCCCCACGCTGTTCACGAGCTGTTCGACCCGTCCTCGCCTGATCCCTCCTCTTGAGCCTGTCACTAGACCTAGGTGAGATGACGAAGGAGGGGAGTTATTGCTGAGACGTATTCAGGGTTATGAGGCGGACAGCTCTGCATCGGATCGTTCTGCGTGGTTCAGCACAGCTCTTCTGCTCAGCTCGCCTCTTCTGCGGTCTCTGCGCTTCCTCATCCGCCTTCAGCTTTGCTACTGACTTCGACGCCATCAACGGGCGTCTTCTCTGACGCTGATGGAAAACGGCCGGCGCATAGGTGGGCGTGAACGCGTGAACTGAGGCTGGGGGAAGTTGGGCGCGACGAACGACGACGGCAGGATGCTTGAGGGGTTTGCGCGAGGCTCCTTCCAGGTGTGCGAAGGTGTACACGTCCTTGTCGTCACGCGTAATACGTAGAAGGACCACAGTAGGCGCCCGAGACTGTGCAATGTCACCGCTCCGACTCCATTTCCGTGAGAGCAGGGGACCCCCTTCGCCTCGAGTCCTTTGGCGGTCTCAGCGGGTGAGAGGCATTGACTGTCCAGTCATAAGAAAGCCTCGAAAGCTCCGCCTAGTGAGCCTGGCGCGTTAGTCGACCTCGTCCCGCTGCGAGACGGTCCTCCCAGTCCACAACCTCTCTCGCTCGCCTCGCCTAGCGACGACAGAGCTACAGCAGACTCATCAGAGCACTAGACCACTCCATCGCCCAGCCGCACCCGCCTTATCCCGTCTCGCCCGTTACCACCTCGTCCAACTCGCTCCACCACACGATGTCGACCCTCGCTCCTCCCCAGCGGTCGGGCAGCATCCGACGCACCCCGTCCGACCTCTCTCGCGAACTCGCCTCGCAGAACCTGCCCGACCCTGAGACAATCACCCGCGGCGAGCGCCGCGAGGAGGCCAGCCGCAAGCGCGAGGAAGTGACGGGCAAGCTTGCTAGCATGGAGGGCGAGGAGCCTGAGGGTGCGTACTGCGTTCTCTTTGGCCGTGCGACAGATCTGGCGGGCTTCAGGGCGGCGAGGGCGACTAGTCGCATTGTCCTCCCCGTCCACGGGTTCTTAGGCGGATTGCAGTCCGTCAAGGCCGGTTGAACTCCCGCCTAGGCACTCCAACGAGCTACACGAGCTGCCAAATATTGTATGGACACGCGCTGACACTGCTATTCTCCCTCGCAGCCCTCACCATGACCCACCGCCGCCGTCAGTCGGAGAAGGCGCAAGAGGCCATGGCCGAGGCGTTGTCGACTCTCGAGCTTGGCATGCCTGAGCGTGTTGCGCGTGCCAACGCTCGCGCTGACGGTGCCAAGACGCCCGTCCCTCCGTGCGTTCTGCTTCACACACCTATGACCGTCCTCTTTCCTTGGTTCTGACGTGCGCTTCTGTCGGTTTACAGCGAGGTCACCGAGGGCACCGTCTCGGTCCCTTCGACTCCGGCACTCGAGATCGACGAGCCTCCCGCAGTCGCGACTGCAAGCGGTTCGGCGCAGACGGAGCAGGTCGTCACGCCGTGGGACGTGCAGGGCGCGGTCGTCGAGGGTGTCCAGGTTCGTCAGGCTTGAGTGGCTTTGCGGCGAGAGAGACGGTACGGAAGGGCACTAGAAAGAATCCCCTCGCATCACTTCGACCGCCGCCTACCCCAGCATCTGCGATACCTTCCATTCCCTCCATGCACCTCATTCGACTCCGTTCATATCTTCCTCAATTCATAACGACCGTTCACGTCTGCTCATTCCGTGCCCTTCCGTATCAAGGCGTCTCCCCGCGCAATCTACAGACATTTACCGTTTCTTCTTGCCGTGCCCTTCCGCAACAGATGGCTATCGACTACAACCACTTGATCGACCAGTTTGGCACGCGGCGGATCGACGACGAGTTGCTCGAGCGGTTTGAGCGGTTGACGGGCCGCAAGCCTCACCTCCTTCTGCGACGAGGCACCTTCTTCTCTCACCGGTGCGCCTTCCGCATCTTTTGCCTCCTGCAAAGGCGTGCAACTGACCTTTCTCTACGACCCGCAGCGAGCTCAACCTCATTCTCGACCGCTACGAGCAGAAGAAGCCGTTCTACCTCTACACCGGTCGTGGTCCTTCGTCCGACTCGATGCACCTCGGTCACATGATTCCCTTCATCTTCACTCAGTGGCTTCAGGACGTCTTCGACTGTCCGCTTGTCATCCAGCTTACCGGTGCGTTGAGGGGACGCCTCGTTCAGCCGATTCTCCCTCAGAATGTGTAAGCTGATGAGAAGTACCCGAACCGGCACAGACGATGAGAAGTTCCTCTTCAAGCCTTCGCTCAAGCTCGAGCAGTGCCACTCGTTCGCGTTCCAGAACGCAAAGGACATCATCGCGTGCGGCTTCAAGCCTGAAAAGACGTTCATCTTCTCCGACCTCGACTACGTCGGGTTCGTGCGGTCTCGCTTTCTGACTCCGACGTGAGCTGATGAGGTGGTTGATTTTCAGCGGCGCGTTCTACCGCAACGTCGTCAAGATTTCGCGCTTGATCACCGCCCGCCAGAGTCAACAGACGTTCGGCTTCAAGCTTGAGTGCGTCCGCATCGTTCTCTTGTCCTGCGACTCCCACACTGACGCTGGTCTCGCGCAGGGACAACGTCGGAAAGTGGCACTTCGTCGCGATCCAGGCCGCCCCCTCCTTCTCCAACTCATTCCCGCAAATCTTCGGCGACAAGACCGACATCCCCGCCCTCATCCCCTGCGCCATCGACCAAGATCCGTACTTCCGCCTGACGCGCGAGTGCGCCCAGCGCCTCAAGTACAAGAAGCCTGCCCTCATCCATGCCAAGTTCATCCCTTCGCTCCTCGGTGCGCAGAGCAAGATGTCGGCTTCAGCGTCAGAGAGCTCGATCTACATGACCGACACGCAGAAGGAGATCAAGACCAAGATCAACAAGTATGCGTTCTCCGGCGGACAGACCTCGATCGAGGAACACCGCGAGAAGGGTGGAAACCCCGACGTCGACGTCAGCTACCAGTACTTGACGTTCTTCCTTGACGACGACGCCGAGGTCGAGCAGATTGCCCAGGTGCGTCCGCCGACCTTTTGCTCCAGGTCGCGTACAGCTTCTGACGACCTGCTTCTACTCGCAGGACTACCGTGCCGGCAAGCTCCTCACTGGCGAGCTCAAGCAGAAGACGATCGCGCTCTTGCAGGAGTTCGTCAAGGCATTCCAGGAGGTGCGTCCGATTCATTCCCCTCCTTCGCAACCCCGCCGCTGAATCTTGCTTTTCGTCCCGTACAGCGCCGAGCGGCCGTGACCGACGACCTCGTCAGGCAGTTCAGGGACCCGGAGCGCAAGATCGACCCGACTTTGCGGTACGGACCTGGCTGCACGGGCGAGAAGCCCAAGGCCCCGGCGGCGCCCGTCATCAAGGAGCCGACTTCGACGGCGTAGACGGCAGGTCTGCGGTAGAAGTGATTCTGTCGAGAGTGACGGAGGATGAGAACGACTTGCAGTACTAATTCTAGCTGTCACTTCCTCTCGGGCACCGCGTTTACGAGAGAAGAGGCTGAGTTGAACAAGGGCTACGGATGTACGGATGGACAGCTACAGCAGAAAGGGGACAACCAAAGGCTTGGGTACGGCGGGACAGCGAGAGTATACAGGCGAACTAAGAAGGAGAGAAACGGGCGGTAACTAAGCTCTGGGCGGTGCAGCTTACTCGGGCACGCTGGCAGCGACGTCCTTCTTGACCATCTCCTTGACGTGGTCGCCGAGCGAGACGAGGCAAACGGTCTTACAAGGAGCCGGAAGTCAGTCTCCATTCGAGCCAGTCGAAGAGCTGTGAGCGCACCCTCCAAACGCTAAGAGCGATGCGCGGCGAGACACCCCTGAAGAGACCGCGGATGCCGCTCTCCTGGTAGATGTACTTGGCGGTCGAGAGGATCGTCGGGTTCTGCGGGCGGGCAGTAGAGGAGGCGGTCGCGGCGGACTTGGCGGAGGGCGAGACGAGAGACTGCATCTCGACGCGGATGACCTCGATTGGGTGGTTCCAGCAGCCGAGTGCTCCGCCTGCAGCGATCCGAGCGTCAGCGAACCAACTCGAGTGCAACGACGAAGCGAAACGCACCGACTGCCGACGCGATGACCTTCTCGCCGGGACTCAGCGCATCCGACTTCTTCTTGCCCTTGAACTCCTTGATCGCTTGCTCTGCAGCACGAGCGACTCCGATCCTGTGTGCAGCAAGGCAGCTGGTCAGCTGGCGGAGCTCGGCAACGAGACCTTTCAGCAACCGCAAGCGAAGCTGGCGCACCTGCTGCCCCAGTTCGTTGCCTGCCTGAGCGCGACAGCGTTGACGCCTGTGCAACCCTTGCTCACAAGTCAGCCATCGTTCGGCAGGACCTCGCATCGACGCAAGCTGCCTCGAAGCGCGACGCACCCTTGTTAATTCCCCTGATCCCCTCCTTGCGCCACATGTCCATGAAAACTCCCATCGTCGATGGCGCTTGCGGTGCGGGCTGGCCCGGGACGGAAGAGACGGCGGCGATTTTCTGGCGGGTGATCTCGGCGGTCTTCATGCGGGTGCAGACGCCCCTGTACGCGGAAGGCTCGTCAGCTCTGCAGCACTCAATCCATCCGCCTTTCCTCAGCACATCAGCCGTAGCGGCGCTCTCGAGGACGTGCGAGGAGTGGGAGAACAGCGAGAGAACCGCGACCGCACTCACATGGACAAGTACGCCTGTGCCGCGCCGCCAATGATTCCGCCCAGCAGTCCTGCCGCACCAGGCTTTATGCCGTGGCCCATCGTGAACGACTCGACGTAGGAGGACGTGAAGAGGAGGATTCCGCCGGCGGTTGAGGATTCGATCCAGGCCTGGCGTTGAGTCGCTGCGTTAGTCTCCGCTCGCTCGTCCAGGAAACTTGAGCCTGGGTGACTATAGGAGAGCTCGACGCACCCAGGGAATCAAGCCCTGGTAGAAGCCGCGAATCCCGCCCCTCGCTGTCGTCTTCCTGATCGCTTCCCGCAACGAGTCGTGGCGGTTCGCGGCCATATGCGTCTTGAGGACCTCGAACGGCTGACCCAGTGTCGTCCTGCATGGCGAGAACGAGCGGGAGCAAGAACAGCGAGGCGAAAGCCGCAGGTGGGGAATGTCAGCGCAGGCTAACAACCTCGACAGATCGCGTCCGGACTCGGCAGAGAACGCGCGAAAGGGTACGTACACCTCAAAGACCGACACTCCGGCCCCGATGGCGAGGTTGACGGGCGACAAGCCATTTGACTGCTGCGGAGACATATCGAGTGGGCGGAACGAGACGAGCGGAGGACGGGGAGTGTGTGCGTGATGCGTCGTGGTCGTGTTCTAGTATGTCGTAGGCTGTAAGCAAGGCAAGGCGTGTCTAGCTGCGAGGGTGAGCAAGTCGCGTGAAGTGTCGGAGGGAAAGCGGGGACGAGGACGGTCAGCTTGCAGTCACGCCGCGCCGAGGCATCATTGACGACCTGGCATCGTCCAGCGAGAGCGTCAGAAGTGTCCCAGCTCGTCTGCACCCGCGCAAGTCTCGTCGAAGGAGCCCGCTCGCGTCCCACCACAGCCTTGAGGACCCGAGGAAGTATACAACGGCCTGATTGCACGAGGGCGGGCCAACGGGGACAGCAGGGTATTCTACAGGCGTGCCAGTCGTCGAGGCTATCGCTGCTTGCCCGCCTCTGCGCGTAACGAACGACGGTCAGCTCACTTCTCCTCCTGCTCCCCACATCTTCGTCCCGCCTCGACCTCGCGAAAGGGTGAAAACAACAACGCACCTCGCCGAGTCGCATCCTCCAGTAGTTGCGTGTCGACTGCTGCGCGCGGGAGTTGCACGTATCGCACTGTGCTGCCGCGAATGAAGCAGTTGCGGACGGCGATCTGGGCGTGTGAGGCGAGAGTCAGCTTGCGAGGCCTGATTCGAGGCCGCAGACGGTCGCAAGACAGTACGCACCATGTGAGGATACCGCTCTTCGTCCAAGACGCGGATGTTGTCAAGCTTGATGTTGAGGAATCTGAGCGAGGAGGAGCAAGTCAGTCAATCTCGCTTGGAGTCCCTCGAAGCGACTGCCAGAGGAGGCTTCACGCACTGGTCGACCGACTTGAGCTGCCCGCGGATCGCCATGTCGTTCTTGAGCTCGACAGTGAGCTCCTGGTCTTGCAGCGTCTTGAGAACCGAGAAGATGAGCTGTGCGGAACGAGTGGGCGCGGTGATCAGCTCGTTCGCCCTGTGTGAACTACATCTAGCTGCACGTACCATCTTTGCGCTGCCCTAGCGGGTGTGTGTCGCGGTGTGAGATTCGTTGATGAGGCGGTCTGTCGGAGGAGGGAGTGAGCGTTCCACACGGCCGCGGTGGCTTGCTGGAGACGCAGATGCACAGAAAGAGTGGCAATCAGGCTGTCTGAGCTGTTCTAGCCTGTCACACGTCGTGAAGCGGTGTTGCTGGCGGCCAACTCTCCTCCTCCTCCTCGCCCAGCTCCTTGACATCCGACTGTTCACCTCAATACCTCGCCTTGCTCGTAACGCCGTCGTCGATCTCGGCACAGGGGCCGACTGAGGACTTCCGGCCTTTCTTCTAGGCGCGCGACGCCTGCGCGACTTGCATTCAGGGTTACCGCTCGCACCGCTCGCTCGCTCCCCTCTTCGCGTATTCTCTCACGATCGTGTGCGTGGCGGAACTCCGTCCAGCCAGGCTAGAACAATGCTGGATGTCCCATTGATGGTCGCGGATCCGAACGACTTGGCTGCTCTGCTCCTTGCCTCTCTTTCCCTCCCTTCACTACTCTCAGGCTTCCACTCACCCACGCTCTTTACCCACACTCTTTTTCGCCACCTCCAGCGACATGCGAGCTCCCTTGCTGTGGCTCGCTCTCGCCGTCCCGGCCTTGGCATCGCACGACTCGTTCTTCGGCTCGAGCCACGACATCGTCGCGCGTGCAGTCAAGGCCAAGGTCATCGCCGTCGACAGCGCCCCGAACCGCACCGTCACGAAGGGCAAGACCGGCGAGTGCACGCAGGCTTACATCGACAACAAACAGTCCGCCTACTGCAAGCAGAGCTGCCCGCCGAACCAATGGCCTCTTTACCGTGAGTTTGGCATCCTCTCCTTCTCCTCATGCATCTCGGCTGACATCAACGTTGATTCAGAGGGCGGATGCGTCTGCCGCGCGCCGAACACCCTGCGCAGCGGTGTCTGCCAGCCCAAGTGCGATCCTGGGTAAGCTCTTCCTTCACGCTTTTCTCAGCCGTCCCTTCGTCCTCATGCTGCGCCTTTCCGTACTCTCGCTGATTCGGCCGTGCACCACGCAGCTTCACCCTCTCGGAGGACAAGACCCTTTGCGTCTGCCGCGACGGCAAGTTCCTCAGCCCGGCCAGCGACAAGTGCTGGTCTCGCTGTGTTACCGGTACTTTCGACGCCAAGAACGGGACCTGCGCTTCCTGCCCGGAACCTTACCTCGCCTGCAGCGATGCGGCTACACCGACTCGCTGGTCAGTCCTCAACTTCTTGCGAAGAGCGACTCAAACTGAGCACCTTATCGCGCAGCATCAACGGCTACTTCTTCGACGGCACGACCTGCGTCAAGGACTGTCCTGCCAACACCTGGCCCGACGACGCGCCGACGAAGAACATCTGCCGCAAGTGCGCCGACAAGGATGCGTTGACCTGCTCCGACAGCGGCAAGACGTCCGCCACCGCTTGCATGACCAAGTACCTCCTCAACGGCGTATGCGTCGAGGCGACCAAGATCCCTGACGGCTCGTACGGCGACTCGACGGGTGCGTTTTCTCATCGGTCTCCGCTTACCGCAACATCTCGCTGAATATTGAGCTTCTCGCAGACCACACCGTCAAGACCTGCGACGCCGGCGTCAAGACGTGCACCTGCTCGGGCAAGGGCTGCGCCACCTCGTGCGGCAAGAACAAGAAGAACGACCAACTCCTTCTCACGCCCAAGGGCGAGTGCGCTCTCCACTGCCCGTCCGGCTACTATGCCGACAAGAAGGACGGGCTTTGCGTCAAGTGCGACTCGACCGCCTTGACATGCGACGCTAACGGTGCGAAGACTTGGTGAGCTCCTTCCTCCGCTTCTCGCTGGACCTCGCTGATGCTCTGCATGTCTCGCAGCGCGAAGGACTCGGCGGGCACTCAGCTCTACCTCACCCCGACGAAGAAGTGCATCTTGCCATGGGTCGGACCTGCTGGCTACTACCCGGACTCGAGTACGTCGCCTTCCCTCATGTTCTCAAGCGCTTTAATCGCTGACACCGAGTCTCGACAGCGACGAACACCTTCAAGCCCTGCCTCGACGGTGTCACGACGTGTGTCGGTAACGGCGACAACGACGCATTGACCTGGTATGCTGGCTTCCTCCCTTTCCCGCCTCGTCCTTCGCTAATACCGCTCTCCTCGCAGCGGGACTCGCTCGGACGGCACTACGCTCTTCCTCGACCTTCACAACGGTCGCGGCCAGCAGCACCGGCGTCTCTCCCGCCGCGACTCTGCGCCGACCGGAACTTGCGTTGAAGCTGCCTCGTGCCCTATCACTACATGGGCTGACCCGAGTGCGCTCAGTTCTCTCTAGACCATCCGAGCGCTTGCTCACTTGATTGCTTGCAGTCACGAACGTCTGCACGCTTTGCGACCCGAACGAAATCCGGTGCAAAGGCAACGGCGAAGGTAGCGCTCTTCAATGGTGCGTTACGCTCCTTCAAGACGCTCAGCGCACCTTTGCGGATCGCTGATCCCCCTTACTTCGTAGCGCGAGCGGATCGTACCTTACCCAGGGCGGTGACTGCGTGTCTGCCGACGCTTGCGTGACGAGCGGTGCTTTCTGGGCTGATGATGGTGCGTCTCATCGTTATGCACGTTTTGGATCGAGCTGACGCTTCCTCGACAACAGCCAACAACGTCTGCTCGACTTGCGACGCCGGAGAGGCCGCCTGCACGGGCAATGGCGCTGGACTCGCGACGGCTTGGTGAGCTGCGAATTCTCTCTGCGCTCCTTTCAGTGCGGCAGCTCATGGACGATCTAAACAGCGCGACGAACGACCGCGACGAGCAGCTGTACCTCTATAACGGCGATTGGTGAGTTTTCTTCCTTCCTTCGCCGCTTCATTCGCCGCGAACTCACCCGTTCCTCATATAGCTACACCGGAAACGCATGCCCTGCCGCATACTACCCCGACGACAGTGCGTTTGCGCTCGTTCCGCCGCCTCGACCGTTGTCGACCTTCCCAAGCTGACGCTTTGGCTCCCTTCGCAGACACAAAGTCGTGCCAGGCTTGCGACCCCGGCGCGCTCTCCTGCACCGGCCCTCACGCTGCTACGTCCTGCGGTCTCAACTCGAACGGCGAGCGCCTCTATCTCAACATCGACGGCAACTGCGTGACCGCGCCGAACTGCGACAGCTCGACCTGGTCTGACCCTGCGAGTGCGTCAAGCTTCTCTTGCCATCTTTGCGACGTCCACACTGACGTTCGAGTCTTGCAGCCCGCCACTGCGAGTGGTGCACGCTCATCGACCCCGACGCAAAGACCTGCACGTCGCCGACCGTTCTCACCTGGTTCGTCAACCGCTTCTCGGTTTCGTTTTCTGCCCACTGACGCCTCTTCCCGCGCAGCACCAACAAGTTCTTCTACCAGGCGGCCTGCATCGACCCTTGCCCGACTCGCTTCTGGGCTAAGTCGGACAACCACGTCTGCACGCCCTGCACCGACCCCGACGCCTTGACCTGCGACGCCGACGGCGCGCTCACGTGCGACAAGCTCTACCTTTGGCAGAGGCAGTGCATCCCGACTTGCCCGGCTGGAACCTACGCCGTCGGTGAGTTTCGCTCCGGCGCTTCCTTCGTCTTATGGCGCCCGCTTCCTCCGCTTCAGCGGCGAGCTGACACGACTACGGCGCAGGTCACGTCTGCTACCCCTGCACCGACAAGTACGGTGACGGCGCCGCGACTTGCGACGCTTCGGCGACCCTCTCGTGCAAGGCAGGCTACGTCTGGCTGAACAACTACTGCATCTCGGAGGCGGACTGCTACGGTCAGCCGGATGGGTTCTACCCGAAGAGTGCGTCGACAGTCATCGGTGTCTTTCGAAAGCCCAAGCTGATCTTCGTCGAGCTCGCAGACGGCTACTGCTCGGCCTGCTCGAACGATTGGGCGTACGCCACGTCGTGCACGCCTGCTGGACCGACGGCGTGGTGCGTCTCAATCTCGTACCCGTTTTCGCCGCCCCTAGCTGATGGTTCGCATATCGCAGCTCAAGCAACCGATTCATCGACCGCAACAACAAATGCGCGCGGGTCTGCCCGAACGGCTACGCCGAGATCGACCCTCACGGTGACGGTGTCGACTACATTATAACTGGCCAGTACATCGATGACAGCGGCTTCGTCTCGACCTGCCGGAGCTGCATCGACCAGTGCGTCTAGTCTTTCCGCCATCGTCGCATGACTACCGCTGATACGCGTCTCGCGAACACCCCTAACAGGTTCGCGGTGGTCTGCGACCAGTACAGCGGTCTCACCACTCAATGCTACAAGCCGAGACCGAACCACGTCTCTGTCTCGTGCCCTCACCGGGCCTGAGGCGCCTCCCTTCCCTCTTTCCCACCGAGCCCTTGCTTCTCTCGCTCGCCATTCTTCTCGGTCAACCCAGTAGTCTTCGCTTCCTCGATGCTCAGCAGTAATGCACGCTCTCCTCGGTCCGTCGGCGCGTGAGCAGATCCCAACAGCAGGCTTTTCAGGTTGGCTATAAAGTCGAGCTACACAGGTCACATCATACATATCAACGACGAGAGGAGGAACAGAAAATACAGCACGGAAGAGCGGAGCGAGCGAGTGTTCGTGGGCGAGTCGGGGAGGAAACGTCTCTACGCCATCTTGCCCCAGACGTAGGCCGCGGCGACGAAGGCGACCATGACGATGACTTGCTGCTGGGTGAAGTAGAGGTCCTTGTTGATGATGAGCATGGCGTTGGCAGGGATGCCGCCGGACGAAGCGGTCGCTGATGCGCCGCCTTCGGAAGCGTACGAGGTGGCCTGCGCGAGAACAAGTCATCAGCAAGCATTCAGCTCCAGTTCACGGCATAGGCGACTCACCGTAGCGTTCCTGCCTTCGGCGTCGGCTCCTGCGCCCTTCGCCTTGCCGAGGAACGGAGGAGAGCCGCTGTCGACGGGAGGCGGCGAGCGCGCGCCGTCCTTGTTCTGACTGCCACGACGACCGGCCTTGGCGAGACCTGCACCCGCAGCGGCACCGGCAACGCCAGCGCCAGCCGCCTCGGCGACATTGTTCGAGCTCGACGCGCGACGCTGAGGCTGGGGAGGCGCGTTGGCCTTGCGCTTCGGCGCCGGTCCGCCCGAAGCCGTGATAGTCTTGTCGAGGAACTCGCCACCGACGTAGACGTCCTCGGTACCCTCTCCCTCGAGGGACTGCGAGAGCTTGAGGAGCGCACCTTGCTTGACCTTCTCGGTCCAGGCGAGTTCGAGCATGACTTGGCCGTCGGGCGTCTCGACTTTGGCGACTTCGGCGACGTCGGGCGGGTCGAGGGTGACGTCGATTCCGCGAGGGTACATCTTGCTGCTCCACTGGAGCCAGCAGACTTGCTTGCCGTCCGACATGGTGCCCTTGCCTTCGCCGCCGATCGAGAACGTCACCTTGCCGTTGACGATGTCGTCGCCAGGCTTCGAGGTGCCGATGAGCTCGGCGGGACCCGAGCCCCAGCGGAGGAACGACGGGGCGAAGCCGTACTCGTCGATGAACTCGCCGAGGCGGCGCGGACCGAGACCAAGCTCGGTCGAGAGGACCTTGTACGTGGCCGGGTTGAGCTTTGCGCCGGCGACGTCGAGCTGGGCGATGCGGGTGACCTTGACGGCGTGAGGAGCGGCGGGGTCGAGGAGGTAGCCGGAAAAGTCGACCTGGCCGAGCTGCGAGCCCTTGGGCTTCTTCACATCCGCGTCGACCGAGCGAGAGACGGAGAGGATCTGACCGTGCTGGTCAGCCGGGTCTTCGCGCTCGACACCGGTTCCGACGATGTAGTGGAATGGCCTGCGGAACGAGACGTTAGCGGGTGCTTCCCAAGGAACAATCAGGGGCCACTCACTTGACGCTCGGGAAGATGCCCTTGTTCGCCTCGAGGACGACGCCCTGGTCGAAGCCGTTGTCGAGGCCGGAAGGCTGAAGCGAGTCGATACGCGGGTCCCCTGCGTCGCTCAACCACCGTCAGCTTTTATCCAACCATCTCACTCAAGCGACAAGCACTCACAAATCCTCCTAGCCGACTCGTTGAGGATCGTACCGAGCACCTGCTCGGTCGTGACATTCTCAACCTCCGCCTCGCCCTTGACGATCGGCAACTCCGTCTCGCCCCTCGCTCCGTCCTTCGCCTTCATCCAAATCCTCGTCCCATCCGGGTCCTTGGCGGTCCTCCACCCACCCTGACTACCCTGCGACAGCGTCGCCTTGAACAACTTGAGTGCGGTCTGGACAGCTTCGTACGACGCGCCGTCTTTGACGAGCTCAACGTGCGGAGGGAGACCGACTGCCCCACCGCTCGTGGCGGTACCGGTACTGCGGGAGGAGCGCTTGCTCGAGACCGAGTCGCGGCGGCGACGGCCGCCGCTGCCGCCTGAGCCGGCGACCGCCATCCCGTTCAACTCGCCGCCTTGTCCGCCGTTCGAGCCGCTGTAGGCCGTGGGCTCGGGGTCGTAGGGGACCATGGGCGGCGCGCCGTGCGTCGAGAGGTAGTCGGCGATGCGGGCGATGACGGTCGGGCGGCGAGCGAGGTACTTGGTCGCGGCGAACGACGGCATGAAGGTGCGAACATTGACGTGGAGGCTGCGCTCGTCACTCGTCAGCTCGGTAATCATCACGTTCAAGCTGTAAACGCGGAAACGCACTAGTACGAGATCCTCGTCCCGTCCTCGATAGGCTCAAGCACCCATCCGTTCAGGGCGATACTCGCGCGGACACGACCCGCGACGCGCGGGACCTTGGGCGTGACGACCGACGTCGTGGCGAAACAGATCGTGCCGGTGGGCGAGCCTTGGACTTTTTCGACGAGGGAGAGGTCGCGGGTGCTGCGTACGGGAAGGAGGGTTAAGAAGGTTTGGGCCGAGACGAAGGCGGGAAACATACGAGGATCCGGCGATGCCTTTCATGCACCTGCACTTCACTGCGTCAGCAAGTATGAGCGGAAGCGAAGGAGTCGGAGCACGCACATGTAGGTGAGCGACGAGTCGTCGGAAAGGTTCTCGACGAGCGAGCCCTCCTTGTACCTGCGTGCGATTCATCATCAGCTCTGCATTAGCCACGTCGAATACGGGCTGCGACCCACCAGTCATCCCAAAGCTTGCGAGTGCCCATGACAGCAAAGACAGCGGTCGGGGCGAAACCCGAGATGTCGAGGACGCCCTTGAAGACGGGCGCATAAAAGCCCTTCTTCTCGCTGCGTCCCTGGGAGACATAGCTCTTCTCCTTGGTGATATAGACGACGCAGCCCGTCTTCTTCTGCGTCAGGGCCTTCTTCCAGCTCGAGTCGGGCATCGAGTGGAGGTCTTGCAACTTGGACATGGCGCGGCTCGCGGACTCGAGGTACGAGTCGGCGGAGACGGACGAGGTCTGGCTTATGCCGGACGGGCGGCGGCCGAGGTCGTCAAAGTCGGCTCCGGTTGACTTGCGGCGACGAAGAGCGCAAGTCAATGGCTTGTTCTCCTGCACGATTTGGCGAGAGAAGAACGCGTGCTCACCTCGTCATCGTCGACCGAGTAGTCGTCGTCTCCAAACTCGGAGCCATACTCAAACTCGGACTTGCGCGAGCGCGAAGAGCGGATACTGGCGCGGCTCGAAAGGACCATGTTGCGCGGTTTCTGCGGGTCGGTTGAGCTTTCGAGGTTTGCTGAGGTCTGCGCGTGCGCTCGAACGGAGTAAGTACAGAGCACAGGAGGAGGACGGGGAGGGAACGAGGGAAGGTCGGCGGAACGCACGGTTAGACGGGTGCACAAAGGCTAGCGGGCAATCTGGCTGGTAGCTGGGAGCCTGAGAGTGAAGCCTGCCAAGCTAGCGTGCCTGCAGAGACGCTGTGCGAGGGCAGAGGGGCGGGGAAGATGAGGTAAAGTGGGGAGGTGGACGAGCGCGAGCAGGGGTTCGCAAGTTTGGCGGTGCGGCTGTGGGTCCAGTCGAGTGAGTGAGTGAGAGTGTGCGAGTGTGCCCAGCTGTGTCGGAGTGAGAGGGAGAGGGAGGGGTCGAGGGCGAAAGGCGGAGCACCGGCAAAGTCTCCCCACTTCGCCGTCGTCGCCGCTCGCCGTCATTTGCGATCAAAGGCCAGCCGCGCACTCGACAGTTGCCAGTGCACGAGAGAGAGAGAGCTGGACGGATCCTGCCTCACTGTTCAGCGCCGCGCTCCGCTCTCGCTGGACGGCGACGACAACCAGCTCCGCTCACCTGCGCGGGGTCTTCTTCCCGCTTGACCACCTTGTCCTGCTACTCATCTCGACGCCTGCTGTCCAGCTGCGACTTCACTGCTCGAGGATGGCCACTCACGCTCCTGCTCAGGTTCCTGCCGACTCTGCAGACGCGCCGCGCTTCCCTTCGACTCTGGCGCCGGACGCATACTACGAGGGTACGTTGACGGAGCTGCATGTCGAGGCGCCGCTGAGACTAACACATGCTCGACAGGCCTGGTCGACCGTCTTCGAACCGCCCTCCTCCCGACCCTCGACCCCTTCTTCTCCTCCCTCTACTCCTCCTCATCGCCTCTCGTCCTCGAACTAGCCTCAGGCAACGGCACCCACGCCGCTCTCTTCACACGCACCTACCCCTCCCTCTCCATCCAACCAACCGAATGCGACTCGTTCGGCGTCAAGAGGATTGATCAGACTGTTGCGCGGGAGGGAGCGGAGAGGGTGAGAGCGGCGGTCAAGGTCGATGTCATGAGTGAGGGTGATTGGGAGGGGCTGGGGAGGAAGTTGAGAGAGGAGGAGGGGGAGGGGAAGCGGTATGACCTTGTCTTTGGGTCGAATTTCCTGCACATGGTGCCCTTGTATGTCCTCCCTCCTCCGCTCCGCCTTCCCTCTTTACTCACCAGCTGCCCTTCCCTCGCGCAGCCCCGACGCACCGCAACGCATCTTCCGCCGCCTCCTCGCCCACTCACTGCTCACACCCTCCGCAAAAGTCCTCATCTACGGACCCTTCAAGTCCGACACGGGCTTCTTCTCCCGCTCCGACGAGTCCGTGCGTCCCTACTCCTTTCCTCCCTTTCTCCCTCCAACACTTTTTCGAAACTGACGAGAAGTTGTTGCGCAGTTCAACGAGGCGATCGCAGCCCGCCCCTCCCCCTACCCACTCGGCCTACGCTCTATCGACGCCCTTGCAAGGATCGCAAGAGAGGAAGGGTGGAAATTGAGCGAGAGGATTGGGGTTGCGAAGGGGAATTGGGTGTTGGTTTTCGAGCAGGAGAGGGAGGGGAAGTAGCGGTTTGAGGCGCTGGTGAGGGCAATGCAGTCTGGAGTCCCCACGATATCGGGAAGTGACAGTGAGAAGGTGATGTCGCAATCGACGTTCGTGTTGCGGTAAGCGAGTGTCCAGCTACGAACGTCGAGCAGGCCCCCCCGGCAGCACGAATCGAGCCACAGCAAGCCATCCCATCTATGAAGCATCACCTTCCGCGACTAAGTGATTAGCGAACAAAGCATTGGCTGTATCGCGGACAGTCTGCGACGAAGCGGTATCAGCCAAGATCGGCGAACGGGGAACAGCGAAAGACGGAGCGCACCATGGGAACCTCCGTTCCGCCTCGCTTCTGCGTCTAGCGCGAGCCACAAAGTACTGCTTAGGTGATCTGCGCTGTCGCTATTTGCCCGCTGGGTTTGACGAGGCGGCTTGAGGCGAACGAAACGAGTTGGCGAGCCTAGAGACATCGCCTCGGCGCCTTTTGCCGGGCAGTCCTGTAGGTAGGGACGGCCAGCGATCGGAGAAGGCGTGTGGGTCAGTAAAGCGCAGACCGCGACCAAGCGGCGAGCGAACGCACCTCGAATCCAGCGTCTCCTCCTCACGACGGCCTACACCCCTCCTGCTGCAGCTCCTTTCTCCGCTCTTCCTCCCCGGCAGCCCACTCCACCTCGAGCTCCTCCTCCGTCCGCATCCTCTCAACCCTAGTCCACCACTTCCTCGGGACCATCACCAATCCCACTTTCCTCCCCTCTCCCCTCACGCTTCCCTGCTCATCCAGCTCGTACTCGACAGCTTGGTCCAGCACGATATTCCCCTGCGGATCGACGCAGACGAACGTCCCTACGAACTGGCGCGAGGTGTGCGAGATGGTGAGGCGGTAGAGGGAACCGAGGGTTGAGGTGAGGGCTTGGATGGAGGGAGTGAGGGCGGGTGGGGGCTTGAGAGATTGGAAGGCTGGCAGAGGGGGGATCGAGGTGGTTGTAGCCATTTCTCAGCGGCGGGTGAGCGTGACGAGTGTAGGAAAGGAGGGAGAGGGAGGAGGTCGGTGGGGAGAGGTCAACCTCGCTCGCTCGCGTCGGAATAGCGTAGACAGTCGCTTTGCGGTGAGAATCGGACGAGTACTGCGACTCGAGCGAGAAGGACAGAGACGTTGAGGGTGGGAGACGACCGTCCTCCTCCTCGTGAAGCGAATGATCGTTCCCGTTGCAGGCACCCCTTCCGCGCTCCAACTTCGCCTGCGCATCGAGTAGCCCAATCCTCAGCTTCTCTGTCGCCAACACCGGCCGCTCGACCCTCCTCGTCTCCTCCTCGCCCTCAACAGGCTTCGGTCGCTGCTGGGGGGAGTGTTCGGGCTTGTGAGCAGAGGACCGCGACGCAAAGCCGGGGAAGGGGGTGCCGCGACTTTGGCGTCCGTAGGAACCTGTTCAGCCGTTCCAGCGAGGTCTCGTGCTGTGGCCTTCCTCTTCTTCCTCATGTCACTCAGTCGCCGCCGCTCGCCGCCGAGATGGCGGTTCGCGCCTTGCTCGGTCATCACTGGAGGCATCTGCGCACCACGACAACGCTGGATTCAGCGCGACACTCGATCCTCTCCCCTTTCTCCTCATCATCCTTCAGCCCTGGGCGGCTCGTATTGACACACGCTGTTCCTTCCGGCCTTGTGAAGGTGCGGCAGAGTTGGGAGACAGTGCGGTGCAACAGAGCTGACCTTATCTCTCCACAGGAGAACTATGCGCCATCAAACGAAGACGTTCTGTCCGCCGATAATCGGTCCTTGCGCGCGGAGAAGGAGACGCAGGACTTCCGGATCGCCAAGCTGGAGGACCAAGTTGGTCGTTTGTTGCGCAGGGAGAAGGCGCGCGAAGTAGAGGAGGAGCGCTCGCGCCAGGTCGAGGCGTACAAGCGCGGCATGGAAGGTGCGTCTCCTGCATGTTTCCCATCTCGTTGGCGCAGCGGGATCCTGAACGCTCTCTTCTCTCCAGGTCTCGTTTTGTCGGCCCTCAAGGACACGCGCAAGCTTGACGACGCCGACCTTGAGATCCTCAGAGGGAATTGGCGTCAACTGGAAAACGGTGAGCATGACTACTTGACCCTGCGTCGGCGAGGAACGGGTTCTAACGTCACTTCCGGTCATCAGCTGCCGGTTGGCAAGCCATTCCGAAGGCTCTCACGACGCCCAAACTCGCCGAGAGGTTCTACGACGTTTTGGAGCCGCCTCTCGTCGAGAAAGTCAAGCTCGCCGTTACCTCCGCCCGCAAGTTGCCTGCCTGGTCAGCAGCTCGTGCGATAGAGCGAAGTGACCGGGTGTCCGACATGCGACAAGCTCGAAGTGAAGCAGCACACCTCGCGCCGAGCAAGGATCTCGTCCTCCAGGCGCTTCAGGAGTTCTCGTCAAAGGCTGTGGCGGAGCGCGCAGTTAGTATGATTAATCCCGGTTTGTTGCGTTCCATTCCTTCTTTCCCGAGTTGTGCTGACCACCTTCGTGCAGAGGCTTTTTCCGTTCCGTGGCCTCCTCTCTGATACCCTCTCTCTCCCTCTCACGAGCTTCAACCATTGTCGATACCTTTCATACGCTGTTCGCATCTTTGTATCTCTGCTTTGCACATCTTCTTCGGTGGCCAGCGTGTCGAGTCCGCGAGACTCAAGACTTCCTTTGCTTCCTCGGGAGGAAGTATGACTTGACAAAGCGCTCTCTACATTCAATCAGTGACGGCACACGCTTGCCTTCCTTCTACACACCGAGTAGCCCAATCCTCCACTTCTCCCTCGCCAGCGCCGGCCTCTCCACCCTCCTCGTCTCCTCCTCACCCTCAACAGGCTTCGGTCGCTGCTCCCACTCCGCCAGCAATATCGGGTCGCCCGTATCCTTGATCCGCTGCTCTTCGGTCGACTCGGCGCGCCAAGATTGCTCGAGAGGCGTCCAGATGCTGTCGACAGCGGAGGAGACGAAGGTTTCGAAGGCGGCGACGGCAGATTGAAGGTCCGTCGCGGCGGTGCGGTGCTCGTCGGACGAGAGGGTGAGGAGGACGGGCAGGAGGGCGGCGGTCTCCTCTGCGAAGGTCAGGCGTCAGCGAGAAGTCGGGCGGGGAGAAGCGAAGCGAACGCACTCTGCAGTTCCGCCAACCTGGACTCGGCCGTCTTCTTGAGCGAGTTGAGCAGGTACATCTCCTCGTAGACCGTGCCCTTCTTACCTGCGGCCTTCTTGAGCGCCGCACGACGCCGCGAGCCGGAGGTCTTGCTGCAAGGGGAGGGAAAGGAACGGTCAGGACAGCTTATTGGCCCTGCATGATGAGGACAAACGCACGATGTCCTGCGACTTGTGCTCGCGAGCGTGGTCGGGTTGACGGTGTAGCGAGTGAAGGCGGTGCCGGCGTCCGACATGCCGTCCGGCGCGATCTCGACGTTCTCGAACGCCGCCGTCGGATCGTCGACGCAGTAGTAGAAGTCTGCGGGACAATGTGTCAGCGCAAGCACAGACGCAACGCGGGCGGAAGGCGCACAAGGGTTCTGATCCCGCTTCGTCCGCAGCGCCGCCAGCCGGTCGAGCTGCTTCTGCACTTGCTCGGTCAGATCGGAGCAGTCCTCGCAGAGACGTTCCTGCAGCTCGAGCGTGCTCGTCTTGATGCGCGAGTCGACTAGGTCGCGCCGGTCGTGCAAGGCGGTCTGCACGGAATCGAGTTAGAAGAAGTTTGAAGGGAGAGCAGGGCGACAATACGCACCACTCGCGTCGCTTCAGCGTGCAGGCTACCCTCGCAGAGAATAGCGACTGCTGTGTCGACGTCCTTGCCGTAGTCGAGCAGGACCTTCGCCGCCTCGCCGTACCGTCTCTTGCCGGAAAGGTCGTCTGGCGCAAGAGCAAGCGTCAGCAACATCCCTATTGTTTCTTAACGGTTGACTCACCAGCCACGTCCGCTGCAAGCTCCTTGACGCCCTCCTCGTCAACCGTGCCCGACGTGAGCGCAAGCGTGAACAGTTCCTGCCATGCTCGAGCCCTTTGGTAGGCGAGCATCGCCTTCTCCGGCTGGGCGGCGAGCGTAAAGACTGCATTCGAGGCGGTGTCAGCTGAGGACACGATGTGCGAGCGGCGGCTGCTCACGAAGTGCCGCTTCGAAGTAATTAGACCGGTCGAAGAGGTGCTCCGCATTGGCCGACAAGACCATCTGTCGAGCGACGCCTGTCAGCTGAATATGTTAGCGGGCGGAGGACAGCACACACCTCATACTTCTTCTTGTCGCCCTCGTATGCCCGCAGCGCAACCTCGAACAAGCCGTGCTTCTTCGTGTACTCGAGCGCCTCATCGAAATGCTCGTCGCCGGCTTTCGACAGGTTCATCAGCGCGGATGAGTGGCGGCCTAGGTGGTCATCGATCTTATGGCGTTGGAGGAAGGGCGGGAGCGAACGAAGAGCGCGGAGGAAGGGCAGGTACTCTCGCGGGTCCTGCAAATATCGAGGTGAGCGACCACGGAACAGAGGAGGGTGAAGGCTCACTCACCTTCTGCGACTGCTGCGCGATCATCAGGACGAGCGGGAAGTCGTACATGCCGAGCGCGAGGTCGAATAGCTTGTTCGAGTCGCTGAGGAAGATGATGTACTTGACGGCGTCTTCGGCTCGGTCGGCGTCCTTGGCTGTTCGATTTGTACGTTAGCGTGATGAGCGGGGCGGGGGCTACAAAGCAAACGCACCTTTGAGCTGGACCAGCAGGTTGAGCGCATCCTCGTACGCAGGCGGGCGTTGGCGGACATACGACGTCAGGATCGTATTTGCGAAGTGAAACACGTCGCGCTGCTCGAGATCCTCGCGAACGAGTCGGCAGATCGTGTTGACCTTGCTCGACGGGTCGCTACGCCGAAGCAACCGATCAGCGCTGGGGACGAGATCGAGGGTCAACCTCGCTCACAAGGACTCGACACCGCCTCCAACGAGAGGCTTGTACATCGTCTTCGTGACGTCTTCGTCCTTCAAGCCACTCAGGAACAGGTTGAGGTAGTCGATATCCTTGACTTGCGAGACGAAGTCGTGCAGATTAGCAACGAAAGCTGCCGGGTCGTGGTCGTGCAGGATGTTGAGATCGATGCGGTGTCGGCGGCAGAGGAGGAAGGCAGCGCGGAAGCGACGGCTGCGCAAGCAGTGTTCGTCAGCGGAAGAAGCCTCGGAACGTACGGGCAGGACGCACCTGTCGAGCAAGCTCCGCACGACTCGCAGCACCAGCGGCCGCGGGCAGATCGTCTCGAGGTTCCCGCGCGGCATCTGCAAGATGAGCGTAGTCGAGCTCGGCACGACTGTTACGATGCGCGATCCGCGCTCGACAGCACGCTTGATGGTCTCGCTCGGACCTGAAGCTGCGCTCCCGGCTGCTCGTCGCGCGAAAGACTCGGTAAAGTCGGCTGCCGGGGTTGTCGAAAGCGTGGAGAGGGGGATAAACTTCGCTTCGTGCGAGAAGGTGGTGTAGATGAGGAAGTCGGGAGTGATGGTGAAGGAAGTTGCGTCGGATGCGAGGAGGCGTGCGGACGAGTAAAGCCTGCCGGAGGCTGCGAGACCGATCAAAGTGGGCAGGCGGAAGGAGGACGAAGGTGATGAGGGCGGCAGCCGGACGTGCTGGATTGTCTGGCAGAACTCGGGGAACGGAGAGAGGCTGGACGAGGGCGAGGCGAAGTCGTCCGAGCCAGCGGCGGAAACTGAGGCAAACGGTTCGTCAGACTCCCGGTAAACGAAAGGACCCGAAAGACGCACTCTCGAGGACCTCGCCCGACTTGGTGACCAGCACAAATCCATCGACGTCCTCCTGTCCGTTCTCCTCACCGCCATCCTGCTTCTCCCGCTCGTGCATCGCAGCGATCTTTTGCGCACCCTCCAAGACTTTCACGGAGGTCGTCTCCCCTTGCCGACCATCAACGATCAACACCTCGTCCTCCGCCTCCTCGTCCTGCGAACTCCGCAATACCGCAACCTTGTCTCCATACACCGCACACTGCTTCGCGACACATCGCTGCCTCGTGGCGTTCGGGTCGAGCTGGAGCGACCACTCGAGAACAGGTTCGGACAAGCCGGCGAGGGCGTTTCGTTGGGCGTTGCCGGTGAGAGGGAGCGACCAGCGGTAGAATTCAAGGAACGAGTCGGGGTAGAGGACGGCAAAGCGGAGAGGGGAGGTATGAGAGGGAGAGGCGGAGAAGGAGATGTGTGCGGGAGGAAGGAGAGTTTGTGGGCGCGAGGAGCGGAGGACGAGAGAAGACATGGGCGGCGGGACGTTTTGCAGTCGGAACGGCGTGAGCTTGATGTCGACTGAGACGAAGGGTCAGCCTAAGAGACGATAAATTGACTGAGAGTGGACGAACCTCCGTCGACGACTGCAACCGTTCCATCGTCGAGAGGCGCAGGACGCTGCGACGCGAAAGTCTCCCAGCACAAGCTATACCGCTCCAGTCCGTCTGCGAAACGTACATCAGCACCTCGGAGTAGCAGTCTGTGACGGACCGTCACGCACCCGCTGCGATCAGCTCAATCTCATGCGCCTTCTCCGGATGCCAAGCCACGGTCTGCAACCGCCGCGAGAGGGGCAGTCGAGGCGCAAGCTCGGCCTTGAGGTACCAGTAGTAGTTCGAGCGGTGCCAGAGTTGGACTGCGCGAAGAAGACGTCAGCTGGGCGGGGCTGTGGAAGAAAAGTGGACGCACCGGCATGTGAGGATGCTGCACCCGCCTCCTCCGCGTCCCGCTCAATCCACACCGCGAGCAAATCGCTCGCGGCGTTCCAGCCCAGCTCGCGCACCTGGACCGCCTCCGCCCTTTCCTCCCTTAACCCAAACTCATACCGCCGCAACCCATTCCTTTCAAAGAACACGACTTGCAACTCGTCCTTCCTCTGTCCCTCCGCCGAGACGACGACTTTCCGTTGCGTCGAAGCGATGATCTCGCCGCTGGGGATCCACGCTAGCGAGCCTTCGAGGCCCGGGACGGGCTCGGACGTAGAAGAGTGTTCGCCCAATCTCGAATAGATCCTGATCCGCCGCACTCGACGTTCCGCACCGTCCGCGACGTCGGACCGCGGCGGCGCGCGCTCGAGGCTGTTGACCGCAAACCAAGCCGAGTCGCCCCTCCACGCGATGCGGGTCAACCCATCGTCCCTCGCACTCTCGAGCCAATCCGCATCAAGCGGGTTCTGCTTCGCGGCTGCAGCTGCGGCAGACTTGCCGAGCGAGCCGTGGAATTGGGTCGACTTGTGGCCCCAGCCGACTGAGACGGGGGCGTCGGCGCCGAAGGAGGAAGTGTGGAGTGGTTGTTCGGAGAGAGGGTCGAAGGTTTTGGCGAGGACGAGGAGTTGGTCGTTGTCTGCGTAAGCGAAAGCGTCAGCGAGAGAATCTGAGGAGAGAAACGAAAGACCACAGGAACGAACCGGTAACGATAGCAAGAAGCTCTTCGTCCGGACTCCACGAAGCCGCCTTGATGCCGTAATCAAACGTTCCGACGTTCTCTCTCTGCGAGATCGACGGTAAGACGCAAGCACCATCAGCACACGCGAATCGCGGCAAAGGGACCTTCGCGAGATTCTAGGCACTCACCCTCGCCTCTCCCATTCCTCCCTCCAGGAACACCTGCTCAACGTCTCCGTTCGCCAGGACGAGTGCGAGAGCGTCGTCTTCCGGCAAGTACTTGAAGGAGACAACGAAAGGTTGCGAAGAGGGCAGAGTTGGCGGAGAAGGAGCGGGGAGGAAGGAGTTCAGGAGCGTAGCGGGCTGTGCGGTCCGACAGGTGGAGTGAGCACGCCATCACAGCAGAACGGGCAGCATTGACAGGCGGACGTTGAGCGCCTGAACGCACCTCTACTTCATCCTGCGGCATCCTCCAAACGTGAACCTCGACCTCCTCTGACCCCGACTCGCTCGAAAGCGTCACAGCATACGTCGTGTCCGTCCCTGCATCGGTCGTAGTCGCAACGAGGTCTTGCGGGAGCGGAGAGGGCGAAGTCGAGCTCGAGGGGGAGAGGGATTGGAAGGACGCCTCGAGGACCGAGATGGACCGCATTGCTGGGCTATGCAGTCAACTCAGCGAGCAGTCTAGTCGTAGCCAAGCAGATCTGAGCGAGTCGCTGCAATGACACTTCGCCAACCCTCTCCTCCTCATCGCCCTCGCTCCTCGAACCTCACCCACCCACACACAATGGCGCACGGACGACCAACGCCCGCAGGAGGCTTCTACCCGTCTCTCCCTGGTACGTGCGCGCTCGTTCGTCCCGCGCAAGGAGCGTCGCAGGCTGACCGTCGCATCCTCATCGCTTTGTCGCGCAGGACTCGGCCACCGCATGGCTGCCAAGCTCCTCGGTGCGCGCAGGGACTTGCTTGAGGGGGACTGAGGCTGGAAGAGTGCTGCAAGCGGACTGGCGGGCTGACTCGCTCCCCTCCTCTTCCTCGTCCCCTCCCTCGGCTCACCCTCATCTCGACCCGCAACTGCTCCTCGCCGGCTGGACATGTTCAACCTTCGTATCCTGCCCGCACTCCGATCCGACCCACGCAGGCGCCTCGATGTGGTTCTTCATCTTCTACCGCGCACGACAAGACGGAGCGGTCCTCCTCGTGCGTCTCACTCATACACAGCTCTCGAGGGATCCTTGCTGATCGCTTCTCTCCCTCGTGGGTGTGACGTTACCGCTGCACAGGGTTTAAGGCACCCCTGGGAGCACTAGACGCGGGACGGCCGGTAGGCGAGGTCAGTCGAAGGAGGTCATCGGGGCGGCATGTACGGCGGATGGCAATGGACGGTCTCTTCTGTCTCTACACACGATCACCCGTCCACTGGAGGCGCGGCTGTCCGGCTGGAGCGATACTGCGCCGCCAGCTCGTGTTCCGCTACTCGCGGCCACTCCTCGCGTCTCTGGCTCGCTCCTTTGGCTCCGGCTCGAAAGCGACTCGACAGACTGCATCCGAAAGTCCACAGCAAAGCGTCTACGAAGCGCACTGCTCTCCCGCGGGTTGAGGTATCGCGGCGAGTCTCATTGGCCGCTCGGCAACTCGCTCGACGACGCTTTGCCTCGCTCCGACCTCGCCTTGAACGGCTCGCTCGCTCTTTTGCTGGAGACTGCGTACGACTGGAAACAGCCAGACAGGCTCACTAGGACTACTACAGCCAGCTGGACTCGCGCGCGCTTGAACGAGCACCCGGCATCGCCTACATCTTCCTCCTCATCCATCCCCGATCTCATCCTCGCCACCCTCGCTAGCAGCCACTTCAGTCTCTCCTTACATTCGCAGTAATCGACAACAATGATCTCGTCACTCCCGCCCGACCACCCACCCATCCCGACCACCTCGACTGCCCAGTTCCCGAGTCGCCCTCCGCCTGCGTGCCCGATGAGCCAGCTCGCTGCGACTAGGCCGCCTAGTCCGACGGCCCAGCATCCTTATGCGGGCGAAGTGTTCACGCTGGGAACAAGGAACAGCAAGCTTGCCATGGTGGGTCTGCCCGGACTTTCGAGCAGGGAGAGCGGACTTGCGGAATCGTGTGCACAGGCTGACTCTCGTTCTTGTACGGCTCATGTGCAGGTCCAGACCGAGATTGTCCGCCGCGAACTCGAGGAGCGCTGGCCTGGGTGCGAGATCCGCATCTTCGGAATGGTGCGTTTTGGCGACTCTGGCTCCTTGCGTCTCACTTGCTCGAACTCTGGCAGTTGGTTGAGCGAGAGCCTCGAAGGTGATGGGACACTGACAGCACGTTCTATCGCAGACCACCCTTGGCGACAACGTTCAGTCGCAACCGCTCTACACTTTCGGAGGCAAAGGTGCGTCCATACCGCTCCTCTCGCTCATGAGCACATGGCTAATCCGCTTCCGCTCTCCGTAGCCCTCTGGACGAAAGAGCTCGAAGTCGCCCTCCTCTCGAACCAGGTCGATGCGATCGTCCACTCGCTCAAAGATGTCCCAACCGAGTTCCCTCCCGGCTGCGAGCTCGGCGCCGTTCTCGAGCGCGAAGACCCTTCCGATGCACTGGTCGTCAAGGATGGGCTGCCGTATACGAGTCTGGAGGAGATGCCCGAGGGCAGCGTGATCGGGACGAGTAGTGTGAGGAGGGTTGCGCAGTTGAGGCGCAAGTTCCCGGGACTCAAGTTTGCTGACGTGGTGCGTGTACACTCCTGCGCTCTTCCGTGTATCGCGACTGACGTCGCATGGTCCCACGCAGCGCGGCAACCTTGGCACGCGCCTCCGCAAGCTGGACGACCCGAACTCGTCCTACACGGCCTTGATCCTTGCCTCGGCCGGCCTGCTCCGCCTCAACATGGGCCACCGCATCACCTCATCAGTCGCCTCCCCGACGCTCTACCACGCCGTCGGACAAGGCGCGATCGGCGTCGAGATCCGCGAAGGCGACGAGCGTGCTCGCGCCATTATTGGCAGCCTCGAGTGCTGGAAGACGAGTTGGAGGACGAGGGCTGAGCGGATGATGCTCCGTGTCCTCGAGGGTGGATGCTCGGTCCCTGTCGGGTGCGAGACCAAGTTGACGGAGGTGTTTGTCAAGGGCGGAGAGGGCGACACGCTCCCTTCTTCGTCGCCCAAGAAGGTCGACACGCACGGCTTGATCGTCGAGAAGGACGGTCCGCCTGTCGCCGTCTCGCCCGAACAAGTCTCGGACTTTGTCAAAAAGAACGCGAACGGTCGCGCCGTCACCAACGCGAACGGGATCGCGATTGCCGAGCCGGACGACACGCAGGGTATTCCCGACGGTCACCCCGCCGTCAACCCCGCTGCCGTCTGCCCCGTCACGGGCAAGACCCTCCCCGCCGCACCGATCTCGCCTCGTCTCGCGAAGAAAGACCTCTTCCCCCTCCCCTCGCTGCACAACTGCACCCACCGACCCGGCTTGCACCCTTCGTGCCCGTCGTCCACGTCCCTCACGCACCATGCGACGCTCACCCTCACCGGAACGATCACCTCGCTCAGCGGGACGAGGGCCGTCTTCTGCACGCTTGCACGGAGGGTGCACTCGGTCATCGACTGCGAACAGCTTGGTGCGGATGTCGCGAAAGAACTTGTTGAGGGTGGTGGAAAGGAGATCTTGACAGAGCTGGGGAGGCACGTCAAGGGTGAGTATCGTCTTCCTCTGCTTTCGCCGCGCGCCTGTGCTGCGTGCCTCAAAGCTGACCATGGAACTCCCGTCTCGCACAGAGGTCGGCACCTCCACCTCGCTCGACGGCCGTCCCATCCCCCTCACCGTCCCGGGCGACTCCGTCACCGACTCGTCCTCCTCGATCCCCATCACCGTCCCCGGCGCACCCTCTTCTCCTCCCGCCATCTCCGCGCTCTCGAAGAGCCCTCACTCGCATCGGACTGTGTTCAAGGAGGGAGAGGTTTGTCTCCGGCCTGTTGGGTGGTAGGCAGACTCGCAAAATGCGGAACGGCTGCGCTGTTCCTTGTATTTCTTCGCACTACTCGGCATTCTCATGCCTTAACGCTGGTCTGCTCGTTGTTTCTGCTGAAGGACAGGCGTCGCGAACAGCAAGACGATTCGACGCCCCGGCATCTCGTTGTGGGCAGACGTGAGGACTGCTCGAGAGGCTCTTCAGTCGTTCTTGCTGTACTGCTCAGCGTCAGTGGAGCGTTCGCTAACGAGGCAGCTTGTCGAGGTCGTGCGCCTTCATTTCTCTCCTCCGCCTCACCCTTCTCACCCAAGTCTGTCGGTTGGCTTGCGACTGCTCAGGCTTACTTCACCGACTCTCGCTCGACCACTCACGCATACCCGACGCCTACCAATCCAGTTACCAGTGAGTCCCGCTCTCCGACATCGCTCCGCTCGCATCCCGCACTCCCGCTGACATCGCCCGCCTTGCACGCAGTGGTGGCCCCTCCAGCCCTCTCCAACTTCTCTAAACACTATCCCCTCACGCTATTGGTCCGCGACGAGCTCCCCGCGGACGCGACCACCGCCGCGCAGGCCCGCTCTGGACTCGCTCGTGTCGTCCTCTTGCAAGACTTGCTGGCATATGAGTACAGGATGTGTGAGGGGAGCGAGAGTCGTGGTGAGCCCGCCCTGCCGATTCAGCGATTCAGCGAGTGTTGCGAAGCTGACTTGCTCGAGGAGTGACAGACCGCGTCGTCGCCGACCTTGAGGAGTTGGTGTCGTACAGGCTTGAATTGGAGGCGTTGATCAGCCGTGCGTAGGTCGCTAGTGACCTTGAGAGCATGCGCTAATCGTCAGGCGACGTTGACACCGCGCAGCTGTCGAACCCTCGCCGCAGTCTGTCTGAACATACCTCTCTTAGCTTGTTCCCCTCTCCGCCGCTTGTGTACCTTCGCTCGCTCCGACTCTTGTCGTCGTTGTATCATAACGTACCTTGCAGTCGCGCCCTTCTAGCATCCTCAGTTGCGAACGTTCGTCTCCCACCCTTCGCAAGTCCAGCTGCTCCGTCCCCTTTTCTCGTGAGCCTGGCCGAAGCACAACGAAAACCGTCTTGAAGCGTTGTCGCGGCGACACAGCGGGCTGGCGGCAGAAGGGAAGGTGGAGACCGGAAGCGAGGGAATCATGGGCGAAGGTGAAGGCGAAACGAGCAGTCGCGGGCCTCTCAGATCCTCTAGACCTCAGCAAGCGTCTCGAAGTGGGGTCTGTGAGCGCCGCCACGGCGTAGCGAATCTCCCGGACAGCGACGGCAACTCTCAAGGACGGAAGGAGAGGAAGGACACAATGGCAGAGCCTTGGTTTCAGCGCTACCACCCGATGCATGTCGATCCTCACAGCTGCGAAACCATGACGAGCTCGGAGTCAGCCTCGCCGTAAGAGAACGCAAGCAGCCGTACTGGGCAAGCGCCTCGAGACTCACCCTACAACACGAAGACCCGTCACGCGCGCAAGTCGTTTACGCGTGGGCGTGCTTCGCCTTGGTGGACCTCAAGCGACGAACGTAGAACTCGAGCTCCTTGCCCTCGAGGATGTAGCCGTCGGCGCGGCCCGACTGTCCGGGGCGCGACGAGATGGCGGCGTAGAGGCGACCGGCGGCGAACTGCGACTCGAGGAGAGCGTCGACCTTCGACGACTTCTGGCGCTCCTGGAGGGTGCGCTTGACGTGGTTCGAGCCCTTGGCGGCCTCGTCAGCGACAGCGGCGAGAGCCTCCTTGGTCTGGGGTCGAGGAGAGGGGGAGGGACGGGGCAAGAGAGGGGCGACAGATGCAGGGAGAGGAGATAGCGACGTCGATAGAGAGGGCAGGAAAGCGGTCGTAACATGCAGGAGCAACCCGTCAGCAAGGTGATTGACCACGAATCCGCAGAGACGAGCGCCTAGGACTCACGCGGCCCTTCTTGACGACGGGGACACCGTAGTGGGCCTCGTACCACTGACGGAAGGGAGCAGCGTCGATCTGGACGATGCAGCCCTTGACGAGGGTGTTGGTGCGGACGAGCTCGTTGTTCGAGGCGTTGTAGACGACGCCGACGATGCGGGTCTTGCGGGTCGCGTGCTCCGAGCCCCACGCAAAGTTGCCCGACTCGAGGCGGAGCGCGCGGTGCTTGGTGTTGCCGCCGCGGACGCGGACCGTGTGGATGCGCTTGGCGCCGAGCTTCGTGAGGGCCGGCTGGCGACCCATCTCGAACTGGCGCTTCTTGCGGTAGTGCGCGCGCTGGGCGCCCTGTGTACATTGTACGCATAGCAGACGAGCAGGGCGGGAGACGGTGGGTGCAACGGGTCAGCGATGCGTGAGGAGGAGAAGGAGGTGCTCGCCGGTTTCGCACGCCGCTCCCTGGCCCTCCCAGCTGTCCCGTCCTCGACAGTTCAACCCCGCGCATCCATCCGTCCACACGTTACATCCACGCGAGGCGAGGGCGGTCCGTTTCGAGGGAGGGTGGTCGAGCAAATCTCGCCGCGAGCTGGGGACACGGCGACGGCAGCAGGCGACTCGGGGGTTGGACGTACGGTGGCGGAGCGCTTGTGGCGCGAGTCACGGGTGATCGACATGGCTGCTGTGTCGGTGGCGGCGGTCGGAGGTCAAGCGAGCGCAACGGAGGAGAACCAACGTCCGCGAGCTCGAGGCGCGAGGCAGGCTCACCCTCGCGCGACCCTCTGCTGCTCGCTGCACCCGCTTGAGGGCTACTGCTTTACTGCCCAATGCATTCCTGATACTGGCAGCTACACGCCCGAACAACCAGCGCCCTCCCACGACCTCTCCTCGTCGACTTCGTTCCCACCCCACCTCGACCGCCAACTCGCCCTCACGCACAGCAGGCTAGGGTGTGTATGGGTCAGAACTCTCGAGGAGGGATAGAAGGGTCGGATAGCGTGGACGGGTGGTCCTTCGTCGTGGTGACCTGCGGTAGAGAGGCCGTCTTGTCGTTGAACCGACTGGCGGGTTGCTGTAGCTTGCGGCAGATCCTCGGGCGCTTCCGTACGCCTTCAGTAGGATGAGGCGAGTGCAACGCTAGGCGCTTCAGTCCACTCGAGCGAGGTTTGCACGCCTTGGAGGCCGCTTCGACAGTCCTGCCTTTGAGGCCGTCCAGCGAGTGTCCCACCGCAAGCGCGCGCCTGAGACTGGCACGAGAGCGTTCTGTGAGAGCTGTACGATGCAATGCAAGCCGTACCATCCATTCCAGTGCGCTGTGAGGGCGTTGAGAGCGTCCTTTGTCGACGAGCTGGGTGTGCTCGCCCGTCGCGGCGTCGCTCTCCTCCCTCTGTGTGAATCCGCTCGCGCCAGCCTCCCAGGAAGACTTGTGCGTACCCTAGCCGCATTCTCCTGACACAGGCGAGCTCACCCGTCCAACTTGCACGCCCGTCCCGCGCCCCATCGACCTCTCACCGCGCTCGCAAACTCTGCCCAACCCGACGCACCACCCGCTCGCACCGCACCACGCCTGAGAACAGTCGCCGCCAAAGTCATCCTCTTGTTACAGCAAACATGACCCACGAGGCTGTCTGGTTCTCCCACCCGCGCAAGTACGGCAAGGGCTCGCGCGGATGGCAAGTCGACCTTCCCCTCCTTCATCCGTCTCGGCGCGCAGAACTTTTGGGGCTGGCAATGGTGGCACAGGGCGGATCAGGTGGCCTGAACAGGAACGGACGCCGGGCGAGGTTTGCGGCGAGGTGGATGGGACGCGCAGGAGGAGTTGAGCTGGATGCTCGCGGCGGGGCCTCGCGCGCGCAGGCAGGGCGGTCTGAACGGCGGGAACGATGAATGGACTTGCGAAGAGCGGACACGGAGTGGCAGGAGCAGAGGAACGGACCCGGAGACGCACCAGCTGAGCCCGACCATCCCGAAGCACCGGTTGTGCTAACTCTCTCCCGTTGACCGCGAACAGCCGCATCTGCCAGCACCAGGCTGGTTTGATCCGCAAGTACGGCCTCAACATCTGCCGTCAGTGCTTCCGTGAGCGCGCCGACGTTATCGGTTTCGCCAAGGTGCGTTCAACCTCTCCTCTGCCCTTCCGCCGAACTCACCATTGTACCTTCCGCAGAACCGGTAAACGCCCCCGCTCAGGCATCCCTTTTTCCTCTCGGGTCTCTCCCCTTACCCCCTCGACCTCCTCCAACTACGACATCCCTTCTCTCTCCTCCTTCTCGCGATATGATCGGCTGAACCGACTGTACCGAAGGAACGTGATGGGTTGGGACGAAATGGTTGATTTGATCGAGGGAGTGTTGGTTTGGTGTATCCGTTGCGAGGAGATGAGGAGCGGCGAGAGTCAGAAGGCTGGATCGGTTCGAAGGCCAGGTCCTTGCGCTCGCTGCACCGCTACACGGGATTCGGGTTCGACCACTACACTTTCCTTTACCCCCCACACACAACACCGCGTCATTTGAGCCTCTCGACCATATCTACTCGGCGAGGCTCACTCTAGCGCGGGAGATTTCCCCTCTTCTTTCTTCTCTTCCTTCCTCTTCCTCCCCTCTACATTGCCTCCTGCTCGCCTCTCGCCGACTTTTGCCTTGGCGCCGCTCTGGCGGACCTGGGCGGCAACGCGTGGCTCGCTCGTCTCGGCTACGCCTGCTGTATCCTGCTTTGCCTGGCGATCGGTCTCGCTCGTGCTCTCGCTCCCCTTTGTCGGCGTAGACGAGTCTGCCCTTGGCACAGATGTCTTGCTGGCGCACTCGACTTTCTCTTCCCTCTTCTATCTGAAGTCGCGAAGACTGCGCTCCCTGTGCTCTTCGCCAGCTTTCTGCAGGCGGCTTCTCCTGACGCTTCTCGTGCTCGCAGAGTCTTCGCTGAGCTAATCGGTGGATGGAGGAATGAAGACTGACATTATGGCAACAAACGGGACAGGAGGATAGACTCGAAGACCACAAGCGGAGGTCAAGCTGGAAGTGGACAAGCGAGGTAAAGCGTGTGATCAAGCAGTGTGACGGGAGGGGAACGAGCGAGGAGAGCGTAGGGAAGAAAGAGCGAAGATGGCAAGGCGAGTCGTCACCGTCTGCGTCGATGCCGTCGGGGATAGCTGAAGATCCGCGCCGAGTCACTGCTCGTCGCTGATCTGCAACCCCTTGAACGCCTTTGCAACCTTGAAGACGGGCTTGTGCGAGGGGAAGAGGCCGACGTTGGAGGCGTTCATGGCCGAGCGAGCTTTGCGGATGGGATCGTCGCAGGCTGCGCGGCGGACAGCACGTCGCCGTCAGCTCGTGTGCGTGAGGAAGGGGAGGGACGACGGACCTGGGAAGGCTTCGGGCTCGCCGGCGCGAGGACCGCTCGAGACGAACAGCTTTGGCCTGCGACTCTCGTCCTGGTCGAGCACCGACGAGTTCTTGAAGTGCGCGATGAGCGAGGCCTTGCCCTGCTCGCGTGTGCGTCGGGTCAGTGGAGGTGAGGCGAAGCGAAACGAGATGGACGAACCTGGATGTTGGCGTAACTCATCACGCAGAGCTTGTCCGACCCGCACTTGTTCCACCTCGTGCCGAGACGAGCCTTGGCGAACTGGAGGAGCGCCGTCGTCGAAGTGAAGTTGACGAAGCCGTCTGCGCGGGCAAAGGAGAATATTCAGCGGGTTCGCCGGCGACAGAAGCCACGAGCAACTTACATCCGACGTTGCAGCCGTTCGAGTAGTCGCAACGGAGGTAGAAGAAGTCGTAGGACCTGCCGACGACCTGCGGACGGGCAAAGTGAGTGCGAGCTACAGGGAAGGAGCGAAGGGGCGAACTCGCCTCGTCGATGAACTCCATGACCTCGTAGTCCTTCATCTTGTTCGGGATGTTCTGCAAGAGGAGAGATTGTAAGCACAGCAGGTAGAAGGAAGAGCGCACGCCGGCGCACCTTGATCATCAAGGTCGTGCGCATGTCGATGCCTGCGGGCGAGCTGGGTCAGCAAATCGTTCGTCGACGGAGACAGACGTCTAACGCACCACGCTCGATGCGCTCGAAGACGAGCACGTTGCCGGACGGAATCTTGTCGTCGCGGACGATGCCAAAGTCGCGGCCAACACGAGACTTGCGCTCGAGGCGAGAGAGAGGCGGACTCGCTTGCTTGTGCGGAGGGATGTCGTACTCGGCGGGATCAGCCGACGGCGCAGGCTGCGCGGCAGGCGAAGGATCCGGAGAGTACTGCTAGGCAACGAAGGTTTCGGGTCAGCGTCGAAGCCAGCCGCTCATGCAAAGCTGCTCACCTGAAAGCTCGGAATGGGAGAAGGAGTGGGCTTGTAGACCATGCCCGTCATGCTCGGCGCAGCGTGGCCAGCATACGCAGGACGACTCGGCGCAAACCCGCTCACAAAGGGATCATGCGGGGCAAACTGTGCGATTCGCGGCGTCTGAGCTGGCGTAGGGATGGCGGAAGGCGGGGTCCAGCTCGCCGGCGCCGCAGCGTGGCTGGACGAGCCAGTCGGCACGAATGGCGGGGTGAAGAAGCTGTCGATGGGCGACGCCGAGTTGTTCGGGGCCGTCGTGAGCTCCGCCCAGTCGGGGAGATCAACACTCTGCGCAAAAGGGACTGGATCGTCAGCGCGTGCGAGAACGAGGTGGCGAGAGCAAAGTTACCGCGACAGCAGGCTCGAAACTGCACCCGAACCTCGCTCCTCCCGCATGCTTGCCGTCCAGGCGCTGGCACGCCGTCTGAGCGGCACGATCGTCCCAGTACTCAACGACGTGGAGGTGTTCCTCGACGACCTTGAGCGCGCGGATCTCGCCGAACGAGGCGAGGAGAGGAAGCGGAGTAAAGTACGGCGTCGAGGTCGGGCCCCTGAGGGTGAAGACGAGGACGCCCTCCGAGGTCGACAAGAGCGGGTTCGAAGGGTGTTGACCAGCAAGCTGGCGAGGAGAAGGGAGAAAGTCAGCTTAGGAAGGTCCGCCTTTCGATACGGGAGATGCACCTCTTCGAATGAGTCCCTCGTGATGCAGCGAGCGTTGGCGACGGTGGAAGACTGGGCGAAGACGGAACGGGAGAGCTCAAAGCGAAGCTTGAAGTTGCGGACGGCGGCCAAGGCGTCGCGGACATCGTGGAAGACCAAGACGACCTGGCCGACGGCGCGCAAGAAAGCGGTGAAGCAGCCGCGCATGCTCAAGCCCTCGCACTGAGTCTGTGGATGTAAAGGTCAGTATCTGGACAGGAGACAGCGAGCTTGCGAACGCACCAAGACAATCTCGCGAAGATCCTGCTCAGACAAGTCGCGGTCGAGGTGGCTGATCAAGACGTAGCGAGTGGCGTTCACGTTGTCCTTGACCTGATTTGTGACTTTTGGCGGAGACGCGACGAGCGGCGCACCCTGGCCGGTACGCTTCGTAGGAGTCGCCTTCGACGGCGAGTTGCCCCATCCTTGCTGCGACTTGTGAGGGGTGTCGACGACTCCTTCGCCCATCGAACGGTTGGCCTGATCGACTGTAGGACGAGCGGGCCAGGTCCAGGCGGCCGCCTCTCCGGCCTTCGCAGGACTTGCGCGAGGTGGGCCGAAGGTCGTAGCCCACTGGCCAGGGCGGAGCGGCGTCGTCGGCGACGAGGCGGACTGGCGAGGCGGTGGCTTCGACGGGCTGAGAAGAGGGTCCTCGTCGAGGCGAGCGAAGCGGGTCTTGCTGGGAGTACCGGCGGGCGAAGCGAGGGAAGGAGGACCAAACGGGGCGTGGGAGAGGGGAGATGCCTGTTGGAAGTCGCTTCCGGAGCGCATGATCCAAGGCGAGTGAGAAGAGATGCTGGCAGGGGCGGGCGAGGCGGAAATTGGCTTGCGATGCTGAGGAGCTGGCGAGGGAGGGGGACTGTCGAAGCGAGGAGGGTGCATACGCGAGCGCGTCGCCTCGTTCTTGCCGCCTATCGCACAAGGGAAGCGCTTGATCGGCTCAGGCGCGCTCTTCCATCTCGAGAACAACAAGGAGACGTACGCGAAGCCGTCCCGACCTCCGACTCCTCGTCGTCCTCGCGCACCGACTCGAGAGCCTCGCCTGGACCGCGCATGCCGCCGGAGGGCGAGAACCAGCCCTGAGACACTGGCACGAGGGGGCGCTTGTCCTGCGACGAGGCGGTAGCCGTGTGACCGCGAGTCGCGAGAGGCGAGGGGTGGAACGAATCGGAGAAGACGTCGCCCGCCGTCGGGGCGGTACGAGGGCCGCTCATAGCGTTCAGCGCGAGTATACGCGTCTAGATGAGCCGAACGAGCGTGAGTTGTCGAGAGCGAGTGAGACGAAGAAGGGAAAGAGAGGTCGTCCTCGCGACCCGGCTCGTCACGCAAAGCTCAACGCTTCGCTGGCCTCGCGAGTGACAGAACCTGAGTCTATGGGACGGCGAAGAAGCACCAACGCGTCGAGCGAGCGGGCAGCGCGAAGAGAGAACGCACTCGTCTCGCTCCTCTCGCTCTCGCTGGTCTCCGCAGGTACTTTCCTTGCCAACGAGCGAGCAGGTTAGAGACGCGTACCAGCGACGAGCGAACCAAGTCCGAGTCGTTTGCAATGTTCCGAAGGGGCTGAACGAGGGTGAAGAAGGGACAACGACAAGTAACGATATAAGTGAGGGTTGCGGGGCGAGTGAGGGAAACAAGAGACAGGCGTACTGGGCGTGGACAGAGCGGCAAAGTATGGTACAACAACGAAGACGACGTGAGCACATGCGAACGAGCGTAAGAGACTGAAACCCTCCTTCTCCTCCTCACAGCGCTCCCCAAGCGGCAGATCCCCTCCGCGCCCTCGCGTCAACCTCCCACTCCCAGACACGCTCGCCCGTCGCAACCAAGACACGCTCGCCGAACTCGTCGAAGTCGAGGCCGAGGAGGTCTCCAGGTGTCGCATCGAGCGGGAAGAAGGCGGAGGTGGCGTGGTAGGTTCCGACTGTCCCGGCGAGCGGTGCGGCGAAGAGCGAAGTGATGGGCAGGTTCGGTGCAGGAGCGGACGTGGCGAAGCTGAAGGTGGCGGAAGGATACGAGGTCGGGACGTAGGTCGAGTAGTAGAATGACGAAGACGTGCCGATGCGGCCGGATGGCGAGGTCGACATCTGGGGCGGGGAGGCGTAGGTAGGAATGCGAGCGGGAGCGGATGAGTTGGGGTTCAAGGGAGTATAGCCGGAGAAGTTGCGTCGGATGGGTGGTTCGTCCGCCGTGAGGGAGACGTTCGTCGTCGAGCCGCCGAAAGGGGACATCGACGCCGTCGGAAGCGTCCGAGAGACGGCGGCGGAGTCGGGCGCTGCTGTCGCTGGGGCGAAGCGGCGCGGGCGGGTCGTGTTGACGCTCGAAGCGCTAGAGTCGTCATCGTCTTCGTCTTCCTCCTCGTGCACGTCGCCCTCCGCGTCACTTCGCTCCTCGTCGTCTTCGCCCCGCTCCTCCGTGCGCATCAGATCGTCCAACTCGTCATAGGGATCGACCTGCATCTCGTCACCCTCGCCTCGCTCTTCACCTCGCTCTTCCTCACCCAAACCGTCCCCATCCTCGGCCAGCATCCGCTGCCTATGCAACCTCCTTTGCCTTCCGATCTCCCTCGCAACGTCCCTAGTGCGCCTCTCTTCATCCCGCAACCGCCTCTCCGTCCGCTCACGCATCTCGCGCTCAAACTCGTCGCGCTCTTTCTCGTCTCGTGGAGTATGGGTGCCGCTTCCTCCACCGCTGGCGCTGAAGGAAGCGAGGGAGGAGAAGGCGGATGGGATGCGGGAGAGGGAGGGTCGAAAGCGGCGGTAGGCACGAGGGGGAGGCTGTGGACGGGGGCGGAGGGGAGGCGCGGCCGACAAGATGTGCGGGTAAGAGGAAGCGGAGGGCGAAGAAGTTGGAACGTCGATGATTTGGTAGGTCTCGAACGTCCGGGCGTCGACGATATGCAGTCGGTTCCGATGCTGACGAAAGAGTCAGCTGCGAGACTCGGCTAAGGAAGGACGACCTCGCGCTCACCTCGGTGAAAGCCAGCAGACCTCCGTCAATCCGCTTCCCGCCCGGACTGAACTTGACCTTCCTCGCCGCACCAGCCGGTCCAGATTGCGTCGTTTTGAGCTCCGCAAGTTTGCGCGGACTCGCTGACGCGCCGCGCAAGGTCGGCGAAGGAGGGCGGGACGAAGAGGGGAGGTTGCGGATGTCGTAGACGTGGACGAAGCCGTCTGCGCAAAGACAGACGTCAGCTTCGACCTCGCTCGAATCGGCTGCATCGACGGACCTTGCGAGGCAACGGCAAAGGTCAGGCCATCGTCTGACCAGTCGGTCGAGAAGCTGGCGTCGTCGCTCGCCTTGAAGGTTTGCGCGAGCTCGTACCGCCCCCCACGACAGTCGTAGAGGAAGACGTCGGCCGTGTCGCCCACAGCCACCATGTACTTCCCGTCGCGTGAGACGGAGCAGTGGTTGACGGCAGTCGGGAGGCGCAAGTCGTCGCCAGGCAGGGGGACGATGCGGCAGGCGGATCCCTCGTTGTAAGACAGCTGCTCCTCGACGGCGTTGTCCTCGTCCTCCAATTCCTCGCCCGACAAGCCGTACTCCAGCTCCCCTCGCTCGGCAGCCCACGTCGCCTCGACCACGCTCCAGCCCGCTTTCCGTTCCCGCTCTCGTCGCCGTTTCGCCGCCTTGTAGTCAGGCACCCGACCCTCGACCTCGTACACCTTGATCAGCTCATCGTTCGAACTGACAAGCAGTCGAGGAGTATCGGGCGAGTTGGGCGAGGGAGTGACGCAGACGCTGTTGTTGATGCAACCGGAGTGGATGGTGCGGACGCCGGTTGCGCTGGGGACGGAGGAGGAAGGAAGGTACTGATGGCACCTGCGGGAAGGAACCTCGTCAGAGCCGACTTTTGCTTCTTCCCAGCCAGCATCTGGCTCACCAATCGGACCCTGGCAGTGCACTTCGTATCGCCAACTCGCTCGACTGTCCACCTGCGACCACGAAACCCATACCGTATGCGAGAGTCGACGGCGAGAAGCGGAGCGGCGTATACTCGGGCGGTCGCTATGGGTCCGTGCAGCGGTCAGCGGACATACTGAGGGATTATAGACCATCTAACGCACCGCGGCATACAGGTCGACGGAGCACAGCGAGTCGTAGCAGACCGTCGTGACCGCATTGCCGGCTTCGGGCGTAAAGACGAGCAAGTCGCGCAGCTGAGGATGTGAGCTTGTTGTCGTGGCCCTCACGCTGTACGGATCGGGCCGCACGAGGCTGCTTGTGCTGTTGTGGGCGAGGGAGGGTGGGCAATGATGAGGGTGAAGAGACGGGAACAGGGCGAGTGGCAGAGTCGTGAGGCGGCGGTTCGGCGGGTCAGCGCTAGTCTACAGGCATGCAGTGCGTCATACGCACGGTTGCATCCTCGCATGGAGCGCGTGAGAAGCGCAAGGAGCAGAAGCGGTCACTCGGCTCGCTCCTCGCGGTGGGGTCGTCGACAGGGGACAGCTGCACTCTCCCTTTCTCTCATTGCACGCAGCGAAGCATTCCCTAGAGTCACAATACAACGGCAAGAACATGCTCCCGGTCCACCCGATCATTTAGACCTCCTCGACGACCGCGACAGTTCCCTCCTCGAACCACTTGATCTCGCAGTCGACCTCCGGCACGCCCGTCTCGTGCACGACGCACGCAAAGTCCTGCTTGTCGTCGCCGAGCGAGATGAGCGGGTGGTGCCAGACGTTGACGTGGTACGAGATGCCTTGTGCGTGCGAGGCCATGAAGGCGCGGAGGGTCGAGAGGTCGGGCTGGCCGTCTGTTCGCGGGCGACGGCAGCGTGAGTCAGCCTTCAAGGTCAGAAAGAAGCGAGGAAGAGGAGCGGAACCCACCAGGACCCGGCAGCGCCACCAGAACGAGGTACTTGCCCTCTCCTTCCTTCGCTCCTCCCATCGGCACAAACGCCTGCGTGCTGAACTCATGCCGCTCGAGCACCTTGACATCCCACTGCTGCTTCCCCGCCTCGCTCCTCCTCACGCCATTCTGCGGCTCGCAGCGGAAGACGCAGAAGTTGACCTGTCCCTCGGGGACGTCCTTTCCTCCGAAACGACCGGCGGGCGGAGCGACGTATTCCACGGGAGCCAAGTGATTGAACTTGCGAGCCGTGCCAAAGTTCACAGTCTTGATCTTGATCTCCTTCGGCGCGGATCGCTCGTCTGGGTACGACTGGATAACCGAGCCGTAGGGCGCAAAGGCGGAGGGCGTGAGCGGGACCGCGGGGATCTTGGGGACGGAACGAGAGGATGAAGAAGTGTAGGAAGCGGAAACGCCGTTGGGAGCGCCGTTGACGGTCTTCTCGGACTCGGCAGGGTGAGGAAGCGGGAGGAGGGCGCTGTAGTTGGGGTACTGGCTCTTTGGGCGCCCGTACAGTCGCAATCGCTTGACGCCGCCGTCTGCAACAAAGGATCATAAGCAACGCGCACGGAAAGAAAGGGAGGACGAGCCGCACCAGGGTGGATGTCGAGGCGGACGTGCGTCCAAGCCTTGTCCGGATGCGACAGCTGGTAGTAGTGGTGTCGGTGCGGACCGAGCTTGGTGTTGTCGAGGATCCGAGTCCAGCCAGCGTCTGTCTGCGGCGGGCACTCCTGCGGGCAAAGTTGGGAAGGTCAGCTCGAGGTCAAGGTTGGAAGGGCAGGAAGGAGACGCACTTCGCTTGAGATGATGCCGTAGAGCTCGGCAGAGTTGGGGAAGTTGCCGACGAAGTGCAGGGTGTCGATGTCAACCCATTCGAGATAACCTGGCTCGGCGCTGCGAGCAGAGCGGTGGATGGTGTGTCAATGATCGCCTTGAAGCTCTCCCCGCGAGCGAGACAGCACGGAAGGAATCGAGAGAGTCTCAACGCACAGTTTGACGACCACCCAGTCCCCCTTGCCCGTCCCAAGCCTTCCCCTGCTCCTCCTCGTCTCCCATCCATCGCCCATATCCTTCCCCCTCCCAGGCAGGATCAAGTTCCCGCCCCTCCCAAAGTGTTGATCACTCTCGCCCGTCACCGTTCCGCCGTTCAAGACGTAGGCGAGGTCGACCGCTTCGCCTGTTGGCTTCGCGGGAGGAGGAGGGGGGATAACATGGCCGTAGGCGCGGAAGCGGCCCAGGCCGCCGTCGGGGTGCATGGTGAGCTTGAGGTGTGTGACGGGCGAGGAAGGGTGCGAGAGGAGGAAGAGGTGGCGCTGAGCCGGTCCGAGGGGAGTGACGGGAAGAAGAGGGGTCCACTGCAGAGCAAGCACGACTGTGAGTGCGAGTCTTCGGCGAGCGCCTGGACCGATGCGCAGCACTGTGCGATCTGTGCTGCACTCGGAAGATTCGCCAAGGATGGGAGCTCACAAGAGGCGAATCCTCCTTGATACTCTCCCCTTCCGGCACGCACGCACCCCAGACACCGCTCGCGGGTGACCTGCAATTAGGAAAGCTGATAAGCACTCGCGTCGCGCTCGCGAAGGAAACCCCGACGCACTCGTTTCCGCTGAAGTGTCCAGTGTCGACGTCGCAGCCGACAATGCTTCCTAACGCTCCAAGCTTGATGATCGTCCTAGGGGGTGTTTATCAGCTTCGAGCTTTGAATGGGTGCCCTGCAGGCGAACGAATCTCACCAGTCGTAAGTAGGGTTGTGCCGCCTCGACTCCCAGCCGTCAAAGAGCGCTCCGTTCGGTCCAAACTGGCCCTTCATGCTGACCGAGGGCTGCGAGCGTTTTGTATTCGTCAGAACAAGACCATTCTCAAGCCAGAGGCTGCAAATCCTGCAGCATCGCCGACAGACGAGCGAAAGTCGGACGAACCGGGACTTTGAGGAGGTTCTGCGCCGCACAGAAGAACTCATCCGATACGTCGACCGCCTTTCCACCGAGTGCTTCCGACGAGAGCTCTGTGGACGCAACCGCAGGGCGTTTTGGGCGAGAGCGAGGGGTTGAGCGGGGTGGGGAGATAGGCGGGCGAGGGTCATGGGGCGAGATGCAGAGCGCGATAGGGGATCAGCCTTCGCGCAGTGATACCGACAACCCCCTGAATGGTGCTCCAGGCTGTGCAGGGTCCTACGCACCGATGAGAGAGCCAAAGACGCTGTCGAACTGGTCGAGCGGGATCGGACGAGCAGCGCCCGTGTCGCCGTTCAGCTTGGCGGTTGATGGAGCGTGTACGGTCATTGTGGGAGTTCTGAGTACGTAGCCGTGTCTGTGAAGCAGGCGAAGAGGGAGAGGGAGAGCAGCGAGGGAGAGAGCGGGCGAGATGCAGCGCGGACGAAGCGGAGCGGAGTTGGCTGGCCGTCCTCCGTTCGCCGTCGACTGTCAACTCGCGCCTTGCTGACGAAGGATGGTGCAACACAATCTCATGGCGCGTCCCAGGGAACCGGACGCAGCGGAGGATGCGATAGACAGGGGTACATTCGTTGCACTTGCTGTCCGGGAAAATGCTCGGAGAGAACGACTACTTGCTCAACACTGCGCGCCCAGCTATGCCTGCGCTGCTGCTCGCAGTGGCACGTCCTCCTCGATGGCGGGCGCGACGGGAGATGCGGGCGCAGACTGCTCCAGCGCCTTGGCGACCGAGTTGGGAATCGCGAGGTGAGGGTAGATCATCTCGTCAAACAGCCGCTGCGTCGTGTGGATGCCCTGCGGAGAGAGTCGTGTCAACGATATACCTGGTCGACAGCTCTCAAGCACCGCCAGGGGACGAGCGATCCAGCTTGCCCGCCTCGCGATCAAGCTGTTTAAGCTTGCCCGCCTCGCGATCAAGCTGTTTAACGAAGGAAAGGCGGACGAACCTGCGTCGTGTACACCGCGCCCACCACACCCTCCACCGCGCTCCCCCTGCACTTCCACAACCCCGACATCTCGCCATCCGGACCCCTTACCGCCCTCCACCTGAGCCCCTCCTGCAACCGCCACGCCATGCCGACCGTCGCTCCGAGCGTCTTCGTGTCGAGGATAGAGTTGATGGAGAGGGAGGAGAGGGCGGTGTTGGTCAGGAGCTGGGAGAGGAGGTGGGGGTGCGATGCGGAGAGTCGGGAGAAGAGGAATTGGGTGAAGTGGAGACGCAAGACTCGGCGGCCTGGTAGGAACGAAGCGTCAGTGTTGCGATACGCCACGTCGAGCTTGTCCAAGCCGCCTTCCGACAACCGGGCAGGACAAGCACGCAGGACCGCGCAGACTCACCGATGAACGCCAGCTTCTCATTGTGGCCCTGCTTCCCGCCCTCCTCCTGTGGTGACCGTGGGCTCTCCCCCCGCCTCTCTCGCCGGCTGTACGTCGTGCCCTTGTCGACACCGCTCTTGTGGGTGAGCGCCTTCTCGGCGAGGGTAGCAGTGAGGAGGTCGGGGTGCGGGACGTCGAGGGGTGCAACGAGCTCGGAGAGGTAGGCGTGCTGCGTTGCTGGAGAAGGAGCGTAGAGTTGCGTGCCTCGCTCGTTGATCGGTGCGGGTGCGGACGAGGGTCGGGAGGGAGGAGATGAGGAGGACGAGGAAGGGGGTTCGGCACGCGCCAGGCGCGAGGTGGTGAACGGCCGCGAGCACGATGCCGATGCCGGTGCACAGCATGCAGCTGCTACTGCTCGCACGCAGGGTGTCAGCGGGTCGCGAGAGGGTCGCTGGGTGCGACGGGGCGACGAGCGAGCAAGCGCAAGCTCACCTGGCTGCGGGCGGGCTGCGCGAGCAAAGGCGCGCAGGGCAGACGCGGCTGCTGCTGGTGTTCGACCTGCCGGCATGGTCAAGCGTGGCCCGGACTGCGAGGGAGAGCGACGACGGCGACGACCTTGGGCGAGAGCGAACGAGAGGAGAGGGCGCGACTGGCTCGCCCGCAACCGCTTCTGGCGAGGGTCTTGTGGCTGCGCGTGCTTGCTGAAAGCGTCGAATGATTTGTCCAGCCACCAGGAGAGACCAGGAGCGTTGCGAGGGAGCCCTCGTACCCCTGTTCTCGGGTTCCTCCCTCCCTTCCTCCCATGAAGGCGAGCGAGCATGCATATTCACATTACAACGATCACACGGGTTGAGTAAAGTGCAGGGTATATCGACGAGGCGACTGTGGGGCATGTGTACGTGCGACGAGGCGGAGCGACAAGCAAATGGGCATGCGAAACGAGCGAAGGGAGTACGGAACGACGCGTATGCTATGAGGGACTGCGAGTGTGGAGTATGCTGAGGATGCTGGGAGACCGAGGAGGAAGGAAGGGGAAGGGGGATGCGACTCAGGGTCCTTGCCAGTACACGCCGGGGACGCCTGCATTCGAGTACGCCGACCAGTACGGATGAGGCGGGTAGCCGTACGTTGCTGGAGGGGGAGGGATGTACGGATAGGCAGGAGCGGTTGCGGCAGAGGGGAGAGGTAAAGGCGGGACCCAGCCTGGTGGACTGCTCGCTGACATCCCGCTGAGCCGCCTCGAGTCGCTGCTCGTGTGCATCGACGAGGAGGGAGCCATCGCCGAGCTTGTTGGGTTCGTGGCGGTAGCGGACGTCGGCGTCGGGTACGAAGGGTAGCGGTGGTTGCTAGACGCGCCGGCCGAGAGGGGCGAGGTCGATGTCGAGACGGAGAGAGGGTACAGCGGCGCATATCCATACGGGTACGGATACGCCTGCTGCGCGTTCGCACCCGAAACAAACGGGTAGACGGGCAAAGTTGGCGGCGGGAGCGTCTGCCGCAGGTGCCCGAGCCCTTGGCCCGCTGCAAGGGCGTAGTAGTTGAGGCTGACGCTGCCTTGCCGCAAGCGCCGGTGCTGTTCGGGGTCGTAATGCGGCGAGAAGGAGTCGGAGAGGGTGCTGAAGCCGGTTGGGATGGGCGGAGCAAAGAGTTGAAGTGGAGGGAGGTGGGCCGCGGCGGAAGAGGATGACGACGGGCGCGATGCGTAGGGAGTGGGAGTAGTCGCCCACGGAACAGGCGTGACATGATGCGAGAAGAGGTCGCGCGTGGGCGAAGAGGACAGGGCTTGGAGAAGGGGTCGAGTCGCAGACGACGAAGCTTGAAGGGTGTCCTGCGCCGCCGTCACCGAGCCAGGCGCAGCAGTCGGCCCAGCGCTCCACGACCGCGTCATCTGCCCACCATGCACCTGCGCCTGCACGTACGGCGGCAACGCCGACGCGACGTAAGCCGGGTGCTGCTGGTCCTGCCCGAACGCGTCGTCCGCGCTCCGCTTGACGCCCGAGGCATGCGACGCGCTTGCTCGGAAACCCGAGTTGCGCTTCTGCGAGCTTGTGGTTGTGGGCGAGAGGTCGAGTGGTGGTCGTGGCGGATCTCGGGAGGGCGCCGGTATGCTGTAAACTGGGAGGGGTGCGGAGGCGTGAAGCTGGAACGGCGGGGGATAGGGCGGAGCGAGCGAGTAGTCGGCAAAGGCGAGTCGAGGGGTTGTGTTCGTCGAAGCCGGCGCCATCAGTCGAGGCTTGACTCGCCGTGCTTCCTCAGTCGTGAGGAACGGATCGGTGGTCGAGGCTTGCAGGTGCGGCGGAATCGCGGCGCTCGCTCTGAGTGCGTGCAGATCAGGCGAAAGCCTCGACGCAGACAACCGCTTGGTCGACCGGCGTCGCGACGGCGTCGCGATACCGTTCGAGGGGGCAGGGATCTTTCCGAGCCGGGCATTGCGAGCAGCGACATGGCCCTCGAGGAGCTTGAGCCACGCATCAAAGTCGCGCTTCGTCACGTGCAGGCTCCAGTCGAGCCCTCGCAGGAACTCGGCTTCGCCGGCGACGAGCGGTTTCTGCGGAGGAAAGGAGGTCAGCCCGGGTTCGGACCGGCCGACACGAGACGGCTCGATCGGGTGAGGAGGCCGCTAAAACGCACGAGCTCGAGAGAGGAGACTTGAGACCAGGTCTGGGCCGTGTAGGCTGCGGGAGGACGATAGAAGAGTGTCAGAAGGAAAGTTCGAGGAGGGGAGAGTTCGAGAGTGCGAGGATGGCGGAGGCGACGCACTGTTGTCGTCGAGGATCTTGTTGCCGAGCATGAGCGCCGTCACCGCGAGCCGGTATTCTGAACCCGCCGCTCCCTTGATGTCGTTCCGCTGCTTCAGCCGCGAGACGAAGAGCAGGGCGAGCAAGACGACCGAGTGCGAGACTTGCGCTGCATGGGGAGCACCAAGGTCAGCCTGTGCACCTTTCGCGAGCCCAGCGAGTCCCGTCCGAGCCTGGCGTCCTTCGCAGAAAGTCCCGATGGTATCCAGCATTTCCTCCGGAGGCCTCCCCCGTCCGCAACCTGCCTTGCGCGCCTCGCTCCCTTCGCCAATAGAGAGATTAGAGCTCACTCGTCGAGAGGACCTCGTGACAGAACCGCAGGAAGCGATCCGTCGGCTTGACCTGGAGTCGCGCGAGTCCCGCACCGTCTTCCGGCGTCGCCGCCTCTCCCACGCCCGCTCCACCGCTGGTCGGGGCAAACCACAGCCAGACAAACATCTCTGCGGCAAAGAGGGCGAGCGCCGAGATGGGTCCGAGAGGAGGCGAGGGCGGTGCGGCGTTGTGAACGGTCGTCGGAGCTGGCGGGGCGGCGACGACGGCCGTCATGGCGGGCTTGGAGTGAATCGCTGAGCGGTCTGGCGAGGCGGAGGGGGTGCGGTAGGGGACGGCGACGAAGGAAGAGTCGCACCGAGCCATGCCGCCCTTTATTTTCGACCCCGCAACCGCACAGTGGAGAGTCCGAGGAGGAAGAGTCGCCCGACCCGGTTCGCGCGCGGTCCAGCTAGCCTGTGCGGGTGTGTGCGGCGAGGATGGACAGTCCCGTGTGCGTCTGCAAGCCTCGCCACCGCCCCGGACGAGGGTGTGACGGCGCGCGGGAGGTCGCAGATCTCTTGACCTCTCCGAGAGGCCAAGTCGAGGGGTCCGCAGCGAGGCCAGCCAGAGTCCGGTCGGGAGACGGGACTGCGCAAGCTGGGCGGTGCTCGACGCAGTTCGCCCGTCGTGCTGAGCGAGTGGCCTTTGAGCGCAGCGTGTGTCGCTCCCCTGCCCGCGCCGTTCGCTCGCTTGTTGGCGAGAAGACTGTTTCCTCCTCCACACGCTCGGCGAGCAACTCGGGCCCATGTGTGAGACAGCTGATCAACTTGGAGCGAGCCGATTCAACACTCGCACAAGGGGCCAGCTTCTCGCCTCGCGCTCGTCCCGCCGCTGGCAACGCAAGGGATAACCAGTACTGTGCGGAGGACTCGCGATAGGAGAAGTCGCGAAGGCAGCTTTCACGACCGACGGCTCGCTGCGCGCTCCTTGCTTGCTCCTGGTCGCGCTCCTCGTCCTCCAATCGTCCTCGCTGAACTTCTTCCTTCGGCGTTTGCCCTTTGACGATGGAGTACGGGGGCGATCCACGACCTCTTCCACGCACGACAGCAAGCTCACGCCCGAACACGCGATCGCGAGCGAGACCGCACCTCGTTCTTTTGTCTCGCATTCACCGAGTGAAGTTGCTCCGCGACGACGTTGTACGGCTCTTACGATGCCCATCTGGCTTCACCGGTCCCGAGTCCGCTGAGCCTGGAGCAATGGAGCTCGGTTACGTAAAAAGAGCGAGAAGGGTGCTCCCGTTCCGTTTGCGCGGACGGGTCGACAAAAGAGTTCGTCTTGCTGGAGGACTCGTAATGCAGCTCCCCATGGACGCTCATTCAGCTCCTCCCGAGTCCCGGGCATGCACAATGGACGGGCCGATAAGAGCGAGAAGTGGGAAACGGCGCAAGAACATGCAATGCAAAAGCAGAGACGAGAAACAACGAGGAGGCGAGAGAACAATGCGGAGAGATGAACAGAACAACGAAGTACGACCAGCGGAACTTGCACGAAGAGCGAAAGACGAAAGACGAAACAGAACAAGCGACTCCTCCCTCCCTCCTCCTCGTCGACGGGTCCTCACTTCTTCCCCTGCGTCCTCGCCCTCCTCGCCTCCCTCGCATCCTCTACCTGCTTCCTCGCCTGCCTAGCGCGCTTGAGCGCCGCAGCAGCAACTACAGCCGCTTCCTGTGCGTCTCGCAGCGCCTGGTCGCGAGGTCGAGGGACGGGCGGGGCAGGCGGGTGGACGAACGGAACGCGAGGCGGAGGCGGAGGCGGGTTGACGAACGGAACGCGAGGCGGAGGTGGGTTGTAACGAGGAGGAAGGGGGAAGTAGGGGAGAGGACGAGGGCCCTCCGGGTCGCCCTCGAGTGGCAGACCGTACGCGCGCTTCTTGACCTTCTTCTCCTTCTTGGCGGGGATAGGTCGAACGGGTCGAGGAGGAACGGGCGGCGCAACTGCTGCAGCGGCAGGCGGATTCGCCGGCCCCGCGACCGCATTCGCATTGTTGGCCGCCCCACCCGCAGCCTGACGATACGCCTCGAGCGCCGCTTCGTACGCTGCAACGCGCGGTGGAGGGAGATGCGCGATGTTGGCCGGCGCGGCGGCGACTTTGTCGCCCATCTTGAGCTTGGCGAGGTCTTCTTCGGCGATGTGCAGGTTGCGCTTGCGGAGCTCGATCTCGGCGGCCATGCGGGCGGCTTCGACCTGCGAGGCGGCGACGAGAGCGGGAGGGAGGGCGGTGGCGGAGGCGAGCGAGAGACGACAGAAGGAAGAACAAAAGACGCGGATCGTCAGCGGAGTCAACGAACTGCATGAAAGCGCCGCGCGAACGCACCTCCTGCCGGTTCCGCTCCTCCGTCGCGTCCCACAAGTCGCACGTCGAGCCGACCTCGGCCTGCATGCCCACAGGGAGGTTCGTACCGGCGTTGCGGAAGTGCTGGTAGCCCGCGACGATCTTGCCGCAGATGTAGCACGAGAGGGTGCGGCAGTTCGAGCAGATCTGCGAATCCGGAGAAAGTCGTCAATCTCCGCCCGTGGTATGATGAGAGAGTACCCACAATCTTGTTGCATCCGGAATCCTTTATATAGGGCTCTCCGCAGCCGGGCTTGGGACACCGACGGATTAGGGCGGCCGACATCGCCTCCTCGACCTGGTGGACCGAGTTCAGCTTGGCGTCCTCGTCGACTTCAGCGCACGTCTTCGGAAGGTGGTCCTTCTACGGTCGAGCAGCGAGTCAGTATTGAGATGGGTTGGGGAAACGACGAGACGCGCCTTCTTGCACTGCCTGCAGCTGACGACGAGGCAATCCTCGCGCTGACAATGGAACAGCCGCTCGTCTGGGCTCTCGATGATCATGGCGAAGGGGCAGAACCTGCGGAGTGTACAAGGTCAGAGGAAGCCTCGCTTCAGAGGGGAGACTCAGCACGCACGGGCACTTCTCCAAACCCTCGAGTTCCGCCGCATCAATGTCCTTCTCCTGCTTGATCTTGTGCAGCGTCTCGAGCGTCTTGGCTGAGAGGCACTTCGCCATCTCGATGTCGGGGAAGAAGGCCGTACAGCCGTCGGTCGACATGCACGGCAGGACGTGTTTCCGCATGCCGATCTGGCTCTCGGCGTTGAGGCGGGCGCAGTCGAAGCAGAAGCCGCAGCCTTCGGTGCAGGTGACTGCGATAGCGTTACGAGGTTAGCGGAAAGAGCGAGGGAAGCACGAAGGAAAGGCGAACGCACCGATTTGCGAAAGGGCCGTGTCGGTGAAGCAACAACCGCATTCGAAGAAGGCGCCGGACGCAATCTCCTCCTCGAGCTTCATCTGCCGCAACTTGACCCTCTCCTGCGCATCCAGGTACTTAGGCAGCTCCTCGGCGACCCAGTTCCTCTCCTTCTCGAGCTCGGCGTGCGAGTCCGCCTTGTTCTTGCCCTTGTCGCTGCGCGCGGTGACCATGAGCTTCCAGCCGCGTTCCTCGTCGGACTGTCGCTGGGCTTTGACTGCGGCGATGTATGTCGGAGCGTAGAAGGAGGAGGAGGCGAAGAACATGCGCTTCATGTTGTGCTGCTGGATGCGCGGAAAGTCGGAATAGAGCCGGGTGAGTCTGCGAGCGCTCGGTACATCAGATCTGCAGCCAAGAGCGGGGCAGCGGAAGGCGTGCAACTCACGCCGCGTCCTCGTAGCTCTTCCCGAGAGGTTTCCTCTGCGCCAGGTCGAGCCAAACCTTGCCTCGCTTGTCCACTTCTTCGTCCTCCTGCTGCTGTCTTCGTGCAGCATCGTCGACGTGTCCACCACCGAGGGCGAAAGCGTCGGATGACGGCGCATCCTCCTCTTTCGCCTTCCCTTTTCCCTTCCTGTCAACGCGCTTCTCCTCCTGCGGCGCCTTTGGGTAGCCTCCCTCCATCGTAAACAGTTCCTCGAGCACGGCTTCGACGTTTGCTGGCCCGAAAGCGGTCTGGTGCAGGAAGAGGCGTTTGACATGGGCGAGGTCAACGTCGGGGAGGATCGCGAGGATGGTCGTGCAAGCTTCGTCAAGGTCGTCCTTTGGCGCTGATTGCTGTGCCGGACGGTCCTCGCGCGGCGCTGGTCCCGCTACGGGTTCCTCCCGCTCTTCGTCGACCCCCGCATAGGCCTGCGGGTCCGTCTTCCGTCTCTTCGCCTGCGAAGCGCCCTCTGCCAGCTGGCGCAGTTCTTCGTCCCAGGTCTCGGCGCCCCAGTCCTCCGAGTCGCTCGATAGCTCAATCACGCGTCGCTTCTTCAGTCGGACCCCGCCAGCGTTGAGAGCGCCGGACGGTCCTGCAACCGCGTTGGCGAGCTGGTGCGGCTGCTGAGCACGCATGCCGACCTGTTGCTGAGCCATCGAAAGCGTGAGCGGACGCGCAAGCGAGGCGCGAGCGAGGACAGCGAGGGGAAGAGGCGAGGGAACTTCGGGAGCAGATTGACTTCTCGCCAAGTTCAACGAAAGCGATAGATGCGAGTTGCGGTGTGCTAAACAGACTCTAGGGCATACAACAAGGGGAGAAGTGACAACCGAAAGACACCCGCACCTCTGGCGAACGTACCCTGATACCCTTCTATGCGCCAATCTCCTGCCTCTGCGCTGGTATGCCAACCGTACAGCCGAGTTAAGGACGATTCGATATCTACGCGTCCTCGTCGGGCGTATCCCGGCGCATGTACGAGTCGATGGCTGCCGAGAAAGCCGCAAAACCCATTCCTCCGAGAACCATCGCTCGAGGACCGCTGTTCCGCGCGAGGACGGCGCCCGATATCAGGCCGGCGTAGATCGAGTTGTAAATGTCGTTCTTGGCGCGGAACTGCGGGAGACGAGAAGGATGTCAGCGACTCTGGCGACGAAAGTTCGGAGCTTGTGGTGCGGACTCACGCCTTCGACAATACACTCCGTCCCTGCGTACAGCGCTCCGACCATACCGAATCCCTTGCCTTGCCGCCACATGCTCTTGCCCATGTCGCCGAAGATAACCTTGGCTTTTTGCCGGGTGTTCATGCCCGCGTACTGTTCTCGCTGCAGCGGGTCCTCGATCGTGAAGGACGAGCCCATCAGGGAGAAGAAGGCGCCGATGCCGAATCCTGCGAGGCAAAGAGCGGAACGTCAATCTCGACTGGGCAGAGGAGCAGAAGGGTCGAGTCGAGGAGGTGAAAGTCCGCCTCAACCACCCAGCAAGCCCTGCAAGCCAGCCCAAGACTCACCCATAGCACCACTGATGGCAGCCTTGGCCACCGGACTCTCCATGCCCTCCTGTACGAGCCTGATCTGCTTCATCTGGCTAATAATCTCGCGACGCTCGTCCTCCGTCTTTGTCCGCACTTCGCCCGTCTCGGGATCCGGCGATGGTGGCTCGTAGCCTGGTACGACGAAGGGCGTGAGGTACTGCGTCGCCATGGTGAGGCCGTGTGAAGGAGGAGGGCGGTGCCGAAGAAAGTTGAGGGGGAGAGCGGTGGCGGGGAGAGGGTGTTCCGACGGTACGAGAACGGCTCGTGAGTGTCCAGCAGCTCGGTCCTAGACTGCACAAGCTGGCTCAGCGGTGAGCGGGTGAAGCGGTGAAGGTCGAGGAGCTGCGACTCTTCCTCGCGAGCAGCTTCGACGGCGTCGACGAGCTGAGCTTGCTACAAGCGTGCTAAGGCTGACAGACACCTCTCAAGACCCGGAGGTTGACGATCCCAAGCTCTATTGCCTCCTCCTCAACTCAACGAAAGAAGACGACGAGGACGGGCGGGCGGCGGGTGTGGGTCGAAGGGAAATAGCGGGATGGAGAAGGCAAGACTGTGTAATGTATCGAGAGAGATGGAAAGAACGAGAGCAAGAGATAGGGCATGTACAAAGTATGGACGCGAACAAGCGAGGAGGCGAGGAGGAGACAAAACGGGATAGAACATGTACATCGAAGATAGTGGTTCCCGGAACGAGCGAGAGCGAGGGAGGTGGAGGTGAAGTGCTGAAGCGAGTGTGAAGGCGAGGGCCGGGCGGAAGGCGGGAGAGTACAGGGATATCCGACGGCGACGAGGAGGAGAGGGCGGCGCTGACCGGGGGGCGTACGACAGGTGAGACGGCGAACGGCGACTACGGCGGGGACGGCGAGAGAAGCATGGGGTATCGACGGGTATTAGCGAGTTGGGGAGAGAGGAAGTCTAGACGGGAAGGGGCGAGAGTCAGGCGCGGATTTGCTGTGCGAGCGAGGACGACGGAGGAGGCGGAGGAGGATCGGTGTGGTGGACGTTGAGATTGGTGTCGATCGGTCGCAAGGCGTTGACCAATTGCGGGTCGATGATTGAGGCTGGAAGGAAGCGCGACTCTCGTCAGCTTGGTGTGTCACGGCAAAAGGTAATCCGCACGCACCATTGACGACCGCCGGACTCTCCGGGTTCATCCCCCTGATACCCCTCGCAATCCGCTTCCCATCCTCGACCCTCGTCACCCGCCCCTGCTCATCCTCGCCATTCTGCAGCAAATGCGAGTCAATCTCGCCCTGGACGATCACGCCCTGCAGCCACTCGTGGTCGAGCATGTCGCGAGCCGTGGCGCGCTTGTCCGGGTTGAGGTGCAGCATCGGCTGGAGGAAGGACTCGAGGAGCTTGGCTTCGGCTTCGGGAATGAGGTACTTGTCCTGGAGGACCGAGTGGAGCGGCCAGAACTTGAGCTTGTGGATGTGCTTCAGCTCGCCTGCGTATCGAGTACCTCATCGTCAGCTTGGTCCATGAGACGAGTATTAGCTGGACGCACCTTTCCGGGTGAAGATGTCGGCGCTGAACTTGCCCGCGAGCGCGATACTCCGCGGGAACGGTCCGAGCAGCTCGATGACCTGCGCAATGTGGTCGTCGTCCTTGTTGTACCGCGTGCCAGGATGGGGGTCGAACAGGTAGTCGCCTGTCAACAGCTCGAAGAACTGCGCTCGAGAAGCTCGTCAGCCCTGTACGCTGGAGGCGCAGAGTTCGCGCAACGCACCATCGCCGACGCGGACCAGATGTCGACCGCCGTTCCCCACTTCGCGCCCAGGATAGCCTCCGGCGAGCGATACTGCCTGGTCTGGATGTCGTTCGTGAAATGCAAGTCCGTCCAGCTCGCGTTGCCCAAATCCGCAATCTTGACCGTGATGCGTTCGAGGCTCGACGGGTCGTACGGCGCGGGAGGAGGGAGAGTATTCGGGTCGCCGGCGACGATGGCGGGGTGGAGAGGGTTGTGCGGCATAGGTCGGGGAGGGGAGGTCGAGATTGAACCGGCACCTTCGGGAGGCGGAGAACGCATCGTCACGTCCGAATCGTTGTTGTTGTTCGAGGAAGGGGTGATGGTGACATGAGAGGCGGAAGGGTCGGAGGAGGCTTGGGGGAAGTAGGTGGAGGTGGATGCGGGCTGGCCCTGCGAGTTCGATGCGGCGGCGGCGGCTTGTTGCGAGAGAAGGGACGGGCCCTTGTTCGGTGCCGCAGGAGCCGCCTGCTTCGCTCCAATGTCCGCCAACTGCACGCCCGCCATCTGCTCGCCCACGTCGTCCGCCGTCGTCGCCGTCATCTCGCCCTGCTTCTTGATACTCCCGACGTACGACCCGCCTGAATCCGAGATCTTGCTCATCTGGAACGCGAGCTTCTCGATGACTGGGCTCGTGCCGTAGCTGCTGCTGGGCGAAGGAAGCGGTTGCGAGCCGGTGATGAAGACGGTGTCTGCTCGAGGCGTCTGGGCGCCTCCTCGCGGCTGAGACGGCGGTACACCAATCATCTTGGTCGGTACGGCGGCGGGCGAAGTCTCGAGTTCGGCGCGTACGACAGCCTCGACATCGTCGATGCAGATAAGGACGTTCTCGGGCTTGAGGTCGGTGTGGATGATGCCGCACTCGCGGTGGATGTAGTCGAGTCCGAGGAGGACCTGCTTGGCGATCTGCTTGCAGATGTGGTCGGGCACGCCGCGGTGGTGATACCGCTTGATCAACCCGAGCAAATTTTCGCCGAGCACCTCGAAGACCATGCAGACGTGCGTGCCGTTCGGTCCTCGGTGCGTAAAGTGGTCGAGGAGCGAGACGACGTGTCGTCGGCCGGGGTGCGCCGGGTTCGACTCGACCACCCGCTGGAGGAGCTTGATCTCGTCGAGCGCCGTCTCGGTGTAGTGCGTCGCCGACTTGACCACCTTGAGCGCGACATGCTTGTTGACGCTGTGTGCGAGAAGCAGGGTCAGTATAAAGCAGCAGGCGAGGCCAGTCTGTCGACCCCTTTTTGGCGGTCGAGCGGCGCGACATCTCCTCGCGCGTGCGAGACATGACGGCTCGCGCCGCGCCCTCGAAGAATTCGCCCGCCCCGCCCGAGTACGCCTCAGGGAGAGTGAACGGTAACGTACGTTGTGTCCCGTGCAAGCCTGGAAGAAAGATCAGCGTTGGCCGAGTGGGGAGGACGGAAAGGGTCAGCATGACCCGCGGAGAGAGCGAGGCGAGCGTGCACGGCAGGACGCACCAGACGGTCGAGAAGTGGCCCCAGCCGAGCTTGCGCACCACAACATAGCGGTCGTTCGGCCCGTAGACGTCTCCAATGCGGACAGGGTGGTAGCCTCCCGCCTCGTAGTCGCTCAGCTTCTCCTCCTCGTCGGTGAAGACGCTCTCGAACGAGACGCTGGTCGCCGAGCTCGCCTGTGCGCCGATGGGGATCTGCCCTCCGCCTCCCTGGGACGCGGCGTGCCCGCCGGTGTGCGGGTGCTGATCCGAGGGGTGAGAGTGAGAGTGGGCGATGGGGACGGGCGCAGGGCCTTGCGAGCTGTTGTCACGGGCAACGATAAGGGTCAGCGACGTGCTCGCGCGGTCCATCGAGCGCCCCTCGCTCGCGGTGGGTGGTGCCGTCGAAAGCGGGCTGGCTGGGGCTGGGTGAACGAGGCGAGGTCATGCGGGCGCGCGAGTTGGACGGGGCGGCTGACCTGTGGTTCAAGTGAGTGGCTGTAGCCGGGTACGCCATCGTCAGGCAGCGCGTGCCCCGTGCGAGTGAGCCGTGAGCGAGTTGCGAAGGAGACGAGATGCGACGACGGCGAGTGGAGCAACCTCGGACAGCAACAACCACCACAGGGGCAGCTGGCGAGGGCTGGCACACTCTAGCAGGATACTACTGGTCACGTTGATACCCGCCAGAACTCGCCCGGCTGCTCGCGCCCTCCTCCTTCGCCGCCTCGCTCACCTCCTATCTCGCATGGCCACAACACGCGACATCGGCTTCGTGGGCGGACGAGCACAGTGCGAGAGGGCTGAGATGGCCCAGCTGAGTCCGATGCATTGCCCGCCAGCACCCCCGCTGCCGTGGACGACCGACACTCGCCTCCTCCTCCGACTTCGACCCCTCCCACCCCCCTTATCGCCGGCAACCTTGATTGTTTCGCTTCCTTCAGCTTGCGGGGACGGGCTTGTCGGGCGACAGGCTGTTGAGAACGCTTTCTTTCTTCTGGAGACTACCGGTGAATGGCAGGAGGGCCTTGGGGAGAAGGGATGAATTTTCGGAACCGCTTTTACTGCCTTCCTCTCGCCCCTGAGTTGGTCGCCGTCAATGCTCGAGCTGCTCCTCCACGTCCTGATCTTCCCGATGTCCTCGCTGCCTTCTCAGCGTACTTCTACGCCATGACCTGCCCTCATCCTTGTCCCGTCCGCTTAGGAAGGTCAAGGCAAAGAGCGACTCTGCACGCGCTCTTGCTAGCGCTGGATGAGCGAGTCGAGGATGCGACCCTCGTTGGAGGTTGTTTGCACAAGGAACCTGCGGAGGAGGAGGAAGGGCGAAGGCGAGAGGAGGCACCTCCTGGTCCGTGGACTTTCCGGACGCTCCCACCCTCGCTCCTCCTCTAACTTATCGACTGCTCGCCTTCGTTGTTCGAGCTGACATGACGCTACTTGCATGCTTGTTGCTTGCCGTCTCAGCCGTTGCCTCGCCCACCCCGCCTGATCTCGTCGCTCGCTGGGACCACTCAGCGCTAGGCTCTCAGGCTCCCACCGACGCTCAAGAAGCTACCGCCGGACGCTATGCGACGTTGATAGCTTTGCATGGTGCGCCCACTCCTCTCGCGAAGCCGCGAGTCCAGAGTTGACCCCCCTTCGACAGGGATGCTGGGCGTTCTTGCATTCCAGGTCGTTGCGCCGGCTGCTGCGATCGTTGCGGCCGTAGGGAAGGGCTGGAGCAACGGGTTGTGGTTCAGGCTCCACTGGAAGATTCAGGCCATGGTCACTGTGCCGACAGTCGTACGGTCGGAACGTTTCCCTCTTTCTCGAGGTCTTGCTGACCTCGACGGTTGAGCAGACCCTCGCAGTCGTGGTGGTTGTCATAGCGGCTTCTATGGACGATTGCGCCAGAGTGTACGACAAGCACCGCGTGAGTCAACACACTACCGCCTCATCCTGTCCTGCAACTGACCGTCCTTGCGGCAGACCACCGGTTTCGTCCTCCTGGGCGTCCTAATCCTCCAACTCGCGCTAGGATACTACGCGCACTCGCGCCACCAAGCCGTCACATCCTTCGCCACCTCGTCCGGCCTGCCTGCTCCGCCGCCCAAACGCAGGGCCGCGAATTGGTTGCACATGGGTGTCGGGATTGGACTGTTGACGGTGGGTGGGCTGCAGGTTATGTGGGGGTTCGAGGAGTATAAGGAGTTTGCTGGGAAGAGCGTGCCGGGGTGGTTGAGAATCATCCACTGGATGCGGGTTCCGTTTCCTCTGCCTGCCACGCTGCTCCCGCTCACGATCCTCCACCCGCAGTCTCGCCGGTATCCCACCCCTCATCGTCACCCCTTACATCCTGATCCGCGGGATCAAGCGCCTGCGAGCCGGCCACTCCTTCGCCGAGTCATTCTTCTCCACCCCTCCCTCCTCACAGCCTTACCAACCCCCTCGCAAGCTCTTCCTCGGTACATCGACGTACATCGACGAGGCCTACGCTCCTGGCGCTGAGACGGTCTTCGACGCGGATGCGGATTTTGAGAAAGATGGAGTTGGGCACGAATATGCGAAGGGAAAGGGAGTGGATGGAAGGGTGCCGGTCGAGTCGAGTTGGCCTGGTGCTGCGACGCGCGAGGAGTACGAACAGGAGGTACAGTCGTCGATTGGGCACGGGAGCGTCGTAGGATCGACGATCGGTGGCGAATCGACCTACGACGACTACCGCGACAGGCGCGAGGAGGAAGAGGTCTCGTTGATCAAGCGCGCAGCGCCAATCGCGCGCTTTCCATCGCCCGGAGCAGAGGAAGACGAGGCGCGGCCGACATACCCGCCGTCAGCAGCCTACGACCCTCCTGCGCCGCCGCCGCCAACTCTCCCTCCTCTTCCGCCCGTCTCCTCAACGTTCTCCCCGCGTCCTACTCTCCCGACAAGCGTCTCTCCTCCCTCCGTCGGCGAAAACCTAACCTTCTCCCCTCGCCTTTCGTTCATGCCCTTCGCCGGTCCCAACGCGATCAACCCGCCGGCCCTCACGCTCGCGACTTCGCCCAGTCCCGCGCTCTCAACGACCGAAGCTGTCCTGCGCAATCAGCCGGACGGAGAAGGCCAGAGCGCAAAGACGCCGACGCTGGTGCCCACTCCGCCTCTTCCGCCGTCGGAGCAGGAGAAGACGGCCAGTCGAGGAGGCGAGACGGCCACGCCTGCGCCGCAACTGACGAGCGACGGCGTACTCTTCACCGTCGAGCGCCGGCCAAGCCAGGTCGCGAAAGTCGAAGGCGAGGCGTCGAAGCAGGAGGTCAAGCCAGCAGCGCAGGAGGCACCGGTTGTCAAGGAGGAAGAGGACGAAGACGATGTGATCCTGGCGGACGATAGCGAGTCGACGAGGTTGATGGATGAGCTGGAGCGCGAGCTGACGATTTCGACGACGAGGAGCGGGCGGTCGAGGGCTGTGCCGGCGGAGGAGGCAGAGCAGAAGCTGGCGGAGGAAGGCGAGACCTTGAAGGGGGAGCCGATGCTGGAGCGCGAGCAGAGCGGCAAGTGGTTCGGCAACGGCGGGCAGCGTCGTAGCGTGAGAGAGCGTTTCTTATCTCAATTGTCCCTGTGCAAAGTGCGAGTTGCGGTAACGAAACGAGACTACCGGCGCACCCGTCCCTTGCTCCCGCGCGCAAACTGCTTGACCTCGTACAACAGGACCTTGCCGCGCTGGTTTCCGACCGCGAGCCACTCGCTGCCCTTGGAGAAGTCGACGCAGGTGACGTGGTGGAGCGGAGTCTGCTGAGTCGGCCAGTTCTGGTAGACTGAGCACGTCGGGAGATGGACCTGCGGGAGCGACCAGTGAGCGAGGGAAGCTGTGCGCATTCGGTGCAGGCAGAACTCACGAGTTTGAGCTGGTCCTTGTTCGTCTTACTCGCGAGCGCGACGAGCTGTGCATCGTGGTTGAAGCGCATCGTTGAGACCGTGCTGACGAGGTTCTCAACCGCCTTCTTCGCCTTGCGCTCAGCGCCCTGGGCATACGTGCCGCGAGAAGAAGCGTCGTACAGGTTGACGATGCCAGTCGTCGAGCTGCATGTTGATCAGCCTGTCAGCTTCATGCGGTGAGCAAGATCACAAGGGTTTGTACGCACCCGACGGCAGTCCATGCGCCGTCCCTGCTCGTCTCGAGCGCGACCGAGCCAAACCCGCCCTCGTCCCGCCACCGGTCAACACACTTGCGCGTCCCAACATCCCAGACATACACCTCGCTGTCCTCGCCGAGCGTGAGCAGCTCCCTCCCGTCACGCTGCCAGGCGATACCTTTGACGGAGACGTTCATTTTGACCTCGCCAATAACCTGTCCGCCTCGACTGACACCGCTGCTGCTCCAGTCGACGAGGTGGACGTAGCCTCGTCGTCCCCCGACTGCAAGGACGTCTCCTGCGCCAGGCGAGAAGCGGAAACGCTCCATGCCGCCCGACCCGCCAGTCGATGCCTTGTCCGACCCGCCGAGACCGGCGTTGAGCAGGCCGCGAGGCGAGCGCAGAGTCTGACCGGTCTGGAGGTCGTACGAGAGGAAAAAGGGTCGGGAGCCGGTGAGGAGGATGGACGAGCCGGAGGGGTGGAAGGCGGCGTTCAAGATGGGAAGTTCGGGGAGGTGGAGAGTCTGAAGGAGGGGGTTGTCGGTGCCGTCGATTTGGAAGAGTCGAAGGCGGCGATCGGATGTGGCGGAGAAGAGGACCTGCGCGCGAGGATGGAAGCCAACCTCGACGACGGCGCCCTGCGAACAGGCCGATGTTAGCTGGAGTCTCGGAGGAGGAGGACTAAACGGAACGAACCGATTTCTGCTCGTGCTGGTTCGCGTCCCGCACTCGCTCGATATCAATCTCCCCAGGCTCAAGCCGTCCGCCCTTGACCTTCTTCCCACCCTTCCCGCCGACAGTCGCCTTCCTGAACAGATCGTCCGCCTCGTCCTTCTCGTCCGCGCTGTCGCCCTCCTCATCCGACGCGTCCGAGACGTCCGAGTCCAACAAGAGAGCCGCATTGCCGCCGTGTTGCGCCTGCGCAGCCCGCCGACGAAGCACTTTCCGTCGCGCCTCGACGGCCCATTGAGGCGGAGGGTGGAGCTTCTCAAATCTGCGGAATGACGGATTCAGCGACAATGGAAGAGAGCAAATGCCGATAAACGCACTGTCTCCGAAGCCTGCTCTCGTACTCGAGCCCGCTCACAACATCCTCCGCCGCCGCATCCCGCAACTTCCGCAACCGCTTCTCCCCCTGCAAGCTGATTTGCAGCTCCTCGTCCGCCGGGTCGAACCATGCTGCTTGTCGCAAGTTGCGCGTCCGCATAGCAGGTTTGGGCGCAGAGACTTGATGGTCCTCCTCCTCCGAGTCCTCCTCGCTGGCGCCCTCATCCTCCGAGTCGAACTTGGCGAAGGAGCCGGAGGGTGAAGAGGGCAGTGGGACTTGTGCAGGGTCGGCGGCGGAAGTAGAAGCAGTAGGCGGGACGTCAACGAAGAAGAGCTGTCGGGACGAGCGGGGTCAGCGGGGCTACCTCCAGCGAAAGGACGGTGGACGCACGTTCTCGTCCCTCAGCCGCTCAAGACCAGTCTCCTCGTCCTCCTCGTCTTCATAGTCCACCTCGTCAATGAAGTCCCCGTCCCGTCTGCTCCCCTGCAAGTCCTCCTCGGCGAGCCCGTACAAGTCCGCCTCCTGCTGCCCGCTCCGCTTGCCAAAGACGGCCTCCTCCAGCTGGAGCTCTGTCTCGTCCTTCTCGTGCGCCTTGGCATGCCGCGCGAGGAGCGAGGTCGACCCGAGTGCCTGTGGTTCATCGGCAGCGTCGTCGTCGCGCTGCTTGCCCTTGCGCGTCCGGGGCTTCTTGACTTTGCGCGGCTTCGGGTCTGTCGTGCTCGATGCACGCTTGGCGGGTGCCATCGCTGCAGCAGGTGCGGTTGTGTGAGGCAGAGCGATGAGCAACTCGTCCAAGCTTGTTGAGGCGGTGCGAGACGAACAGCAACTCCCAGGACTCGCTTCGTAGGGCTTATCGAGGGACTGGTTGTCGATAGATACGGGTATACAACTAGGCAGTACAAAGGGGAACTAATCAGGGGAAGAGACGGCCGGACAGGGACGCGAACGATCCAGACAGAGGCGACAGGAAGAGAGCGGGTCTGCCTGGCCATCGAGTGCTTCAAGTGGACTCAAGAGACCTCGCAGGTGAAAGGATCAAGCATCGCTCAGGTCGTGCCGAGCTTGCGGGGCGGATGAGGCGAAGGAAGGGAGACGGGAAAGTCCCACGGGCGAGGTACGAGGGCCTGGCAGAAGCGAGAGTCAGTGCTGCACTGTCGTTTCACAGAGATGTCGGAGATGAGCAACGCACGACAGGAAGAAGCCATGTTGCGGCGAGAACGATGCCGTGACCTGCGTGAAAATGGAAAGTCAGTCACTGTGCGTCAATCCTCAGCTACTAACTTAAGTCAATGTTGAGCGTCACACACCTCTGTCCTGCGCCTTGATGGCCGACCATTCCATGTCGCAGTACGAGGCGATGTAGCGGATGAAAGGCGCGAGTTCCGGTGCGCCTGCGAACCCAGTCATCTGGTCAGTGCCGTCCGTCGACGTCGATCGGTCGAGACGACACGAGAGGTCGTGGATCTCACCGCCAGCGATCACAAAGGCCTGTAGGAAGGTCATGAAAGTTTGCTGGACGGAGGCGACCGACGAGAGCGTCTTGATCGTTGCCGGAGGAATGGACAGCTCGAAGCCCCACCAGTCTGCCAACGCAAGCAGTGTTGAAGCTCAGCCTACGACAGAGGCGAAGCGGGCTACACACAGACGAACACGCTGATCCTGTCGACAGGCGGGACAAAAACGCCTTGATGCGCTCCGCTCTTGCCAATCAGAGCGCCAGTCATGTCGGCGAGCAGCTCGAAGGCGCCGCTCTGAGCTCCTGCGAGACCTGCGAGAGCGCCTGGCGAGACGGGCGGGAGTGAGACGGCGGAGACGGTGGGAGTCGAGTCGAGCGGGGGGAGGGCGTAGCCGCGAGAAGCGAGGACATGGAGAGTCGAGGACGGTTCCGGCTCGGAGGACTGCTCGTCGGCTTCCAAGACAGGGTTATCAACGGGAGCGTCCATACGCTTGAGATCCGAGACGATTCGCTTCGCCTTGTCCTGTTCGATGGCGTCCATCAGCGTCCAGGTCGGAGCAGAGAAGCAGTGAGCAGCTCACGGCATCGAGAAGATCCGCCTTGAGCTTCTTCAGCGCCTTTGGCTTGACAATCGGAACAGGTCTCGGCGAATCCCCTGCTCTCGCCCGGCGCCCGAGTGCATGTTCCGGCGTGACTTGCGCGCCTGCTGCAGAGGGCTGGGTGACCAACACAGGCGTGTATCCGTTGTCGCGGCTCAGGTGCGCCGGGACGAGCGAGGGCAGCGAGAACTTCTTGACGGGTGGACGAGGGGGAGGGACTAAGCCCGTAATGAGGGCGTACAGCATCCTCGCCTGGCGTCCCACCGCTCCCTCATTATCCGTATGACCTGGATGCACCGGTCGGCGGAACTTGTCGAGGGAGAAGCGGTTTCGAGGGGGAGTCGAGTCGGTAGAAGGGCGGGGTGAAGGGTCGTGCGTCTCGTGCGTTGGTCCAGCTGTGTCCGCCCAGTCGACCGCCGTCACAGAGGAAGGTCTGGTCGCTTCAACACCCTCTTGAGCCTGAGCGGGAGCAGTGAGAGCAGGCGGGGCGGATGGAGGAGGAGCAGGACCGTTCATCGCGGGCACAGCAGCTGGGAGCGTGCGAGCTGGCTGGACGGCAAGAGCAAGAAGCAAGCGTCAACCAGGCGAGTACTACCATCCCGCAGCGATGAATGACGCGAAGAGGCGTGAGCGGGAGGAGGAAGAGCCGCAACTCTCGCTCCGCCATTGACCATGACACTGCGGACGGTCTCGAAAGTGCGCCTGCTGCACTCTGCTTCTCGACAGAACGCCCGTCTCGTCAACTCGCACCTCTCCATCAGCCCCGATCTCCCCGTTACCGCCCCTCCTCCGCCGCCAAAGCCGGTGCCCTCATCGCCCTCGTACACCCGTGTACCGCGTCCGCCAGGCCTGTCAGGACCAACTCGGAGGGAGAAAGATGGTATACACGCACCAGCACAGGCTGCGACGCCCGAGGCCGCTCACAAGGCCGGCAAGACGACTTGGACCGATGACGGAGGAAAAGGGCGAGGACCGCTTGCTGGGGACCGTGCTGCCGCTCAGACCAGCCAGCAAGGCTCGGACGAGCTTGCATCGGCTGTCGCGCTGGACCTCTTCCTCCTGAGGACGCTCTCGCAGCTCGAGGAGCGAGCCCAGGTGGGGCGAGGACAGGAGGGCGCGATGCTTCAGCCGCCCGTACAGAAGGATTGGGCGACGTTGCAGACGCTGTTACAGCAACAGCGCGAGCGCGAGGGCGAAGTTGTCGAGGGAACCGCACTCGAGTACGAACCGACGCCTCCGCCTTCGCGACGGATTCGACTGGACGGCAGGGCTGGGCTTGAGGATGGTGCAGTTGCAGGGCAGGAGGAGCAGGACGGCGTGGTTGTCGTAGCCCACGTGATGGGCGGGCGGGATACCCGGGTCAGCATCTGCTCGGGATTCGCGATTGGCAGGACGCAGGACGGCGAGGGGCAGATGATCTTGACTTGTGCGCATACGTTGGCTTCAGTGAGTCGTCTTACTGTTCTGATGTCAGTGGAGGCGAACTGACCGGACTTGACCGCGCAGATGGCCAAGTTCGTCCCACCAGCGAGCGACATCCCCTCCGCGACCTTCGTCCTTGCCTCGTCCGGCCACGTCTACACCGTCTCTTCCCTCGTCTCGTCACTCAGCGAGTCCGACCTTCTCCTTCTCCGGCTATCTCCCGCCCCGATCAATCCCTCTGCCCTCCCAGTCCGCCCTCTCCGCCCACTTCCGATCAATCCGTATCCTTCTCCTACCTCGACAGCCATCTCTGTCCACCGCTACCTCAACCCCCTCTCCCGTCTCCGACGTAAACTGCAGAAGCTACCCGAGCGAGAATGGTTCGAGGGAGAAGTGCGCGAGTACCGTGACCCGATCGGACGGACGGCCGAGGTGGGTACGTACGACACGCTGCAGTCGATGATGATCAGCTGTACGCCTACGCCGGGGAGTAGCGGAGGACCTGTGGTGGATCGCGAGACAGGCAGCGTGGTTGGCGTGACGCGGGGTGCGCTTCGCCTTTCACTCTCGCTCTCGCTTCGTACGAGTCGCTAACGCTCCTCGCCGGCGCCCAGGCTCGACACACAAGTACGGTGACCGACAGCAGTTCGGGCTCGCGACTCCCGCCGAACGCATCTACGACATGTTTCCCCTTCCTGGCTTCAAGACGTCCGCGCAACGACAAGCCGAGGCTGAGGAGCGACGACGGAACGACAAGGGTGTGGAGGAGGCTCAGCAGCGGAGCAAGTGAGTCTCGGTGGACGTGATACACAGCTGTAGATAGGATTGTTCGCACTTTGTCGCTTGTATCGCCCCGCCTTCCCCTTCGCCCTCGGTCGTCGAACTTTCCCTCGCTTCACTGCATCCTGTAGAACCTGTAGCAGATCCTGTAGCTGTCTAGCACCGAGCAGGAACGATTTACACACCTCGCGGGTCGAGGAGGACCGCCTCCCGCTCGCCTCTTCCTGTGAAGCTTGGCGCTGCGTACTGCTCTCGTCAGAACAAGCTCAGCTGGCCGCAGTTCGGCATTCCCTGCACGCGAGAAAGCGAGTGACGCCCTTTCCCCACCTCGTCCCCTCGTGGCGAACTCCTTGGTTGCGCTCTCTCACTCACCGCTTGCGCTTGTCCAAGTCTCGAGAGCACCAGCAACGACACTCACGATGCCGTCCACCAACCACTGGTGCGCTCACCGTTCTCCGCGCGACGCTCTTCCCTCCTCCGCGTCCTCATCGCCGAGAGTTGGCGCACACCCTCGCAGCAACGCACGCTGACAGCTTCGCCTGGCCCGCAGGAACGACCACCTCCCGCTCAAGGTCAGTCTCGACTCGCTGCCGATCTGCCCCTCCCCGCTGTCTGCACTCTGGCCGCTGCCGAGGACCCGTCATGTGCACCCGAGTTGGCTGACCCTTCCCGCGCACACAGATCGTCAACGTCTTGACCTTTGCGTTCCTCTTCTCCTCCAACATCTACTCGTGCGTGGCGAGGCGGTCCAGCTGCGCGAGTTGGAGATCCCGCTGACCCTCTCGCCTCTTCTCTCGCACTCGCAGGGCCTTCACGCCGCACAGCTACGGCAGGGATACCTACTTCACCCCCGCCGACTATGTCTTCTACACCTGGACCATCATGTGAGTCGGGTGTGCGCAGTCGGGAGAACCGTCGTGTCCCCGCTGACTCGCTTTCCTCTTCGCTTCGCAGCGACGTCCTCCTGCTCGGCTTCGTCATCTATCAGTTCTTCGATGACTCGACCGACGTCGTCCACGGCATCGGCTGGCGCTTCCCCCTCATCGGTGTCCTGAACGCCATCTTCGTCCACGTCTTCGTCACGCGCCACTACATCGTCGCCCTCATCTTTGCCATCCTCGTCGCCTCGACCGTGAGCACCGCGTACTACACGCTCTCGGCTCACTACCCGGCGAGGAGCATCGGCGACACCGTCTTTGTCCACCTCCGTGAGATCCGCCCGTCCTTTGCCCTGGGAAGGCTTGAACTGACACCTCTCGCTACTCACAGCCTTCTCGCTCTGGCACGCCTGGTCGATCGTCCTCGTCCTCATCAGCGCCTTCGCCCTCTTCACCCAGTGAGTGGCGGCGGGACTGCTCGTCAGTCGCGCGTCTTGGCCCGAGGCTGACATCGAGCTTGCGGCGATCCTCTCGCAGCGGCAACCACCACACCCACCCCTCGGTTCTCAGCCGCATCCTCGTCGTCGCGGCCGAAGCCTTCCTCGCCCTCACCGCCATCGGTTACGCCTTCCGCTCGCGCGAGGGTGACGTTGCCGGAGCTGCCGTCCTCGCCTTCACCCTTTACGGCATCTACGACGCCCAGAGGGACGACGTTATCCGCTACTGCGCCCTCGCTGGCTTCATCGTCTCGCTCCTCTCGATCGTCAAGGTGAGATTCGTCTCCTCTCACCCGCCTCGGCTGGTGTACTGACCAATGTCCTCTGCTCCCGCAGTCGCTCTACTTCACCTTCGCCGGTGACCGCGGCGTCTCGCTCGGCACGGACGACGAGCGTCGCCCGCTCGTCGCGTAAAGCAAGCACCTCGCTTCATCCACTCCTCCTTCCCCCTTCCCCATACCCACCACTCCCACTCGCGCTTCTTACTCTCCCCTCACGTCGGAACCGCATCTTTGCCTTACTTCACGCTCCTCTCCGTCGCTCGGACTCGCCTCGTACCCACCCGCTCCGTTCTGTTCTTCCCCTTCGCTTGTAGCCGCCTCGCCTCGTTTCTCACGACTTCTCCAGGAATTTCTGCAATCACAATTCGCGTAGTAACTCCCTCTACACGGCCTGGAAGGCTCGCTTCGGACTTCCCCTCGTCGACCTCCCTCGCTCTCCCTTTCCTTCCTGCCACTCCTCCCCCACCCAGCTGGGCCGGCAGAATCGCTGCTCATCCACTGGCGATGCTACAGGCATGTCGCTCCGCACCCTGTACAATCGCTGCACGTTCCTCGCCCGACTTGCTCCTCAGATCAGTTGAGCGAAGTTTCCGCCTGCGCGACTCCGTCTGGTGGCTCGCGAACAGCTTTGTGCGAAGCTACTCGCCGCCAAGATACCACTCAGCTGATTGAGCGGCTCAAGCGGGCTCACAGATGCGGGAGTGAGCGGTATCGGCCTCGAGCAGCGTGGGAACAGGTCGCGCAATGAGGGCTTTCTTCTCCTCTGACCGGGCTGAGGTGTTTGCGATAAACATGTGAGGAGGCCTTTGTTGAGCCAAGGAGGAGGCTGTACGGGCGCAATTGGCGACGAGGGACGACCACGCTTCTTCTCCTCCTCCTTCTCTCCTCCTTTGTGCTCCCTCGCCCGCTTGCTCCGCCTTCTCTCCCCGTGCTCTCGCTACACGACTCACAGTCGCCATGCCCGACAAGAAGATCGACTACGACCTCGAATCGACCACCTCGCGCTCCTCGACAGTCCAGAGCGCCCTCCCAGTCCTCAAGTCCCGCACACACTACGCATCAGGAGCGAACCTGCGCCGCATGTCTACGATCGAAAGCGTTCGTGCGACCACTCGCGCTCAGCAGCAGAAGGCGCGCGTGATTGGGGACTTCCGAACTCTCTCGTGCGTTTGCGCTCGTTCCGCCCCGACGCAGCCCGGCTGACATCTGGCGGCATGCGACTTGCCTCGCAGCATCCACGTCACCGAGAGTCGCGCCGAACCAAAGCTCGTCGAGAAGGCCAAGCGCAAGGCGAGCAAGGATATCGACGACATCGCGACCCTCGACTGGCACAAGCTCTCCATCGATGAGCTCTGCCAGCGACTCGGTGTCGCGCCAAAGTCCGGACTCGACAAGATGATGGCGGCGAAGCGACTCGCGAAGGACGGCAGGAACGTCTTGTCGCCGCCCAGGACGAACTGGTTCGCAAAGGTGTGATCAGCTTCTCCCGCTCATTCACCGCGTCCCTCTGACGAACCCTTTGCACACAGATCTTCTGGTACTTCTTCGGCGGGTTCGGCACGCTCCTCTTCGTCAGCTCGATCCTCTGCTTCATCGCCTGGAAACCGCTCGGCGAACCCAATCCATCGACCGCCAACCTCGCCCTCGCCGTCGTCCTTCTCATCGTCGTTCTGCTGCAGGCGGTCTTCAATGCCTGGCAGGACTTCACGACGAGTCGGACGATGGCTGCCATCGCCGGTGTCCTCCCTACCTCGATTCTGTGCCGTCGCGAGGGCGAGACGAAGGAGTGAGTCCTGCTCGCTCACGGTAGCGGTTTCTCTGCTAATCAGTCGACTCGCAGGTTACCCGCCTCCGAGCTCGTCATGGGCGACATCGTCTTGCTCCAGCTCGGCGCGAAAGTTCCGGCCGACATCCGCCTCATCGAAGTGTCCTCGGACCTCAAGTTCGACCGCTCGATTCTGACCGGCGAATCACTCGCTGTCGGTGCGACACTTGACTCGACGGACGAGAACTTCATGGAGACGCGGAACGTCGCCTTGCAGGGCACGCTTTGTACTGAGGGATCTGGGGTCGGTGTCGTCGTTGGACGTGGGAACGACACCATCTTCGGCCGAATCGCCAAGGCCGCCGGTGGCAAGCGTCCGGTTCGCTCGACTCTTGAAGTCGAAATCGCTCGCTTCGTTTTGATCAATGCGCTCCCTTCTGTCGATACCGACCGCTCCATTTGCTGACGCTTGTCCGCACATAGTCGCCGGTCTCGCCTTGTCTGTCGTCGCCATCATCGTCGGTGCGTCGCCTTCCTCCCTCCTCGCAGGTTAGTCAACTCATCTTCGCGCCTTGCAGTCTTCTGGGCCGCCTTCTTGCGTCGCCGTCATCCCGACTTCATCAACGTACCGACCTTGATTGTCGACTGCGTCTCGGTCGCTGTTGCGTTCATCCCGGAAGGCCTTCCTTTTTGCGTCACGATGTCCCTGACGGTCATCGTGCGTTCGGCTCGCGTCGCTGCTCTAGTATAGCTTGGCTGACACTCTTCGTCCATCGCGCAAGCCCGCCAGATGAAGCGCAAGGGCGTACTCTGCAAGTCGCTCGCAACGGTGGAGTCGCTCGGAAGCGTCTCGCTCATCTGCTCCGACAAGACCGGCACGCTCACGCAGAACAAGATGGCCGTCGCGAACGTCCTCGTTGGTGACATCGCCTACAACGCTGGAGAGGCGTTCAAAGTCGCGCTCAAACCGACCGATCCCGTCCACTCCGCCCTCAACCAGCTCATCTCCGTCGCCGCCGTCTGCAACGACGCGACGTTCGTCGGCAAGGAGGACGAAAACATGCCGTCGCAGGACAGGAAGGTCGTTGGCGACGCTACCGACACTGGCCTCCTCCGCTTTGCCGCCTCAATCGCCTCTGTCAACGAGCTCCGCAGCACTGTCACCGAAGTCGGCAAGCTCGCCTTCAATTCGCGCAACAAGTTCGCTCTCAAGCTCGTCTCGAAGCGCACCACCTCGACCGCGGTCCTCACGGGACTCACCGACGGACTCGAGTCTCGCGAGCAGCTCCTCCTCGCCAAAGGCGCTCCCGATGTTCTCATGCCCCGCTGCACCTCAATCCTCCAGGCCGACGGTACTACCCTTCCGCTCACCGACGAGGCACAGGAGTCGCTCTCGGCCGTCCAGAAGCGCTTCGCCTCGCTCGGACAGCGAGTCCTCCTCTTCGCCAAGCGCTCCGTCTCGAGCAAGTCCACGTCGAACATGGTCGGCACGGACGAGGAAAAGATGATTGCGCTCGTCGAGGACCTCACTGTCGTCGGTCTCGTCGCACTCGCCGATCCTCCGAAGCATGATTCGAGGGAGACGGTGGAGAGATGCCGCGCGGCCGGCATCCGTTTCTTCATGGGTGCGTTCGGCGGATGTACATTTCTGCATGCGACCGCTGACGCTCTTCTCGGCGCAGTCACGGGCGACTTTGCGCTCACCGCTGCTGCCATCGCCCGCCAAGTCGGCATCATCACCTGCCCGCCTCATCTCGTCAAGGGCTTCAACGACCTCTCTCCTCACGACGGTTCTGCATCAACGAGCGTCGTCAGTCGAGACAAGCTCGAGCATGAAGATATGGCCTCGACGACCGCTCTCGTCCTTTCGGGCGCAGACTTGCTCAAGCTTTCGGAGGAACAGTGGGCGCAGGTTGTGAAGGCGCGTCTCTTTCGTTTCGCTGTGAGTAGGCAGACGCTAACGGGAGCTTCGTATCGCAGTTCGACGAGATCGTCTTCGCCCGCACGAGTCCGCAGCAGAAGCTTCAGATCGTGAAGCGCTTCCAGGACGATGGCTGTACGGTTGGGTGTACCGGTGATGGGACAAACGACAGTCCGGCGCTCAAGCAAGCGTGCGTGCGGTCATTGTCTCCCTGCAGCTCTTCGGTCCAGCTGACTCTCCTTCGGTTCCCTGTAACCCTCCCGTGTCGCGCCATACTGTTGCGGTTCATGTCACCCTTTTTGTCGATAGGGACGTGGGCGTTGCCGTCGCGGGCGGTTCCGGCGTCGCAATGGAGGCGGCCGACCTGGTCCTCCTCGACGACTTCAGCGCCATTGTCACGGGTATCGAGTCGGGCCGCCTCTGCTTTGAGAACCTCAAGAAGAGCATGTGAGCCAGGTCGTTTCCTCCATTGTCGCTGCGACGCCCTGACACCGTGAGCGTTCAGCCTCTACCTCCTGCCGGCTGGGTCGTTCTCCGAGCTTACGGTGCGTTCAACTCCGACGTCTCGCTCACTGACTCAGCACTGAGACCTGTATCGGCCGCAGCCCGTCATCTTGAACGTCTTCTTCGGCTTGCCCCAGGCCTTGTCGTCCATCCAGATGATCCTCATCTGCGCCATCACCGACGTTCTTCCGGGCATCAGCCTCTGTTACGAGAAGCCAGAGGCAGATCTCCTGCTCCGCCCGCCTCGCCGGCCCAAGCAGGACCACCTCGCCGACCCGCGTCTCATCATCCATGCCTACGCCTTCCTCGGCATGCTCGAATCCCTCACGTCGATGGTCGCCGCGTTCTACTTCGGCTTCCAGCGACATGGCATTCCTTTCAGCGCGCTTTGGCTTCAATACGGAAACTATGCGGTCGACGCCGATGTTCTTGCGGAGGCGACGAACCGCGCCCAGTCGCTCTATTTCTTCAAGTGCGTTTGCCAGGACTTCGCCTAAAGTCTCTCGTCTTTCGTCCGTGCTGACTCGCTCTTACGCAGCCTCGTGATCTGCCAGTGGTTCAACCTCCTCTCAACTCGCACTCGCCGTCGTTCGCTCTTCCAGCAGGATCCGCTCTTCCACCCTCACACTCGCAACCTCCGCCTCTTCCCCGCCATGCTACTCGCGCTCGTCCTCGGCATCTTCTTCTCGTACCCCAAATTCTTCCAGGACGTCTTCCTCACCCGCGCCATCCCCGCCCAATACTTCTTCCTACCGGAGGCGTACGGCCTCTGCATCCTCGGCATGGACGAGGCGAGGAAGTTGGCCGTGAGGAGGTGGCCCGACGGGTTCTTTGCGAAGACTGCGTGGTAGACGGTGAGGGCTTCTCTTCAGGATGCGTTCGGGGGAGGGTCCGTTGCAACGGTGATTCTTGCTCAGCACGGCGTTCCTGCTGTCGAGGCGTCTGCTGAGAAGGTTACGAGCCAGATTAGAGCGTCCCAGCGTCAATCAACAGCAGTTCTCAGGTTGCGTCTCCTGGACTTAGCCGTTTCGCGTTTCTTCCGCTCATTCACCTCTCAACCTCTCACCTCGCTCAGTCGGGCGCTGCCGCTCGCTATGGACTCGTCTGCTGTCTCACGAGCGCCATCGCCGGCTCCAACACCCCGCCACATCCCGTCGCTGCCCTCCCTACTCCCCGCCCCGGCAGCTCCTCCCGCAAAGCGTACCAACCTCGTCGAGCTCAAGCTGCGCCTGGCTGAGCTGCTGACGCCTGAACAAGGCGCCGTGTACTGGGCTGGCCTGGGCGACTTTGTCTGCGGGCGGATCAACAGGCAGGAATGGGACGAGGTGTTGAAGCGGGCGTTCGGCAAGGACAGGGCGAGGCGGGCAGAAGCAGGTGCGACGAGACGCTTCTTAGATTTCGTGAGCAATCACAACGGTGCTGACTGTCCAGCCTCGTCCCCTCAGTCAAGTTGCACAACGCTCTCCTCCTCGCGATACTCTACAACACGACTCGCCCGTTCCTCCCTCCTTCTTCCGTCCGACACTCTGGCTTTCACCCACGAGGGGCGAAGAAGCGCGGTCTCGCGGCGGGCGAAGGTGGCGAAGTGGAGGAAAAGAGGCGGCGACTGCTCAAGGACAAGGTGATGGCTCTCGGCAGGCGGGAGCGCGGCGATGTCAAGCTGCTGGGTACGGCGAGTGCGGGACCGGCATCGGCATCTTCAGGGCGGGGGAAAGGGCTGGCGGCGGTTGAGGAGGAGCGCAAGCGGAAGCGAAGAGCGGGCGAGGCTTTGAGCGAAGCAATGGGTGGTGCAAGTCGCGGTGGTGGCGGTCGGATTGAGATGGATGGCGTGCCGAGGGCCCTGCGAGAGCGGGAGAAGGAGGGTGCGCCGCTGCCGCCGAGTACGTCCAGGCTTCCTCGCTCATCGCCAATCTTGCTCACTTTCGCCTTGCAGCTTTGTCGCAAGATTACCTTCGCCTCGTTCAGACGCCGCTCTGTTGCGAGTCTCGTGTTCTGCCGGACTCGGAGACCCTGCGGGATCGCATGACGGCGACGGCGTACGAGGAGGGCTTGGCGGAAGGCGTCGAAGGACGAGCATCTACGCTTGTGCAGGGTGCCATGGAGGTGCGTTCATCGCTCAGTCAGCTTACAGAGCACCTGCTGACTCCTCGCGAGTCGCGCAGCATCACCTCAAGAACATGCTCGCTGCTGTCGTCTCCCTTGTTCGCGGCACTCGACAGGCTGCGCCTCCACCTCCTCGAACAGCTTCTTCCTCTACTGTTTCGACACCAGCGCCCTACTCTACGTCGACCTTCGCGCCAGCCGGCTCTGCGCCATCTGCTCCTTCCCCCGCACCGCCTGCTGCAGCCTCTCCCGCACCGGACGCTTCGCTCTCACAGGAGCCCGTCGACGAGCGAGAACCGCTCACGATTGCCGACTTCCACGCCCTCTTCGCCATCTCCCCCTCGCTCCTCGGCCAACATCCCAACGTTGGTGCCGTCGAGCGGATGTACGCCCTGCCTCCACCCGACTCGGACACGTCGGATGAGGATGAGAGCGAGGCTGAGCGCGAGGAGGCGCATGCGCAGGCGAGGACGGCGGATCAGCAGAAGGCGCTTGAAGCAGCAAGGGACGCCGAGGGAGCCACCGAGATGCTCGGTGCGAAGCCTCTTAACGCAGCGGTTGCCACGCTCTCGTCGGGTGCGTCGAGCTCAACTGGCATGGGTGCCGGCAAGAAACCTCGCTTGTCTCGCTCGCGCGCATCCTCGTTCTACGGCGCGACTCGGCCTGTACCGGTTTCGGCTCCCTCCTTCGCCAGCGGCATCAAGGGCAAGGGGCGCTTCGTCATCGACCCCTCTTCCCTCCATGGCATTCCCGAAGGTCACCCCGCCGTTCCGCATCTTCCCTCAACTCCTCAGCCTCTCCTTCCTGCGCACCTCGCTGGTCCACCCGTCCCTTCCGCCTCGCCTGCAGCAGCAGCTGCCGCGAGCGCGTCGACCACCGCGCCTGGTCAGCTTAGTCCGAAGAGTCTTGCCTTGCGCAACTCGCTCTTCCCGGAGCTGATGGGCGAGTCTGGCACGGCGACGCCAGCAGGCGATGCTGTTTCGAACGGCGATGGCAACGGGACGACGACGGATGGCGGCGAGAGCGAGTCGGAAGACGACGGCAAGGGGCTGTCGGGAACGCCAGCGCCGCCTTCAACCGGTCTCAAGATCAAGCTTGGCAACTCTGCTGTCGGTCAAGCGGGTCAGACTGGCAGGCGCGCGAGCATGTCAGGACCACCGGGAGCGGGACGGCCGATGCCGACGAACGAGAAGGACCGCGAGGCAGGGAGGAAGCTGTGGGAGGTCGTCGACTCGGTTGGGCTGCTCAACGGGGTGCTGCAGTAAGAGGAGTCTGTGTTGCCGTGCAGTCTATGTTGTCTCTTCACTGTCTCGATGTAGCGGTCCAGAGAAGCGTCGGAACGCGTCGAGAGACGAAGCGCAGGACGAGTACCGCGAGCTTGCGAGAGTCTCGAAGGAGACGCCGGCGGTTTGTTCATAAGACTGCATTTCCGTCCCGCTGCAAAGAGACGAGGA